AGAGAGAGAGAGAGAGAGAGAGAGAGAGAGAGAGAGAGAGAGAGAGAGAGAGGGAGGGGGCCACGAGCGGCTCGAGCCCCAGCCCGTGTCCAGGGGCAAACCGTGAAAAGCCGAGAGAGAGCTGGGAGAAGGGGGGAGAGAGGCAGCCTTGAGAGACCAGCCTCTGCTTCTCTGCCATAGCGTGCGAGCACCTCGGCATCTCCGCAACACTACGCGTCTACACCTTCGGGGTCCTGGACATCGAGAGGGGTGCGGTCGATCCACATCGTGAACCGCTGCTGGCCGACGAGCTCGGCTACATCCCGAGGGGGCGCGCGGGGGACTTTGTGTGCGACTCCGAGAAGGGGGTCGGCGACCCTACTCATCCCGGAGGGGGCTAAGGCGACCGAGGGCTTTGACCACCCCGCCAGGGACTGTGCCATCTCAGAGTCCGTGCTCTGGGCAACGACACCGAGAGTGAGATCCATGACTTCGTTGGCAGGGGGCACAAGCGAGCATGCCTCGCCCACCAAGCGCAAGGCGGCGGGGGAGGTAGTCGACGTGGAAGAGGGGGAGAAGCTCTCATTGGAAGCCATCAAAGCCACCTTTGCAGCCGAGTTGCGGGGGCACCAAGAGGTCATGAAGGACCACCAGGATGTGATGAAGGAGGACATCCACAAAGCGGTGGGCGGGGTCAAGAAAGAGATGGCGGAGCGCATCAGCCTCGTCGAGAGTGAGGTGACGCAACAACTACAGACGACCCTGCTCCTCCTCAAGCAGCTCACCGACAAGCAGGAAGTGCAAAGCGGGAAAATGGCTGCCCTGGTGGCGGGGCAAAAGACTTTGGAAGAGACTGTGGAGAGCAACCGCCGCACGCTGGAGGAGCGCATTGAAAAGTTGGAAGCCGGAGGAGGGGGGCTGCGACCCTCAACCTATAGCACGGCCACTACGGAAGGAGATGGCATTGGGGGGCGCAGGACGCCCGCGCTGGTTGTTGGGGGATGGAATGACGACACGCCCGCGAACGAGGTCATTGAAAAAGCCACGGAGGTGCTGCGCCAATTACAAGTGGACCTGGACTACCAGGACATCTTCGTGCCGGGGATCCGGAGGGGGTTTGCGCTCATCCCTCTCAAAGGGCCCAGAGAGGGAGAAGGGGGGGAAGAACATCGCAGAAGAGTCCAAACGGCCATCACCCAGGTGCGGAACGCCAAGCTGCAGACAGGCCACTACCGCCAAGACACGGGGCAGCCGCGCTACATGTACCTCACCATCTCGCAGCCCCCGGAGAGGCGAATGCGAGCCAAGCTAGCAGCCAAAGTCAAGCGATGCATTTTGGAGCTGGGGGGCCGGCATGAACACCTTGAGGTGGAGTTCGCGACGGGCACGGTGTGGTACAGGGGGACCAGAGTTTCCTCGGCAGTGAGCCCGGCCAACGAGGGAGCCGACAAAGTTGGACCGGGGTGGGCCAACGTGAAGGAAATTGCCAAGGTCCTCAAGATCGACTTCGACAAGGCGGATCACCAGTGGCGCCCTGCAGTGAAAAGGTGGCAAACGAAAGTTTCACACCCGGGGCGGGGGGCAAACCGCCCAGCCAGAACTGCAAGCGCTGACCTGGAATGTTGGGGGAGCCGGGGCAACAAAGATCCTCGACATCCTCCAAATCACTTGCCGGGGGGGCGGAATACACGCAAACCTTGGCCTGGTGGATGTGGTGACCCTCCAAGAGGTGATCTGCGAACCTGGCACTCATGCGGAGAGTTCAAAAGATTGGACCCTCGTCATGGGGAAGCAAGCTTCGGAGTGGAGAGGTGAGGGAGTCGCATACAAACGGGAGAAGTACAACCACATGCATGTGGAAAACAAGGAGGGTGCGCTAGCCCTCGTACTGGTGGGAGGGGAGATGGGGGGGGGCGAAGGCCAGCCAAGCCCCAGTGCAAGCCAACACTCGGCCGTGGGGGTGGTATCGGTGCATCTCCCGCACCACGCCAATGCTGCACGTACGGATCAACTGCTATCTCAGTGGGAAACCAGCCTGGCTATGGGGCAAGACAAGGTCATCATGGGGGGAGACCTCAACGAGACGTTCCTGGACTTCGAGCAGGGGGTGGCAGCAGAAACCGGCAGGGGGGAGACGGTGCTGCAATGGCTAGATGACCGGCATCTGAGGCTGCCGCTGCAGCAAATGGAAAAGCCCACCTATCATCCCTACAACAAGGCCATGAAGTCAAGAAGGCTGGACTATATCGCGGTGAAGCACCTCCGGACTGGAGAAGGCCTGGTGCTCGAAGGGACCAGAGATGTGGTCCAGTCAGACCATGACGCAGTGGCCGTCCACGTGCACCACACCATTCCGGCGAAGACCAAGCTTGAAGCCACGTGGGGGCCACGCATCCTGCGAAACGATGATGAGGTCCAAGCAGGGCTTCAACAAGCACGGCGTGGGGACCCACACAGAGTCATAGCAGAGGTCTCCAAAGCCATCACACTCCCAGCCCCACAAGGGGGCGAGCCGTGGCAGGAAAGTGCTGACCTGAAGTGCCTGAGGGCACAGGCTCGGCGAGCGCCGCCCGAGGAAAGAAGAGCATGTTGGAAGAAGGTCTGGGGCACATACAAGCAGGAAAGGCGCGCCTGGATGAAGAGGAAAGTTGAAGCTGCAGCGAGAATGAACTGGGGGGAACTCAGAGCCCTGGGCAAGCAGGCCCAAAACAAGCAATGGGAGCATCACCTCACCAGTCAGGAGGGGTGGGAGCAGCGGCTCAAAAAGCACTTCGAAGGGACCTTTGCGACCCGCCCCAGGGAGCAAGTCAACAAGGCCTTTGACGACCTCCGACATGCTCTGAGGGGGCTATGCAAACGCACCCCATGGTCCCCCTTTGACGAAGGGGAGCTGCTGGCTGCAATGACTACCTGGGGCAGACGAAAAGCCACAGGGGTTGACGAAGTCTCTCTCGAAGCATTAGGGGCACTCCAACAAGATGACACGTGGAGGGGCAGACTGCTTTACCTGTTCAACGACGTCCTGTACACAGGAAAGCTGTATGGCGATATGGGGGTTGGGATTACCATCCTCCTACCCAAGGTCACAGTTCCTGAAGAATGGGGGCAAACACGACCGATCACACTTTCGAGTGCCACTTTGAAATGGTTCTCGCAATTGCTCCTGGGGCGGTGCAGCCACCACTTCAACCCCCTGACTGACGCCCAGTGGGCCTGGAAAGGGAAACAAGCGGAAGAACTCATCATGGTCCTCAGGAAAGTCATGAGGGTCGGGGTCGAATGGCAGCTACCAACATGGATCGCCAAGCTGGATGTGAAGAAGGCCTTCGACAGCGTCTTCCAAGAGAACATGGGGGCCATGGTCGCCTATTGGGTTGGAGAGCGGGGAGGACGACCCTGGGAGGCCCACGCGTGGATGGCCCTATTGCAAGCGGATGCCGTGAGGGTGTCAGCGGGAGGGCAGATCATCTTAGTGGAGCAAACGACAGGGGTCAGGCAGGGGGGCCCCGACTCACCGGTGCTGTTTGCAGCAATCATGGGGCGCAACCTGCAAAGAGCGCAGCTGCCCCAACAGGATGCCTCGGGGCCTGGGCCCTTGTGCCCATACCACGAAGGGGCCTTTATGGACGACACGTATGTGTGGGATCATGATGCAGCGAGATTCCAGCAACGTCTGTCCAGCGTCGAGAAAGCGTTGGAGAAGGATGGACTACAAATCCACCCCCGCAAGACAGTCATCCTCACCAATGCGCAGCAGCCTGGAAAATTCAGAATTGGGGGCGAATGGGTCACCCCACAGAACGACCAGGGATCCTTTCACATCCTGGGAAGCCCCGTCGCCTTTAAACACCAAGTTGCCCTGCTGGTGGCAGAGATGCAGACGAGAGCTCGCAAAGCTTTCCACGCACATGCCAAGGAGCTTATGGCAGATGCCCCCCTAGGACCAAGATTGCAGCTTTTCCTGATTTATGTCAGGCCGGCAGCGCTCTGGGGGTGTTCGGCGTGGCCGCCCCACGACACGTTGTTAAAAGGGGCAAATGCGTGTCAACTTCACTACGTCAGGAAAATCATGAGACTGGGGCGTAAAGCTGGAGAGTCGTGGGTGGACTGGAACCAGCGAAGTCTGCGAGGGGCCAGAGTCAAGCTCCACCAGCTGCACATCGAAAGATGGTCGACGCATGCGCTCCAGCGCATCTGGGGGCTATGGGGGCATGTGGCACGCCAAGATAGCAGAACCAAAAGCATGATGCTATGGAGAGGCCAGCAATGGTGGAAGAAGGAGCAGTCCAATCCACGGGGCATGAGGCATCCGGCCAGATTCAACCCGCATGCCGAAGTAGAACGATCCATTGCAGCAGTGGGGGGGGATGATTGGGCAGAGAAGGCGGGGGATAGGGAGTGGTGGCAAACGGCTGGAAAACTGTTCGTTTCCAAACATGACCCGGAGTGGTGCAGCGGCAAACAGCCATCGCTGGGCAACCTAGCGCCGAATAAGGCAGCAGCCACAAGCAAAACACCCCGCAGCAGGCAAGCCAGCAGAGCTCGGGCCATCACGAATGAAGCAAGCTAAGCGCCCGCTGAAAGGAGCGGCCAGGGTGAGCAAAGAGAAGGGTGTGACTGCGGCGGTGGCACGGGCAAATCGGGGAAATGGTGCCTCGGTGCGCCACCGGGGGGCCAGGGAAGAGAGCGGGGGGGGGGGGGGGGGGGGGGGGGGGGGGGGGGGGGGGAGACGGAGGGAGGGGGGGGGGGGGGGGGGGGGGAAGGGGGGGGGCAGAGAAAGAAGAGAGACGGTCGACAGACACAACAACAGCAGCAGCAGCAGCAGTCATGACACACACACTCTGCAAGCTTCGCTGTGTTGTGCGCTGTCTTTTCGCTGTCTTGCTGTGTCGCAGTGTTTGCATCTCCGCCACGGCCGCTGCAGCAATCCTCAAGCACACCAGTAGCCACAGTAGCCAAGCCAAGCCTAGCCCACCATGGCACTCTGCCACTGCAAACAAGCAGCCATAGCGGGGCTTGTGCTGGGGCTGTGGTGGGGGCAGATCCAGCCGCCGGCTGTTGCGGCCATGCCAGGGGGAGGGGGAGGAGGTGGGCAACCCAACAGATGGAGCAAGCACCACCTCACCGCCACGCAAGCCACGCAAGCCACGGAGCCAGCCCCACCACCGCCCGCGGGCGAGACAACGGGGGAAGCAGGGGAGTGGGTAGAGGAGGCAGGAGGGGGGGAGGGGGCAGCGAGCCAGCCAGAGCCAGAGGTCCATGAGAGCGGGGGAGAGGGGATGATGGAAGGAGGCCAGCACCACAGCCCACCAGATGACACTCCGGGACATCGAGAAGTACATGATCGTGAAAATGGCAGGGAGACCGAGAAGGGCATGAACGCCTCCAACCCAGAGAGCTCCCAGTGCGAGCACAACCCAGCCGCAACCCCGCCCCAACCCGCGTGCCGGAAGCAACAACCCATGCAGCAGGCGCCCGCGTCCCAGCCACCAGGGGCAATCCATGAACCCCCCAGCACCACAAGCAGAGACCCGTTACCCCAGAGCACGCCGTCCCAGTGCCATCCCGCCGAGCCAACACGGCACGTGGAACCCACCACCTTCGGGGGGCCGGGGGGGCACGCAACAAGCCAGGAGGGAGAGGAAACACACGACACCTCTGCGTGGGAGCAATACCTCCCCGACCAGCCGAACCCGAAGCAGCGTGGCCGGTAGCTCACAACCGCAAGGGGGGCCAGCACCCTACGACCCGGACACTGACGCGTGGCACCCACAACCCCCGGACCAATCCGTGGAGAATCACCCGGCAGTCGGCCCGCGACCTGTGGGGTGCGCGCCACTCGAACCACAGGGGCCCCACCGAGACCTACCCAAGCCCCTGGAGCCGCAGAAAGGGGGCTACCTGCCCTCCACGCACGTCCCCACCATAGGGATCCAAGAAAACCGCCTCACGGTGACCATACCCATAGCCAATGCGCGGCCCCAATGGCTCCACATCGTGGGGGACATCCTCCGCCAGTACAGCCGTGAAGCACTGCAAGGGGGGCTAACAAGCCCCCCATACACCCCCGGCGGGGGGGCAACCAGTACCCAGCAAAGCCCCGCCACAACCCCCCTCTGAAGGGGATCTGGCACCCCCGAGGGTCAAGGCGCCGCCCGGCCAGGCGCACCACCAACCACCAAACCAACAAGCCCCGATGCAGCTGACGCAGCCACCGCGGCCACCACCACCTCGGCCAAGCACATACCCGACACAGCCAACGACCCACCATTCACAGTCAACCCCAACAGCAGGGGTCCAGGCACAGCCGTCACAAGCTGTCCCACAACCACCACAACAGTGGGGCCACCAACCACCAACCCACCAACCAGCCCAACAAGGGGCGGCAGACGAGACACACCAAGGCCAGCCATGCCCAACACAGCCCATGGCCCAACACCACCCACAGTCGAACCCACCACAACCGTCGCTGCAACTGCATGCGGCCCAACAACCATCGCTGCAGTGGAGTCACCAACAAGGCCCAAGCAACCAACCACTGCACCAACAGGGAGGCCTGCCACCACCTGTAAACAGCCACCAACGGCCAAACCTTCGGCATTCCAAGACCAGGGGCGACCGGAGCACCCAGGGGCAAAACCCAGCCAAGAACCCTGCAGACCCAAACCCAAGCCCCCGCAGCCCCCACCTGACGGCGATGACGAACCAGCTGAAGCGCAGGACAGCAGTGCCCCTCAAGCGGGGGGCACCCCCAATCCCACTACCTCACCAGACAGCACGGGACAAGACGGGCCAGCACATTGGTACATGCGAGAAGGGGAAACTTTTGAGGAGGCCATGGCGCGCAGGGCCAGGAACCGCCATGAGGGAAAGGGGGAGCAGCGTATGCGCAATCGAGAACGCAAGGCGAGGGAGGCGAGAGAGAGGAAGAGGAGGCGGCAGGAAGCACAGGCATGGGGGAGGGAGGGGGGGAACACTGGGGGCGCGGCCGGCAGCACACACCAGGCACACACCAGCAGCAGCCCGGACTGGGCGGAGCTGCTCAACCGTCACAAGCAGCCCCGGCAAGGGAACCCCATGGAGACACACCAAGAACAACCCCCGGCCGACCAGAGCTCACCAACACAGCGTGAGGACCGACCCCACCCACCGATGCAAGAGCACTGTGACCAAGGAGAAGGCAGGGGGGGCGACGCCAGCGAATCGTCGGAAACCCACTGGAGCAGCAGCGCCGACGAAGAGGAGGAGGAGGGGGAGGAGGAGGCAGCAGAAGTGGAAGAGGAGGAAGGAGAGGGGTCAGACGGGCAGCGGGGAGAGGAGCACGCCACAGACCCACCACACGCGGGGGGCACTCAGGCCAGACAAGCTAACCAAGCCACGGCAACCACACAACACCCACACACGGGAGGGGCCACCGGGGATGACGGGTGGGAATGGTCGCAGGACGGCCCGCCGCTACTCCCCATCCGAAAGGAAGCCCAAATCATCTTCTGGGCGGGCAAGATGGGGGAATACCTCTGGGCATTTGAGGTAGCGGACCAACACCGCAAGGTGCCGGGGGGGGGCAAAGAGTGAGGCAGCTAGGAAGGAACACACTCCCAGGGCCCGGACCAACCACCTCCCCTCCCCATAGGGGTTCGGGGGCGGCCGAGACACATGGGTGATGGCAATCACAGGGGTGGGCGAAGGAGGGGGGCAGGCGGCGAACCAACCCGCGGCAAGCAATGGGCACGTCCAACTGAGGCAAGGGCAGCTTGCCAGAGTGGACCCGGACGTCTATCCAGCAGCCACCGTGGTGCCACTGGCCAAACCCGCACCCAAGCCAACCCAGAGCCAATACCAGGAAGGAGGGGCGAGCAGCTCTGGACACCAACACGCACCGCCCACACCGCCCCATCCATCCACGGGCGCGGGGGCAAACCCCACGCCAGACCAACAACCAACACCGAACCAACCACCGCCCGAAGCACCCATGCAGCAGCCGCCATCTGGACCGGGACAGGAAAAGAGGATGAGGACGCGCCGCTGGTGCAAAAAGCACGAGGCAGAGGGGTGGGGCGAGGAGGAGGGCGTCGGTGGGGGAGAGGGAGCAAGAGGGGACGTGAGGCAGCACCCGCGCAAGAAGCCACCAAAAAGCACAAGCCCAACCGGGAGCAGGACAGCTGGGGGGCAACCACGGCGAACACGTATATCCATGCGGCCCTGGATGCACTGCAGTCGCACAACCACACACACGCAGCCACCAGCACCAACCACAGCACGGCTGAAGCCACGGCGCTAGCAGCAAGCCGGCAGCACCTCCGCACGGCCCTGCAGTGCCTGAGCGCCCTGCGACCAGAGGGCGACGAACACACGGGAGGGGGGGAGGAGGACGACCCACGAAGGGAGGCAGTGGAGGAAGGGCAGGGGAGCAGCAGCAGCACTGGCGCGGGCCTGGCAATCCAGCAACTACCGGGGCCCCTCACGCACCACACAGAAGGGGGCGAACCGCCCATCCAACTAGCACCCACCACGGCACAACACACCCACGAAGGGACCGCCAACTTCGAAGAGGCCATCCGGCTGGCCATCCACGTGGGGCAGGGGTGGGAGCAGCTCACGCTGGAGGAGCGGGTACAAGACATAGGGGCCAAGGGCTGCTGAGGCAGGGAAGGAGGTGGCTCGGGGGGGTCAGAAGGACGAGCAGCTGGGAGTTGCAATCTATGGCAGAAGCGAAGGCGGGGGAAGCGGAACAAGAGCTGCTCATAGCGGCCAGCTACCCGGGGCATGGGCAAGCTTCGCACCACCTGCAACAAGCACAGTACCACATGGAAGCATGCCTGGGGGCGGAGGCGAGCGCGCTGGAAGTGCAGGAAGGGGCCGGGGGGGGCGGAGGGGTCGGGGGTGGTGCACCCGGCGGACACGCTAGGGCTGGCAGCGGGAGGGGTGGAAGCCACGGGAGGAGGAGGAGGGCTCCGAGCACGCCACATCCTGAGAGGGCTGCTGCCCTTCACACACGGGGAAATCCAGAGAGAGGTGGGAAAGGCGCTCCAGGCCATCGATGACTGGAGCACGCAGCTGTGGGGGGACGACACACCTGCAGGGGGGCCGGCGGAGGAGGAAGGGGGGGGAGGGTTGACGGAGATGGGGGAAGGCACGCGCCCACCGCAGCCACACCCACACCCACAGCACCAACCAAGGGGCAACCACCAACACCGCCAACACCAAAGCGCCGAGGGGCGAGAAGAGAACTACGATGGTGGAGAAGACGGAGCACTACTACATGATCGTGACAATGGCACTGAGGAGATTGCGGCAACCTGTGCAGGTGGGGAAACGAGGGTGGAGGGTGAAGGAGGAGGGGACACGACAGAGGCTGGGCAGGGGCCTGAGGCAGTGGTGCCATACCAGCAACAACACCACCACCACCACCAACAACACCTTCCCAGCGAGAGCTCCGGGGGGGCACACCACGAAAAAGGGGGGGCGCTGGCTGTGCAGGGGAACTTGCAAGCCACACAAGCCACGCAGCCCTGGACACCACCGCCACTGGGGCCTCTAGCCAGACTACAAGAACCGATGAGGCGAAGATGGGAGGCGCAGAGGGGGTGGGCAGCCAACAGGAGGAGGTCCAAAGAAAGGAGAAGGATGGGATTTGGGCAGCGCACGAGAAGATCCCGGAGTGAGGCACAACGGCGGCGACGCACAAGGGCGGCTGGGCCAATGGAACTGAGAGGAGATCCTGAGCACAGGCGTAGACGCGCGCATGCAGGCCTAGAGTGAAGTGAAGGGGGCCGGGCGTGAGCAAACAGGTAAGGCTACTGGGGGCGTTGTGAGGGGGGTTGCTTTTTGACTCTTTACCCGGGGGGCCTGCCTACGTGCACAGTCTCACACAGCATCCTGGGGGCTAAAGGGGGTGGTTTCGGATGGACCTTCTGGAGGTTTAGGTTCTTGGGGTTAGGTGTTGCATAGCCACCAGGGTGTCACAGCGTAGCCACCAGAGAAACCTCCATGACGGGCCAGTTGCAGCGCCTCGGAGGAGTTTCACCAGGGTCTCGGGGGCTAGGGGGAGGTTGCTTTCGGCAGGTTCATGGGGGCTTTAGGCTTTGAGCTGGGGGTTTGGAGGGGCCATCTGTTTGCGTAATTTTTGCGCGAGAGCCAATACACACAGGAAAGCTGCCCCGCACGCCTCGGGGGGACTTGTAGGGGGTTGCCTCAGGTGTAGCTCGGAGAGGTATGCATGGAGAGGCGTAGGAGGCGTGGGGGGCGGCCTCGACCGAGCCAGTCTCACATGTGTGTGCCAAGCCCGGATCGAAGAGAGTAGTGGGGCACGTGTGTGCTAGGTGGGTTAGGCAAGGAGTGTGATCTGGGGCTGGCAGAGTCACAGGTACAGCAGTGGCTGCTTTGAGTAGGCGCGAAAGGAGGTGAGGGAGCACAGCAGGGCCATATGGGGCAGCAGCAGGGCAGCGGGGGGGGGGGATTAGGGGCGCAAGGGTCCCGTGCTCGCTCTCCTCTCCTCCGAACAACCCGACCGGAGGCCCCCGAATACCGGGGCGGGCGAGAACGCCCGGGGGCTTGCCCCCATGCCCCCAAGAAAGAAAGAAAGAGAAGGGAGGGAGAGAAGAAGAAGAAGAAGAAGAAGAAGAAGAAGAAGAAGAAGAAGAAGAAGAAGAAGAAGAAGAAGAAGAAGAAGAAGAAGAAGAAGAAGAAGAAGAAGAAGAAGAAGAAGAAGAAGAAGAAGACGGCGAGAGCTGGAGTCCTCCCGAGCACTTTGGGCAAATGGGCAGGTGCCGGCAAGTCGAGTTCCTCCTCCGCCTGTGCAAGAGGAGACGGTGGTAAAGGCCCCCTTTTGCATCTGAGGAATTCTGAGCACCTATCCGAAGGCAGTGCTGTAACGCAAGCTTTGGCCCAGCGTCAGCGGCTGCTCAGGCGGCGTAACATGGCAAGCCTTTAGCAGGACGGCACTCGGACTTCCACGCAGCTGCCCCCCCCCCCTCCCCCCCAAAATGACTGCACACAACGTGTTGAACATCTCTTAGATGCAGGCAGGAGGGACTCCTTAGCACCCTTAGCCGATGCAGAACTTGATGGAAGACAGTCATGCCAGCCCGGAGCCATGGACCATCCTCTGCGCAAGAGATGTCGAAAGCCCAGAACGGAGGACGCAGGCCCAAGCACATGCCGTGCTAAAACAGGAGCCGGCAAAGCTCAGCCTACAATGGCTTACAATGGCTTCTCATGACGCAGGTGCCAGGCCCTTCTCGCGCTGCCATTGGATGCCACACTGGCACTGCCCCATCCCGGCGAGTTTGCACGGAATCGTCTCTGGAAAGGGCTCACTGCGGCAGACAGCAAGCTCGCAGCATCAGACTCAGTACTTGTTTGAGTTGAGGTTCCACGTGCAACTTTATGTGCAGCTATCTGCGGCTATTTGCAACTCCTCGTAGTTCTGCAGGCTCAGGCTCGCCACCGGCGGCGCCTGGCAGCGCGGGAAAACTGCTTTCCGCTGGGCCGGTTCGCAGAGCAGCAGGGCCTCGCTCGCGAAGGGTGCACGAGGCCACGACGCTAAGTTCTGAGACTTTCCGTGTCAGCAGCAGTTAGCTGGCAAGCATCAGAGTACTAGCAAAAGCAAGCAGGAGCAAGCAACAGCAAGCAGGGCAAAGCAGCAGTTGCAGTGGATTTGCTCCTGTCAGGGGAATCTGCTCGGCGACCAAGCTGCTGCCGTCCATTCTGAAGGATTGGAAGGTGCATCGCATTGAATGGGAAAGTTAATGCGTTGCCATGTAGGGTAAACACAGATATCGATAGGTGAATAGATACACAGGCAAGTCCCCGGTGTCTGATCAAACGACCCCCAAGAGATGAGCGGAGCCTCTAATCTGCCCCCATACGAGGACAACCGCGGCGACACGACGGGAAGCTGTGTTGTTCACACGTTTGAATTTTCTGAGCTTGTGGTGACAGAGCCTGGGAGATCTAGGACAAGCAAGTACGTGTTTGTTCGTGGACAACTTTTTCGGAGAAAAGGGGGAAAAGGCTCCAACTCTGTGGCGGATGGGGGTTCCGGAGTCGAAAGGGCAAGGCTCTTAACATCGGCGTTGCAGCTCGGTATGTCGCTCCTTGAAACGCAAACAGCTTCATTGCCAGCCCCCCCTGGCGCGAGAACTTGAGTCTGAGGGCATTCCAATGGGGTGCGGGCATCCAGAGTTCCGAGGATAAACGCTTTCAGATCTCTTAGTAGGCTTTTTGTGAAATCACTGATGCCTTTGCAGAGGTGTTGAGGGATAGTTTGCACAAGGTTGCACATGCCCAGGTGCTTCGCCGGGAGTGCGGGGCTGCAACCCCATGCATGCGGGAACTCCGCAACTGCCAAGAAGGTGTTGAGGAATTCCTGCGTCACGGCGAAGTTTGGAGTTATCACAAGTTGTTACGAGTGTCTGTGTCGCTTCAGTGCGGTTGGAGTGGGCAGCAATCGCATCACATCGCTTCCGAGATCTGACGCCACAATGGCCATCGCACGGCTGCTGCGCCTCTCTCCGGCAAAGATCCGGCAGCGTGTGCGCCAAGCAGTTGCTTGGCAAAGTTGTGGCGAAACTCAACTTCATGAGTTTGCCGCGTTTGCCGCATTTGCCGCATGCTGGAGCTTTCTTGGAGCTTCGCTCAAAGGTTCAGCGGGACTGGCAGGCTGGGAGCCCTTTGCGCCGAGGAACCCAGATTACCCCACAGGAACCCACAGGAACCAAAGGAGAAAATACAAGTGAAGAGAGAAAGTGGCAAAAAAGAAGCGAGCTTTTGGCAGGTGATGCGTCCGCAGCACCAGCTCCTCTTCGCGGCCACGGCGGCTCAGCGAGCACTGAGCCGGCCTCCTGCGCGGGGGTGCGAGGCGGCCCTGCGAGTCCTGCGAGGGCCCGGGCCGAGGCCGGCATGCCGCGACATGCTTCTGCAAAGCATCTGTATGCAAAGCATCTGTGGCATCTGTGGCGCTCCGCGGAGAGGCTTGCCTCCTCACGACCTCCGTCGGAAGATCTCCGCGAAGTGCTGCGGAGGGCGCCGGCCTCCAGCGAGCTCTACGGCCAAGGCACCCCCAAAGCTCGGAGCACGAAAGTCGCGGCCACCTACGTTTCTGCGCGGACCAGGCTCTGATGCCACGTTTTCGCACCCCTTCGTCAAGGCGTGGAAGCAATGTGGCGGGGCCGGGACCGGGGACTTGACAGCTCAATGGCTCAATGGGCTGTGGCAGGAGCTGCTTCGAGAAGCGCAGGCCCGAGTCTCCTGGGACAACTGGGTGATCTGTGTGCGCACCTACGCGAGGCGTGTGCTCCTTTCCCGAACTCCCACCGTGGAACCGGTCAGTCAACCGGATTTGGGAGATTCCGATGTGGGGTGGGCAGGCCCGAGAACCTGATGTCGCAGACGATGAAGCTCTTGCGCTGCGCTGGGCTCTTCGAGCTCCGGGACAGAGTCCACGTCGTGGCCCCCAGATCCTAAGACGCCCGCTGCAACCACCATCGCGTCTTCACGTCTCCCATGAAGAATTTCGTAGGGAGTGCCCTTCTTGTGAGGTTTTCTGCTCCCATGAAGACCCAGACTTCCTTTCGGGTCGCTATGAGGAGGTGTTGGGGCAGCTTCGAGACAGGACTGAAAATGCAACGATTTTCAATGGCTTGTGATGTGACACGCATGACACGGCTGGGACATCTTTGGGTTCTCGTTGAATGATGCTTGCGAGCAGCTTGCGAGGATCATTGTGGGCGTGAAAGGAGCTGACTTGCAGGTCCGCTTCATCGAGGAGTGCTTCCTCCCCGGCCAACATGCGATTACCTCAGAGAGAGCGAGAGAAAAGCTGAGAGAGAGTGAGAGCGAGCTTTTGCTTTTGTCACTCCTCGATAACAGACACGCACACGCACACCCCTCTCTCTCTCTCTCCCTTCTCTGAGGTGGTGGTGATGGATGACAACTTGCTCCGCTTCGTGCGCCACGAGGCCGGGGAGGAGCTGCCCGGGGACCTCGTGGCCACTATCGACGGCGCCGCCGCGGCGCTGCACCGCTTCCGAGCCAACCTCTGGGGCGCCTCTCCCCAAAAACAAGATGATAAGATGAATATATCTTGAACAAGTTGACCTCTCAAAAAAGACCGAATTCTCAGAGGCATCTCGCCGACCAGCAACAAGACCTTTCTCAAGGTTCCGCGTGGAGATGCGTGGAGCCAGTCGTTCAGCTCAGCTCGGCTGTCAGATTTTTGTCTGCCAGGAGGCGCCGGAGATCAGCACCAATCTGGGCCTGGTCTATGGCGCCTTCTTTGGCTTTCGAGTCCTCCATGACCCGGAGCTCTACACCCGCTTCGGCCAGGTGAAGGACAGGTGTGTGAGAATCCGCCAGGTGCCATCACAAAGAAGCTCAAGTCCGAAGCCCTCTAACAGGATGATTTGGAACGCACTCTACGCTACTGGCATCGAGATGGTGTTCTCGTGAGATTCCGGCGAATGTCCTGCACAAAGGCTCAAAGACCTGGTGTGCCTGGGCATGAATAGCGCGAGCTCCAATCGCATCTCATGCTTGCGTGTGAGAGTGTGTGTGTGTGTGTGTGTGTGTGTGTGACTGTGTGTGACTGTGTGTGACTGTGTGTGACTGTGTGTGACTGTGTGTGACTGTGTGTGACTGTGTGTGTGACTGTGTGTGTGTGTGTAAGTTCGAGTTGGAGTACCAAGGTTTATTCGAGCAAGAAGGGCGGCATTTCTGCGAGTGTCGGGGCATACGGCCACAAGCAGCAGGGGGACTTCGCACTTGCACGCCTGTCTAAAGGCCGCTTGATCTCTCTTTGTTCCAAAATAGTCTAAATATTGTTTGTTATGTACTGCGGCCTGCTAGACCCGAAGATCATGATTGGAACCTAAAGCTTCCAGTGTCGGTGCAGACGTGACTTCTGTCGGTAGAATGGTAGAGAGTGCCTGGCGTTTGAGCCTTTGCAACATTTCGCTCCCCATCAAGGAGATACAATCCCCCGAGAAACAAATGCTTTTCATCTGCATGTTGGCAGAACTGCTCGTGAAAGTATTCCGCCCTGAGGGTGAGCACGAGGTGATTGATTTCAAGTGCGTGAAATATCCTGAGCGAACATTTGAACATATGAAAGCAGAAGCCAAAACCGTGTGTGTTTCCTGGTCACCAAACCTGTGAAGTCGCTACGTGCACTTTCCTTCTTTTGGCACGATTTCGCCGCGAGGCTTTTCGCAGTACATCCGCTTGCCCTCTTGCGAATTCGATCAGAAGAGGGACCCGACTACAGGAGAGAGCAACATAGGCAGCCCACACAGGGAAGGATTCCACAAAAAGCATGATACGCTACGTGCCTGCCAGGACAACTTCTGTTTCTCTCGAGCAAGAAGCCCCGCTGGAAGGAGGGGTCTCATGTCGCAGATGCTTGTCCGAGGGGTCTTTGACGTTGTTTCTCGTCCCTGTTCGGGGGGAGAGGGGAAATAGGATGCCACAGACTGCACCGAAAGTTTCAGGTCACACAGTTCACCACCATGCCATATCGGATCTGCGGGAGTCACGTGGGGAGCAAGCTGCAATTGCAAGCTTTTGCCTTACCCCGTCTAACCTTGTCGGAGCCCAAATGCAAAATTGCACGCTGTCTTTGCAGTTCGCTAAGCAACCACTTCCAAGAACGATCCGAGGCCGGAGGGGGCACCTTGTGCACCTCTCAAACTTCTCAAACTTCTCAAACCTGGGGGAGATTGATTTTTTACTCATGTGACTAGGACACATTTGCTGTGTAACGCCGCGTGAAGAGGAGGGTGACAGCACAGGAAGGTTCCTGCCACACAGCCCCGAGTGCAACCGTTACCCTTACCGTAGGTTTCCCAAAATCGTACATGCTGTGCTTACTCAGTTCCCCCACAAGAACAACAGGGCTCAGGTAGCCACCAACACGCCACCACCTGAGAGAGCCTGGCCTAAAACCCCGAACCATTTAGCTATCGACCCCGAGCTTGTTTCCACGTTGGGGAGAGGGACAAACACCTCGGACCTCGGCTCGACAGGGCCTTAATGATGGGGAGTCAGGGGTTCCCACAAACTCCCTAGCACACAGCGCCGCACTGGTGGCGTGTCACCGTAGGTGTGTGAGTGTTGTGATGTGTTGTGTGAGATGACAGCCAAGGACTGTGGCGTAGTTTGGATTCGAAGGAAGAGTCCATTGCTGAACTCTGGGCCTTGGGCATCGGCCCCTGCAGGCTGGCAACCTTGCATAGCCTTGCTCTGGCCTCTTTTGAGCACAGGAACGTCGACAGAAGTGAATGAACTCATATCTTTTGGCAGAAGTGCTGGCTAACTTATGTTCAGGCAGATCGCTGAGCGCCGGCTTCTGCTGCAAGCCATGCCGTGGAGAAGCAGACGGCCAATGCACTAAATGCAGCTGCATTTCACCAGTCCAGGAGGACATTGCAATATGTTGCAATCTGCGTTGTCCAATTGAAGGGCGTGAACAGACAGACAGTAGCAGCAATGCGCAGCACAGTGTCAGTACAGTGTGACACAGGAAGCCCGGCAGATGCTGGGCTGCAGGAGAAAAGCGACATTTATGAGTGAGGACCCTTTCGGGATCTCTTTGAGAGGCATTTGGAGCCACTGAGGCTTTTCTTTGCTGAGGGCCTGGAGGCTGTCCGGGCGCTTGCGAGGCTCGGGAGAGATCACCTTCGCGTCTCTTCCCTGCGAGTGCTCTTAATCTAGGCTTTTGGGCAAGCCGAACAACGAGAAGCGCGCAACTCGTGCGCTGGAGCGCGAGTGGCCAGTGACTGAGCAAGTTGGACATCCGCAATGTTCCGGACGTGTTCGCACTTTCGTAGCGCCGTCCTCCGAGTCTCCTCCGCAATTCCTCTGCAAGTTGTTTGGGTTGAGGCACCGGCTTCCTCCGCGGCAGCGAGGGAATATGGAGGTGCACGTGTGCCACAGCGTGCCATGGAACTTGCACGAGAAGAGTGGAGCATTGCTCGACATCTGCTTAAACATCCCTGCCGCCCATAGTGTCATGTCGCGCCATGGCGAGCGAAGTCACGACACCGTCTTGTCACGCGGGAACGCGTCAAGTTGCGACACCACGTGCGAAGTCGAGCCATAAGCACAGTCGCGAAGCGAGTTCGCGAGTGCGCACGCGGTCCGCGGCAGATGCTGGACAAACTTCTGAAACTAGGATTTTTATTGTCATGTGCAGGAGTTCTCCCGAAAGAACTCCTGTCCGAAAACCCTAAAAACTCTGCCAGCTTGACAGCTGAAACCATGTGCATGTGCTTTCAGGTGCAAGACAGTAGCCTTCACGCAAAGATGCAGCTTCGAGTGAGTTGAGGACACCTGTTCCCTTTCCCGCAGCGTGCACACACAGAAATACAACATCATCAATTCATGGTAGGTCTATGGGTTTATGCTGCATGCTTCTTACCAGTAAAGCTTGGGGCGAATCAAAACACGTGAAGAGGACGAGGGACTGAACAGAAGCAGGAACAGAAAAAACATGTCGCGGACTTCCTTCGAAAACAAGAACAGCAAACACATTTCACAGACTTGTTTCTCGGGCGGGGTGAGAGTGGGGGGCAACTCCCGTCAGCTGGAGGCGCTTGCAGCACGGGACTTCGAGCAGAAGCAGTGGTGCGTGCTGTGCCCCCAGGCCCAGGCCTGGGGATGTTTTTCTTTGGTTGCTTTTGAATTTTTCCTTTCCTTTGTCCCTCTGCTCTACAGCTTTACATTGTAATTGTAGCTAGTGTTTTCGAGCTGTCAGGGACAAGGGACAGCCATTCTCAGGATACCCTGAACAGCGCAGCGCCGGACGCCTCGGATGCCATCTTAACCACAAGGAGACTCCGCCCGGAACACAGGGGGCGTGACGTGGTGACGTGGTGACGTGGTGACGTGGTGTGACATGGTGTGACGATATGTGCCGTGTGCCTCTCTGTGGTTTGAAGTCATTTGCCAGGACTTCGCAACCAAAGCGTCGTTGCCAAGTCCACCGACCTCCCAAGAGAGCTGCCCGTCTTCAGCCATGTTGAAGCATCAATGGCTTGTGCTTGTGATGCATGTTCTTCCTCGCTCTTCACGGTCGGAGCTCAGGCACGCAACGGGGAGTGGCCAGAATCTGCAAAACAGAGAAAAAGAGATAGCAATATTGGATGCTCCTTGTGAGTCGTCCGACACAGCCCGAGAACAGACCGCAGGCCGTGCTGGCCGCGAACGCGGCAAGATCACTTAAGGGAGAGCCGGATAAGGACGGCGGACCCTTGAACGGCGGACTTAGCTGCACTCGGTTGCCTCCGGAGTCTCGGAGTCTCGACCCCAGGAGAGTCTGCGCGAGGAAGCCGAGGAGGCGGCTAAGGCAGCTCGCGCTGAGTACTACAGCAGGGCTCTGCAGCTGTGCGCCTGCTGCCCGGGCAAGGACCTGCCATGCATGGGTTGAAATAAACGACAGGATTCCGTCATACTCCGTTAGCCATGCATCCGACATCTTCCATTACCGAATAGAATCGCAGGAGAAAGACGGGCTTGCGTGGATGGAGGAAATGCAGGACAGCATTTGCCAAGCCCTCTGCGTTCCGAACATGTTGGAAAGGGGATGAAAGCGCTTAGGAGGACAAGCTGCCGATCAGCATTGCTGATTACTTAGCAGCCCTGCAGGCATGCGAGGCCAGGAGCTGTCTCCGAGCACGCGCCAGCTTTGTATTTCTCAATGTTAAAATGAGCAGTATAATGCATAGCAACATGCAGCAGCATGTAGCAACACGCATGGAAACCACACGTGGGAGCGTCTTGACCTTCCAGGCTTGTGACGAGTCGCTGTTGCGGGCATTCACCTTTCTCACCGACATGCGCAAAAGCAGCTAGCAGCCCGGAGTGGACTGCGGGTACGTTGGTACATGCCCTTTATTGCCCTTTACTTTCTGTCCTTTGCGTGCCATGCATGCCATCCCACCCTGTGCTATGAGACAGGTCTTTTCCTGGACGCCCCGCTGGAGTCTGCACTCGAGGAAGAGCACGAGGTTGGAGACTGCCGTCATCTGCCGTCATCTGCCGTCATCTGCCGTCATCTAAGGTCATCTAAGGTCATCTACGGTCATCTACTGTCATCTACCATCTAGAGCTTTGATGTTGTGGAGACATGTGGAGACCTCCATGCTTCAGCCCTGCATCAGGGCGCCACGTGGCTGCGCCACAGATTGGGGGAGGACGTGTGCTGCCATTGAACACTGGAGTCGAGCATGCCAAGCTTGATACTGTTAGACCTCTCCAAACTGTTCGGCCTCAAAGGAACCAAGCCGTACCAGAATGTATATCCTATGTGGTACCTCGACCTTGCAAGCCCATGTTTCGGACTCCTCACCGCGCTCGGTGTGAGGTGCTCTCAAGGCTGCAGGGAGCAAGCCTTTGCCGTAAGGCCGTAGGGACAATGCCTTCGGGCGCCCGTCCTGATTACGTGCGCTGTGGCAGCGGCCTGCCGTGGAGTGCAGCCGCAATGGAAGATGAATTCTGCACCCTGCCGAAGTTCTGAGTTCGAAGGGCAGACCTCTTACAATAAACGCTCGCCAAAGAAAGAGCACGGCTGCAGCCAGCAGTAGCTCCGCTGGGCACGTGGCATGGAATCTCAAGCTTTCCTGTGGTATGTTCTGGGCCCTGCGCTTTGTCAAGTTCGTTTCTGGCTCGGGCGGAACTGATGGGTGGGGTCTTGGGCTCTTTCTGTGATTTCTTTCATAGCTCCCTTTCATTCAGTGGGCCGCAGTCTCCCGCTCCGCGGCTCCCTTGGGTCGGGTGGGTTCTGTTTGGGGCGTTCGCGAAGTTTCACATTTTATGCCACTCTAATCTCTGGACCCTGCGAAGGAAGCAAGAAACGCCCTTCTTGCAGCGATGTAGCACAAGCGAAGACAGTGCTGTTTACAAACAGGCAAGAATTGCGAAGCCGAGAAAAGCACATCTGTTCACATCTGCTCCTTGAGAAGCACAAATCGGCTGAGCCTATGAGGACGTGTGGGAAGCCTTGGAGCGCCATGCGGACTCTTGGCTCCTTCGCCTCACTCAGACTGCGGCGGCATGCCCGCCGTATCAACGGCTGGGGCCTCGTGTGTGTGCTTTGACCTCTGCAGCGTGTCGCTGCTTGGAGTCAGGTCGAGGGCCGCGGTCCTGCGTTTGGGAAGCCTCCTCCGAAGAGGGAGACGGCGGCCAGAGTTCGACGTGGTGGTGCGCCAGTGGGTGCCGCAGCTGCACCCCTCGGCAGACTCATCCAATGCAGAAAGACGCCTAACCTCTCGCCACCTGAAATATACAGGTTCGCAGGCCCGAAAACAACAAACTGGGAAAGTGCGTGATTCGTGTGATATTGTCGGGCAAGGATTCTGCAGAGCTATAGTTGCCGTTCAGCCAACAGAAGCCCGTTTTGGCCGCAGCTAGCAGCTTCCGAAGGCATGGCATTTACTCATCCGTCGCCCTGGCGGCCAAATAAGTATGTTTAGGCTGCAATCGCCTTCCGCTGGAAGCGAGGTACTTCCCGGAAGCAAGGAGTGATATGAAGGCATCCACCACCAGGATGCGCCACTCGGAGTTCAACGATGCCGAGACTAGTGACTAGTGTATTGGCGACAGTTCTCGGTCTGACTGAGCAACAATGCAGAGGGCCGGACGTAAATCGGGCACGACGTTGCACCAGACTTGTAAACCAGAGGATGATGAGTCCATCAACCAAGAGCGAAGAGACCCTAATCGAACGCAGAGACAAAATTGATACGCTGGCTGCGATAAACGCACGGCTTGGACACAGAGGCCAACTCTGACATCTCTCGGTCGAACCGTTAGTCTTAGACTTTACCTCGATGAATTTACCAAAATTGTACCTGACCCCCCATGATCATGCATTGGATACCTGGGGCCTCTATTGGGTGGTGGTGAGAGACCCACTCGTGCAGTTATCCTGGGGTTATCCGATTTTTGGCCGCTTCCAGACAACTTCCAAGCCGGCAGCATCGGGGAAGTCGTTGTTGGGGAAGGGTCGAGTCTGCGATGGCATCCTTTTGGCCCTCATCGCCGCCTCTGATCCTTGCGCAAAATTGGTACGGGCCATTGTAAAACGGCGCCCGAAAGGCAAGCATGCCAAAGACCCCACTCAAAGCTGCTCATGGTCTTGGACGTCGTTGATATGCTTTTATGCGCATGTTAACAGGATAGCAAAGGACCACGAGTATAGCATCGAGCTGGAGCTTTTGCCCGCTTTGTAAGGTGCAGCCGCTTCTCGAGGCGTTGGACTCGGTGGACTCGGACTCGGAGAACGAAGCCGCGATGCTCAAGCTCCGCGAGACCACGGACCTGGGTGCATTCGCCGCCGATGCCCTCAGGCATGGAGAGGCTCCGTGCTGCAATGTAACAAGCTTGTGATATGGGTAATTTGTGTTAGGCATCTCGGCATCACTGTTAGCTCCTGCCTGAGCTCCTGCCACAGATGCCGTACCATGACACTCATCACAGATTCATCAGATGGACTAAGGCGACGCTGACAGCTGGCACGAGCCTCTTTTGTTGTGAGTAGGTCAGCTCACGCTTGCTGTCGCTTGCACGAAGTTGCATCTGTGTGGCGGGTCCCCGGGGAGAGATAAATGCCAACCGCGCCCAGGCCGGCAGAGGCAGCCCGGCAGCTTCGCCGGCAGGCAGAGGGCCGGCAGAGGGCTCTTACGAGAGTTCCACGTGTACAGCCGGGTGCAGCATAGTGCGGTGCTATCATCAGATTGGAGCCAGGCCATGCTGAACAAGTGGTCACAATGGTCCAATGCTTCCCCACAAGGTGCGAGCGCGACAGCTGGAAAACGAACCCCATTCTCGCTACTTCAGCGAAATCCGCAAACCAAATTCGTAGGGCCTGAGAGCCAAAGTGTTGGGCAGATGGCGAACACAGGGGACGCGCAGTGCAGGCCCTGGTGCCCTGGCCTGGTTGGCCTATGACTTGACGGTCCAGGCAACGAGACAATGAGGGCTCATAAGGGCTCGTCGCTGCTCATGTATGACATTGTACAAGTTCTTCAAGTTCTTCCCGTTTCCGTTCTTGACTGCTCGCATCAACAGCTGCAATTGCAGTCTGGCCGCCTCTACTCTGATGGTGAGGTGTACCGTTTGGGCCTGGGTTCTCACTGACAGACTCGACGACACGACAGACACAGACGCTGACGCTGACATGAGGCCGTGGCTGCGGTGCCTCACGGGCCTTGAAGCCCCTGGATCGGAGCTCGGAAGCTGAGATTGGAGATGCCACCTAAGCCCTAAGCCACCTAAGCCTGCACGGGCCAGTGCTCACGACACCGCTGTAAAGGACGAGGGGAGCGCGGGCCTCGCCGAGCGCTGCGGGCTGCGGGGAGCCCCAGGGTGGAACGACCCGATGTGCAAAGCGCCGTCGTGTGCTCTCATGCTTTCACCATTGGTGCTTCTCACACCCCAGGCTTGCTCTTGCAGAGCGCCTACTTGGAGGATCTTCAGGAGATCTTGTGGAGGTGCATGGAGTGGGAGCCCCAAGAGGCTACCTTGAATGGCCAGCACTGGAGGCTTCTAGCTGGCACGCGACATCCAGTCTGCATGTCAAGGTGGTGCTGCTCTACACCCCGTCCCCTCCTGTGACGGCAAGCATCTTCGCTGCCAAGCAGTTCTTGAAGCCCGGTGCCCGGTGCACTGCGATGCACTGCGATGCACTGCGATGCACTGCGGCCCACGGCACCGCACCGCAAACATTTTCGAATTCTGCAGCAAAGGCTTTTCCCCTGGATCGAGATGAGGGTGGCGTTTGGCGATGCCGTGGATCTAAGCGGCGAGGGTCCAAGCTTTGGTTTCGTGCCCTGTGCTGCAGTGCCCTGCTTTCCCTAACGCCTCTCCAAGGCCCCAGTCGCCCTGTTCTGAAGATTGGGGAGATGCCACTTGCTTAGTCTTGGCGATGCAGGCGACCAGTCTACCAACTCTTATCAGTGCAGATTGACGACACTCGGGCTTCGAGGTCCTCGGGCAAAGTTCAAGCTTCGGAGCAGGCCCCCATTACATCATTTCATATCATTTCATCACCTGTGACAGGGGTTTTGGCAGCACTGACGCATCACAGATGCATCACAGCGGCCAGGTGAACGGCAAGGCTGCCACGAATGGGCACGCTCTAAACGGTTGGAAGCTCATGTCACACGTGTAACTTCCCTGTGCTCTCTTAGATCGTAGCGGCGCAGGATGGCGCAGGGGAAGGCAGGAAGCACCAGCGGTCATGTGGTCGTGCTGAGGCATGCAGGCCGTGACGGGGCGAAGTGTCTAATGTCTGCGGCTTTGTGCTGCAAAAAGAGGCCGTGCAACAGTGCAACAGTGTACATGCCTGCTGTGACCTTTGCGACTTTTGTACAACGCATGCTCCCGCTGCTTCGCATACCTTTCCTGCAGGACTATGTAGCGATCCAAGCAAGCTACAGAGAAATGCAGATGTAGGCCCTTGATGGCGACAGATGGCAAAGTGGATGAAGCCGCTACGTGCTTTCACTGGATTGTTCAGGAGGGGTGAGCGTCAGCAGGCGGGGTTTGCTTTCTAGCTCGCATAAGCTGTGCATAAGCAGTGCGGAAGGTATTCTGGGTTAGACTCGCTTTGACGTGCTTTCCTCGCACATGTTGCACCGTTCGGCGGTGTTGTGGTACTTGTATCCACACCTTAAGCCGTACGGCTTCAAGCATCATGCCACCTGTCTTTAGATTCTGCGTGCTGGTAGGCCGATTCAGTGAACCCCTGAAGGCCGAAGCAGATCAGCGGAAGTCATCATTGAAGAAGGTCGACAGAAGTTCCAAGGACGCTAGCAGGACAGCAGATCGTGTCGATCGTACTGTGATGCGGTCGCATGAGCTACGTTAGGCCTGTCTGCGATGCGGCTGGAGAAGACTGGAAATACGTTTGCGAAGAACTTGTAAACACCTGGCTTGTGTCCTGCTCGCACAACAACCTTTCAGCTCACGTCGCAGCTCGCCTCGAGGAGCAGCCAACGTTTGCGCTTTGCCACGGAGGACCCTCAGCCGGCGCGAGTCGCCGGAGACAAGGGTCCGAAGGAGTCGAGGATGCCGCGATGCGTGAAGGATGCAACGAAGGATGCGAAAGAGGAGCGGGCATTCTGCGCATTCTGCAACCGTCTTGAGTTGGGCAGCTCCTTACACTTGAGTTTGTAGGTCACTTCAACTGTCAACGATTATCAACGTAGAAGTGCCTCAGCCCAAAATCTTTCTGATACTGCGGGCCCTCACAACGATGCACAAGACAAGAACAGACTCCGACAAAGCCAGCCTTCATTATGCTTGAACAGTAGTTACATGGTTTTGTGCCCCCTGCATGCCTGAGGATTCCGCTTTGGAAGGTTTTGGTGGGCCCATCAAGGCGAAGCCGATGCAGACAGCACACAGTCAGGCTGATGAGTGTCTAAGCTGATAGTCAGTGCAGGATGCCAGCGATTTCGACTTTCGGGCATGGAGTCTGCAAAATGTAAGACGAAGATGACATACTTAGCAAGTCAGTTTTGGCCTGTTACAGTAGGTAGATGGGTTTGTGTTTTGCTGCGATAATTATACTCCGGGTCCCTGTTCAGAGCGTATTGAGGCTGAGCTGCCACGCCACTGCTGCCTACATGTCCGTCACTGGATAGGTCAATGGGAAGGTGCTCCAGCTCCATGTCTTGTCTACAGATATCAGAGATTTTTGGTTTTCTTGTGTATGGAATGTAGTTCAGCTGCAGTCTTGGTGAGTCGTTCAGGAGCTGCACTTGGTTTGCCGATTGCGCTTTTCCTTGACAGTGGTGGGGTGCCAATCCTATGCAGTCTCCGCAAAGCGGACGATGCCCTGTGGAGCTCATCGCTCCAGTCAAGTGTCTAAAGTTTCCACAGAGGTCGCTTCAAGTGGGCGAGGGTGCCTGAGAGCTTTTGAAGTCGAGCTCAGAGCAACTTAGCTCATCGCACATCATTGTGGGCGCAAGTTGTACAGTTTGCCAACACAAATACTGGGCTTAAGGACTGGACACCATTTGAACCGCCAGCGGTACTGCAGTTGAATCAAAGTCATATGTGGCGACATCAGGCTTCCAAGACGTACTGACCTTATTTGACGTTTGCGGCTGTCCAGTTCCACTCATCCCCTGCGGGCAGCTGGACTTTGCATCTGACAGTAGCTCGCCTCTGCTGTCAGCAGTGCGACATGTGCGACTCGCTGACATCTGACAACCCTGCCAGCTCGTGCTGCGGGTGCCTGATGGAAGCCTCTGCACATCGCACTCCGAACATGAAGTACGGAGACATGCATGCGTTGATACATAGAGGGGGGCTTGCCAGAGTTCGGTTCTGTCTCTGAGGATGGGGTGCACCACTGCGTCAGCTGCGGTTCATATTAATAGATGGGGTAGAAAGTCACATTTCTAAGAGCCATGACAGATTGCCCGCGACGTGGAAAAACAAAGTTGCCTGTTGTGGCGGGGTAGATTGCGAGCCAAGTTTCGCACACGTGCTGGTTGCGTCGCGCGGTTGGTGGCAACTCGAGCTGCTTCGTTGCTTGCATACTGCAGTCACAGAGCCTTGATGTAGTGTCGGGTGCGGGATCACCTTCTTCTTTCCAAGAGAGTCCCAGTTCAATTGCAGCCAGGCAGGCCGCAGACAACATGGGTAACATGAGACAATAGTTTCCCCAGAATGCTTTTGAGATGTGTGCTCTCGTTGCTTGAGCTCTCTTCGGTGCCTTTTGGCATTTTGCCAGCTCTCCCTTGATACTTGTGCAGTTTGCCTCATGGCACAATGTGTGCCAGTTCTTGGTATCCTGTTGTCACGGGGTTGGCATCGACTGCAATCCGAGTCCAGGGTGTATCGCGAGGGGCATGAGGAGGAAGCTCTGGATGCAGTGCACGACCGCGATCATCAAAAACTGCTTGCCCCGACCTCCTGCTAGACCTCGTTCGTTTGAGAAGTTTCTTCTGTTTCTTGCATGTTGCAATGCGGGCTGCGAACCAGCGCGTAAACCTTGATTGACCCCCGACTGTGGCACATCCGGAGTTGCATCCGATTAATTTGCAGCTAATCGGGACCGTGTGAAAGTGTGACGGCACACATCAAAGACTTCGCTACAGCGAGAAAGAATGTGACGCCAGGCTGTTCTTAGGTTTCTCCTTCTTCGACGTCAGCAGTAGGAGCTCCTTCCTTGCCTTGCTCACGTCCCGCACGGGTAACATGGGTGTATCTCGGAGAGCTGATGTGCCTTGCAATTAGTGATATTTAGTGAGGGTTACGGATACTTTGGGCAGCTTGGACACGTGTCACGCAGTGTGGAATCCGCAGGTGCCATGGAGACCCTTGCCTTCGGCACCCTCAACAGCCTGTGACTTGGCCGCGTTGGCCAAGACGTCGTTCCACATCCTTTCCGCCAGTCATAGGCGCCATGGCCTTGCCGCACCACACATCCGTGGTGCACAAAAGTACCAAGGCACACTCTCGGCGTGGGAGTTGCATGCGCTGCCTTTGTGACGAGTGAGTTGTGCTTGGCTTAGCATTGCATCGCATTGCATCGTCCCCGCAGAAACGGTTCAGCCACCATGGCATCGGTTTGCTGCAAACCAGACTGGTTCCCAGGCAAAGACGGTTTGAGTTGACCAACGTCAATGTGAAAGCGCAGCCCAGAAGCAGATGTTCCGATAAAGTCACCAATGTTTGACTAAGATAGTGTGAGGCAATCCGTGCGGATACTTTGCCGAAGCTTGCCGGAAACCTGCGCCTTGGTGACTACGTTGTTGGTGGCCTTGGCGCTGCGGCTCTTCTCAAACCCTGACAGAAATGTGTCAATGACCAATCCAGCAGAGATTCAAGTTTGGGCCCCTGAGCTGCACAGAGTACAGCATCGCTGTGCAATGTCAACATGCCGAGCACGGAAGAGTCAAGACTCCAGAGACAGAAACGGCACAGGAGCAGATCAAGCAGGAATGGCCCGTTCTGATGGGTGCCGATACTTTGCTGGCCGTGCAGGCAATGCTCAGGCTGGGACTGCGAGACGGCTCTGTGGGCTCCTGTGGGGACCGTGGCAGCGCTTCCCAGGCTCTTGGTTTGGGTGATGGTCGTGTTCCGCACATCCCAGTGTACAACCGGATCCGCTTTGTCAGGACCCTCAGCTCTCAATCCAAGATGCCTTGATGCAGCTTTGACTCGCGATCTGCTAAGGGGGAGGGGCATCTTCTTCCAAAAAGAACTCAAGGTCCTCAAGGTTTTGTGTAGTTCGGTCAGTGACTGGTCTAGTCGGCCCGCCGTGCCGGACTGCCTGGACTGAATGTAGAAGCTGTGATAAGTGAAGAGGCAGTTTGGTGAGGCCGATGAAGCTGTGACCCTGAGGGCGGTTTTACCTGGCACCTGCTACTTGTCAGAGTGAGAGAGAGAGAGAGAGAGAGTAGTTCAAAACCATGGTATCGACCCGGGGTCATCCTGGGTCCGCACTCTTGATCGCCGCGAAGCTCGAAGAAGCGCCAGCTGTGCGCCAAAGGCTGGCGGTCGAGATCAGTGCAGCTGATCAACATGCGTCACATGCCTGCTGCTTCTTGTCCAGCTATGCCAACTTCATGGTGAGCTTGTCGCAGCGTTCTGTTGCCCCACCCACGAGCTCCCAACGGCTCGCGCACCGTTGGCCGGGTGCGGGGCGTGCTGCATGGGGGTGAGTGTCGGCTGAGACAGACGGGTGACATTGTCTACGTGCAGACAGGGCACCTGCGCTCTTGCACGCGGACATTGTGCATGTGTTGGTTGGGTATAGTGTTTCTAGGAACTTCTAGATCACTGGTTTAGGATTCGTCGCGCATCTGGAGTCTCCCGCTCTCAACCCGAGATCCCTTGAGGCCAACGTGCCAACGTGCCTGGTGCTGAGGCATATGACAGTGGGGCGATGGGCTAATGCGCTCACTGGGGGATTCTTTCAGCACTTGGCGGCGGGGTGTGTCCCCACCGTTCTTTGTGCAGACCTGCAGTGCCAGAAGGGAAGGCCTCCCAGCATTCGGTCTTGCTTCCGCAGTAGAGGTCTGTTCTGAAGCTGCCTCCCGGGGTCCTTGGGACACTCAGACTCCGGAGAGAAGTGAGCTTCGTGACTTTTGCAGAAGCCGCCTTGTGAAGCGCCCACCTTAAACAGGTGTGTTATCTGCAGGAGTGCTCTCGTATTCCCATCTCTTCACAGCACGCGCCACTTCCTTTTTGCCGCTGTGCTTTTTCCATGCAAAGCTTCGGAAACAGGAAAACTCGCTGAGTCAAATGTAAGACGAAGTCCCGGAGGAGCGCCGGGGACACTGTTCTTGGCCGCAGCTGGCGCCCGCAGCCTTCTCGCAGCACAGACGGCGGCCTACGGCAGCTTGCCCCAGACGAGTGCGAATTCATATTTGCTGTATTTGCTATATTTGCTTTATTTGCTATATTTGCTATATTTGTTTGAGTACCTCAGTCCCGGACAAGGTCTGGATGGGCCTTTGGGTGGTTCTTTTGCCGTGTTTTGCGAGGCCCTGAAGCGTCCGCATGAACAGCATCAGAACAGACAGCATGAACAGCATGAACAGTGCATGCGAGGTGCATGAGAGGCTTTTTATTCTTGGAAAGTTTCGTTTGCAGGTGGCCTCGGCAGCGTGGCTGGCAGCCATGTGTTCCAAGATCGGCTCAGGCACGACGATGTTACGAGATGCCACGAACACGTTGCTTTGCACCCCTCCAGGTTCTGTATGCTCGGGGGCTGCCTTCGCAATGGCAGCTTGGGCAGCGTCGCGCCACTACCTGAACCTGTCAGGGGCCGAACCCGGTGGCGACTACTCCCATGACAAGCTGCTTCGCCACGCACATAAGTCTTGCCGTATTGCTGTTTTGAAGCGATAAGCCAGTAGCAGCAGCCGCATTTAGGCCCGGCCCCCCCCTCCCTGTCTCAATATTGGTCTCGCGACTTGACCCAGTGGATGCCTCTTACGACGCCTTACACCTTTACATACCTTGACGATGCTTTCTTTGCAAGGCTTTTCATCCTTGCGCACTGCCTGGAGTTCTTTGGGTCCATTGCGCTCCTGGCGCAATCTGTGCGGTGTGTTGCGGGAGAGTCTGAGAACCAGGGCCGAACCCTGAATCCACGCAGGTGGGGCATCTCAAATCCACCGTTCTTGAGCCAAAAAGTTCTGCAGACGTCAAGGTGTGAGCATGTTTTCAGTTGAGTTGCAGGGCTTCGTGGGATGGCTTCGTGTACTTGGTGCTTGCCATCCAGCAAGCCTTGCCTGCATACTACTTCCTGACAGCCTTCGCGCCATCGCAAAGTCTTGTGGGCCAGGATCCCTAGAAGTCCTCCGATTCTTGCAGATTCTTGCAGGTGCTTCCTATCGCTACTCCGATATTCCTGCAGTCGCTGAGGTGAAGGTCGACCGTTCTGCCTGCTGATCATGGCGAACTTGCTCCAACTAGCTTTCCTGCTTTGTGCCTTGGCGTTCTACGTGGCTGGCCTGCTCGGAACCTCGTCCACAGGAGACGAGGGAGAAGGTCAGATACGCGCCCAGGTCACCCGGATTCGTGTGTGAGCACATCTGCGCCGTAGCTCTGCAACTTGCCTCGGGCAAAGTTGCTCCTGTCGCTGAATCATCTGCATGCCAACCGAAAAAGGCGGTCCTTCGGAGGCGTCGCCAGCGTAGAGTTCAGTGTTTTAGCAGGCTCGCCTTGGTGAGTTGAGGTCAAGTTGAGAGCCTTCTCGGCTACAGCAGATGAGTTCACTTGCAGAGCGATAGTACTCCATGGTAAGAATAGTACTCCTCCCAGAGCCTGATGCAATCTAAGCAGTTCACTTTGCACCGCCCTCAGGAGTGGAGAGGTACAGCCCGGGGAGTTGCAGACTTCTTGTTTTTTCAAACAGACAACTAGCAGTAACTAGCCTCTCAGTGTTAGACCTGAGCAGCGATTCGAACCTCGCATGAGCTCCGCATTAACTCTGTTTTTCGAAGTCCTGTTCGAGTGTTTGGAGAGTGGAGATGCAGTGAAATGCAGTGAGCCATGGGTGCTTCGTTGCTGGATGAGCGCACAACATGGGCTGAGTTCGGATCGGGCCCCGGGACAAAGGGCTCCGGAGTCTGAGAGTCTGAGCTGTCACCGCGTCACCCAGATTCGTGTTCAAGACTCCAAGCCCCACTTTTGGCAGGGAGAAGGGTTCCTTAAAGCAACATAAACAACCGACTGACAGGCAGAGGTTTGAGTCTTGTGACATCCCATCGCCCTTCCTGCGACCTAAAAGCTGCCAATGACAGTGTGTGAGGCAAACACCACCTAGACCGACGCCTCACGAAGGTGCAATTGCTGCTGTGTTGGTATACTGTGCCATGAGTGTGAAGCTGCGGACGTCTTCAGCTTTCTCGACATGAGGCGTTAACAGACACTCTGCAGTTGCAGCGGCCAACGCAGCGGCCCAAGCGTGGACAAGCCTGCGCAACGCTTCAACGTGAGTTTCATTGTGCGAAAGCAGGAAAGGAGCTTTTGACGCGGTTCATGGGGGTTTGCACTTTGATCTCTGCCGTCTGGTGTGATGGCTCTGGCCATGATCACAGACTCGCCAGTGCTTTTGTTCCACTTGTCGCTATCAGGCTCGTCCAGTCGCGAGGCATTCCTGTCGCGCTGGAGGGCAAGGACGGATTGGGAGAGCGCTTGCATCGTGAAAGATCGCAACAGGTACTGGGGTTCTAGTGACTCTAGTGTCGTGCAAGGACCTGCTTTGTCGTGCACGCACTGGAAGCGGTAAGACCTTATGCTATGCAATACCGCTCGCCAGCTACTTGGACTGTGCTGTGGGCGCGTTTCGTGATTTCTGAGAGACCTTTGTCCAGGTCCAGCGCCTTCTCCAGGAGGTGGAAGCCAAAGGCAACTGAGGGATCCTGGCAGTGTTAAAACGTTAAGACACCCAGCTGATGCTGCCTTGGTTTTCGATCATCTGTGGTAGGTTCTGCGACACCTCTGAGCGGCCTCATTCTAGTTCCCACCAAGGACTGTGTGCTGCTCCTCCATCCTGCTAGGGTGCAACGTCAAGTCCTGTAAGAGAGCCACCCCCCTTTGCTTGCGCGCAAAGTTCTGGTCGAGTTCTCATTTTTGGTTTGGCAGCCACCACGCAACAACGGCCCACCTCTGCATGTCGCAACGGTTGCTTGTCTGTAGCTGCTTGCTGCTTCTCACCTGAGCTCACCTGTTTCCAAACAGTTTCTGATTTTGCAGGGAGGGGGGAGCTCGGGGGCAAGTGCCATAGCTAAGTGTAAACTTCCAAGCACGGTTTGTGCGATCATGTTGGCAGGGCTTGTAGATTATGGTCTTCCCTGGGTCGACAGATTTCATCGCATTGGTGCCCTGAAGCCTAAAGGGCTCCAAGCATCTCCAAACATCTACAATCCGGCGCTTAAGTTCCTGCCCTGGAAAGTTCACGCGGACAGTCCTTGCAGCATGTGCGATTGAAGCGCAACGTAGTGATGTAGTGAAGATTTTCGTGCTCCGCACGGGAAGCAGTTCGGGTCGAGCTGCGCTTGAACCTACAGAGGCATAGCTCCAACCGCGCAAGGGTTTAAGCCTTTTAACGGCCTTACACGCCGCCTTAGGAGTAAATCTTTGCTGCAGAGCTCAGCACGAGACACGGGGATGGTGAGAACGTGTGGGGAAGCGCTTCGAGATGGGGTTTTCCCACAAACTTTAGAATGTTTGGCTTTCGGATGCTTTCGGTTTTGTTCGTTTACCTCGGTGGTGCCAGGAGCTCATTGCTCAGGTTCACCGGGTCGTGACTTCCCTGCCTGCCAGTCATGTTTGGTTGTTCGTGTTTTGTCCACAACGCAGTGGCAACTTGTCATTGTGGGGCAGCAGGGGGCAGCAGGGCTCGCGACAGGCTTAGCTTCTGTTTCGACGTCCTGACTGTGGACATGCTTCTCTCTGGCGCTTTGTCCTTGGCTGTATTGCTGTTTCAGCAGGGCGGCAGTTTGCCCGTCTTACCATCTTTGTACGGTGCTGTCCCTTTGCTGGTGCGGATGCGTCGAGGAGAAGTACAGCAAAGCCGAGCTGCCCGTGATGATTCTCGAGCATGTGTTATAATGTGCGGCCTCGTGGATACCATCATCGACGTGAACAGTTCAGATAATGCTTCGCATTCTGAGCCGTCTCCAATCCATGATGCATCGAGCAGGACGACTTCCGAGATGCACGGGCTTACTGTACGGGGCTGCAACTGGTGCTTAGCATCAGAAATTCACACGGCCGGCAGCGATCAGACTCGGATTTGCCAACCCCGAACTCCACCCACGGGATTCCTGTTGTACAGGCAGGGGCTGGGACATTTTCTGGTGGACTTTCTGTGGGGCGACTTTTCAGACAGCTTCCAAAGTGTCATTGCAGCCACAAATCCAACACGCCTTGTGCCATTTTGGCAAGGAGTGGATGTCCTGACCCTCTGAGCATCAACCGTTTGAAGCCCCTTGTGGCAAGTCATTTCAGATCACGGCAGGTTAGTGACAACGCCCTCTTCGCTACTCCTTCTGGTGAAGCAGCGAGAGGCACACGGAGCTCAGCTCGCAGTGTGCGGCCATGTTTCGATATACACCATTCTTGGAGCATGTCTTGCAATGCCTAACCTGCCGGATGATGGTGCTTCATCGCCATGTCCACGACGATAAGCCGGTTGCAAAGTGCATCCGTGTGCATGTGCTTGCAGGCCAGATCTGCCATGAAACCGCTGTCGGAGTGAAACTGCCATGTTTTGGGAAGCTGAATCGAACATTTTGAACTTTGCGTGCCTTGATGTCCCTTCTTCCACGATATATGTTTCGCTCATCACCAGGACGCTCAGGGTCTTGATAGTGGACGAGGCGGACCTCATGTTCTCATATGGCTACGAAGAGGATGCTTGTTGCCCGGAGAGATATCAGCCAACGCCATTGACAAATTGCCACAGAAAGCTTGCTGAGGTCAAGGCTCTCTGCGCCCTGATGCCTCCGAAGTACCAGGCATGCGCTGCATAAATGGCCGAGCAGAGAGCTTCTGACAGTCGTGCTGCATTGGCAGGCAATGCTGGTTTCTGCAACGCTGTCCGAGGAGGTCGAGCAGCTCAAGGCAAGGACTCAGTTTGAGTAGGAGGTACAGTCCACAGCACTTTCGATTTCATTGTTCTTGATAAGGCCCACTCCTGTATCTTTAAGCGCCAAAATCTCCGGACCTTCTAAGTGGAGAGCGGGGCCCCCCAGAGACACCCTCCCCAATCTTGCCCGAACCTACCTTCTTCTTGAGCCCAAAGCCCGCGACAACAAAGGAAACATATTAGAAGACGTAGATGCGACTGATTTCTCATTTCTTTGATGTTGCTCTTTTGAATTCTCCATTTCTTTGTCTTTGGTGCATTTCTTTCATGTCTCAGGGCCTCATGCTGCACAAGCCGGTCGTCTTGAAGCTGGAGGAACCGCGTGTCACGGGGAAGCTGGCCCAGCCGGGTCCTCAGCAGCGGGGGTTGCAAAAGTACGAAGAAACAGAGACCATGCTAAGATTCAGGTTCTACTTCGTGTGCCACAAGACCGACAAGTACCTTATCATCTACACGCTCCTGAATCTCTCTTGCAAGATGGCCCTCCCCTCACTTCCTGCGCTTCCACCTGCATTTTCCCTGCAACTCCAGGAAGCTGCAGCTGATACAGGGGAAGACGCGCTGCCCTCGATCACTTAAAGCTCGTGCGCGGAGATGTCGAGATGTCAGGGGGCCTGTGGGTTCTTGGGATCAAAGAGCCTTTGCTGACCTCGAGAGCGCAGGCTCATCTTCGTGCAAAGCGTCGATGCAGCTTATCGGCTGAAGATCTTGCTGCTTTCCCAGCAGTCCTGGTGAATCGCAGAGTATTTGTAGCGATATGCAGCGACATTGGCAGCAGGGCTTGATGGCTTTTCATGGCTTTTCATGGCTTTTCATATGAGGCTGGAGCGCTTCAGCATTAATTCAGCTGTTCTGAACTCCGAGCTGCCGCATTCCAGCCGCCTCAGGCTCAACGAGTGAAAGCGGGCAGCAACTAAAGCTACCCAAAAATTACCACCGGCCCTCGATGTTCTGTTTTTTGTGTCTCAGGTCAGAACATCATTGACTCCTTCAATCAGGGAGCAGTAGAGCTGCTCATTGCCTGGCAACCTATTGGGAATCAAGAGAAGATGACGGGAACCAACATCAGAGATTGCAACAAGTGATCCTCAGGCCACCGATGAGGGTCTCGGAGGCAACGAGGACGGTGCAGATTGAGCATGCTGCCAAGCTTGGTTGTTCCTCGTCCCTAGCAAGCTGGAGGAAGGAGAAGTGACAGATGAGGAGGCTCGCCCCATTGGCCCACCAGCAACAAAGCTCAGCATTCAAATCCAGGCTATCGTCTGGTCATTGTTTGCAGTTCAGTTGGGCTCAAAGGTTATGCTTGACAGCTTTCAAAAGCCTTTCCCAACATGCATCTCTGCTATGACTGTTATGGTCGTTACTTGCTAGCACAACGTATGGTTGCCCAATGCGGCTACAGACACTCCAGACTTGTTTCGACGTTCCCTGCAGCAGAGATGGCCCTGCCTCCTAGCTATGTATTCATGGCTCCGTCTCGGAGATGAGCGACGATGAAACAGAAGGAACAGACTCTGACTCTGCGTCGAATGTTTCTCACAGTCGCCGCGAAGGCACGCGTTTTCTGTTGCGAAAGGTTGTGCATCATGTTCGTAGAGAGTGTGGCCGCATTGCACCAGCGTTGTGCCAACTGTTCTGTCCAGGATCGGTGAGCCTCCGAGGCCTTCGCGGCAACGCAGGGAGTTTGGTGGCGAGCTGTCGCCAGACTTTCAGACGTCGCTTGGAAGGTGCAGGGATGCAGGGAGGAGCGTTGAAGCAGTTGTGCAGTCTTTTCATGTCGTCACATCTTCGTTTGGCCGAAGGCAGGGGAACCCATCGCCATGGCCGGTGACAGAGCTGACGGATGCTGGCCGCAGCTGAGACCTTGGGCATATAGATTTCCGAGCTCTCAGCCCTGGACATCGCGAGTGGTGCGTGGCCGCCGGCAACACCTCGTCGTGCCGATGCGCCGATGGCAGCGGTGATCGGAACCAGTTTGGCAAGCCGTGTCAATGAGTTCAGCGCGCAGGCTTCGGCGAATGCAATGTGACCCTACTGTACCATAGAAATTCTGTATCGTTGACTACGCATGATGTCACGTCCTTTCATCGCACTTAGGTATGCCTTTGCATGACCAGTACCCTCCAGCGAGTCGACGCGCTGAGCTTTCTCTGAGACCTCCTTGAGCTTGAACGACTTGACTGCGCGAGAACTTTCACAGACACTGCGGGCATGTGGCAAGTCGCAGGCGAGAGACTCCAAGCTCTCAGGGTCCTCGGAGTCCTTGGACTCGGAGTCCTTGCTCGCGATTGGTGTTCCCGGCCTACCCCCCGTGGAGACGGCAAGCTTAGTGTAGGCGGCTGCCAACTCGAGTCTCCAGAAGAAGTTGTTTTTGCAGACGGCTGCTGATGCCATCGTCTTCACTTTAAGCGAGCCCAGCGCACGCAACCCGGCAAACACTTCCTGGGCTTTCAGGGCCACTCGGTTTTGGCATCGGTCGCCGTTCATGGCGGCTGCGTCACAGGCGACAGAGAGCATCGCTGACTTCGGAGTTCAGAGCCCCTCAAACACGTCATGGAGGCTCGCTCGCTCGATGGCCGTCGGTGTGGCATCGCCCAACGCTCCAGCTACACAGACTTCGAAGTTGCTTGGCGAGCCCAAGGTGCAGAACCTGTCAAACACGGCCTGGGATCCAGCTGCTACAGTGCATGTCGATGCAGCATTGATGCAGGGCACTTCCAAAGAAGTTGCTGTCAAGATGCACGAGATTGACTCGCGGAGCCCTGGAAACATTGGCTGATGGTTCGCACGCTTGCTAGCTCATGGTCCGCTGCTTCTGCACGGATCGGGTGCTCGGGCTTGTGGATTGGGACTCGCACCTCAGAGCATTTCCAATTCTGTTCGGACATTTGCGCAGCCCAAGGTTCAGGCACTCCGTCGGTGAAACTTGCTGTCTGCACGTGCGATAACAAGGGAAGGTAACAAGGGAAGGTAGCGCTTGTCGCCTCTTTGCTTGCAAGTACCGGCTCCGTGATGTATCCTGGCAGGGAGTACCACAGTGTAAAACCTTTGCGCAACCCAGTGAAGAGATGCAGTCCCAAGTTGAGCCTGGTGAGTACCAGTCGGAGTCGGCGTGCTTTGAGAAATTTAAGTGGGGCGCGTGTGCTTCCTTTTTTCTCGGAAGGCCCAGAATGTACTGCCACGACTAAGTAAGCAATTCGGCTTTTGCGCCTTACGCATGCCCAAGCCAGTTCACAGCTCTCAACCTTCAGTTACGGTGCCTTACGCCAGGCTTTTATGCCTCGAGCAGATGAGCAAGACAAGAGTGTATTTTGTTTCTTTGCAGGGCCATGCCATAGGGTAGAAGAACACGCCAGTGTTCGTTCGAACTTCTGATCCTCTTCTGATCTTTTGACCGACTCATCCATCCTGCTCCTGGCAGGATGAGTGCTTCTCCCGTTCCATGGGCGAGCTTGCGGCCACCGCCGACTCTGATGCCCAGGGGATTACAAACACCTTGCGGAGCCATGGTACCTGCAACTTCCTAGTTCGATTGTCAGTGGTTGCGCTGTAATGGCGAGCCAGGAAGCTGATCTCCACCCCCACAGCACAGAATCTCAGCAACATGGTCTGGACATCGGCACGGCCTCAAGCACATGATGAGACATCGACACATGAAACCGGATCCTGTGCAATTGCAAAGCGAAGAGAGTTCTGACCACAGAATTTAGCGAACAGGCTCCGGTACTTTAGTGCACCAGCTGCTCGAGGCATGCCTTTTTTGGATGCCACGAGCGGCTCTCTGACAGATCTGACAGAGCTCAGCTGCCAAGATCCTTCCAACAGCGGCTGAGATCTTGCAACCCCCCGATCTGAGCAAGTCGCACTGCCGCATGCCCTCCGATCATCGTGCCTGACGTCCATGCCTCAACCCCAGCATCAGAACCTGGCTGCCACTGCATGGACGTTTGGCCTAGCGGATCGGCATGGCACACGGCTCTCCAGTGCCACCGGAAGCTCGGCCATAGCGCGCATCTGCGGCTTTGGACCACTGAGCCTGGTGAGCTTGGCTCTGGCCTGTGCCAGGATCTTGTGGCAAAGCGATGCCCTGCTTCAATCAACCTCTTCAGCTGCAGCCCGAGGCTTGGAAAAGCTTACCGCCCAGGGCCCCGCGAACCTGGTACGGAGGCTCACGACACCCGGCTCTATAGAGCGGCCAACTTCGGAGGCACCGGCATCGGAGGTGCCGCCTGCTGTTGCTGTGTTCCTTTTTGCTACAAAATGTTTGTGCTAGATCTGTCCACTCGACAGCGTTTTAAGCTTCCTTGTAGCTGAGTGCATCTAACCATATCTAAGCCCACTGTCGAAGACTCTTGAACTTCGGAACGTTGGCCTCTCTGTCAGGCCGCGGAGAAAGCCCGGGAGCTCGGCTGCCAGGGCCTGGCCAACGCGGTGTGGAAATTGACGAAGCCAGCGCCTCCACATCGTTCCTTGCTGAGAGCTGTTTGCTCTCAGGCAGTTTAGAGGATCCAGGAACTCCTCCCACAAGAGCCGTCCAATACCGCACGATCTTCCAGCTCTTCGCTCCTGCAAGATGCACCCTTGGTGGAGGCCGCCGCTGCAGCTGCCAGGAAGCCCCTGAGTCCTCAAGACGTCGCCAACACGGTCCGGGCCGCTTGGCGTGGCTTTAGGTTGTTAGGCCTTACGGCCTTTCACGATGGACGAGTGAAGAGACATGAAGATTTGTTTTTCTCTACGGTCTTTGAGGCTTCTGGTCGTGCGCACGTCACTGGCTACCTCTTCCTCGATTGGGCCTCGGCCTATGCCTTTTCCATCCTGCCCCAGTTTGATGCCCAAGGCCCGTCCAACACACTGTGAACACTGGCAGAAGCCGTGCACCGGCATCTGCCGCTCACTGATGCCACTTCCGCGGCCTGAGCAGCCACTCTTCTACCCATTCGGCAGACTTTGTAACGTACTTGTCTTGCATCATATGAGGCAGGGGCTGCACAGAGACACTCAAGGTAAAGATCCATGTAGAAGCGAGATTCGCTGAAACCACCTGCAGTGAGGCAAAGATCCATCAGCTTGAGTTTCAGGGCCTGGCGAACTCGGCATAAAGAATTGGCACAGTGGCTGTTGCAGATGGCTTGCTGATGGACGCTGTCGCGAGCAGACTTGAACATTCTGGAGGCCTGAACATTCTCATTCTGTGCCCAGCATAAGACTCAGCACCAGAGACTGCCACGTGATGCAGATCTTTTGTCGAGGCTGTCAAGGCTCTCATCTGGGGGCGGCGTGGCCTCTTTGGCGCACAGGTCGAGGCCAATCGCTTTCTGCTTGTTGATGCACTTCCTACAGCAGCCTCCTTGGCATATTTTGCATTGAACACGAATGTCTAAACATCGTCTGCACATGCCCTGCACGTGCCCTATGTGTTCTCGGAGGTGGCTCCTGGAGGCTTCTGATTCCTGGAGGGACCCTTGGTTTTTAAGGGTGCTTCTTCATGACTTCCAGAGCGCTCAGAAGACATCTCAAGTGACATCTCTTCGACAAACATACAGAGCAGAGGTGCTCGTGCCTGCCAGGACCAAGACGAATGCAGTACTCGATTCCGTTGCCACGGGCTTTCTTATGATGCTCGCTTTCTGGGAGAAGGATCCTGCGGCAGAGCAGCGCCTCGGTGAAGAGATGAGTCATGAGTCGGTTTGCGTGGGTCGAATTTTAACGGTTCTCCGTATCCTGGAAGCCGATATGACCCTCTAATGTCTTTCGTTCTCTCTTTCAGAAGGTGAGCGTGTATGCAATTCGCCGGTCGGTCAGTCCAATTGCAATTATTTCACGCACGAGGGACTAGGAAAAAGAGTTCCTCGTGAACTGGAAGCCCAAGTGGAACCGATACCATCTGGTCGGCAGGCATAAACAGTCGGGAGAAACTGCCAAGGAATGAGCTGGTGCGGAGATTGAGCGGGTGTTGTGTTTTTCCGTCGCTGGACATGGACTTGACTCCAAGAAAAAAGGTGGACCGGACCCGTGGGTTGACAAACTACCAGACAACAACGTTTCCAGCAAACCTGATGGAAGTCGGCCAGCATAAGGTCGCTAATCAGCCTGATGCGGTTTGGGTCGCTGCAAGGGAGATTCGCCCGCAAGCGGGCGCCGATGCAAAACCTGTCCGTGAAACAACCATCTTTCTGCCGGAGCAGGTCGCCCGAATTTCTTCCCCCTGATTTTTCCAAGGTAATGTAATCGAGGGATCGCATCGCGCGGCAAAAAGAGTTCTGGCCCGCCAGGAGTACTTCCAGAATCTGCCTTTCCCTTCCCCTTCCCCTTCCTTTTCCTTTTCCTTTCCTTTTCTGTTCCTTTCCTTTTCCTTTCGATTTCCTTTTCCTTTTCCTTTCCTTTTCCTTCTACTTTTCCTTTTCCTTTCCTTTCCATTCCTTCTTCTTTTTTTCTCTGTGTCACGCCTTTTTCTCTCTCGCTCTCCCTCCTCCCCTCTCTCCCTCCCTCCCCTCCCCTCCGCTCCCTCTTCATCCGCCTTGCTCAGGATCGTGACCTTGACCATGATGAACTCGGTCACGCTGCGCCTCCCGCTCCGCTTCCTTCGGGCGGGGAGCGAGTTGGCCCATGTCGAAGCAAGCTTCGAGGAGGGGAGTTGAAAGCAACACGAAGGCAACAACGAAACGACACGCAAAAGAATCACGAACAGAATACAGCTTCTGTGCAGGCCTTCCTCCACGGGCGGTACCACAAAGTGGTCCGGCTGCTGGACTTCATGACAGCTCGAGCCAACAACGAGCTTGGCCCGAAAAGAGTGGAGAGGATCGTGGAAACCTGCGAGGCCTTTGCCTCACAAAGCCAGCGCCAGTGGCTCAAAGTGGCCGGCGAGGCCAAGGCTCAGGCGAGACACAGCCAAAGATGTAGAAAGTCGGAGACGTTTTCAGTTTGTTTTTCTGAATCAAAGCCTAAGATCCTCACTAGTTCAAGGCAGAAAAGCGAGGAATGTTTCTCTCTCGAGAACCAAGACAGGGGTGGTGCCGGAGCACCTCACCCTTCCCCGTTCCCCCTTTGAGGTGATTGATTCGTATCTGGCCCAGCGGCGCGCTCCCGAGCGGGCCGTTCTGGCAGAGTTCGGGTCCTTCGTCGGCTACTCCTGTGTGCGGATGGCCTGGAGGGCAGGAGAGTTGTTGGGGGGCCGGGAAGGAACAGCCAACACTCCCAAGGATCACGTTCGATCAACAGTTATGCCTGCGACAGAGGAGTCCCGTATTTTCTTCAAGCATAGCTACAGCACTTGCCTGCCCCTTCAGAGCCGTAAGTCCCAGCTCAGAGCTCCTGCGTCTTTAGTATCTTCCCAACTTCTGCAAGGAGGCGTTCGAGGAGGCGCGCAGGTGGTGTCTTTCGAGTCCGATGCGGTGCTGGTGCTGGTGGCTCGGCACGTCGTCGCCCTCGCAGGGCTATCGCAGTGTGTGGAGATCATGCCGGGTATGGCGCACGATGCGCTTGATCGATTGGTGGAGGACTGGGGCGCAGGCAGGAACACAGACAGAGTGCAAGGAGCAAATTATAAGCTGTTTGCTAACTACTGTTGTCAAGCACTCGCAAGTCGAGTTGTGTTCCGTGGTTGTCTGGCCTTGTGCTTGAAGGTGGTACGGACTTTGCATTTCTGGACCACCGTGGCACCCGCTTCCATTCCGACATGGTCCACCTGCAACGTACGCAGGCGCTCCTGGGACAACTCCTGGCTGACAACACGCTGAAGCCTGGGGCGCCCTTGTTGCTATGGCTCTGCAAGGCGGGACGCCTCAATTGTACGCCCAGACCCCGCCCTCTCACTTCCCCGCCTCTTCACACGTGGAATATCTTGGAGCCCCAGAGTGGGATTTGGACTCAGTCTTCTGTTTTGTCGGGTTACTACTTAAGCAGGAGAAGCAATGCACAGGCTCCACCTAGCCACCTTTGCATTTCCACCCACCCAGAACCCCCCTTCGAAACCCCCGCAACCCCCCCACCAACCCTGCTGGCACATGCGCTCAATTGCGATCAGCTTGAGTCCTGGCTCAGGGCTCGGAGGGCGTTGTCTCGTGGTCCCTGCCCGAGTTTCTCGCGGAAAGCTGCGAGGACTGGATGACCGCCATGCCGCACTGAGGAGACAAAAAGCTTGACTCGACTAGTATGGGTCACTGCTATCTGGCCAGTGCGGTCTTTTGCGGGCTTAGTTTCCTTGGGGATTCTATGTCATTGCAGGCTGGTGACGAAGAGGGCTGCGGGGAGGAGGAGGGGGAGGAAGAGGAGGAGTGCGAAGACGACGAAGCCATAGAGGATTGGCGTGATGACAGCAAGACAGCACGACGCTTTCATTGCCGTTGCTCTTGGTTCTTTTCATCTTCCTGTTCTTTGGGTGACTGGCCGGAGTGCAGAGGAGTTGCCCAAGAAAGCCAAGAAGGCCGACAAGGCAAATGGAGAATGCAGTCAGGCTTCCGTCCCTAGGCCGTAGGCTTTGGGAGTGCACTGATTGGCAACCGGATCACTTGAACTGCCCCCCTCCCCCCCCCACTTGCCCACGTGTATCATCATTGTATCATCATTGTATCATCATTGTATCGTCATTGAATCATCATTGTATCATCATTGTGTCCATCAGGATGCTCCAACATCCACTCCGACAGATGCGGCTCCCGCGACTCGCAGGTGGGCTATACTCCATGATCCCATCGTTGTCGACCACTGTCCACGGTCGTCCACTGCTGGTGTGCTATAGTGTGATTGATGGTATACTCCAACTCTGTAGCTTTCAGCTCTCAGACCGAGGTCTGCGCTGCGGCAAAAAGATCGGAAAGCCACTCCTGCGACAGAGGCCACTTGGTTACGTGTCCGTCCCTAGCTGCATGATTCTGCATACGAACAGGAGACACTTTGGGTCTTTTCGCGCTAGCGAAGTTGCTAGCAGATGCCAAGATGCCCTGATCTCGGAGGCAAAGGTGGCGGCAGCAGATGCGGAGAAAGAGGACGAGCAGGAGGAGGACGAGGAGGAGGAGGAGGAACAGGAGGAAGAGGAGGAAGAGGAGGAAGAGCAGGAGAGTGCGCGTCTCTGCGTTTCTGGGAAGATGTGTGCTTCGGAGAAAAAACGTTTGCAAGGACGAAGACGTGGCTGTCAAGCCGACACCTGCCGCAGCCTCGAGAGGGACGGCTCGCGACTGAGATAGAGAGAGAGAGAGAGAGAGAGTCTTTTTTGAGGATGCGTCGTCTTCTCTTTCTTTGTTTGCCTCTGAGCGGTTGCGTGGGAAGGCCCCTAGAGCGACGAAGCCTGGGCGCAAGGTGAAGGCGCGATCACAAGCTCATTCGGAATGTGTATACGTATACAACGTATACATGTCAGTATTTCAAGTCACCTCCATCTGTGTACAGTTTATGTCAAGCAGAAGGAATTCGAAGGAATGGTTGTATGAGTTGTATGCTGAGCTGCGCTGTCAGGATGAGCAGTACTCCCTCACTCGAGGTGTGGACTTGCAAGGGGTTCAGGCCTCAGTCTGTTTTCGAGGGATGCCTTGGGCGGTGCCGTTGTGACCCGTTGTGAAGATCCTGCAATCCTGGTCCTGGAGAGTTTCGAGTAGGTGAGCACCGTCTTGAACGCGGATGTTCCCACGTCCGTGCGGGACTACGCACGCAGCCCAGAGAGGGCGGCGCCATATTCCCCATAACTCTCGAGAGATGTCACTTAAGAAGAGACGAGAGAGAATATTTGTGTGTGTGTGTTGTGGCTGACGAGGACGGGGGGTCGGAGTGAGACACGGAGCGAAGGAGAAGTGGTCTCGAGTAATCTCTCTCGGGCCGTGGGGGGAGAACACTTTGAGGTGCACCGCGTGGGGCGCTGCGCCCGCGGCGGCCAGAGCGGCACCGCGCCCCTTGGAGCGGAGCCGATTGTAAGCTTAAAGCGTCTGAGAAGTATGAGAGTCACAAGAGTGACAGGCAGCAAAACGAGAGATTCACAGACTAAAGAGCGAGATAAACATTCTTCCTTCGTTCTTCGCAGTCTGGATGTGCTTGGAAAAAATCTTCCGCCCACGCTCCAAGGCTGACAATCTGCACCCACGAAGAGCAGTGTCTTGGTGAGATTGGTTTTGAGAAGTGGTCTTGAGAGGTTCTTTTCTGCGACTTTGGGCCTTTGGGGGCCTCTCTTGCTGGCATTTGGCCGCACTCTGCGACACAGGCCCATGCTGCAGAAAATCATTCAGGCGCAGAGTCGTTCAGGCCAAGCTCTGGCAAACCCAAAGGTTTTGTCAACAGAAGCACGCGCTTGCGATCAGCACTTGCCACTCTTGCCCTTCGTGGGAGTTGCAGCGAAGCATGGTGTGAAGGTACAGGGCTGCAAGCCCTGCCGATGCAGATCTCCGATGCCGAGCGCTTCCGTTTCTTGCCAGAACGTCGAGTCAAATCATGCTGCGGCACGCTACGCTGCGGTGCGCTGCGGTGCGCTGCGTGATGACAGCCCCCGGCCAGGCTATCGCGTCGAAGACATGGCCATGGTCTTGGTTGTCTCCAGACTTCAGCAAGCGTTTGGAAAGCCGAGTCGTCCCTGAGGCAAGAGGACTCACCAAGAAGGCGATATCAAAATATCGTGCACGCGAACTGCAGATGGAGGCATTCAGAGTACTCTAGGATTCTAAGCCCGAGTACTCGAAACTGTTACTGCCTCCGAAGGTTTTTCACCTGAACTGTTGCCAGTGAAGGCTCTGCATTCCGAGAAGTTGAAGGCATACTTCGAGGAGCATCCAGACGACAAGAGAGCCTTGCAGAGGAGCATTGACCGAAACGAATCGTCTTCAGCAGACGGATTCGATTCTTCGTGGTGGCACCTCACAGGATGCAGCGGGCGCTTCGGGAGCGAAAGGCTGTGAGGCAGCATCTTAAGAGTGCTTCCGACTCAGCTGAAGCTGGAGACCTTCCAACGCCTAGAGCCCCTAGTTGTCTTGCAATTCAGATCCCTTCCTACCTTGTGCCGGAAGCCTTCCAGAAGACCACGCCCGCCCCGGCCTCTTTGTTCCTGGGGTCTTTGCATTCTTCTACGTTAAGCAGAAGGCATCTCCCTTTCCTCTCTGCCTCAAATTGCTTTGTCTTTGCTTTGTTGTTAGGTCCAGAAGGCCGTCCGGGAGGCCAACGCCAGCGCCGGGAAGCCGACCAGTTCGGTCAGGCGGTGGCTTTGGCTGAGATGCTGAGCGAGAGAGACGGAGAGACAGAGAGACAGAGGCAGAGAGAGACAGGGGACTCTTTTCGCTGGGCAGAAGAAGAAGAGAGAGGGGGGAGAGGAGAGCTCTCCCTCTCTCGCAGTTTCTCTCTCTCTCTCTCTCTCTATGTCCTCTCTCATTATCTCTCAATGTCCTCTCTCTATCTCTCTCTATCTCGCTCTATCTCTCTATCTCTGTCTATCTCTGTCTATCTCTCTCTATCTCTCTCTATCTCTCTCTATCTCTCTCTATCTCTCTCTATCTCTCTCTATCTCTCTCTATCTCTCTCTATCTCTCTCTATCTCTCTCTATCTCTCTCTATCTCTCTCTATCTCTCTCTATCTCTCCATCTCTCCATCTCTCTATCTCTCTATCTCTCTATCTCTCTATCTCTCTATCTCTCTATCTCTCCATCTCTCCATCTCTCCATCTCTCCATCTCTCTATCTCTCTATCTCTCTATCTCTCTATCTCTCTATCTCTCTATCTCTCTATCTCTCTATCTCTCTATCTCTCTATCTCTCTATCTCTCTATCTCTCTATCTCTCTATCTCTCTATCTCTCTATCTCTCTATCTCTCTTTCTCTCTATCTCTCTTTCTCTCTATCTCTCTATCTCTCTATCTCTCTATCTCTCTCTCTCTATCTCTCTATCTCTCTATCTCGCTTTGTTGATTGATTTGTAAGACCATCGTCGCAAGAAGTTACAGCCTCTACACCTCAGTACGGGCGAAAAGCTGGGGGAGGGGGGTAAACCACAGCACAGTGTGCATAGCCTCACACGTCATCAGCACAGCAATGAACACAGCGAGTTCCAGCCGTTCCAGCATTCTCAACTAGGCTTCCCACCAGTTAGCAACGACTAGCGCGAGCATGCAGCTCCTGCACAGCTCCTCCTAAGGAAACGCTTGATGAAGGCCAAGCAGCAGGCACCCTTTGCTCATCTTTTCGGTCAGCATGAGATGCTAACTGCTTCTATCTGCTTCTCAGAGGCCTTGCAAGTGTCACCGAAGGCAACCGCTTGTGGTGGTGGGTTGCTCGCAGGATCCTCTTCAAAGCTTCGATGCTCCGGGTGTTGAGAAACGACGCTACTGGCTGAGCATGAACTACGTAAACATGGTTTGAATGTCGGTTTGAGCTGCTGCGCTTCTCCACAATTCTTGTTGTGGTCCTCGTTCGCTGCACTGAGGAGATCGCTTCACACGTGAGCGCATGATTGCGAGTGCCCTGGTGCTGTGGGGTGGTGTAGAGCCTTGCGGTTTTGCTGTCGAATCGTGCGAAGGCAAAGGAGAAGAGACTGGATCCGGCAACGACCAACGTCGAGGAATGTGAGACACGTGAGACACGTGGGACACGTTGGACACTTGGGACCCGGGGGACACGGGGGACACGGACACACCGGGGACACGTGGGACACAGGGGGACACGTGGGACATGGGGGACATGGGGGACACGGGGTTTTGAGAAATCACCGCATAGACATAAATCCGCACATTCAACCAAAGGAGGAGAGCATTTCTGCGCCGTTTGCAGGCGCTGCCTCCGCTGTCTCGGCACAAGCTGTGGAAGCCCGACTCTTTGACTCCTTTGTGGTAACGTGGAAGAAAGTCTTTGTTCGGGCTTTTCTCTGCGAATGCGACAGGCTGCAGCATGGCAAACGACTTCGCAAGCCGATGGATGTGCTGGGGGAACGGCGGCGGCTGACCCCGGGGGAACGCAAGCGGAGGAAGAAGCCCTGAACCTAGCGCTGCTTTGAAACCGCACTGCGAGTAGAAGGATCTCACCTACAAGCTGCCAAGCGAGTTGCAGTGATGTGCAGGTTTGCGTGATCTGTTCGCCGAGCGCGGAGAGGTCAAGATAATGATTTGGCCAGGTCTGGATCCTGTTCAGGCATTAGTTGGATCTGGGTGCGGTGGGCAGGCAGACCAGGAAAGGGCTCCAAGAGCCTTGCTGGCTTTGCACACTAAGACCCATGCGCTCATGACGTTTCACAGCCAGAGCATCCAGAACCATCAACGCGGCCCCTTAAGAAATCCATCATGTCACCGCTGAGCATGTTCAACTTGTTCGCTTCGCACAAACCGTGGCCACACCGTGGCCGACACAAAGTCCGACAGTTCGACGCGGATCGGACAGACGCAGCTTTCGGCTCCGTGAGCTTCTCCAAGCTTGGAGCTGGGCAGGCGCATGTCGTTTTTTGTGGTGCTTCGCGTTGCTTAGGGTTTCCTTGCTGTGTTGCTTTGAGATCTCGTGAAAGGAGGATCTTGGTTGACCATGCAGCCGAGGCTTGAAACTGAGAGCTTGCCTGCGCTCGCTTCTCGTGTTCTTCACATGTGCAAGAAGAGGTCGAGATCAGTGCGACATGCGCTGAAGACAAAGGATGAGCTGGAGAAGGTCTCGACTCTGAGTTTTCGAAAGAGCTTGGCATGTTCGAGCAGCAAGTTCATCGAGCGGAAAGCGATTGCAGCATGTGCAAGGGGGTCCCAAGTCCTTGCACCTCCTTCGCAGGAGCGGCTGCGCCACCGCTCCGGGGGTTTCTTCCGCTACGAGTGCCTCGGTCGACATACAGCAGCACAGCAACATTTATAGCAAAAGAATGCGCCGAATCTTCAAGGAACAGAGACAACCCCATCGATGTAGTGCTGGCCTCAGCCGGACTCGAGCCTTCGTGTGTTGAGAGCGTTGATTGCTTGTCCTCGGAGTGTGGCTTCGGAGGTCCTCAATTGCCCTGGCTACTTGGGGCCCCGAGAAAGAATGACGGCGGGACCTCACTGTGAAGAGGCGCCGGGATCGCTGGGATCACCCGGAGCTTCACAGCGTTGCCAAGGCTCTGTCCTTTGCAGGTGAACTATGCAGAACGTGAGCATGCCAAAGTTGTCCGAGATGAAATCACAGAGGCCCGGCGAGCCTTTGACGCTTCTCAGGGTTTCGACAGTTGAGCTTTCTTGCTGAGGCCCGGCGCAAGGGAAAATACGACAGGGAGGAGCACCGATGGCGATGTATCGCGAATGCAGACCAGGCAGGACTAACAGCAAGGACAGAGGACGAGGAGCGTGTGAGACTTCAGCGTTGCAAAGCACTCTCGCATCTGTCGAAGCGTTTCATATGCATGCAGGGAGATGTAGACCGAGTGTCGCGGATGCAGCACGACCCGATGATGGGCCGAAAAAACGTCTCAGGTCACGTGCTGTGCCACGACATATGTGTTGTGGAGTCTTGTGGCCTTGTCTGCTGCAACAGGCCAGCCCTTCAACATCGTGAACCATTGCCCGCAGCCAAGTTGAGTGGATCGCTGGATTTCGCTTCTCATTCGAAGAGTGGAGCGTGCCACAAACGTGAGGCTATGACAGGACTCCTGCCGGGGCGCAGCTGGAACACCACGACAACATGATCCGGTATCCCTGTTTGCTGTAAGGCGCTGCAAGGCTTTTAGATAACAGGACCAGGCTCCTATGTTTCGTGGAGGGGTACAGAACGGCTAGGGGACGAGCAGAGGTATCGCTCGAGAGTGCGCGAAGCCGCGCTGGCTATGCGAAATCACCTAGGGCCTGGGCCTTGCTTGCTCCTAACATTAATTGTGCAGAATCGTCGACAGACTGGGGTTCATTTTTAGAGATTGTAAGTCGACTGGAAAACCATGGCCGTGCAACTATTTCTAGGTTCAATCCGATTATCGGCGAGCAGCTTTGGCCTCAGTGATGCTGTCGCTGCACCATCCAAGGCACTGGCTTTTTGAATCAGTACACGCTTGCGCGCGCGTGCGCGCCCCCCCCCCCCCCCCCCTTGGCAGCCGCGCCCAAAAGCCATTCCGCACGGGCTGCAGACGCGAGAAAAACGACTTCGCGGGTCGAGCAGCAAGGAGAAAGGAGCAGAAAGGACGCCCCGGAGAACAGCCGACCCCGCACGTGGGACCCACACGTGGGACCCGCACTTGCAGTCAGCAGGCTGTGCAACGAGTGCACCTTCTGCGCTCGCATGCTTGTTGTGGCCAGGGTGGTCTGAAGACCCCACGCATTTTCTTGTCCCACTGCCCACCCCTCGTTGGACCGGCCCAGAGCATCGGATTGCAGCTCCGCGTGAAGGGGTCTGCTTGACTGTTCCAGATGCTTGTCGGCTGGAGGCACATGGTAGACGGATATACTGCTGTCTTTGCTATGCCATTTAAGGCGTCAGTGACCATTGAAGCTGTCTCGCTATTGATGGACCAAGTTCACGTGTTTGCTTGTTGCATGTATTTGAGCGGCTCATGCATGTTTTCGCCAAAGGGCAAAGTCATGAAAGCCACCGCCCTCTAGATGAATCGCACAGGCATAGACACTGGCAGAGTCTGAGACAAGCTGACCACATCCATTGGCTTCGGTGCCAGTAGCACTTTCGCATACTTTCGCTCTTTCATTGACGGCATTGCGGCCTGGATCAAGCCTTGGTCCCAACCATCCCGTGCCACGTTTTTAGTGTTTGCAAAAGGACGTTGTTGCTGGCTCAACGGACGATGTGCCATGGCCCATAAAAAGCGAACAGTTGCCGTATACCCAGACGATGTCCGCGGCACAAGCTGCAGCTGCGCAAAGCCAGACTCAGGTTTGCGATGGCTTAAGTGGAGTTCCCAAGATCACACGCGACTAGCGAAGGAGGGAGCTCTTAGCTCTGAAAACCACACCACGATCATGAGGTGATCATCGAGAGATCATCGAGTGTCATGGCGGCCCAGAATACTCACAGTCCAAGTGTTCCAAGATCAGTCCGGGACGTGTGATGAGCCACTATCTTTTGCGTGAAAGTGCGGACTGTAGCACTTTGTAGATCACATTGTGGCAGGTTGTAGCACACTGTAGCACAACCACATTTTTTTTCAACATCCAAGAGCGGATCGCTCACCCGAATCACCGCCCTTTCGACCAAGCCGGGCCCCAGTGTGATCGTTGACGGGGCATTGAGGGCACAGCAGAGGGCACATTCATGCACATCTTACATCCGGAGGGAGGAGTGTGTGCAACTGGGTGCAAATGTGTGTAAATGTGTGCAATGTGCAATGAATGGTTGTCATGCTCTTGGCATGCTGTCAATCTCGAGGACGCATGGCATTTCACTCCCTCCACCTCCGCGTCCACCACCCTTGGCTCTGGCTGGGACCCTGTCATCTGGCCATTCAAACGGTGCCACATTGGTCCAAGTGTTGTCAGAGGCTTAATGCGCCTGCCGGGAGTGAACACAATGCATACATAGGCCGGTTTGCTCGTGACGCGATTTTCCAAGTCACCTGAGCTTTTTCTGCCGGTTCTACCGGTTGGCGCCATGTACAGAGATGCAGAGGTGCCAGAAAGGTCCCAGAAAGTTCAGGAAGTGGTGTAAATTCGTACCCCCACCCGCTCTCTCTCTATCTCTCGCTCTCTCTCTCTCTCTCTCTCTTCCCCGCTCGCTCTCTTCAAGAGCCACCTGCCCTGATTGATAGACAATATTGTTTGTCGAGTTACTAGTAGCTGTTGTACACTTGCCATGTTCCGGCTGGTCTCATAGCCTGCAGTTTCACTCGCGTCATGAGCATCAACGTCTCACCAGTGTCTCACTTTCAGCATGCACCAAACGTCTTTCGAGTTATCCTGTGATTGCTTGCGGATGCAATAATGCGGCAGGGATATGCTATTTAGTCACGATTTAGCCACTAGTTGCTGCGAGTTGGACTGCCACCGGAGATCCTGCTTACCGGCCGTTGCGCAGAGTCGAGGACTTCGAGTAGAGCAAGGAAGTGCACGGAGCCATGCAGGGATCAGAGGGAGACTCAAGTCCACCAAGCCACTAAGCAATTCCTCAGCACAGCCAACATGCCACAACTACAGAGCCGAATTCGCATTTCAGTCTTCCGCGGCCTGCTGCCGCGATGCCATCGGCCAGTTCCCTCAGTGTCACGGATACGTGTGACCGAAGGCCTGCATGCACGAAACGAAGGCGGCATGCGCTTTCAGTCGCTGAGGAGCTGCTCTCCGCGCTCTTTAAGCGCCGCTCTGATGTGGATTCTGCCGGGCAGCAGGGGCTCCTGGATGTCTGGTGCGACTGTTGTGGTAAAAACACGGCTGCAGCCCCTCCTTTTAATTCGACTCAGGACCTGGGAGTCACGGCCTGCTGAGTCCTCGGCGGATGCCGGGGCGCAGCTTGGCGAAGAGACAGCCAATGGGAAGGGTGAAAAAAAGGGGTAACAGGTTGCAAACAATCTGTGCGCGGCCGTTAAGACATGGCCGGCAGGTCCCATCTGGCCGGGCTGACATTCGATGCGCCGTCAGCGCAGGCGCAGATTTTGCTCGCCAAGGTGATGTCTCAACCACGTTGAAGTTTCAGTATCCAAGAAACCAGGAGTGGCTGAAGCAGCTGGAGCCGTCGTGGGGGCCTTGCTTTGGTGACAGCGGTCTGAAATAGTTGGCACGGCTGACAGGCCAGAAGAAGACCTCCTGGCAGATGCTCTGGTTGAAGGACAACTGCCGACGACAAGCTGGCTCGAGTCACAAGGGGGCTGTCGCACGGTCGCACGTCCAACGAAAGCGCCGTGGCGCAGGACTCGCTGAGCGGCAGAAGGCTGCCCCGTCGCATGTTCCTCGCACTGTCAAGCCGGAGGCCGGCACGTATCTTGAAATGGCTCAACCGGTTCAGCAAAAGGTCTGTATCGTGCTGTGTTGTAGAATTGTAGAACTCTGTGGAACTGCTGCACTGGGCCATCCAGGAAGCCCGCCGTTTGAAGGACCTGGTCGCGGAGCTGGGTTCCCTGCAAGAACAGTTTTCCAAGGTGCGAATGGCGACACCAAAATGTGCCAAGCGGAGTTGCTATTCGGAGCTGCAGGAACGGGAACAGCTTGGAGCGGAAAAGGAGGAGAGCCCATGCAACTACAGCAGTTCACAAAGCTTTCATGCATTTGCTCCAGAACTTCTGCCCATGACGTTGAGGAAATTCGGGCCAAAGCGGCTGACATTGCAAGAAGAGAGGCCGAGTTGCAGGCCTCTGGGACCCTGGGATCCACGGATCTGCCATCAGCAGCCAAATTCTGGAAGTCGTGTGATGAGCTTGTTTGAGTGTCTGTCATGGCCGAAGAGGCCGAGAAAGAGTCTCAGCGAAGCCGCGAGGAGGCGAGACGGAACTATCCGCAACCTGCCGCTGCCCTGGAAAAAACATGTACACCACGGTGCAGATGGAGCGTGCTCTGTGCCAGCTCTGTAGCTGCTGTACTTACACCCCCCCTACAAGCTCCAACCCTAGTATATCCTAAATGCCTAGAAGCCCTACGCCATAGTTGCTCCCGATCACAAAGCACAACACATCGCTTTGGCACGGCCCTGCCCTCGGGGCTATCTGGGTCCTCACTTGGAGGTCCCTAAGAATGCAGGGGGGTGTTTAGGGAGGCCTCTGGAAGGGGCAAGACCCGTAAACTCATGCGTCCGCACGCGGGGTCAGGCCAACGAACTGCACATTCGCCGCGTGGAAACCTCGGTTTCCCTCTCCAAAAACGAAGAGAAACGAAGAAGAAACGCAAGGGGCGGGTGAGGCGCAGCGCAGCTAGCAACCGTTGGCAGCCGCTTCTGCTCATGGGGCCCGAGGCGAATATTCCCTAGTAGCAAAACCAAAGTTGCCAGTAAACTGGGCCACAACATGCCCTAACCACAGAGAGAAGCCATGTCGTGCTCTTTGCACGCGTAGAAGTGCCAATACACCAAGGCTTGGCTTGAAGACCCGGCGCGTCTTTGCCGAATCTGGCACAGGGGCAACGGGGGTTCTCTCTTCAGTGTGATTCTCTTTTGCTGTCTTTTCTCTGGGCAGGTTCTCGTCAATGCCTTGTCAGAGCTTGTAGCCTTTTGTGGCCTTGGCCAGGAGAAGGTTGAGGATTGCATCAACATAGCGGTTGTGGGCAATTCCGGTGTGGGCAAATCCCTGCTGATCAACAGGCCGCGGAGCTTTTGCAAGCAGAGTTTGTAGAACTCGACGCTCCCTCCAATGGATTGAGAGGCTGCGGAAGCTGCGGCCCCAAGCCGAGGGATGGGCGGCGGTTGGCGTGAACGAGACGACCCGGGCACCCACCATGTCTCTGCCTCGGCTGCCTCGGGGTCTCTCAACGAAGTCTCCACTTCACCTCACTCATCTCTCTCTCTCTCTCTTTCTCTTTCTGCAGCTGGCGTAGAAGACAAGAAGATCCTGCGCGGCCGCAAGGTATCCGTATCCAAATCAGCGGCTGCCTCATGGTAAATTCGCAAGCACAAATGCAGCTGAAATATGCTGAAATTCCAAGGGGTTTTGGGGAACATTTGGGGGCGAATTTGGCTTGAGCTTGTGCCGAGCCCCCTTGTCCGCCTTTGGGATCTTCCTGGTGCCGGGACAGCGGCAGTCCCGGCTGAGAGCTATCTCCAGGAGCATAAGAGGGGAGAGCTGAATGAGAGGCCTAGTACGGAGCTTAGTCTACACTTCTACAAATCCTGGAGGACATGGGGCTTCGGTACTTTGATGAAGTTGTTGTGGTGACGGCGGGACGTTTCACCGAGATGGAGGCAGGGTACAGAGCCCTCACACTACATATGTTGCACTTTTCTAGTCACAGCTGCACTTCATGCTCAGGTCGCATTGCGTGGTGAATTGGAGCGCCACGGCGTCCCATTTCGCATGGTGCGAACAAAGGCGAAACTTGAATGGGTCTTGTTTGGCGCGTGCTGCTCTCTTCTGGGAACCTGCGCAAGCCAACTGTTCCTGAGGTGGACCAGGACATTGCAAACAACAAGGAGGACCTGACCAGTTGGACAGTACAGGGACGCAGGGATCCGAAGGGTTTCGAATGTGCCCCTTTGCAGGACAACTTTGCAGAGAAGCATGAGACTTTGAAGCAAATCAGGGACGACTTGGAGCAAACCCACAAAGTGGAAACAACAAGCCAGAGTCTCGGTGTGCAGTGTCTCGGTGTCGTTCGGTGTGTTGCTGCACGTTGGTGGCAGATGCAGCTTTCAAGTGTGGTCTGTGCAGGTCTTTACCTGGTGTCATCCAGGGATCCAGATGACTTTGATATGCAAACTCCCCGGCCTCTGAGTACATGTTCGATTCGTTATCGACATCATGCCTCGGTTTAGTGATCGGTTCAATGATGTGCAATGAATCTGCATGTGAAGCCAGTGCTGGCGCGACAGCTTTCTTCGCTCCACCAGATTGCGCTGTGTGCCGAAGCCCATTAGTTTCTCAGGCACAGTGCTGCATTCTTTTGTGGACCCGGGCTCCCAAAGATGGCTCATCGTTGGTCCATGGCGCTCCGCCCGGCGCTCTGCCCGGGGCCGGCACTCCGCCCGGCACTCCGTGGCATGCGGCACCTCACAACCTCCACGCAGACTTCGGAGTCGGGGTCACTACTGTACCCAATGACAAACCTATCGTCCCTTCGAGGGAGCCGCCTGGTCCAAGTGAGAGAGCCACTGGTGCTGTGCAGTTCGATAGGCATGTGAGCGGCTTCTGCGCATCTCGCATCATTTCGCCGCAGAACAGGCCAGCCCTTGCGCATCGTTGCTGGAAAGGGCGCCATGGTCTACGACGATGCGGGAAAGGAGTACATCGAAGATCCCTGGCCGGACGAATCATCTTGATCTGTGTGCTCTTTCTGTGCTTCCTTGTCTCACACATGTTTCGCCTTACTTCCCAGCGCAGGTGTCAGAGGCATTTTGCCGTTGTTCGGCCTTTTACACGTGTCAGGCTATGGCAGGGCTTTGGTGCACTGCTCTGGGCTGGGGGCATGAAGAGCTCGTGGAAGCAGCCGCGAGCCAGATGAGGCAAAGCGTGCCATCAACACATTCACATAGTTGAGCATGTCGCATACGTGTGCTGCGGACTCATGCCTGACTTCTGAGTCCTTTGCCGCATTCTGCCGCAGTCGAAGGTGGTCTTCCTCCTCAACATTCATCAACACTCCAATTTTGTCGTCTAGCGGTCTTGCGGGTCTAGCGATCGTGTAGACAGAGGGAGGGATGTCTTTAAAGTAATTTAAATCAGCGACGCCGGAACATCGGTCTGCGCTTTGAATGCCTACTGGGGGGCGCGACTCGTTGTCCCTGCTCTGCGCAGCGCGTGTTTGTCGTGATGTATTAGAAGCCTTTCCCTTGGCACGGCACGGAAAAAGAAGAAGAGATGGCATGTGTTTCGTACACTCTCTCCAGGGCATGCGCCTACTGACCCTTACTTCTAATTCGAGCTTTGGACGAAAGTCCAAGAGTCCGAGTCGCATGCAGTAGATCCAGACGTACGCGGGGCACACGTTTCAGGGAGGATTTGAAGGCTCAGTTTGTTAAAGAGCTGTCGTTGTCACAGGAACTTGTCTTACTACCATTGCTTCGCGGGCCGACAAGTTCCCATTGCAGAGGACAGCTACAAATGCCACCGCATGAGAGATGTGAAAGCAGCTATGAAACAAGCTAGTCCTCTTCCTTTTCTGCCATAGGAGAGGGTTACCCGAAGAGGGAGAGGTGGCAGGGATTGCCAAGGTTTGAACTCCTCTTGGGGTCTAGTGCCCCATCGTAGATCCCTGCAGACCCTCGTAGGTTGAGGAGGGAGCGGAAGTCTAGAAGTGGGTTTTGTTCGAGGAGCTGGCGGACAAAATCATCAGCCTGGCTCCAGAAAACTTGAAGGGAGGCAAAGTGTTCTTTGGAATGTCCGGCTCGGATGCCAATGACACGTGGCTTTGCTGTGTACTCTCAGCCTCCAATACCTTTCGACTCAATGCGGTTCACTGTGGTTCACTGTGGTTTGGAGACTTCACATGATCATCGCCTGCATCGTCCTGCTCACACCGAGGCAGGTGCGAGTCTTGTGGCATTACAACACCATCAGAGGGCTGCCGCAGAAGAAGAAAATCATTGCGAGAGCGGGTGGCTACCATGGAGTCCTTCGGCAACCGAACGGTCAATAGTGTTCGTCCACTCACCAAAAGCACATGTTTGTTTTTTCTTCTCGTGGGAGCGGGGCGTTAGGAACATCAGGCTCCCCCCACCGTAGATCTGGCAGCTCCTGCCTCCTGGTTCGCTTGTTTTAGATGCCTGTCGACCGAAGTGAATTACATCGTAGTGCAGTGCAATTGCCCTTTCAAGCTGCTAGAAGTCTTCAGGTCACTTTGGCCAGCGGGTCCATCACCGCACTCCCCCACGTCCATGCGCAGATGGGGCTTCCACTTGATTTTGTGCGGCATGTCAGCTGCCCATCCTTTTACCGCCACTTAGCTGACTACAAGGAGCGGTGACTTCACCCCGAGTCCCCCTCCATTAGCTGACTGCACTGCTGCGCTACTCCAGCTGCAAAAGCATGAGGTCCCCACCCTTGCAACTCTTGCACGTCACAACTGGACTTTTCATTTGTGGCTTGGAATCTCAGGCTACGGCCGAGACGGCGAGTCCGAGGCCGACTTCGTGCGGCGCCTGGCCGCGGAGCTTGAGGAAGCGATCCTCAAAGAGGGCCCGGACCAGGCTCGACACGCGAAGAACATGAGAGCTTCTGCAAGTCACGTCGAAGACGAAGAGCCACCCTCTGCTTTTCATATTTCAAGGGATCCTAGACGAGGTGGCTGCCTTCTTTGCTGAGCCTCTACAAGGCGCTGGTGGGGTGATCCTGCCGTGCCTTGTCAGGAAAACAGCAAACCAGCATATTTTTTTCGGAAGCAATCAAAAAAGACCATCCTGGGGCCAATGGGGTGCCATCAGCGTACCAGGGTGAATTCTCCACAGCTCCTTGGATGCGGGGGCACAAGGCAGCTCACTAGGTAGGCCAAAGAAGGAAGACATTGTCCCGTAGAAGGGTGAGAAGGATTGGTCTGAGGCCGGCCGGCTACTTCCCTGCGATGAGGGAGGTCTGCGAGAGGCACGGCAGCCGGTGGGAAAGGTCGGAGCGTTTCGGAAGTGCTGGGAAGTGTCGGAGGTCCAAATCTGGTAGGCCTTGGGATGCAGTAGGGGCTTTCACAGAGGTACGATTTGATGTAGGCCCTGTCCGCAAGGGCCGTGCTGTCAGTGCTTTCCTTCTGGGTGCAGTAGTCCTCCGGCGCAATTGGGCAGAGGTACGACGTTCTGGTCGTTGGTGATGAGGTCATCACCGGCTTTGGCCGTACTGGGCAGATGTGGGGCTGCACTGCGTTTCAACAGAAGGCGGATTTCCTGAGCTGCGCCAAGCAACTCACATCAGGGTACGTGCCTCTCAGTGCACCTCGGACTCGCTGTTCTTGTCTTTTGGAAAGTTGTACACGAGTTTTGCAGACAAAAATTGTAACAGTACACGATTCAGACTAGTACACGATTCAGAACATAGAGGCCGCCATCATCCCTCGCTTTGCCTACGAAGCCATCGAGGCCTCCACCGAGCGTCGAGGCCCGCATGTTGGGGCACCCGGTCTCAGAATCGCTCTTGACATTCACTGTCGCTCTCTTTTGGCAGAATTGTAAGATTCCATATGCGGTAGCACAGTATCCGGCTAGCATTTGTCAGCCATGTCGACCTCACATGACAGCCCGAAGCATGTGCTCACGGTGGCGACTATTTCGCAGGTGTTTTTCGACCCACAGACGCTCAGGTTGAAGTAGGTGCGCGCGAAGGTAGAAAAGTACTGCCGGCAGACACTACCGTGTGCAGGCATACTGCCAGGGGCCCCGGGCAGAGTATTGACCGTACAAGATGATGGTGCGCAAGATGGTTTTAGCAAGCCAAGATGTTGTTGGATTCGAAGTGACAAGTTGGAGTTTGGTCCAACACCGAAGGTAAGTTGATTCATCCGGAGTGTTACCCTGCACTCTTTTCGACAGCGCGAAGATGCCTCGGGAGAAGACTCCGTGTGCAAAAGGAGAGATAGACAGGACACGGCTAAGCCCGTTAGCAAGGTTACACTGGCCAAGGCTACGCCCGCTAGCAAGTCGAAGCCGGCTGGTAACGCGAAGCCTACGGCCAAAGCAAAGCATCAGCAATCAATATTCTTCCCGAAGTGGAAGCGAGATGGCGTTTGCAGCAGATCTTTCACGTCTGCCACGAATTGATGTTGATCCCGAAATAGAAGCATCTGCCGCGGCTGGTTATTTTGCAGAATCGCAGCGCGTGTCAGGTGGAGTCTTTGGCCATGGGTACACCTACACTGGTCACCCGGTGTCGTGCGCAGGCATGGAAGTTTGATGAAGGGAATTCTGGATGGTCGTTGAAGTGTACAGTTCGGTGTAACGAGTTCTGTTCCGAGTTCTCTGTTCCGAGTTCTGTTCCGAGTTCTGTTCAATTGCACCGCGAATCTCCCAGTTGCGCTGAAGATGCTGGAGATATTCGAGCGAGACCAGCTTCTGGAGCTGCTTGGCGGATATTAGGACTCGAGATATGACTGAATTGATATGCACTCAGCATCATGTGGAACAAATTTAGCTGATATCACCGCGTTGAGAGGGCATTGACCCGCATGTGTGGAGGATGTGGGGGCATGTTGTGTGCAGGAAGGTGACGCAGCTGGCACCTCTTTTTCAGCAGCGGCTTCTTGGCCTCTCAGCGCATCCGCTGGTGGGCAATGCTCGCGGCATAGGCGACGTGGCTGCCAATCTGTTGAAGTGCCCGACTTGTTCTTGCTTGAAAGGCCCGAAAGCCTAAATTCGAGTGCTCCAACTTTCATTTCCCTGCCCCAAACCCATTGATAAACGCCCAGCTCAAACTTTGTGTCCCAACCATGGATTTCAGCCTTTCGCTTGTTTTTGCACTCAGGTCTCATCGGCGCAGTTGAGCTGGTGAAGGAGAAGGAAACCAAGCAGCCTTACGATGCCAGCCGCACCTTGGCAGTCCACCCTCTTCGGAGATTCATAGGAGCTTCCTTAAGCCTTTCTTGATGCTGTTGTGCTTTGCTGCCAGGTGCCGTGGCGGCCAAAGTCGTGCAGTTTGCTCTGGAACGTGGGCTCATCGTCCGGGCGCTTCCCCATGATGTCGTGTCAATTTGTCCTCCACTTATTGTGGCCTCGCTGAGAATGAGGCATTCATCTGTCTTCTCACATGAAGAAGCTGGAGTGAGTATCAGCCTTAATACCTTAATTAATGAAGTCTTATGGACGGCTACTGAGGTGAGTGCCGCAGATGTCAATGAGATCTTCGACCGATTGGAGGGTGCACTCTCCGATGCGCTGGCAGCACTGGAATCGGCGCCCTGACCCTCTTTGCCGGCACCTTTGTGCCTCTCTTTTATCGTTCTTTGCATTAAAATGCTGCTAAATATCTTTTGTGGTCCCAGTTGCCAAAGAGCACTGATCGAAGGGTTACTCCTTCTCTGCGTTGCCCAGAACTCTGGTGAGGGCCAGGATCAGCAGCCAGCGCGCAGCACGAGAAATGGTGAACAGAGCCATTGGTGTGGGTCATTGCGGGTCAGAAGCAGGGGGAAGATGCGAAATCATCTAAAGCTGAGGCCTCGTCTGCTCGCAGATCTCTTTCCAGGCCTCAAGCGCCAGTCCGGGCTCCCAGCAACGAAGTCCGAACATTGTGAGCGCTTCGCGTGCCCGCCTCGGCAGCCCAGCCAAGAGAGACCAGCAGAAGCTGCGCCAACACAAGTCCTATATGGCAATGGACCTTTAAAGACTGTCGACGTTGCAAGCCTGCAGCACTTCCTGCGCTCTCCCCATTTTCCACCACACTGCTTCGCAGATGCCACCCGAATTTGTCTGAACGCCGGTCGGCCACACGGATTCGGCGAATCCAACCTCGGCTGCACGGAGGTTGGATCCAGAGGCCCCCGTCTTCTGCCCTGCCGGCACTGCGCAGGCAGCGCAGGCAAGGTTATAAGGTTGTAACTTGATTCAACACATTTCAACGTCAAGGCTTTTGCAAGTGCCCCATGGGCTGTTCCATCTGCAAGGCTCACCACGCACCATCGGCTTGGACCGATGCCTGGGCATTGCCGTGTTGGCCTCAAAGTGTGTACCCAGTGTGTACCAGTACGATTCTACATTGATGTACGACTACGCTTGCAATGCAGAGAAAGTGTACATATTATCGTTTCTGCTCAAGAACGCGGCTCTTCGGTTGGGCTGAGGCCGGCGCTCTCTATGACATTGTCTGGTCTGCAGGGTGGTTGGTGCGATGCATACCGCTGTGTCTACTTGGCCCACGTCCTACTTTCCACAGCATGCAGCATTTTCATTGTCACATGACTTCGACAATACTGCATGTTTCTTCCTGATGACACTCTTCTCGTGATGTCGTCATTGAGCAGCCAGGTGCAAAATGATCGCTGCCACGTCACACTCAACACGGGCCAATATACAGTGGTTCCCTTGTCTCAAGATGCGCGAGCTGTCTGGTGGCTCCAGACTCTTTGCCAGCGTTTGGGAATCTGGCAAGAAGCCATGGTGTGCCATTGGATCAGGGTCACCAGAGCTGCTGTGACAAGCGCACGAACAAAATGCAACTGAAGCCGAGGCGCTGGTACGTGGATGACGAGGCAAGGCTTCCAGCGTCAGAGGATAATTCCACATAATTGTAAACGCTTGCGCGCGCCGCCTCGGCAGCCGGGCCGGCCCCAGGACAGGAAAGGAGGAAAGAGGGTTTCGGGAGGGGTGGGGGGGGGGGTGGGGTGGGGTGGGGGGTGGGGGGGGGGTGGGAGGGGGGTGGGGGGGTGGGGGGGGGTGGGGGGGGTTTTTGAGGCACTCCCCTGTAGGAGCCACCGACAAGCGGGACCCTCCACGGCAGCGGTTTGCAGCTCCTCCAAGGGATTGGGGGGGTCCCACAGGGGGGGGGGGGGGGGGGGGGGGGGTGGCGTCAGAAGATTTGGCATGGGAGGAAGGGTTGGGTTAGGGGGAAGGAGGCCCGATCCGGGTCTGCTTGTTCCAGACGCTTCTCGGCAGGAAGCCGAGGCGAATTCCATTCCATTCTTAGCTCCTGGCAGGCCGTCGTGAGAGCCCGAGCAAAGGGAGAGCTCCGATGGACGCCTACCACTCCACAAGATCAACCCTTGGTGTGGCAGGAAACTCAGGAAGTGACAGTGCTTAGAGAGATATAGGCTGTCGCCTCTCGTACAGCTTGGGGCAGCCTCTGTTGCCTTGCAGACGCAAGGGCGTTCGCGCCCACAGGCAGTCAATCAATCAATCAATCAATCAGAGAGATATAGGGAGCCTGCCCTGCCGAACCAAGAACATGTTCCAAATTAGAAGGGATTCGGGGAAGGATCGAGAAAAGAATGATTAAAGTGTGCAACGAGTTGGCAGCATATTCAGAAAGATATCGAGTGATCAACAGAGGGGATGTCAAGGGACCTGGTTCGGCATGAGTGGATACCTAGGTGGTACTACAGCCAGTGAACCTCATCGATGACTTGGTGAGTGGCTTACGTCTTAAGACTTCGTACTTGTAAGCTATGTTGCGCTCTTACACTCCGAGCTGCACCTTGCAGCAGTGCACAGGGAGGATCAGCTCGATCGTCCCCAAAAGTGGGAGTTCGATTTCGATTTTAGCTCCAGTCTCGTCTTCTTAACTCTCACATACGGCGCAGTTGTGCCGTCGATTCATGTTACAGTGTTGGCTCACTGTTGGCGTCTTCTGTTTACGACTGCACCACAAGAAGATGACACGATGGTGATGCAAACACATCCCGTCTATGTGCTCTGACTCTGACTTCAATCAGGGCGCCAACATGTACAGCAAGAGCCTAGTGGCCTAGGCAACAGGGCATTCGGTTCAAGGTTCTGGTGTTTGTTGCATGACCCAGGCGCTGCTTGTGACGGCTTCAGCATTACTTTCGCTTGTGGCTCCAGCTGCCCTGCCTTCTGCTTGGTCCACACTGGGCAACGCTGTCAGCAGAACCTTATCCCGACCGGCATGTCCCTGCACCTGCACGTATACCAAAGCATGGTGTAAGTATGTGTAAATCAGCACGATGCCATAAGCTGCAACACGGTGAAGCGGTGTGAGTGCAAGTATCCGATGCCCTCGCAATTTGTGAGCTTGAGCTCGGCTTGGATGTCCTGAGCGCGGTGAGAACACGGTGAGATGTTCCGAGCCGTCGCGCCGCTTGTGTCGCAATGAGCGGGTTGCTTTCTGTCATTTTCGGTTGCTGTCGAGATTTACCATTCGATTTCCGAAGCAGGGCACGGGTCTTCGACGAACTCGAGGCGGAGGCGGAGGCGGAGCAAGGCCGGCAGAAGCTTTGCTCGCTGGGCCTTGGGGGAAGTAGCTCCCGCCTGCGCTCGCCTCAGGTGAGATAGATGGATACGAGGAGCCCATCTTCGAGGATGTCTTTGAGACGCAGGTCAGGCGTGCGTTGATGTTGCGGCCGCCGTCACTTTCAACTTCTCTCATCCCTCATCATCCCAGCCATTTAGCTTGAGATCAACTGGAAGCCTTCCTGACACAACCGCACGCACAGGCAAAGCTCACAAGCAGCTTCTTCCTTATCTCGAAAAGCCTGTAAAATTGTGTAAAATTGTACTATGTACAAAAGCACCCACGCCATGGCGAAGCTCTTCTTTCTGGCCACCTCTACTCCGATTCTTGTTCACGCCCACGCCCCGGGCGCAGCATTTCTTTTTCGCAGTTTTTGCTGCCAAGCCGTGCCCCAAGGCAGGAATACCTCGCCTTGAGATCGTCAACGGCTGTCCTCATGAGACAATTTGGATCGCACACCTGGCCAACGCACACAAGCTGCACTTGTCGAGTAAGCTTGACTTTGCATTTGGAGAGATGCGCATTCAAAGCTGAGGTTGGGATTGGGTTGCGTGCTCAGTGCCTTTGAGCTGGCAGCAGCCAATGATCCGCCAAAAGTCTTTCTGACGTTGTGTACTCAGTCCTCAACGCCCAGGCCCGGACCCATCAACCACGCTATTCCACCTTTAGGCACGGTTCAGACAGTGCACCACCTGAGTCTGTCTCTGACACCCTCTCTGCGTGATGGGCAGAGCTGATGGAAGCTGCGGTCTCATTACGGGCCAAAAAGGCAACATGATTTTCGACGAGACTGAGACTGACCAGCTTGCTGGAGCACGCTACTGGCCAAAGATGGGTTGTGATCAGGATGGGTGCGGGGCTCAGCCGCTCAGCCGCTCAGCCGCTCAGCCCTGTGCATACGCCTGACTTCGGCGATGCGGCCCAGCGGGCACAGCAGCTGTCGTGAGGAACAACTGCATGTTGGGTGGTTCGGGCGGTCCTGGACAGCACTGTGTGGCAGCCTCAGTTACGCCTTCCTCATACCTCCCCCTTTTCCTCTCGACGCTGGCCGTGGCCAAGAATCAGCTGAAGCCCGACTACTCTCTGTGCCAGCCGCCAATCGACACCAAGTTTGAGGCGAGCACGTGTCCTGAAGGTGAGTAGGAGTAGGAGATGGTAGGTTGTCTTGGCACCTGCCAGGCCACCTGGGGCAAGAAGGTGGGGATTCGCCCGTGCAAGCTGTTGCAAACATGTTGCGAATGGCAAAGCTGCTGCAGACTAGTGACTAGTAGAAGGCCTTGTGCTTGAAAATTGTGCAATGCGGTGCAGGGGGAGCCGTGCAATCCCGCCAATCCTGCCCAAATGGCTCATGCCCTAGAAGCTCTCACACCTGGTGGTGCAGAAGCTGCGCTTACGTAGAGACTAATGAGTAGCTGCTGCATCTCCGCAGATGTCAACGCCCCTGCATACTGTCTTGGTCCAACATCTTCCCTTGAGCGAGCAAGACACTGCGAAGTGTTGTGGGCTGTTGTTTTTCATTGGAGCAGCGATTTCTGAAACATTTCTACGGTGAAGAAGCCGCCACCTCACTGTTGAGGCTGGCTGTGACTTCATTGACATGAGCTTGGTCGATGGCTTCACGCTGCCTTTCAAGCTGGACATAGTTTCCGGGCAGTGCACTGGGCAGGCGCGCCTGCTGAGGGATGAAAGGAACGAGGAAGGGACGAAGGGAAGAATATGGAAGGAGTTGACAAAATTTGACACAAAGAGCAGATTCGGAGATTGAGATTGTGCCTGTGCCAGGCGCCTCAACCTGTCACAAGCTTGGATTGCAGCGGTCTCTCTGTGGACAAGTGCCCGGTCGACGACAACCTGGGCAAGGGACCCACCAACATGCAGGCAAACCACACAACTTTCAAGAACTCTCCAAGGTGTTTCAGCAGTGTCAGCCAACAGTGGTTGCAAGAGCACCTTTCGCAGAGATCTTGAGAGGCGATCAACCCCAAGATCAACAAGCCCGTCGGTCCAGGGCTTCAGCCATGAACAAGTGCGTTCTCCCTCCCTCTCCCTCTCCCTCTCCCTCTCTCACTCTCTCACTCTCTCACTCTCTCACTCTCTCACTCTCTCACTCTCTCACTCTCTCACTCTCTCACTCTCTCACTCTCTCACTCTCTCACTCTCTCACTCTCTCACTCTCTCACTCTCTCACTCTCTCACTCTCTCACTCTCTCGCTCTCTCGCTCTCTCACTCTCTCACTCTCTCACTCTCTCACTCTCGCACTCTCTCACTCTCTCACTCTCTCACTCTCTCACTCTCTCACTCTCTCACTCTCTCACTCTCTCACTCTCTCACTCTCTCACTCTCCCTCTCTCCCTCTCTCACTCTCTCACTCTCTCACTCTCTCACTCTCTCACTCTCTCACTCTCTCACTCTCTCACTCTCTCACTCTCTCACTCTCTCACTCTCTCACTCTCTCACTCTCTCACTCTCTCACTCTCTCACTCTCTCACTCTCCCACTCTCTCACTCTCTCACTCTCTCACTCTCTCACTCTCTCACTCTCTCACTCTCTCACTCTCTCACTCTCTCACTCTCTCACTCTCTCACTCTCTCACTCTCTCTCTCTCCCTCTCCCCAAGGGCGCTATCAAAACCAATGCAGGGATGGTGTGCCCAAATGTATTCAAACTGTGCAGCTGTGAGCACACTCTTCAAGTTGCTGTACTTCAGTCAGCTTGTGTTCTAATCAGGTAACCGAGAGCAGAGCCCACAAAACGAGGAACCACTCTACGCAGTTTGGCAGAGCTCCCAACAAACATTTCAGACGGCCTTCCCAGAATATCAAGACGTTTGCTGCCAAATTGGAGAAGGCAAGACTGGTAAGACTTCTGACGGAGAGTTTGACAAGCCTCAGGTTGTTACGCTCCATGCCTGAAGCTGATTGACCCCAAGTGGAACAACGGGCAGGTTGGATGCCACGTGCAAGGGGAGCGTAACAAAGACTGCAACGAGCTGCAGCCTTTCTCTTGCAGGCCCAGGGGAAGACCCGCATGGACCCAGATGTGACCAAGTACTGCCTGCGCCTTAGAGAATGCGTTGCCCTTGAAGCTGCTGGCCTTATGCACAGCACAGCAGCTGCTGGGGCCGATGGCAAAAAAGACCGCAGAATCCGGTTCCACAGACACAGAATCACAAACCACGAATGCACTTGTTTCAACAGTAACTCCCAACTCCTCCAACACGAAGGAGCTCCGCCTACAGCAGGAGCTGACACTTTCAAGTATGTTCGCACTCCCCAGTCGGCCTCCTCGAGAAGACAAGCAAAGATCTTGGAGGACAAGCAGTTTTAACCTCCAAAGCCCTGGTTCTGCTTCTCACGAAGAACCCAGAATGTATTCGTTCAGTATTTGACCAGTGAGTATACTAGTTCCTCAAGGTGGACATGTCAATTTTTTGGAGGTGACACGCGCCCTGGGGGGGTTCCCTCGGTGTGCTTGTACTTAGCCATGTTTTCGGCACTGCTGGTGGCGATTTGTTTGACATAATTATTTGGAGCCATGATTTTGGGATCTAGCGCCTGGTGATGTGAATACAGCTTGTGGGCCCCCTTTAATAAAACCTCTGCAAGCAGCCGTCATGAGAACACCAGCTGTTCTCTGTGGACTCCGCTGGCCGTCGCTGTTGATGTGTATATTCAATAGTCAAAAAGCGTGTTGTGTTCAGCTGCGCGCGAGGCTGTACCACGCCGCCGGAAAATTCCGGAACCTGCAATGCCGGGCCCTTGCCGCAAACAAAGTACGTCCAGGCAGCAGGGTTTGGTGTGAATCTCATGTGAGCACGTGTGTCGGGTTCGGGCTTGCAAAACGTCGACGTATGCATCCGTGGCAGACGGTGCACCAGTTCTGCCCTGGTGTGTACGCCTTCGCCTACGATGATGGTCAGCGCAGGGATGCTACTTCTTGCACTTGCGTCATTCGAGTCATGCGCCTGTGTCGATGAAAGTGGTGCAAGTGGAAAACAGGCCAGGGCTTAATGCGCTGCACATATGGTCCTGGGCTCAAAGACTGGGCTCAAAGAGCTTTCAAAGTTAATTCTCATACAGGCACATCCGGGCCATGCCAAGCTATGCCAATCTCCAGGCCAGTACAGGCTCACGTTCATGTGCCCTGGCATCCCGTTGACGGAGCAGAAGTTCGAGAAGCTCGAGGAGGTCAAGGTGCGTTGGGTCGCCTTACCATAGATATCTGCTTCATGCCTACGGCAACCTACTCAGAATCTACTCAGAGAAGGATTCGGACCTGCTCTTCTCCTTCGGCGGCGCCCTGACGTTCGTTTTGTTTGCCACCGGCCCAGCGGTTTGCACTTTGCATCTCTTTGCCGTGTGTTTTCACACTTCTCCTCTTTGATTCTTGTTTCTCTCCTTCTTCTCCTCCTTCTCCACTTCTCCCTTGCGAGTCTCTGCCCGAGCATTCGTTGCATTCTTTGGCAGTCTTTGCTTGTTTTCACCCCTCTTCAGCCCTCTTCAGTGTCAATTTGAGGCGGCCGTCCTGGGTGTGGGCCTGGCTGTGGCTGCGTTCAAAAACTTCCGCTTCCGGGACCGCCCGGAGCTTGGAGAAAATGCCACTGGCGACAGAGAAGAATGAAGAATGGTCGGCCAGCACGACACGAACCAGAGAACGCGTGATAGAGATGTCAAGCAGTACAATTGAAGAGCGATGTCGAGAGGCAGTTGTCATTCGCGCCCAGGCGGGGGGAGAAAGTAGGATTTGTCAGGCCTTGGCTGGATGCCCGGGACCCGTTCGCGGAGCTCCATGGATTTGATTCTTCCACCAGAGTGAAGCTGCATACAGATGTCGGCTAATGCAGGGGCCTGCAGCCTGCAAGAAGGTTGAGCAAAGCGGACTTGAACATAGAAGCTATGGCCGCTTAAGCCAACCACTCCAGTCACAAGCACTGATTTGATCTGTCGCTCTCTTTCAGGATCCTTGCTTGAATTCTGTAGGTACTTGGCTTTGCAGTACGAAGCGCTACCAATGAGCCCTTGCCGTTTGCAGTCCGCTCATGAGATCAAGGAACAGAGCGTATACTTCCTAGTTCCATTGGGCTTTGCCAAAGCTGCATCCCAAGCCTATTGCGATGAAGCCGCACTAAATGGCACTAAGTCTCACACACTGACAGCATCATTCTGAGTCATTCTGAGTCCTGTTTCATTTCAACTTGGCCTCTGTTGGCATGTTTGCTCTCGGGTCTGCCGGCACCATATGCGCACGCATCTGAAGTCTTGTGATCCTGCTCTGAGCCCTCCTATGCTGCTCAGCTGTGCTCAGCTGCAAGCGCAATGAGACTCATGCACCGTCGCACTTTAAGGAGATCTTTTTGAATTAATTGAATGAATGCTCTTTTCAAAGTTTGGCCAGGCCAGCCACACGGCAAGCCGGGCATCTGCCGTGAAGAGAACCATTTGCAAGTTCTGGGAGGATTGTCCTATTTCTGCCCTAGCTTAGTTTCGGTCGTCTTTGACAGAAGCACTTTGTGGTTCCGATTCGCCAGGAGGGGGCCTGCAAGAATGGAGCCAGTTGTGCCTTAGAATGCAACAGCCAGAGTCTCTCTTTTTTCCATGGCCTTTGGCTGTGAACATCAGTAGACGTTCTCCGCACAGTGGGTGCTCTTTGCCATCCAAGGCACCTGGGCTCACGGTGCACCCCACGGGATTCTGTGTCTGAATGTTGGGTGTCCTGAGCAGGGTACATGTGTGCACCCTTGTGCACCTCTACCATGATCTATGATTTCTTGGGCTCATTGACCGGAAATTGGGCTTTGACATTATGTACAGCCGCCTCACCAAATGGCAGCTGAACGCATGAGGGGACATTCATCGGGGGCCAAGAAGCTGATGACACTTTCTTGGCTGTTTAGAAATTACTTGCTGCTAGCCAAAGGGGGTTGGTCGAGTTGTAGAGTTAGAGTATGTTAGAGTCCATCCAAGAATGTGAATTTGGGAGGGGGCTGAGCCGGCGCTTCCGAGATGCGATGATCCAAGCGGCGGGGCAGTCGGCGCCACCGGTGCATCAGCCGGCGCTTCGACATGCCTCCAAATCTGCACTTAGCAGCTACAAGGGCCATCTAAAGCCATCTAAAGCCTTAAGCATGCGCGACCGAGAGTCCAAGAAAGCTTTTTGCATCGGTCCTCAGGACGTGCAGCTCAAGCAACTCGCGTGCAGCTTCGCATCAAAGCCAGGCCTGTCGTTGCGGCCCAGTGCAAGACTCTGCACACCTCCATTTCTGCTCAATGGCCCTGCAGGGTCTGACAATGTAGACCTACAGCTTGCAGGCCTTGCTACAGAGTTCGTTTCAGCATGTTTCAGCGTGCTGATGCCTGCTGCAGATGAAGACAGTTGTATCTGCATTGCACTGTCGCACATAGGTTCGGCCATGCGCTCGGCCCGAGGTTTTTTTCAAGGCTTGAAAGGCTGCAAAGGGCTTTGAGGAGCTGTAGAACGGGGCAATGTCGGACTCCCAGTCGGGCCAGTTGCGGCCTTCGACACCTTCAACACCTTCGACACCTTCGATGCAACCCTCGATTCAGCCATCGATTCAGCCTTCGATGCCTTCGAGATCGGATCCGGAGCCTGGGGTACCTGGCCTTCGCTTACCTGGCATGCCAGAGGCGGAAGCCTGTTTGGATTTTGACAAGCATCTGATCCAGCCAATCAAGCCTCTCTGGAAGCATCCGTTCCGGTCCCGGCCCGATCCCAACGTGGCCACGGCCAATGTGGCCAACGCAAAGGACATCGCCGGGGTCCCCGCTTTCCCGACGGCGACGACAGTGAGAGGTCCCGCTACACTCACTGCATTAGTGGCCGAACGTCATCAACGTCGGCAAGCACGCGAGCATCGACAGCTCGCGTGTGCGCTGCACTGGGGCCGCCAGCAAGACCGTCAGGAGCGCATCGCCCTCGATCTGGATAGGACTCCACAAGCTTAAAGTACAGTTCGGCCTTTGGAAGACACCAGCGCATGGTCACAATGCTCGAAGAGCAGGTGCCTGCAGCTTGGACAGCGGTAGTTCTCTGTCAGTATTATGTTGAGAACTGCTCCTGGCCGTTTCTGCAATTGCCAGCACGTCAAAGAGATGTTTTAGCCTCCTGACTGCTTTCTCGTCGTCATGCAGGCGAAGAGTTTGCATTTATGTAACGGCATAGTCAAAGCTTTGGTGAATGGTGCTCTTTCCGGAGAGCATGAGCAACCAGCATCAGAGCACCCTCCTTGCCGCCTGTACATATAATTCATGGACGTTATATAGCCTGTTAAAGGCACACAATTAAGTTGCACGGCTCCTTGCCTGGACAGAATTAGCGCAGTTTCGAGCCCTGTTGTGCCAGTGTGACCATTAGCGAGATAAAAGGCTGTCCAAGTGTAGTAATGCTTGCCGAGCCCAGGGGCGATGCGAATGAGTTCGAAGTTCGAAGTCCTGTTCAGGTGTTAGTGTGCTAATCGCCACCGTGCCGAGCCCGGCCATAGTTTGATGCACCATGACTTTGAAAGGGCAGAAGGAAATATGTACCGCAGACTCTTTCCAAGGCCTCTGAACTCGAATCCTTTTCCTCAAGTCGCATCATTCTGTTGTGCTGTAACGCTTTTTGGCAGCTTCGTCATGCAGCTTTGAGTGTGTGGTGCCAACGGCGGAGCCGAAACCCATAAGAAGAGCCCTCTGCCTGCGTACGTAATGCTGGTAGTGCTGGTGACATCTGGTGAACTTCGGCAGAGTTCAAGACAGACACGCGCATTCTTCAGCAACGATGTGGCACCAAGGTGCCACTGGCTCGGCGACGCCAGTGGCGGGCACTGAGCACTCGCAGGCGGAGAAGATGCGCTTGCTACACTCTGCTACACCTTGATGCATGTCGCCTTGCTCTCAATGGCTTTGGAGGATGCCAGGCTACAGAGGCTTGGCCCCTCGTTTTTGCTGAGTCCGTCACGCTTGTGCAAGCACCTCCCTTCCAGGCACAGCGCAAGGCCATGTCCCTGTTCGAGCCCTTGAAGGCACTCTTTGTTGGCAGTATTCGGCAGTTCTACTAGGACTCGACCTGAACAGAGCTGAATGTTGTTATGCCGGAATGGGGTTTCCCAAGTTGCACATCTTCAATGGAGTGCAGGCAGCAAGCACGTTGAGCATGTGTGCCATAAATCTCTGAAACTCTGAATGCTCCTGAGACTAAGCACGCATGGCTCCAATACCAGCTGCTGAGTCATAGCTGCTGTGGGGGTTGGTTGGCTGGATGGCTTTCGGATGTTTGGAGGAGGTTCGTTGGAGGGTGATTCCCAGACACGTTGGAGGCACTTCGAACGGCAGCATTCTTGGCATGTTGACGCGGGATGACGTGCGAGACTTGGAGACATGATGCTCACATCCAGGTATGGTCATGATTGCCATTGATGACTCATCATTAGTCATTAATGAGTAGTGCTTCGTGTGTCAAGTTTTGGAATGGTTTCTCAGGTTGACAGCTGGGAAGATGAGGAGGAGGCCTTGCAAACAGCCGGAAGACCCGGAAGACGTGTTCTTTTCGCTTTTGGGCTTTTAGGATTTCCTGGAGGGCTTCGAGGAAGACCTCCAGAAGGGCATCGAGGCCCCCAAGCCAATTGGGAAGCTTTGCGTTGTGCCGGAAAAGCAAATGTGGTCCGTCCCCCACGGATTCCAGGCACTGCTGGGAACCTGTTACAGACCCATTTGCCAACACCCTTTCTTACATGTGTTGAATCCGCTCATTCCTTTTCAAAATTTCACCATGCGCCAAAGCCCTCTCGCACGTCTGTTCGCGTCCTTTCTCGTTTTGTTGAAACCAACCACTATTTTGCAGTGCCGAAACACCTTCTCTACAATCTGCCCACGCCGTACCAACAATGTTGCTTTGAAACCAGCCCGCACAATCCGAATCACGCATGTTGAGCCTCGGAAGTTTTGGAAGGAAGGTGCCTGCTTTGGCCACATGTTGCTTGTGCTGCACTCCCCTGTTGCAGTCCTAACATAAGCAATGGTTGTGAGAGCAGGATGTGCTCTGGTACGGGGATGCCAAGCCAACTTCCACGTTCACAGTGCAGGGCAGTCTTGCAAGTCTCGAGCTGTGTCGGTCGAATGAATGATCCAGAGGTGTGCTTGACAAGCATGGTGACTTTGTTCCACATGGAGCTTTGCTGGACATGTGTCTGGCCAGTAGAACAGGAATAGCTGAATGGTTGTTTAAAGAGTAATTCAACGTCTCGCTCTTCTTACCTGCCTTGCCTATGTGCTTTGGGATATGAGACTGCGAGGTTGTAGCAGCATCGTCTATGTCCCGTCTGGTGAAGACATGTCGACATGTTCTCCCTGCTGATGCCAGGAATCTCGAGATCGGCACCAGCGTGCGCTAGATGCAGGTCGCCGGGGCCCCACTGAGTAAGCCGGAACACAACTTGCCTCCGCTTGCCTCTGCTTTCCTGTTTGCCCAGCCATTGGGAACCCAGGAGCCGCAGGTCACCAACCCGTGTTGTTGGTCCCGACCATGCAGTGGCTCTTCCCTTCCCACTGCCTTGCCAACAGTGACGACGAGTTGAGTACCCCAGCAAAAACACGTCCTTCTCGCGTGTTCTTTTTGGTGGGAAGACGTCGACATTCCTAGGCACACCCTCGCACTCTGAGAGACCGCTCGAACGAAGGTATCCGATCTGGCAATGCGTTGTACTCCGGCTTGTACGTTGCCTGCAGCTTACGCGGTTTGTTTGTCTTGAAGCAACAGTCATCTGCAAGACAGTTTGAGGATTGCACCTTTGGGCGTGGTGGCTACAGCCGTGAGATCTTGTCACGCCTCAGCGAGGATGATCTTGGAATGCTACAGAGAGTCGCAGCTGCTGTTTGTGCTGCACCTTGGGCAGGATGGACGTCTTGTCGCGCTGGATATTGATCCCAGTTGCACCCAATCAGGCGTGCATGAAGCGAGCTGTGATTGCAGTTGCAAGCTAGACAATGACGCAGGGCGCTTACTCGAGGAGGAGGACTCCAGGCTCGTTCCGAAAGCGCATGTTTTGGGCTAACTGTGGCGGTAGTGAAGAATGTATTTGTGTGTGTGTGTGGTGCCAGGGTTGCTTAGTTACCTTTACGACGAAGACAAAGCCTATGCCAGGTTTTGTTTCCTGCCAGGATCTTTTGATGTGTCGAGCTTATTTGACCGGCTCGGCAGAAAGCAGGATGAAAAACTTAGAGTAGAGTACAAGTGCCTCAGAGGAACTGGACAAACTCTTCGGTGAAGAAGGTGCCGAGGTGGACTGTCTGACAGTCGCCACGTCAGATCAGTGCAACCTCCCAACCCAGATGGCGGACCTCATGGCGGAAGTCGGAAGACCGCAAGGTCTAGTGTGAGGTGCCCGGATGAATCTGCACATGTTGCGCGTCAGCCTACTAGACTGTGTTAGCTAGAGGCATCCGCCAGAGCAGCAGACTCCAAAAGAGCCCAATAATTCTGAGATGTTCTCAGCTTCGCAAGGTTCGATGTCGGCGTGTCCAGCGTTCAGCAGCGGACCCAGCAAGAGACTCTCAGCCCAACAGAGCCGGCTCGGTGGATCTCAGTTGACTCCGCGGTCGTGGAATCTCCTGACTGGATCTCGTATGGCCAGGGTGGACGACAAGAGCCGCGGCTTCAACATGTCCAACCTGTCTCGCTCCACGGACACGCTTGCACCACCTTTGCGCCATGAAACCAGCTGTAGGCCGAGTAGGCTGAGTAGGCTAGAGCAGTATGCCCTGCTGACGTGCTCTGAGGAGACTCGGCTGGACCTACGCATGAACCCAGAAAAAGGCCCTTCTGCGGCCGAGTGGTTGGAGGCTTGGAGAGACCCTTGTGACCGCGAAAAGCGGGAGAGTCTTGTTGAGTCTTGTTGCAGCTTTCCAGATTTTCCAGTTTTGTGCCAGGCTGCATCAGCAGAGGAGATCGCGTGGGTCTTGCGGGAATACGGCGACGACTTCCAGGTTCCCACCCTCCCCCCCCGGGCGCGCCCCCCTCTGCATTTTGATGACTCCCCTTACTGAGTGATCTCTTAGCGCTTCAATGCCACAGGAAGATGTGGAAGCAGAAAGGATGGCCCAGGCTGGGAGCGGAAGGCTGCCAGACTGTTGGAGCATCGGTCGCCATCACGATGCATTGCCAGTTGATCTACGATGACCAGCAAGAAAGTCGACCTGTCTGGTTTGCCGTCTGCGTTACTGTACGTTGAACACTTGGCTTCCCGGTCTCAGTATGACCGCCATGACAGATGGCCCCTTTCATTCCATGCAGCGCTTTGCCGAACTTGTGGGGCAAGCGAAAATCGCAGAGACCTTAATGTGTGAGGTTGTGCCAAGTCAGTGGAGGGATCTCCCAGCTCGTGCTGTGGAGGTAGGTGATGAGGAGTTCGAGCACACAGTACGAGGCCTGAAACTGAAGCCATGAGCTTTGTGACAGCTTCTGTGACATCCGTGAGAACGATTGTGACCACGACCGTTTGCGCGCTTGCATGTGTTATCGTGTGTGGGTGCATTGGCCAGGGAGAGAGCATCCTGCTCGCTTGACCGTGCAGGCTACGGTCCAGCTTAGCTTATTCTAGGGAATCTATAAAAAGCCAAGAATGTATATGACTCTGTACATGATCGATTTGTCGATGCGGAGGCAATACGTCTCTTCCTGAATTCGGAACTCGAGTCCCTACGAAAAGGTGCGAGACCTTCAGTCTTTTGTATGTTTTGCCTTTCTCGGGTCCCGGGAACCTCTTTGCGGATTTCGGAGACACATCCTAACTGTTGGCTTTATTGCTGTCTTGTCCAAATTCGAGGACTGGAGGCCGCATTCCGTGTCCTGGACTACGGGGGACGCTGCCTCGTCACCACCTTCAAGCGCAAGGAGGCCCGGAGGAGAGAGGAAACGGAGGTCACAGAAGTTATTGGGGAGAACCCGCAGCACATCCACTGGTCCCTTGAAATCTGAAGGAGATGGTTGTCCGGAGATTTGTTGCGAGCTTCGAGGACCCTGATGAGGCCACTGTCCAACCCTAAAGCTGTGCAAGTGGCACAAGCACATGGCCTTCTGTATCGATTTGCCTTGTCCCCGTCCATGCCGAGGTCGCAAGAATCAAGAAGAAAAGGCCGCCCGCAACGTGAGCAGCATGCACAGCTCGCGAGGGGGGGGGGCGGGGGGGCGGGGGGGCGGGGGGGGGGGGGGGGCGGGGGGGGCGGGGGGGGCGGGGGGGGCGGGGGGGAGCGGGGGGGGGCGGGGGGGGCGGGGGGGCGGGGGGGGCGGGGGGGAAGTTGCAAAGCTGTGGATCATCGCGCAGACGGCTGGTGGAGCTCTACCCTCTCTGCGGGCCGCAGAACCTAGTGAATCCTCATTTCGACAGACCGAGAAAGTTGAAAGAGAGACCCAGGACGGATCTGGACTACTCCGTGCGATTGATTTCTCTCCCGCTGAAGCGGGGCAGCTCAGGGCCCCGGGCTGCCTGGGCTGTTCTTTCAATTTCTTTCAATTTCCGTCAACACATTGCATTTGCACACCAAAGTCACCAAAGAGGGCGTTTCAAGTTCTATGATTCATCGCATTGGCCATCATTGGCACGTATCCAAGGAGCATCATATCGGGACGTCAGGGTATTCACTCGATCATGACATGAGTTCATGATCGCGACGAAGGGAAGTGCCGAGAGGCGTCCAGAGTTTGTGGAGCACGCCTGTTACCTGCATGTTATTCCAAAGCACAGAAGTCCCCATCTTGTTGACACCAGACCATCACGAGGTGAACGGGCCTAAACTTTGGCCGAAACTGTAGGAGACGGAAGGACCTGGAAGATCAAGCAGCCCTTGGGATACATGGGCTCAGATGTGACAACGTGCGCGGCAGCTTGAAGAAAGAGCTGGAACTTGCATGCCGACACAGCATCATTGGACGACCAACGGTAGACAAGAGACGAGCAGGGGATTTTGGAAGATAACGAGGATTTGTAGCTTCAGCGTGACGAGCTGGTCGAAACAATTGTCTGTTGATGTATGTTGCAATATTCTTACTGAGCGCTGAGCGACCAGCCCTGTCAATGCTTGCCCTGAGCTGAGAAACTGCTGAACGATGATGGTTTGATGGCCTGTGAGACCTTGCGCCTGCATTTAGCCTCCTCCCCACGTGCTGGAGCACAGACAGAGACAGGCAGGCACACGGAGACGGAGACACAGAAACACAGAAACACAGAGAAACACACAGAGACACACAGAGACTTTGAAAGGTTCGGCTAAATGCTTTGGGGGGGGGGGGGGGGGGGGGGGTATGGGGAGCAAAACGTGTATCAGATATCTCTTTAGAGAGAGATTAAGGACGTGTGCGTTTCTTTAACAATCTGAGAGGGTTCATCCATTGCGATGGACTCATGGCAATGGCAGGCCCCCGTTCAAGGGCTGCCACTGCAACAATGAAGAGAAGACGTTCTCGGACTGCGAGTGGCAGTCAAAGTCACAAAGTACAAGAGACTGGCATATCATACGGCGGCGATCCAAATGCCAGCCCGTGACTTAAAGAAGGTCGTTTACGGTTTATCAGGACCAGAACCTAGCACAGCGAGTCTGCTCACTCACACATGCGACGTTCCGATGGGACAAATATACCTACGAAGGAAGAGTCAGCCGAGAAGTTGCTGTCATGAGGCTCATGACATCATGAGCCAGTAGCTCGACACGTGTACGACAGAGTCTGGCTATAGACGGATTCGGGGAGCCAAGCGGAAGCGAGCGAAAAAGCTTTCACCGCCCCTCCAAGTTGAGCAGCTGTGCCATTGACGGGGACGTGTGCTGAGGCCGGCAGTTGGCGAAGTGGTCATGAACACGCGAGCACGCACAGGCCAACGTGTGAGTAGCAGATGCGACCAGTGTGGTGTCTGCCAGTATTTCTTTTTTACAAGGGTTTCAGGAGCATCTGTGAATGTAGAGTTACAGAAGCGGATCCTGCCTTCGCTCATCTTCGCTATTTTTTATTCTCCTTGTATTTTCACAATCCCATTCGCAGAGCGCAATAGATTCCGTGCAATCTTCGGGGCTGAGGCACCCGCAAAAGCAGCTGTTGCTTCAAAACCTGGGGAGTGGGGAGGTGTCATGCAGTGAACATTGCTACTCATGATTTCCAATGCTTCTTCTATCTGAAAGGGCAATCTTTTTGTTGCCGTCTGTGCTGCCGAAACTCCAAACGGTGCGTATGCAATGCTTGGCGGCAGAAGGCTTCGCGAAATCGAAGGTGGGAAGCAATACGATCCGCACAAGCCAACCCAACAAGGAAGACTGCGGAAGGTCCACAGAAGCCTGCCGGTGGAAGCTTCGCATTCCAAAGGGTTGTTGAAGGCTTATGGGATTCTTGAGTTTAAGATTGAACATAGTTGAAAGGTAATCATGAGCTGCGCAGATGAAAGAGTTAAACACGAATCTGCAGCCGAGCATTCTTGCTTCATGCGATGCACCTGTGGTACCTACAGGCGCACTCCACGTATTGGAGAAGGCTCCCAGAACCTGTCCACGCGTGCGGGTCAAGCCGAGGACAAGGGTAAACGAGCTCTCAGTGCATAAATCTTTCTATCGCTGGCTTACTGTAGAATGCTTCACATTGCTTCTCGATGGCTTCACGGCTTCACCCGTCTCTCCATTCCGCGGTGGCTAGAGCCCTTCAACAGCAGACCAAGTCCCAAATCGGAAGAATAGAGCCTGAGGAGCTCAGTGTTCTCAATTCTCCCCATCTCTCTGTTTCAGAGGCAAGATAATCAAGATATGAGGAGGTGTTGTGGATCGTATTCGCAATGCTCTTCGCATTCTTCGCAGTAGCGCCATATGCCGCTTGGAAATAGAATTTGGGGGCAACTTGAAGCAGACTAACCCCATGGCAGGACGCAGAAGAACCGTTTCCGTGAGCCGCCTCGACATCCCATCTTCTAATGCAGCGAAGCTGACTTGGATGGGTGATGCGTATGACCGGGTGGCCGGGTAGTCAAAGGTAGTCACAGGCAGTCACGTATTTGTCGCGTGCTTGTCACGTGTCATGGCCAAACTGCCACAGTTTCCCTTGCATGGTCGTGTGACCGGCAACCTCAGAGTGAGACGAAAGAGTGAGAGGTGTACATCGAGCCAGGGCGCCTTGCGAGCAGGGCATGTTGCACAATGTTGCTCCTCATATTCAGCGCTGCGCAGGTGCTGAGGAAGTTGGGATGCCCGTGTCACCTCCAGAAGAAGCGACCGCCATGATGGGTGGCACGACACAGATCTTGCGCTTCTGAGCACCACGAACCTTGTAGAGCCAAAGATGGACCTGACATCTAGGTCCCAATGCTAAGAAAACGATCTGCAAGTTCTGGTTACAGGCAGGTGTGCGATGCATGCAGTGGCGTGTGGCATCAGTGCAGCACCGGAGCCTGCTTTCTTGCAGGGAACTTGCACAAAGGGCTTGTCTTGCACTTTCGCGCACGGCGAGGAGGAACGTGCCGTGCACTTGGTCAGGGAAAGACTTGTTGGGAAGGTTCGCGTTCATTCAGCATACAAGCGAGAGTGACGAGTGATGCATCTGTTGACCTGGAAGTGCAGGACTCGACCTAAAACTTGACAAAACAACGTTTTCGTTCGGTGCCGTACTTGCGGTGCAGTTCCTGCACGTTGTCACTACCTTCACTACCTTGTCCATGCCCACAAAGTCAGTACCTTGTCCCCTCGAGATGCACGAGCACAAAGTCATTTCTTGAACTTTCACCGCGACAGTTTTCCCACAGACGAACCCGAACCGGTCTGTCCTCCCTTGTTTGAGCAGTGGTGCATCGATACTACGGATGTTCCAGCCGGTTCGAGTGTGGTGCCTGCCATGGATTGTGCCAGATTCCAGGAGCATCTGTGAATGTGGGTTTCGGAGGAACGTTGGAACTGGAAGGAAAGGGACTGCAGGGCGTGCAGAACCTGCGACATCCTTCGGGCACGCATATGCGCAAAGCAACTTTGTTTTGCAATTTCAATATCCTCCGAAGGGTTGCCCATGTTCGGCCAAGCGGATGTGCTAGCGATCAGAGACAAGGTGGGCGCGCCAGCTGCGCCAGGGAGGATGTGGCAAGGCCACGAAAGAGCTCATAGCCGGTCGGCCACGTCCTGGCCGTCGTGGTCAGTGCTTCATAGGTTGGAAGTCTCATGAAGCTTGATGCTGCGCGTTTTTACGTGTTGTGCAAGGCTTGATGCAGAGAAGGAGCGCAGCAGCTCCGCAAGCACTTCCGCAAGCACTTCCGCGAGCGGTTCCTCGACCAGTTCCGCGAGTAGTTCCGCCAGGTGGGCGCAAAAATGGTTCAGAGCATGAGGGCACCTAAGGGGGGCACCTAACGAGAGAGCGATGACGGAGTGCTGCGAAACATAGGATGCAGCCGTATTTATAGCAGTCCAAGATGTTAGGCTTCAAGGGATGTTGTTGCTTCTGTTTTCGCTGCGTTTCGTGTTGTTTTTTTCTTGCAATTTGTGCAAGTTGGCTGTCTTTTTTTGCTGGCTTCTCGAGGCCCTTGGCGGAATCCGGCTCCAGCAGCTCCACCAGTTGCCGGCAACACCAAGCGCACCATCTGCAAGTTCTGGGAGCAGGACGCCACTTTTCCGCCACTTTTCCCCGCCACTTTCGGTGACTTTCTGTGTTTTTTCTTTGCCTCCGGCGCGTTCTCAGTGTTCTCTCCCAGAGGGTTACATGCCGTGCCGCTTTTCACGGGTGGAACCTGTTGCCCATGGTTTCCTCATCTGCAATGACTGTAGAACCATACTGGACATGTGGTACCGTCAATTTTCTCAGCAAGCGCCTCGATTCTGGATGCTTGCACAAGCCAGAGCCTGACTGCAGGGTCTCTGCACCAAAGGGGACGATTGCACCTTCGCTCACGGAGAGGAGGAGATCGGCGTGGGGGACTTGGCTTGCGTTGCTTTGTCCAGCTCTGCCCAGGCATGTTTCGGCACAAGAGCACTGAAGACTCTGAATGCAGCGACTTGACAAGAGTAAGGCTGATTGCCGAGTTACTCTGATGCTCATATAAGCACCATTCATCATCATTCATCCATCTCCTGACCATTCTCCCCCTCTGCGATAATCATGCATCTGCACGTGCACATGTACAAGTTTGCTGGCATTCAAGTACACAAAAGGCGTGGGAAACTTGAGCTACAAAGGGATAGAGTCAGCGCAATTGTGCCTTAGTTTCAGCATCCTACTTCAGTTGCACAAAGGTGCATGCCCAGTCAGCACTGTGTCTTTGTGTCAGCAACCTGGTCCCATTGTAAGGGCAGGGGCGCGCGGATGGTGTGAAGTCAGCCCCGAACCCTCAAGTACGCAAACAGGGCCTTGAAGTGCTGCGCCATAGGTCGCTGTACTCGAAGGTCTGGCAGGAACTGTTGAATGGGGAGGATGGAGCCGGGAAACCGCAAAAAAGAATCAACAACAAACCCAGCGTGCAGTTGTGCTCATGCACGAGACAGGCATGAAGTCATCGTGAAGTGTTTCTGGATAGTTTCGGTGCTTTGCCGCTGTACCTGTAATTGGGATAGCCAGAAAGATGGGACCCGAAACAGATCGAAAGCTGGCCAAGCGAATCGAAGCAAACCATGAGGTAACACGTCCACGTTGCCACTCGAAGATGGGCCCAACATGCTTAGTCAAACATGGGTGAGTCGAGAGAATCCTTCGGGTGGTGGCCAAACCATGCCGATGCACCCCACCGCAGCCGTGTGACTAAGCACATGCCTGGGCTAAGCATCAGCTGGGAAAAGGGATGTTCGTAAAACAGTAAAGGCTGCTCGAGAAGTATAAAGGTGGAGACTTTGATCAATGAGCTGTCTGTAAGACTTGAGTGCAGAACACTACTTCACGACTTGGTGTATTCGCTACGACATGAATTCTGGTTCGCCATGGATGGTCGGATAGATATGGATAGATAGAAAGTCCCCTCGGGTGGAGGCGCCTTCCTGTAAGCCTAAGGCGCCGATGATCGAGTCCACTTGGCCGGTCAAAGTCACAGGCTTCCGGATGTAAGACAGAGAGTTGTGCTGTTCTGGCATTTCTGGCGCAAGAGCCGGTGTAGCGCAGAAGAATCTTTCCCAGGCCCGGCTGTTCCGTTTGGTGGCCCGGCTCTTCCGTTTGGTGGTGCTGATGCAGCTTTTGCAGGTTCACTTTTGTTTCCCTTAGGTCACTCGAGAGAGCGTTTTGTCGTGAGTTGGGTTGGAGGACCAGTTGGAGCAAACACCAAACGCACCATCTGCAGGTTCTGGGAGCAGGAGGGGAGGGAAGCCTTTGGGAGGCTTTCGGGAGAACGTTTCTGTTTTTCAGCTCCTGAGCGCAGGGCACCTGCACTCGGGGCTCTGAGTGCACGTGGGCCCATGGCGAGGAGGAGATCGGGGTGGGAGCCCCGGCATCCCATACTTGCATGTAGATATACCTAGTCTATTAGTCAAGTTGATTTTTTTGGTGTTTCGCGCCGCCCTCGGCAGCAGTGATATGCGACGCCAAGCTTTTCTTAGGTTTCTCCTTTTGCGCCGCCCTCAGAAGTAGGAGCTGGTTGATCTACGGTTTATTTCTACTTGCATCTCGTCATTTCAAGTTTTGACTTAGTAGGGCTGACTTAGTTGTCACATTCCATGGTTAGGGGCCATTCCGTGATCGACACGCTCTGCCTCTTAAAAGCGGCAGGCGCCAGTGCTGGAGGCCGCCAGAAGTCAGGGCCTTGAAGGAGCCAAAGCTTCAAAATTCAAGCAGAAAACGTGCAGAGAATCCTTGATCCTTGCAGTTCTGAGCAGCCCAAGAGCTTTCGGAGCATTTGGCAATGCTTGGTGCAATGCTTGGTGCAATGCTTGGTGCAATGCTTGGTGCGATGCTTTGTGCAATGCGCTGAGGTGACGGCTTTCCCATGCCGGCAAAGGGCAAGGGCAGAGAGGCCCGGGGGCTCTACCTTCTCCCCTGCCGTCAGCACAATCACAGCAAGGTGTAATTTCACTGTCCCATTACAAACAGTATTGAACATCAGAACGTGATGATTTCAATATTATTGAAATGTTGCATTTCGCTATGCTGCGACCCAAGATCCCAGACTTCTGAGGACTCCTGAAGAATCTTGGGTCATTCGGTTATCAGCAACGTTCAAGACGCGACTGTCAGAGCCCGGGTCTCCTGTACTCCTCGCCTTGGTCGACTTCCGGCTAATCCGACTTCCCAGCAAACGGCGTGCCACATTAATGATGCCATCCAGGTTTGAAAGCAAGTTGCTCGGGAGTGTGAGACAGATGATGTCACGAGCCTCTTGCCGCAAAAAAACCTCCAAGCGATTGCGGCAAATGCGCCAGGCACCAACTCCCATGCGCAGCTTGTGGCTTAGCTCTGGGAACTTCTGGGACTGAGCAATTGGAGCATTCGAGCACGGCGATTTACGCTCATGCGGGCAACTTAGGCTTTTCGGCGCCAGGCAGCCACTTCGGGGTGAGCAAGGTCTTCACAAGCAGCCCCTTTCAGGCCATACGGCCATACATGTGCTTGTTGTGGTTTCTGACTACACACACGTTGCAGCTAAGGATGTGGGCAAGGGTCAGGCTGGGATTGCCCCAAGCGCACGACTCAGTCAGTTCTTGACATTGAAGCATGTGCCTGGAGTCGCATACAAAGATGATAGCTACAATGCTGTGAGCATAGTGCAAGACAACGTGTGTGAGTTCTAAACTTGTCGGGTGTGGTGGAACACCTGGCATGATCGCAGGATGCTAGCATCCAGCACAAGTCTCAGGAATGTACAGCATGTTTCCCAAGAATGCATCTTTCTATTCTGGCAACCCAACATCCCTTAGCCAAGCAGCAGAAATTAAGCATGCAATGAATATGGTGCAGACAGCTGTCGCTTGCAGTCGATGTGAGAAACTGATGACCCAAGGCTGGAACGGCGGTAAGGGAGTTGCAGAGCAGCCCTTGAAAAAGACGATTTGCAAGTTTTGGCTGGAGGCAAGATGTGAAAACAGATGAATGAATATCGTGCAGTCAGCATGTCTTAAGCGGCAGAAGCCCAAGCTGAATTGGAAATACACTCTCATCACCGCTAGTCTAGGCATGCGGAGTAAAGCGTGCAATCGTGGCAGACGGCAAGTTTTCTTTGTACGAAGTTTAGCTCGCATATAGGGGCATTGGGCAGTGTTTGGATAAAGCCCCATGGTTCACACGTAAATCTGCAAAGCAAAGGCAGCGCGAAATCTTGGATGTTAGACTCACCCGGTCGAATAGGTAGCATGTTGACATGTTGGAGCTGCAACGTGAGATCCAGCTTCAGCATTTCTCGTATGAGTGAGGGGTTCAATCTACCTCCTTCAACGGAAAGCAATGGCCAGATTGCAGTGAATCCTGGCCTTGAGTGATTTGAGTATAGCGTGGGGTTTTTGGCGGCTTTGGCCAAGATTCGATAGCGCAGGACGTGAGGTATGGAAAGCAAGTAGCAACAGCACCAATGTAATTCTCGTGTACCTACCGGTACAGATAGCCTCCACTGGAGCCTGGAGCTGTCTTGGCAGGGCCAATGCTCGCGTGGCACAGAATGCACATGGGCGCATGGTGAGGAGGACCGGCTCAGCTTCGCATTCAAGGCAGCTTCTAAAGTGTCTAAAGTTGCACGAGCCAGTCAGAAAGAATCCTTTTTTTCGGCTCAGAATGACTCCAAAGGACTCATGAAGGACCGGAAGCAAAATCGGTGTATAAACAGCACACAAAGTTGCCAGATGACTCGGCTCAATATAGCCACAGACCCAAATTCCCGGCAAAATTCAGGCAAGTGCTTAGTCATAGGCTGCTGCTGTTTCCTTCGAGATGGCATGGGCGCGAGGGTCGCCTGTCATGTGGGATGCTCGCACCCCGTTCCTTGCAGGCGAAGTGGCAATCTGTGGCCAGGCACCTCTTTCCATGTTTGCTAGTGTTCTTCTGCCCTTGGCGGTCTCTGAGCTCTCGAAGCCGACCGCGCAGTTTTTGACCAGTTTATGAGCATACTCTTTGCGCCTACAATTGTGGTCTTTTCTGTGTTTGTGTGAGGTGGCGGCCGAGGGCTCGGCAGGAGCAGGCGCCACATGCAGAAGGCCGGAGACGGAGGCGGCTTGTGCCGGAGCTCCCGGAGGCGCAGTGAAAGCGTGCAAGCACCACATGCCTGTGGGGCTTTGTCGGAAGACACTTTGCTTAACGCCATAGGTGCGACTGCGACGACTGATGCGACGGAAGCCTTGGCACAAGCGGGCCTTCTTGGATTTGGCAGAGCTGCTGCAACGCCGGCTTCTCTGCCGAACCAAGGCAAATTTGCTACTGGAAGCACCCTTCCTTTCTAGCAAAGAGGGAGCAAGTTCCTTCTCAGGCTTCGCCAGCACCGGAGTGACAACAAGTCCAACAAGTGGCGACGTGAAGCTGCTGCTGCTTGCAAGAGACACCTGGACACGACCTTCCGTTCTCGATCTAGACGTGCTAGTAAAGTGCAAGAGATCTTTATTTGCGTAAACGCAAAATTGCATCTTGAGTCTTGCGCTCTTTGTCATTCTAGAGAATTTTCGTCGCAACCTTCTTGCAGGAGATCGCAGAAGCTCGGAAGCGGAAGATGCCTCATCTCACGGAGAGGACTCTTCGCGTTGACTTAGCCAAGCACTTGCTCTGTGTGATCGAGCAACAGACGCCAGCTGAAATCGCAGCAACCTACGTTACAAGCCTCTTCGACCACTACGCAGACTGCTTTGATGCGAGCCTGGAGTCCTTGAGTTATCAAGTTCCTCAGCTGCTTGTACAGGCGTGAGCTCGTTTTGGTTGGGACATGTTGATACCAAGTGACACCAAAAACTTGAAGTCTTCTGACGCAGGCGATTCGGTGGAGTCAAGAGGAGCCCTGCCATCTGCGGCGTATCTTGGATCTGGGAGCCGGCACCTCAACTGCAACCCAAACGGCTACTTGCCCCGAACACAATGACTCTTGTATTCGCTGTTCGACGACGAAGCCATAGCCCAGCAAAAGCAAATTTGCATCTGCTCTTAACATGGGCTGACAAGAGGCCGATGGACCCAAGAAGGTCTGAGTTGAAAAGTCTGAAAGTGTTTCATGGGTCTCTTCACTGAGGCACGGGGAACATGGGAGAGCAGCTCCGGGACCTCTCCCCACGTGCACACCTTCAGGCGGTGGACCTATCAGCCCAGATGCTGCAGAAGGCGCCTCCTAAGCCTCCCTCAGCCGCCCAAGCCGCCCAAGCCTGAGCTTCGATGCTCTCCGAGTCTCCGTTCTAAGTTCCATCACACCAGCGGCTTCGTAAACAACCGTAGTGTAAGCGAGCTGTCTGAGCGCTTGCAGGCGGAGGCTAAAAGCTGCTACGACGAACTGCACTGTTCAGACCTGGCTGAGCACCTGATGGTGCCGTGGCCCTAACCACAGTTTTTGAACGGATCCTTCAAGGCCACAGGAGTTGAACATAGTTGAACACAAGCGTGGTGAAATGCCACTGAGGCCTCTGAAAGGTCTGGCTTGCTCTTCGATTTAATTACCGCAGCGGATGTATTCGGATACGTCGCTTGGTGAACCTTTAGACTCGACCCCGAGAATGCCTATCGCATCGAAGGCATCCGAACTCTCAATCCGAGGTTACCGACCTTTCCGCTATCTTTCGTCTTGTTTTCCAGAATCTCGAGAGTGGTGGCCACTTTGCAGAGATCTCTGCGACGCTACGGGGTTTGGATTCTTCTACCGGCGTTCTTCTTTGCGAGCTGCGAGATTAGAATATATACATATAGATATATTTTGAAATTCGAGCTGTCCAGGACTCTTCGTCTTCTCAACAGAGGAGCCAACGCAGCCGGAGGAGCCGGAGGATCCAGAGGAGCCGGAGCCGGATGTGTCTTTGGGCTACAAGCTGCAGGAGTGCTTGGGTTACAGAAGAATGACACCATTGTATTAGTATGCATGTATAAATATATCAATATCAGTATGGATATATACATATAGACCTAGAAATCTAAATCCAACAAGATTATTTGCAAGGCCTCAGGCCGCGTTGCCCACAGCCACTCCTACATCTTGTCGCTCGTGCATGACTGCAAATTCCAGGCGCGCTCTGAAGCAGGGAGTTCTTTCTAGTCTGCAACCTGAGAAGCATTTTCTCACCTTTAATCGCACCCCGCCTCGGCGCAGGTTCAGTGCATCCAGCCGCATGCTCCCAAACAGACCTCCCCATGACCCGCTTCTGGACCGTTGCTGCTATGGACCCTGGAATCCCCCACCCCATGAGCCCCATCAACCCTCTCCACAGGAATCCACAGGATAAGGGGGTCATAGGGAGGTCCACAGTATAGGGAGCTCATAGGGTTCATGTGCATACGTGCATAGGGCCGGAGGGGTGCACGGGTCCATGGTCAAAAAGACGGGGGGAGTACATCGCCAGGTCTATAGGGCCCCCAGAAACAAAATTTGGCCCCAAAGCATGTTCGCACAAAAACCACTGTTTGGCTGGAGCTTTGCTCCGAAGCCGCGGGTGGAGGCGCGAGGGGACATGCCTTTGCAACTGCCAGATCAAAGATCTTTTGCCCCAAGCGCCTCGGGCCTGGAGTCTCGGCAGATTTTCAGTTTCTGAATCAAGGCAGCTCCCCGTGTCGCAGGTTCTCCGGGACACGAGATGTGAGCTTCGCTTTGAAGATGGTCACCCGGTCCTGGGTCGCGTTTTTTCCCTGACCAAAAGCCCCAGCGCGCAGAGGCCTGTGCTGTGTGGCCATTCGACACGTGACCAAAGTGTCGGTCATAGGCCAAGTGGAGGTCGCTTTTTCAATACCAAAACTTGATTGAGAGGCAGTGCCCGAGCCAGCACGAGGGACGAGCAGGTTGAGCAACAGGTCGATGCACCGCCTGAAACATTCGTGAGCAACATGTTTATGGCAATTGTGATGCGACATCCCTCGAAGAAAGAGGCGTTGCCAGCTTGATGAGCCAATCATATACCTAAAGACCGCAAGTGCGTAAGATTTGACATCGAAGTCCTCGCCGAGAGATAATTATTGGCAACGCGCACGATGCCTTGCTTTCAAAGGACCGCATGGCTGTGGCGGCTGTGGTACCACCACCAGTGGCGAGCCCTTGGGTTGCCAAAGGAGGCACATGTGCCGTTCTGTGCCACATTGTGCACATTTTGCCCTTCCGTACAGGTGGCAAGCCTCCACAAAAAGGCGGGATGGCGGCCTTGCAGCAAGAGGCCACATGCGGTGCAGTCTCAGCCGGCTGCAGTCTGAAACTTGTGATCGCCACCTTCTTCATCTACCACTATCTCACAACGGCAGTCGAGTGCCAATTCCAGCGACATGGAGTCTGAGTCCATGCGAGGCACCTGTCCTGCGCAGAAGCATCTGCAAGTTCTGGGAGCAGGGCAAGTGTAGCCAGGCAGGGAATGCCTCTGATCTGCACGTCGAGTCGTTGGCAGAAGGCATTGCACGCTTCCTCACATGCAGAGGCAGCTGGCCAGTGCACCTGGCCTCGCACTTGGGCCTGGAGGGCCTGGGGTGTTTTGTGAATTGCGAAGACAGGGCGGACTCGTCGCTGAGGGCCCATGGCGAATGGGAGATCGGCACTGCAGTGGGCACGCCTGACGCCCTGACGCTTGAAATTGCCACGAGCTGCAGCCTCTAGTCTAGCCAGCGCCAAGGTCTGGAAGAGCAAGGAGTTACCAGGGCTACCAGGGCTACCAGGCAAAGATTCCATGACCTGCAGACCAGTCTAAGTCTGGTTTAATTGGTTAAGCACGTGGGATTTGGTGGTGACTGCAGCGTTGCAACATACTGAGAACTTAGAACATTCTACATGTACGTCGCATTGTCACATTGCGTTGCGCGTGTGTCAGGCGAGTGCCAAGCGCCCACGCCTTGCCTAAGAGGGCAAAGGGCTCCTCCAGACTCCTCCCACCTCCGTTGAGGTCCAGTCTGTGCCTTTGTTTAGGACGCGTCCTCCATGTCCTCTTCTGTTGGATATTTCGCAGCTTTGCTGACTCTAGTCTGTGCAGGTCGCTCTGTCTGTACGGCACTGCAGGGCTTGCGCTTGTGGGAGAAAATCTGCCTCGGCGTGTTCCACTGCACCAATCAGTGTCTCGCACATGGCATAGAAGATGCAGCCCTGGCTTGAGAATCCAATAATCTGCACGTCTGCGATGCCAAGTTTTTCCTTCACATAGACTCAACAAAATTCATCTGAGTCATGCCCAGTTCGTTCATGCTGTCCTGCAGAAATGCTGGTTCATCTACTGATGACCTGGTGTTGTCTGTTTGCATGGGCACACATCAACGAACTCACACATTCTTGCAGGATTGGTATGTCAAGCGTTTCTGGTCAAATCCTTTGGACAAAGGTGTAATCCATCACTTGAAGAGCTTGCGTACGTAAGCCATCATTTGAAGAGCTTGCGTGCATGTGGCTGTTCACGGCCATCCGGTCATAATGACTATGTCGGCGAGAAAGCGCCGAGTTTTTTCCGGGATGTCGGCCAGAAGCTGAGCTGATTGTAACATTGTGAGCCCAGCTTTGCGAGAAGCCTTTGCAACCTTTGCTCAGGCCTTGATGGCTGGCGCGGTTTTTCAGGAGAGGTCGTCACCAACGGCTTCGGCAATGTCAACCTCCTCGACGTCCTTCGTCCAAAGCTGTCATCGACTAAGAGTGAGGTCTGCCTTCCCTGCGCCCAGCCTTGGCCGCCCTGCGCCTCGCCTGGGTAGCAGGACTTCGCAATCTAGTCGGACGATGGTGCGGGCAAGCAGCCCACTTTCGTCCCCTTTGTTTCTGGCTTCCGCTGCTGGCCTTGCCACTGGGACACTTGTTGTGCTGCTGAACGACTTCGTCCACCTTGTTCAAGACTTTCTGTTTGAGTTGCCAGGGCTCAGCATACTAGCCCCCGTAATCTCAGCCTCCTTCGTCAGCTTGCTCTTGCTGGCCCGGGGTGCAAAAGGCCTTTCCGGGTCGTCGGACCTTGCCGCATTGAAGGCTTCAGGCGGGGCACCCCCCAAAGACAGCGGCGAGGCACCTCTCAGGGCTTTGGCAGCAGGCCTGACTTTGGCCGGCGGCAACTCCCTGGGGCCCGAGGGGCCAAGTGTAGAGATTGGTGCCAATGTGGCCGCCAGCTTGTCGGGGTATCAGAAGAACACTACTGACTCTGACCGTGCTTTGCGCCAGAACTTGCTTGCTGCCGGCTGCGCCAGTGGAATCGCAGCTGGCTTCAATGCGCCAGTTGCCGGCCTCTTTTTCGCACTGGAATCGATTCAATCGAACTGCGCTCCGGACGATGCGCGAGCGAAGGGCCCGCCCATGCAACTCTTAGCGGCCGTTTTGGCGGCCACTGCCACGCAACTGCACCCAGATTCGATAGATAAGCAGGGTGATGCACAGACAGACAGATACATCGATAGCTACGCTAAGATGTCCCCTCTTGAACAGAGATATAAAGTAAAGATTGTCACGAACTCCTCAATCCCATTGCAAATACTGCGCATCCCATGTCTTTTACTTGTTTTTGCTTCAGCTTTCCGTCGGTGCTGCTTAGCTTGCGCCAGTCGTTTTGGGATAGTCGTATTGCTTCTCATCGATATCGAGGGCTTTCGATGGACTAGCATACAAATGCATACATGTATGAATATCTAGAAGCCTAGATGAAGAAACAAAGCAGCAGTAAGCAGATGACCAGATGAATCAAAGTTCTATGGTACCGCCCCGTCCATTGATCTACCATTTGGCGTTATCAAGGCGTGGTTGCAGCCTCCTCGATGTGTAAACAAGAGTGAGATGGAAACTGTCTTTTATAATATTGACATGAGTGGCTCGCATTATCAACTGCTCCCCCTTTTTAAAGAAGGTCAACAAAGGCCATATAGCCAGAAAGGTGAGTTGCCCAACACTGTGGATGAACAGCAAAGATGACCGAAGGAAGAAAATGAAACTGAAGATGTCCTGCAAGTGTGACCGTCCCAGTGGCTGTCCTTCAGCACCTGGCGGGTTCTGCTCCAAGGTTCTTGTTTGGTCCTGATGAGGTAATCATGCCAATACGTCCAGCTTGTAAATTGCCACGATTGCAACACGATCTTAGGACCTGAGGCTCGCTGCTCCCGAACTTCTGAGGCTTTAAAACTTTTGATGGCTTTACCGACCGGTTCCATGATTTTTCCTGAGGCTTTTAAGAGAAGCGTGGGACTTTCGATTATGCCATATTCCAGTAGCCTATTGCTTTTTGTACTTATTCTCCATGTGTACTTGATTTTGTATGTTCTTTCATGTTTTATCGAAGTTGTTGCCTCTTCTTTCATGTTTTTTTTTTTAAATCACAGTTGTTGAATTTTGTGTGTTGTTTTGTTAGGTTTTGTTGCATTTGTTGTGCTTCGCTTTATGTTCTTTGACTACAGTACAGCTTGCTTTGCTTTGTCATATTCTGTTGTAGTGTTTATATTTGATTTACATGTGTGTTTGACTTTACATGCTGTCATAATTCTGATGTCCCGTTATATACCACCTCTTTTCAAGATGCTTCAGTTCAGTATGCGCAGCATGTTGAAACCTGCTAGATACTAGTTGTACCTCACTGTATTGCATTGCATTGCATTGCATTGCATTGCATTGCATTGCTTTGCATTGCACTGCATTGCGTTGCGTTGCATTGCATTGCGCTGCACTGTATTGCATTGCATTGCATTGCATTGTACTGTTCTTGCTCTCGTTATGTGTGCATATATATATATATATATATATATCGTCATATTCTAACATTTTGCTGTTGTTACATAGAATACGGTACTATTTCGCAACATACTGTACCTCATATGTTATGTATCATACATCACAGGTATATATATTTATATATGTATATATATATATATATATATGGACTGTATATGTGCTACCCCGCCCCCCCCCCCCCCCCCCAGGAACCCAGGTTTTCAATAATAAAGGTGAACAACCCATGACAAATTGATCATAAACTATGGAAAGGGGGGGCTAATACACTCAATCAGTATATACTATGTTCCTTCAATTTTAATCCTGAAAACCTAAACCCTGAGGAAGGGGGGGGGTTCCCTAAACCCCAACCAAGTCCATGCCGAGTCCTAAGAGCGGGATCCCTAAATCTTGTTCCCTAAATCATATTCCCTAAATTTTGCTCCCCAAGTCCTAAGCCCCAAAGAGGGGGTCCTTAAATCCTGCAGAGGAGAGCACCCATTCCCTACATTTTGGTTGCTAAATCCCAAAGAACTGGATACCCAAACCTTATTCCCTTGTATTCTTTCCTTAATCCTTTTCCCTAAGCCAGAAAACAGCGGGCCTGGGGCCTTAAATCCTAAACAGGAGAGTCCCGACATCCTAAAAGCAAATCCCATTCCCTAAGTCTTTTCGCGAAATCCTAAAAAAGAGCGGGATCTTCAAATCTTGTTCCCTAAATCCTGTCCCTTAAACTTATTCCCCATGCCTTTTTGCGTAAACCATAAGGCGGGTGATGTTATTTATGATAAGATATAGTTTGCGTGTTATGCTGTATTTTGCATACTTTAGTATTTGTTCCACGATAATGTATACCATTTGTTGTATCTTACCTGACGTTTATAACATGTTTTCAAATATTGCAAAACAAGTTGAAAGTAGGTAATAGGATACGTTGCGTAATGCATCTGTATGTTGTAGTGGAGAATTCGAAAAAGTGCAACTTTTAAGGGGCTGTGCCCATGGGCGGGGGGTCAGCTGTAGGCGCTCATAGTCGGAACGCACGGGTTTGGCGATGGAGGGAAAGCTTTTGCACGCATGGGCCGCCGTGTCATCCAAGGCCGGAGCCGCTGATGCTCATGATGCGCTCCCAGCATCCCGGACTGGGCCGCTGATGCTCCTGATGCGCGCTTGGGGCTCCGGAACTCAACCCGCTGATGGGAACCTTTGGAAAGGGTCCGGGCTATCCCATTTTACGCAAAAGGAAAACCTTGAAAACCGTTCACCGGCGGTTGTGCTTCGCACAAGGCGGCTTGGGCAGCAACATACACTGAAGCCCTCAAAAAAGGCAAAGCAGGTAGGTTGGGAGCAGGCTGGGGCAGGGGAGTAGAACGGAGAGATCTCTCATTTGAGGGCGGCGCAGGGAAAATGAGTCTTCACTGACACCGCCCCCGCTTCGGGGTCTGCGGATACACACGAAAATATCTATATACATGCATGCATCTCACACAGAAAAAACACATGTACTTGTTATGCCCACCTTGTTGTGTTAGATGGTTTATGTTTTGTATCACAGATGACATGTATTGAAGGCGCCTTGTAGTGTAAATATTTGGGCCATAATCTGCATGCTTCGCTGTGACGGCAAGGTGTCCCAGCTGGGTCTGGGCTCGAGTCCTGCGGTGGATCTGGAGTTCTTTGGCTGGGTCCCAACGCGGTCACTCTGGGAGCTGCCAGTCTTCATGTCGCTGGGCGTCCTCTGCGGAGCCGCGGCCTTTGCGCTCCGCGCCGCGCGCCTAACGGCGAAGTGTGCCTTCGATGGCCTCGAATCTGCTGGCACTCCGAGGCTGGCTGGGTTTTTTTCTTGAGAGTGAAAGAGCAGGAGTATGCACGAGTTTCAGAAGCCTGCTTTTTTGTGACCTGAGGTTCATCTTCCCTGTTCTGGCAGCCGCTGTGGTGGTGTGCGTCTCCGTCTACGGAAACGTCCAGGAGGTCCTGTACAAGGGCTTCTCCAACGTGAACTTGATCCTGAAAGAGGTTGATGGCGCGCGACAGCCGCCACTTTCCTTTGCTGGAGGTTCCCTGAGCCACCTACTAGCACTGATCATTGCCAAGATTTTCCTCACCGCGGTATGTCAGTCCTCTGGGCAAGTGGGTGGCCTATTTGCACCTGCACTCTTCATTGGTGCTTGCTTGGGAGGTTTAGTAGGTCGGGGCCTGCGAGATTTTCTGTGGCCTTGGGCCCTGTGGTTGCCCGACCTCTCCATCTTCAAGGCCGAGGGCCCGTTCGTCTTCTCGGTGCCTGCCACCTACGCTATCGTCGGCATGGCCGCCTGCCTGGGCTCCATTTGCAACGTACCATTGACAGCGGTGGTGCTGCTTCTTGAGCTGGCCGGCGGAAAGGACTACGGCGTTGTACTCCCGACCGTCGCAGCTGTAGGCACCGGGTGCCACTTCATAGTCCTAAGTCCTAGTCTTGCGAGTTCTTGCAATGTGCGTCTGTGGTCGAACTGACGAGATGAACGGCTCTTCTGTTGTCGTTGTTCGAGCGGCGTAGCTGGGACAGCTGGGAAGCTTATGTCTTCGAACCGCTCTGCAAGGTGTGGCCGTGTACGTGGAAGACCTGTTGTCCAGGAACGTGCCCAAGTTGATCAGCGAGTGGTCGTCATCCAGCTCCGAACAGGCACCAAACTCGAAGTTCAAAAAGGAGCCGTGTGCCGTGTCGAGTTTTGCATCAAGTGACTGTGGCCGAGGCGCCTCAGCCTGTGCAGGTGGAAGAAGGCAGAGCTATGCAGCGCACTGCAGCCGCAATTGAGCACACTTGAGTCGCTTCTCCGCCATGGGAAGGTGAGCCTCTCCGACTTCTGTGCCAGACAGTCGAGGCAGCAGCCTGGTTTTGAATGCCCACACCGAGAAAGCACATGGGTTCCGCCCAGTTCCGCTTGCACTTTACATTTTAAAATCAAATCGTGCCAAGCCGCACCCACATGCAGCTTCGACGCAGGAGTTGCCGCCCGACGTCACACCCCCAGACTACTCAGGCAGCACAGCGTTCAAGTTGCATTTATACCCCAGGTGCGTGCTGTCATGCCGTCGGGAGCTGAGCCATTGTTGGTTTCTGTGCATGTCTTAGGGTACTATAGTACTATGAATCCTGGGCCATGGGTTTCTGTTGAGGTCGATGTCCCTGGAAGCTGCTCAAGAAGAACTCGAGCGACTTGGGCCCGGGGCACGTCTTGCTGTCTTCGAGGTGCCCCGTGGCGCTGGGATGCATTGGCCCTCGTACCACCTTGGAGTCCTCGCAGGATTTACCGTCACTTCGGACTCCGCCATCGTCTCAGACTGTGAGCTTCCTGTCACCAAGTGGCAAAAATCATAAAGTTGGAAGTCTCATTGGGGAGTGGGGCTGCGAGCCTCCAGCGGCAAGGCCACAACTTCTTGGGCTGGTCTCCTTGGCAGACGTGGAGAAGGAACCGCCCTCGAAATTTCGTGAAGAGGCTAAGTTGGAATGAAGAACTCGCTTGTAAACCGACCGACCCAGGCATTGAGAAGCGAGTCCAGCTGAGCTGACTCTGGCCTTCGCAAAACGAGTTTTTTGCATGTCGCGCCACCTCGAGTTGAGCGCAGGCAGAGAATGCCTGGAAAGCCTGAACCCGCTTCGATGTCTCTCAGGTAGCCGCGAAGGATCAAGTCCTGTTTACTTCAATTTACTTCATCTTCACAATTCATTTCAATTCATCATTGTCCATCTGAGCAGATGGTGTTTAAGCTCTGCGAATCAGCATGCTCACACCTCACTGTGGGCATCAGTCTAGTCTAAGTTCTTCCAATTTGCTCCATGGCCCCTGCCGCGCGGAAGCGCCCCGCAGCGACGGAAGCAAGCCGTGCCGCACCAAGAGCTTTGGTGCCGTAACTTGGCGTTCCCACTTGCCGGCACGGGAAAAGGTGAGGAGAAGGAGGAGGTCAAGGCGGTCAAGGTCATCGAAGTCAGTGACGAGGCTGGAAATTTGGCTTTGAAATTGCCACGGTGACAGGCATCATGTTCACTTCTGTCCACATACGTTCCACTTCACTTCACGCGATCGGCGATGGGAGGAGGAGAGCGCCGAGGCCAAAAGTTCGGCACCTAGAGATCCGAGCAATTCACAAGTCCAAGAGTCCACTCAACGTATAGGTTACAGGATGTTACAGGTTTCATGTCCGGCTCAACCTCCAGGTTACTGCTGCTATGTCCTGCGTTCGGACAGCTCTTCCCGTGCAAGGAGACTTGCTCGTCGTGTCTACGCATCACACGATGTTTCTGTGTAAGATGACCGAATACCATGTACCAAAGACTTTCAACTTCTCTTCGCTGTGGACCGAGCCAAAATTTCGCCGCTCCAAGACCCCGCGTGCCAAGCCTGACTCCAAGTCAGAACCCTTAGGTTGGCCTTTGAAACAGCGAACAAACGGGGCTTCCCGAAGCATGACTTGAGTGGCAATTTTGTGTGCGCTTGGAGAGGACCTACACTGGCATCACAACAGACCTCTCGCGGCGCCTGCGCCAACACAATGGCGAGTTGCGTGGCGGCGCCCGTGCCACACGCCAGGGCGCGCCTTGGCGTGTGCTCTGCATGGACGCTCGGAGTGACTCAGGATTTCGGGGCTTGCAGGGTACCCACTGTCAACCACTTCAGATGTGCCTCCATTAGCCCTTATTCTGTGCTTCGCCTAGGTCCAGGGCTTCCCAACCAAAGAGGACGCTGCCCGCTTCGAATGGCGAGCGAAGCGCCAGCGCGCCGTAAACTCCCGGAAGCTGGTACCCTTGAAGGCCCTCAAACGTTTTGCCCAACTTGTCCCCAAGTTTTTTCTTGCAAGCTCGTTGCCTCGCTTCGCAAGTCGCACCATGTAGCTCTGAGGGTGGCCTGCAGCAACGGTGCCAGAATCTTTGTGTCGTCCTCAGCGCGGAGCGCTGGACCAAGAGCAGCCGCCCCGCAAAGGAGCTACCATTAGCGGCCAGGAACCCGGAAGCTGTGCAGAATTTCAATGCAAGTACGCTCAGCATCAGCCTCTTGGTTTAGACGCTAAGGCTTTTGTGTTCTTAGTGTTCACCCAGCTACCTGTGGATGACCCAGGTGACCTGGTTTGGAGGTGCACCATGGCAGCACGTGGCGATGCCTTCCTATGTCTCGACACAGCGCTTGGAGGCGTGATTTGCACACGCATAACACGCATGCTTTTGGAAACTGTTGGACTCCGGCTGCCTTCCAACCATATCCAACCATGGCTTTCTTGTCCCACGTGTGCAACGTGCATGTTCAGGGCGACTTCCAGCCAGACTCGACAACTCGAGGTAAGCGCAGCATGTCCAAAGGCGGGCAAGAAAACGGCGACGTCTCCGCTGGATACGCCGAGGTAAGCAGACGCACTAGCAGACGCAAGCAGATGTGAGCATGCTCAAGGCAGGCTAGGCGCATCGTCTTGAGCTCAGCTTCGCTCGGCTCGCAGGCTCAAATTCACTTTTGCCGGGGAGGGTTCGGTTTCAGCCTCCCCTGGAGATTTGGAAACCCGTATGAGCTTAGGACCTCCTGCGCGCTGTAGTCTGTAGTAGCAAGCAAGGCCAGCAAGGTGTGCGCGACCTTCATGAGTTGTCCTGGCACATGTAGACAGTAGACACTAGACTCTGTCGACGCAACAAGACGTGCAAGCTTGTGTCAGATGCCCCTGCAGGCCTTCATCCTTTTTGTCTAAGACTCTTATAGACCAAGACCCCAGACACTGCTCAAAAGAGCAGCTGGGGTTTTGGACAGCTGCCTGGGCAACCCACAGCTGTGAAGTGATGGCGGAGAAGCTTTTCCAGAAGCCAAAGGCCATCCGAAGACGTTGAGATGGTCGCAAGCTTTAGGGCTAAACATGACAGAACATGACAATACCTGCAGGTCTACGACCCAACAATGGCTGATAGATCTATGGTGCCGCCGGCGAATTCGAGAATGCAGCAGAAGCAGCAGATGATGGACTTGGGCTTTGACGATGCCATGCATCCTGAGATGGAAGAGAAGTACGGGCAACTTTCCGAACAGCTGGAAGCAGCTCAGGCTCAGCTGCAAGAAGTTCAGGCTGAGCTGACTCGAGCCAGAGGAGACGAAGCGAAGATGGCCCTGAAGCTGCAAAGCTTCCAGCAGGTCAACCGATCACAGAATGCCCTGGTGCGAGGCTAGGGCGGCTAGGGGACAACCCACACAGAAAGAATATGAAAGAATGCTCAAAGAATGCAATGTATGTAGTGCCCATGTGAGTGGCACACTTCTGTGTTCTATTTGTTCTATTCCTTTTTCTTCGCTGGGAGGTGAGCTCCAGAAGACAAGGAGAAAGCTGGCCCACATGCAGTGCCTCAGACAGCAGTGACAGCAGTTCTGAGCGGCTAAGTGAACCTGAGCGCAGAGCCCAAACACTTTGTACTCAATTCTGGTGCATCCTGCACGCCGCCCGAATCTCTCCAGTCTTTCATTGCATTGAAGTGGTAAGCTCAAATCTGCGGCGGCCAAAAGACCAAGCGATCCTCAGCCACGGTCTGAATTCCCCTACTCAGTACGAGTTAGCGGAACCCTTGCCCGTTTTGGGTAATATTATGTACCCCGAAAACCTTACACACCCAACCCTTCCCCTTTGTCCAGAGTCGTCAAGAGTGGGTGACTAGGTGAGTGCCCTACAGTGCCCTACGGTGCCCTATGGTGCGCTCGACTTTGGACTCACCAGGTCAGTGGCGCAGCGCCTGAAAGACCAAGCGGCGTGGTTCCAGTCAAAGTCGCCGAACCTTTCGCTCCCAGGAGAACTCCAGGGAATGCCGTGGGCTCAGGTGACTCAGAACCAAGACAAAACCAAGTGTGAAATGCGCAGCCCTTGCGATCCCAAACATTTCGCGGCCTGAGAGGCCTACAGAAGAGGAGGCGGTTGAGGAGCATGCCGAGCTGGCTCAACTTCATGAGCGTTGGGAGAAGGCGCCCCTGAAGCTTATGTATATATGTATATACATAGAGTATCATCTGTATTTATATTTATATTTGTACTTGTATCTATACGTATAGATTTAGATATACATTTGTTTACGTATGTATATATATATATATATACATATCTCCATTTCTGCTTTGTACGGACACAATATAGAACTTTGCTGTCATCCCCATTTTGTGGGGGTTTCCGGAGCGGTTCATCGAAAAGGACGTCGCGCAGCTTGCAGCGGATTTGGAGGGCAGGCCGAGACCGACGAGCGGTCAGGACAGGGCCGAGGCTAAGCAAGTTCAGTGCGGCAGTGTCATCCCGAAAATCGGCGCATCGGCCCGATTACTTTTGTGTGCGTCCGTGTGGCGCATCCCAGTTGCCTCCCTGCAGGTTCCTGCTGCGTTTGCTTTCACAGGGCTTAAGGGCTGGTGGCTAGCTGAACGGAAAGTCTGCAGGACACGGGAGACGCACGGACGCGTATTGAACAGCTTGAGCACCTTATCTCAGAACAGGTGGTGGATACATTGCAGGTATCCTTTGGTGCATGTTTTGGAGGAGTGATTGAATGGCTTCTGTAGGCGATCATTCTGAGGCAGCTGGCAAAGAAGCAGGCCAAGCAGCTCGATCAGCAGGGGAAGGAGCTGGAGTACTTCAAGGGGGGTGCTCAGGTCCGCCTGATCGAGAGCGCGGGGAGAGTGCGGAGAGTGCGGAGTCCGTTGTTTTTGGAGAACGTAGGTATTCAGCATCTGTTCGATGTTTTTGTCAGGCGTCTCCTTCCTCTTCTGAGACGCCCGGCGCTTGTGCTCCCGTGAAGCCCAAGTCGGAGATTGGGGGAACTTGGGGGAACTTGGGGGAATTTGGGGGAACTTCCGAGGCTCAGCACAAGTGGCAGTTTCGAAGAGGTTGCATCGCTCCGGAAGGACTTTGCAAGTTGCTGCAAACTAGCAGCGGTTGCGAGTCCCGGTTGCGACATGCGGGACAGGCGACACTTGGGTGGGACTGTTCCCAAAGCGCCAAGCAGGATCTTGAAGCAGCCGAAGAGAAGACCAAGGACGGGCAGAGAGGGCTGTGGGAGCTTTCATGAGCACAGAAGCAGAATTCACCAGGAGCAGGTCAAGAAGCTCAAGCAGCTGGCAACAGCTCGGAGCTCAGGACAGCGGCAGAAGTGGCACAAGATATCAAGCTCATTCAAGCTCTGCAGCTCGGGCTCTCTCGAAGCGCCTGACAGTCTGAAGGGCCCCGTGACCGAAGGGCGATGGCGACCTCCCCACTCTTGAACCCCCGACAAGAGAGCAACAACCGGCAACAGAAATGTGAAGGAAGAGACGCTCTCCGGGACAGAGAGAAATGCAGCATCAAACGATGTGGCTTGCACTTGCAGAAGAAGCTCCTGAGAAGAAGCTGCACAATGGCACACGCAGGCACACAGGCGATGGAGTGAACAACTAAAGGGCATGCGAATCGGTGTCGTGAACGTCACGGATTGCAGACTGTCGCCATCTGTCGCCCTTGAAGCAGCGCGATGCTCACAATGTCTTGGCAGTCCTTTGGCCTTCCTGCTTGTCATGCTGTTGTTGATGCTGTGTACAGGCAGGTTAGCTGGGCATGGGCCGTGCACAGCTTTGACTCTGACCATATGTTCTGTTCATGAGCATCAAGCTTATCACCGTTTTCGTTGCACTGGCACGAGGCTTTTTGGCCCAGATCGGTGTCTGTAGCAGTGGAAGCCTCACGTAGATTCAATGCAGTTTCGCGCCTAGCAAACGGATTCAAGCAGACAAACGGCGCCTGGCAATTGCTTGTAGCTTAGCAGGTTGCAGCATTCATGGAACTTCGCATCAATGGGCTGTCTGGCCTCATCTGCTCGCTGAATTGCGAAGGCCACAGCAGCGTTCTGGATCTTCGGCATGCAGTGACAGCAGCAATGACAGTGCTACATCTCTCAAAGGGGCCAAAGGCAGTCGCAGGGCTACTGTGAGACCCCAGGATGTCAAGACTGGCATTACTTCGATGACCGGTATTCCGGCGGAACAGCAGCAATTGATCCACGGTGCTCGGGAGCTCAAAGATGAAGAAGTCTTGCTCAACGAGCTCCATGGATCCTCGTCCTTCTGCTGAATCAGTCCATATTGGTTCCGTACTGTCTTCATTTGAGAACTCGCCGAAGACACCCGCCCCCTTGGCCCCCTTGGCTTTCCGCTCAGACACCGCCTACTCCTATTCCGCCTCTTCCCACTTGCGATCCCCCCGATCATGGTAGTGCCTCCTCGGTGCCAAGGCCACTGGAGCTGGTTCTGCTCAAAGAAGATCCGGTACGCGCCAAGGCCCTGAAAGCAGTCCGCAGCAACGGCTTGAGCAGAAGCCTTAGATGATTTCAGATGATGGCATGGCAAGCACTAATGAACGGAGTGCATTGTTGCCCGGGTCACTGCAGGTTTGGAAGGCCTTCCGGTCCCGCTCTGCCAAGATCGCGACATTGTTTTTGCCGCCGTCCCTGAGCAAGAACAGCATTAGCCGCCAACTAGGCCATGATCTTTCGAATGCTTTTACTTCCTGACCTCGGTCTGACAACTAACGCGGCACTGCAGTACTGCATTTAAAGTATAGTTCGAGGTGAAGAACACGGGGTTTGCGATTGTGCATGCGGCACCAGAGCTACGCGGCGACCGGGAGATTGCCTTGACTTCGGTGAGATGCCGCGGTTTCGTCCTTCGCTACCTCGACAACTCCCTCAAGGCCTCAGGAGTTTGTAGCGCACAACTGCTATGAAAGGCTCTCATCTCCGGACTTTCAGCTGACATCAGGCCGACCGGGAGATTGTGTTGGCAGCAGTGGCAAACGATGGCTTTGCGGCACGAAGCTTGGCTAGGGGGTACCGAGGCAAGAGCTCGAGAGGACGTTTGAACAAGCGTCGCAAACGAATGCAAAAGAGTGTTACGCGAAAAGGAGTCGAGCTCGAGCGAGCTTAGGTCCGCCACGCTGCGGAGCCTTTGAAGGCGGACCGCGAGGTGCAGACTGTAATCGCTTCATTCGGCTTCTCTCCTCTCCTCTCCTCTCCCCTTCCCTGCCCTCCCCTGCCCTCCCCTGCAGCCCTGCAGCCCTTCGCTTCTCTTCTCTTCTCCTTCTCCTTCTCCTTCTCCTTCTCCTTCTCCTTCTCCTTCTCCTTCTCCTTCTCCTTCTCCTTCTCCTTCTCCTTCTCCTTCTCCTTCTCCTTCTCCTTCTCCTTCTCCTTCCTTCCTTCTCCTTCTCCTTCTCCTTCTCCTTCTCCTTCTCTCTTCTCCTTCTCCTTCTCCTCTCCTCTCTCTGTTAAAACACTGTCTGCGCATGACAGAAGTGGCAGAGCTCATAAGTGGCGGCAGTGAAGGCGTGCAAGTGGAGCCAGGTCGCCCTGACTGCCGTGCAGACAAACGGATCGGCGGTGCAGTACATCAGCACGAGCCTAGCCCAGGAAACCGGTTCCCACCATCTTGACACACTCAAATTCTGCGATCCCTGTGACTGTTTGCGCAGTAGGAGATGGGACGTTTTTACGGGAGCCGAAAAACGGTGAAAGATTTGCACTGCATTCGAGGCAGAAAGTGGTTTGTCTTGTCATGTGTACGCTTTGTTTGGCGCCTCCCCACACCCACGCCCCTCTCCATCTCCCTTGTTCTGGCGTGCTCCTCCCTCTCGTCACATTCGTTTGTGACTTCGAGCCTGGTCGAAAGAACACTCACGTCTTTTCAAGCTTTGAGTTGTTGTCGGGCATTGCGCCTTGCCACAACCCCCAGAATCCCTGCGCCACGGAAGCTGGCAGCTGCAATCACGGCTCGCGCTTGTTTACAGAAGCCAGCCGAGGGTGCATCATGTGGTGCGGTGGGGTGGGACGGGGTGGGCATATATGTGTGCATGTGTAGATGTATATGCAGACAGTTTTGTGAGGCAATTCTTTCTGGCCAGGACCGAGAAATAGCGCTAGCTGCAGTGAATAGCAGTGGTGCAGCCTTGCGGTGGGTGCCTGAGAAGTCCAACTACTTGCAACTACTTTGCACTACGGCTCCCTCACACCCATTCGTCTCAGCTCAGTAGTTTTGGCTGCGCAATCATTGCGATGGGTCTCTGAGATATGTGGCGCCGCTTTTTCGCAAAGACCGAGAAGTGGTGCTTGATCCCCAGATTGGGGGTATCGGGGGTATTTCAAGTTTCGAGGTGTTTACATGATTCAGTCAGGGTTGTGCCAGTTGTTTCGAGCTTTCAGCGCCCAATGATAAACAGATATAAACACTTCCGAACAGCTCCAATGAACGCTTCTCGAGTCTTCGAGTCTTCAAAGGCTTGCTGCTGTTTGCAGCTATGGCCAGGCCTTGGCTTCAGATGCTGGTCCAAGCTGGTTCGAACATGTGCGAACATTTCACATGTTTTGCACACAGCCAGGCATTGAAGTTCGTCCTTGACGAGAACCTGATACTCGGTTTATGCAAGTCATGAAGTTATTGCTTAGATGCTCGTAGAGACTGCAGATCATGTACCTACGGTGACTCCGAGGAAGAGGGATCCAGAGATAGCCCTTGCCGCGGTCAAGTCGGACTTCGTTGCGTTTCAGCACGTGGCGCCTGTGCTCAAGACAAACCGCCTCATTGCGTTGGCGGCAGTGAAGCAGAGTGCAAAGATCTTTGAGAGCCTGCCTGACGTGGTGAAATCGGATCGAGAGGCTGGCTGTTTGAGCCGGTTGTTGTTCTAAACGGCCGCTTTTTCCTATGTTTGCCCAGAAGGTCGCTCTGGCTGCTGTGAGCAATGATGGCTTCCTGCTGAATCGGATCAACGAGCACCTACAGCATGATCGTCCTTCGACAGCTTAAGAACTCCACTACAAACGCAGTCGTTCCGCTGAAAGGTGACATTGTGCTGGCAGCCGTGAGCAACAGTGCCGTGTGCCTGGACCGCTTTGTTAGGGCATGGCTCGCCTTCGACTAGGGGCTGTGGACCGCTGTGGAACACAGCGGCACGCACGTGAACAGTACGTGAACAGCACGTGAGCACTTAACGCTTCTGAACTCTTCCACTCAGGCTGGGCTACGCCTGCCCAGCGATGCAAGAAGACCGAGAGGTCGTCTTGGCAGCTGTTCGACACGAAGGGACCATGCTGCAATATGCCTCAGGCGGCATCAGCTGACTGACACTCTGACGTCTACTGACCCCTACTCTGTGATCCTGTGTTCCCTCCCCTTTTCCTCTTTCACTTCCTTTGTCAGGCCGCCTCAAGTCTGACGCAGAAGTCGTCCTTGCAGCGGTCAAGCAGAATGGCTGCTTGGTGAACGCGGAATGTGGAGCCAGAAAATGTCAGAAGCCAAAAGCTGCGGATTTTCTCTGAAGACTTTGTTGAGGTTTCGCCGTTGTGTATGCGGATGGACAGCTTCGCAGCCGCCGAGAGGCCGGTGCTCATGGCTGTGCCTCGTGAGAGTCTCCCTAGGAGTTGTTCGACGTGTGGCAGCACTTCCTGTCTTCCACCTTCGAGAGCAGTTGTCCAATGCCAGGTCTTCCTCGAGGCAGTGCGGAGCAGTGGTTCTGTGCTGCAGCCGCTTAGACCAGCCCAAGAGAGCAGTGTGTGCGAAGAAGTGCTAGCTGCTAAACTGCTACACAGGTGCTGAACAGTGCTAAAGAACACTGGGCCCACTAGGCCGCGTAGCTCAGTTGAGCTCAATTGAGCTGCAGATGGCTTCAGGTGGGCAGCGCCGCAATTTCGAGAGGATATGCAGATTGCTTTCGCTGCCTTGGCCAGCAATCCTTCTGCGGCTATGCGCCTTCGCTGAATTCCTCGAACGTCGAACTTTTCATTCTGGGTGCCACGACGTGAAACATCTTGTCATGTCTTGCCTTCTTCCGTTTTTTTCGCAAGGTTTGTTGCAGAGGCTGGGTGCCGGAGAGAAGAGAGAGAGAGAGAGAGAGAGAGAGAGAGTCGGGCTCAATAAAATTTCGAGAGATGTCTCAAAATAGCCTCGGCGAGGCACTGAAGCGAAGGAGCACCTTGGATTCCGCAATCGAGAGCAGTGCACAACAATGCACTTGTGTGCTCTTGAAGAAGCTTGCAGGTTGAATTGGAGTTAGCCCATGTCGATGTGGCTGAGTGGCTGTAGGAAAGTTCTGGCTGGCAGCCTTGCGCCACAATATTGCCGTGGCGGAGTTCATGCCCAGACGACTGCGTCGAGACCGAGGCTCCTGTTCTGCCCCTGCTGCTCATCACACAAAGCAGAGTCTCTGCGTGGCTCTGGGTTTTATCTGGGCTCTTCCCTTTAAGCGTTTCCCTTGGTGCTCTCAGAGGCCTCGCCTTGCTGCTCAGATCAAGAAGGTCCGGGCGGCCTGGGCGGCCTGGGCGGCCTGAGCGGCAGCCGAGCCGCGCCGACGGACGAAGCCGAAAGAAGGTGCTGAAGAAAGCGCTGGCAGGGCTTGTGCTGGCAGGCTGACATGACCGTCCAACAGTTAGGCAACGCAAGAAATTCGCGACATCTCGTTACGACACCGAGGCCTACAAAAAGCTCGACTCAGAAAAGGGCGAGTTGGAGGACAGGAGCCGACGAAAACACAAGACTTGGTTGCAGCAGGATGGCAGTCCGTACATCGGGCTTTTCTGTGATCAGCTGGCAGGCAAGACTCCGAACAGCAGGTGGGAGAGCACTCCCACCGCAGGTCGTGGCCAAAGTTCAAGCTGCCATTGCAGCAGGCGCTGTGTCACGCAGTGTTGATGCACCTGCTCCAATCATGCTGTCGATGACATGAGATCGAGTCCTCAGTGTGCTCGGTCCTGCTCGGTCGTGATGCTTCGTTGCACTTGGCATCGACAGCAAGATGTATCAGCTTGGGCTACCCTGCTGCAATCTGCTGCATTTGGATCATGAAAACACAGCTTTACCATGGCTATCAAAGCACGCCAAGCACTGACGCATAGACCACTGATATGCCAACACCAAGCAAGTTGCGGGTTTAAGCTGCACGCTTGACCCCTGCATGTGATGGTCCGTTGAGACTGTATTACAGTCTGGGATGTGTTGTCTGAAGCAACAAATAGCGACAACTTGCCGCACAGAACTGGCAGCTGCTGCGCCATCCGATGGCATCTTCTTTGAAAGCCTACGGCTGGCTAGCATGAAGAAGTGCAAGATATGCTTGCAAAAGCTTCGAGGTTGGGGCATGTTGGGGCCATGAAGTTCTTGACTGCTGGAGCTAGATCTTGTCTTTTCATGCCACCTTGGGAGGGAGCGAGCGCACCACCTTGCAGTGCAACCACGTCTTTCACAAGCGCTGCATCGAGGCCTGGGCTGAGACCGTATTACCAGCAATTTCTGATTGTTTGTTGTGCCATGCTTGAGCAAGCTGCCGCTATGTAGAAAGCCTTAACTTATGTTTCTCAGAGCTACATGATTGAAGGAGATGCGCCACTACAGCGCGAGCGACATCGGAGATGATTGCCAGAACCCGAGTCGCCGGAACACGTCGCTGACGACACGTGTCGTTCTCCTGCAAAGGGGTCCTTGCTGCGCAGGTCCCCTTTGCCGACTCAGTGAGTGCGGGGGGCTGAGAAGGCTTTGTTGGACAGTAGTGGCCTCAGTAGTGACCAGTTGGAGCTGGACCACGTGCATCCCCAAGAGGCCAGCCCGAGTCCGTGGCCATGATGCTGGAGCACTCTGGGCTTAGGTACCTCCAGGGTGACAAGGTGTCCTGGCGTGACAGAACAGCATGTTGCGCAACTTTTTCCCATTGTGAACTTGTTGGAATACCATGCCTTCGTAGATCGTCCTATTGTCTTTTGCCCAGGAGGCAAGCACATGCCTTCTTCGAGAGGCAATCCGGAGAGACCCGTGCCTGGGCATCATAGTTGGCAGTTCATGGCACACGGCAAGCATACCACGCTACGGCTCACGTCGTCTAGCTGTCGGGTCAGGCTCAACGTCCTTGCCAACTACCTCCTTAGCAAGCGCTACAAGACTGGCGATGGCGTGCGCAAGGAGTTGTTACATTCTGCGTTCGTTTTGCCATTGCTGCTTTTCAACGCCGCAGCCCTTGCGCGTGTTTGTGCCATTCGATCTTTGCAGGATGCTGCTAAAGCAAGGCGATATGGCGAGCGGGCGCTGAGCGTCCTCCGGCAGGCAGCTGTCCTTTGAATGAAAGTTTCGTCATGCGTGGTGGATCTTTCGGCTTCTGAACAGGACGTGGTCAAGGAGAATGATCCAGCTCCCAAAAACCAGAAAGTTCGAAGGAAGGATAAAAAGAAGAGCAGGAGACCGCGACGCCCATGGCAGTATTCACAGCGCAATCAATGCACAGCATGTTGGCTGGGTTTTTTGGTGGTTGCGAGTTGGGAGACAGTTTTGCTTCAATTTCAAGCTCAGAGCCGCGTGCCATTGCCAGGACGCAGAAGCCAGGCGATGTGCAACTTTCAGGCACGCGCGGGGTTGTTGGCTGATCTGTTTTGACTTAGCTGTTCCTCCTTGTCTGGGTTCTTTGCCCGAACCACCGGCCCAATTCCCACATCTACAGATTTCCACAGAGAATTCCTGGAGTGCCCACCCCCATTGGAGCATCCCAAAGCCCCCCTCCCCGCGGAGGCACTACGGACCGCAGGGCAGAGAATCCCGCGCGAGCCCACCTTGCAAAAATCCCGGAGAATCCCTGGAGAGCCTTACTGCCCACCCAAAGAGAATCCTTCGAAGCTCGCACTTGCGCAGAATCCCGCTCGCTCGCAGAGTGCCCTTAGAGTGCCCACTCCCAAAGAATGCCTGGATTTCAGCCTGTCCGCGCTGCGCCGAGCGAGCTCCTGCTCATGGTCTTCGTTGCACACCTGATGCAAGCCCAACACCTGCTCCTAGTGCGTCGAATGGCTCAGGCCCCATTGTCCAAATCGCCCAACAACATGTCCTAGCAGCTGTCAATAACTTTCTGCGCTACCTTTGGCAGGCTTAGCAGCTGAACGTGTAGCAGCGGAGGTCATTTGTCACCGGCAATGCGCCCCTTTGTAGTTACTGGGCGGCCAGTAGCCTTTGGTGGAGTACGAAGCCGAAGCTTAGCCAATCGGTGGATTGTGTTGAACACCACCCTGGCTTCACCGTGACGTCCGCAACCCAATGCATCCACTTGGATTGCGCCAGGACATGACCACGGTCTTGGTTGTATTGTGCAACCAGGTACCACGGTGTCTGGGTTTGAGCCAGGTGACCACCCTGAACAGGCCTGTCTTGATTCCTTTGCTAGGAGTCTCTCTCGAACCCCCATTATCATTCACATGCCCCAAGCCATACGGCGCGAACGCATCGCTCTCCGAGCTAAATCCTGCCGTCTTGCTCTCCATGCACTTCTACCACTGCCCACACGCGCGTTACAATTCCTCAGAACAAAAACCAATGATAGATTTTATTTTTCTGCAGCTCCTCAGTTCTGAGCCGAGGCGCGAACCGCCGTAATGGTAAGGAAGCGACCTTGTAACCACCGATTTATCACAGTGTGATTCGCAGCAGTCGGCTCTTCCATGAATCTACAGGCCCTCCACTCGAAGCTCATCAACCCTCCCCCAGCTCCAGAGATTGAAGCGCCCTCAGGCGCCTTCACGGACAGCAGTAAATTCCTGGACGAGAGAGCCCAGCATCAGCTTGTCAGTCTGATGCTGCCCCATTGGCCCTGCGTGCAAGGGTCAGCGCTCGATGACTCACCGGAGGTTCACCCCGACCCACGCGTGCGCGCGCGCGCGCGCGCGCGCGGGGACTCCGACTTAACCGCGGCCAAGACTAGCCATGCACCACAAAATTTCGCACAGATTTCCACCGAGTATGCAAGCCAAGAGAATCTCACAGAGTCTTGCTGTGGCGTGCCCCCATGGAGAAGCCCGCAAAGAATGCCAAGAGGAACCACCCCTAGATATACCAGCACCGTATCCCGCAGAGTGTCCCGGAATGTCTATTTGCTTTGGAATCGGGAACCGGGATGTTCGAAGTAAATAGCTTTGGCTTCGAGTCCCGATAGCCACTGCAAAGGACACAGTTTAGCATTGCCTGAAAAGAGGAAGCGGGCAAATATTCGTAAATTAAGAGGTCTCGTAGACTTTTGCAGTCTACGCATGTGATCAGTTCGGCCGCAGGTAGCCCTTCAAGCCAGCTCGACTGCCTAAGCTCTTCTGTTGCTAGGTTTCTGTGTTATGCACGTGGACCAGCATTGGGCCCCGGCAGGTTGCAAACACGATCTGGGCAGAGCGAGCAGTCCGTCTTCGAGGACTCAGTCCACTCATGTCCATATGTGGGTCTTACTGTTACGTTACTGAAAGCCGTGCTTGAAGGCTTTCAGAGCCAGTGCATTCACATGGAGTTTTCTTCCGCCTTGCATCTTTCTGCCTCGGCACCTTTAAGCCATACGCCAATGAATCTTTCATAGGCATGTTGTGCCCTGTGTTAGGCCTCGATCGCCACGAAAGTCCGCAAGCCCAAGTCGCAAAAAGAGGCAGGCGAGCAGTTGGGTATCTTCCGCGACGCACCCAGCTTCTGGGGCTCAGCGACATCCTCCAGCATTTCAGAATTCAGGTTCATTGTGGTTCATTGTTGGTTGAGGCCAGACCAAAGGCTTCGGCGAAACGGAGAAGATGCGATGGTCGCTGCCTTGCAGTGGGCTTCAAGCAGAATGCTCCTGAAATTCAAGGGCTTGAGTCCGCGGTAGATTTGTCTAGCGTTTGTGAACTTGTGCCGTCGGATTTTTGCTGCAAGGCGAAGAAGATAAGTCTGCAAGAAGGCCAAACCGCACAGAATCATGGAGTAGCCCACCCTTTCTTATTGGCCCACCCAATTTGGGCGTGCCCAATGTGGAGGTCTGAAGAGCTGCAAACTGCAGCTGGCACAAGGCAGTCGGATGTATCAGGCAGGAAACGTTCAGAAAGTTGAGACCCGTCAGCCTCACGGAGATGCGTGATAGTCTGCACAGATGAAGAAGATGATCTACCACCGTTGATGCCCAGAGCTTCACCAGCTCCGGCCGTGGCTTCGAACGTTGTTCCATCAGACGCTGGGCAAGATATGGCAAGATTGGTCATGCTCAAGAATGCCAGTTCTAGGCATGCGGCTTTGTAAGCCGTCTGCCTTGGTCCTTTGCGGTCACCTAATCCGCCGTATCTTTGTGTCTTGCGTAATTTCGTGAGCAGGCCAACGGTGGTCTCTGGCAAAGCTACGCGCGGTCGCGGAAATTGAAGGAATGTTTGGAATCCCCCCGCCTGTGACCTGTGTTCGGGCCGGTGCCGTTTTTCGCATGTTTTTCCCGATATTTCACACGTCTGCTGTGTGACGTGTGTCCGCGCCTTGCCAAGACTTGCGAAAGACCCACTGGTGAATTCGATTCTTCAGGAAGGGCGACGCGTCTTCAACGCGCAGATGGCATGTGCCAATGTCCGTGAGGACGAAGCAACGAACAACTAATATGGCAAGATTTGGCTGAGCGTTTTGGGGAACGTTTGGGTAGCACTAACCGTCGTTTCCTGGGCATGTGGGGTTGAGGACCAAAGCTCGGCGGCCGCAACTGCGGGTGCAGCTGTGGTCACAGTCACTGTGGTCACACCGCCAGAGGGGCCAGCGGCGGACAATGATACCGAATCCATGATGAAGAGGCAGCATCCCCTCACTTGCTTGCTGAAGCTCCAGTCAGGAACAATGAAGAACCTAATGAGCCACATGAACCAAACTTGTTGAGCCATCTTGTGAGGCTGCATGACTTGATGAGCGACCTCCCCGACGTCCCCTGTGGCTCCAGCAGCTCGGAGGAAGAAACGCCTGGGTTAGATGCGACCTTCAAGCTTCCAGAAACCTCAGCTGATTCCAAGCCAACGATGCCAGAGGAGTTGGAAAGGACCGACACTGAGGAGGCTCCCCAAACAGAAGGGCCGATCTCCACTCAGCTTGGCAAGGTGACCGTCACACCGGAGACAGAGATGCCTCAAGAGACTCAAGAGCTTTCTGATCCCAAGCCGCCCGTCGAGCCCGTCGAGCCCGTCAAGGCCCAGGGTGAGCCAAGGCCTCAGCCTAGCCAACGCCCGCGCCGGCCGCGGCCCACGCGCCGCTTCGTCGAAGGGCATGAAGGATATGAAGGGCATGGAGGGCACGAAGGGCATGAAGGGCATGGCCAGCAAGGGCCGGTAACCCAGCCGGTAACCCAGCCGGTAACCCCGCCGGTGGCCCAGCCCGTGACAGAGGCACCTGCGCCTCCCAAAGACCCTTGGGACTCCGGCTGCTCCTGGCCATCCGATCCATCCTCCTCCAAGGCACGGGCTTGCCTCATAGTTGAGCTCAGTGATGTTTCATTCCGACCATTCCATCCATAGTTTTCAATGTTTTGGCTGTAGAGCTCTTGTGTAACTTTTGCAATAGTTCTCAACAACGGTTAAACCGGAGCATGACGCGGAGAGATATGCCCGAGCACCCAAACCACAAGAAGGTCTTCGTCTGAGCTTTCGATAGCTCTTTCGCGTGATTCATCGAGGTTTTGAGTGTGTTCTGCTTGTTGCTGCCTCAGACTGTTGCCTTAAACACACCACTGTCCGCCCCCAAGCGCAGAGATGTTACAACAAGCAACGTGTCCAAGATGCAGGCATCTGCGCTGGCCAGTGCAGAGGAAGCGTTTCCTCGAGAGCCAGCAATGCTGGGCGAAGACAAGCGCAGAGCCTTTGCTGCAGCACAATGACAGAATCACAAGGGAAATCACAAACGCAAGAGTTGCTGGACTGATGTCGGTGTAGCAGAGCATCTGGGCTTCAGAGGAAATGTCGGGGCACCTAGCCGAGGACAGCGCAAAGGTTTTCGCACTCCTGTCCGACCCCCAGCAGTCTGGAGCGTCAGAACGACTCACATTCAAGCTTAGTGACGGCTTAGTGACTGCGTGCTTACTATGTCACTATGTGCTTACTTAGGCTGAAGGAGTGCTGGTGACAAAGAGCTCAAGTCATCCGGCTGCCGTTGTCACGCTGGCCGACTTGACCGTTCGACAGGCACAAATCGCATCATGTCATCACGCCCGCCATTGGGCAATCGCCCCCAGCTCTGCAGCACCTGTTGGCCAACACCACGTGTTCTCAGTTTTTCTTTTGCAGGCCATGGCAGAATGTCAGTACGTGACGATTCAAGACCAGAAGGTCAGAGTCGGGCCCCACAAAGACCAGGACCCTGCTCGAAGATAACGGGTAGCAGGATGGTAGCAGGTAGCAGTCAGGTACCAGGGCAGTGTAGTGTCCATGTGCATGGCGCAGTCGCGTAAGCCCAACTTCTGGATTCGATCTGCAGGACAATGCGCTCTATGTTCATTGGTCGAAGCAGGTCCCAAGTGAACCCAAGCAGAGTGTTACAAAATCTTGATGCTCGTCGTTTCTGTTGATGGCGCCTTTCTGCAGGGTTGCGTTTCGTTGTGCATGTTGCCCGTGCAGGACTCTGCGAGGCTGTCGCAGGAGGTTCTCGAGGAGCCCGAGCCTCACAGACGACATCCATTGGGCTGCATGGTGTCACGGTGTCTCTCTCGGACACAGAACTCAGCAGAACACTCAGAGAGGTACTTCCATGCGAAGTACGAGGAGACAAAGCGAGCGCAGAAGGCAGCCGCAGAGGTCCCCAGCCGGTCTCAGCATGTCTCAGCCGGTTCCAGAGCAAATGTCTCCGACTCGTGTAGCTGCGCGCGTAACTGTCTGCAGGAGCGCTTCCGCGAGTGGCTCTGCAGCCTGGATAAAGGCTTGCGGGGCTTGGCTATGGTTAATTCATGTGAATCATGCATAGCCTGCATGCAGGAAAGGGGGCCATGCTCCGATACTTTCCTGTGTGTGCGACTAAGATGAACGGCAGACCAAGACCCTAAAAGTACATCTGATCAGAGTTTCTACAGTGTTTCCTGAGGCTGAAGGCGGAGTTCGATGCGGACTTCTGCCAGCTCTTGTCAGTGAAAGTCGGTGATGTGGGTGTCCGCATCCCGCCTGCAATTACCAGTGCTTTTGTTCACTGTATGTGCCGCCAGTCATGCTTTCGACCCTGCAAGGTGCCATCGACCCGATCTTTTGGGAGATCTGTGAGATGAAGCCTTTGGGTCATCGCACGACATTCGCCAAGGGGATTTGCGAGCTGGCAGAGACACTCGCCCGAAGTGCAAACAGCACCCCTAAATCACCCGTAGCAGTCAGCAGTGCGTTGGCTGACTGACGCGTGTCACGCGTCTCACGGCAGTTTGGCAATGGTGCGCCCACTGCTCAGCTGTCACACGCTTGGCTCCTACTTGTACGTCCTGTATGTCACTGTAGGTCCTAGGTTGGTAGGGAGCCTTAGAGCCATCGTAGGCGTAGAGGGTGTTGCTCCGTGTGAAAGACGCCCGCTCTGGCCAAAACTGTTTGGAAAGCCATGCAACTTAAAGCTTTGGTGACGGGTCCGGCTCGTCTGGAGACAGTGAAAGCCCGTCTTGTTTTCTTGGTGCAGGCAAGAAGCAGGTGTCCGAGATGCGAGCGACGGTGCGCTTGCAAAGTTTGACAGTGTTCGGTTAATTTTCAGTCGAGAAGCAGCACTTAGCCTCAAGTGTCATGCAGCATGTCTTTTTTTGAGCCTTCGGCTGCTCGCCAAGCCTGCGTGTAAAGGACACCCATACAGGACGAAAAAAGCACGACGAAGGGGACAAGTGGGTCGTCAGCACCCACTGCCACCACCCGGGTTCGTCCGATGCGCGCAAATCTCGCAAGGAGGTGACAATGACCTGTTGTGGGCCATTTGACAGTGTTTCCAAAAGCGACATAAGCTTGGACCGGGCGATTACAGGGATGTATGACGTATGCTGAAGACTTGCTGCGTGCGGAAATTGCCAACGGACGGGCGTCGCCTTACATTCAAGAGAGTATCTCAACTTGTCAAGCTGACTAGAACCCTGAGTTATCAGAGTTGGAGGTGTCCATGTCAGATGGAAAGCGTTGGACGGTCTCTCATGCTTGCAATGTGGTCATGGCACTTCAGATCTCCAGAAACATCTAGACGGTATGTTGACTGGTGATCTTGTTCAAGCTGAAATGGCTCGGCGGCAATATGAGCCGGGTTTCTTCAATGCGCACCGCATGAGCTATCATGAGCCGAGGTGGCGCTCGAAATCCAGCAGCAATTTCCGCAGGCCCAGCGTTGAAGTGGAGTTGCCTCTCTTTTGTTCGATGGGTTCGTTTCATAGCCATGGTAGGTGCTGGAAGAGGCCATGCGAAGCAAGGCCAGAAACACAGATGAGAAACAATGACATGGCTGTCCACTCCACTGTGGAGGTCGATTTGCGCAATTCTCAGCTCATACGGTGCAGGCAGCTGATCTGCAGAAGTTGCTGGATGCGGGAGCGCAGGACATCGTTTCGGTATCACGCTCTGCGTTCCAACAGAAACTATCCTGGGTCTTAATCGTCTGCAAAGTCCTCCAGGCTCAGCTGCATGTTCCAACCATGTACGGCGGAAGCTCCATCCAGACGCACCCTCTGACCTCTTCCGCAGCCGCAGATGCGATCTTGTGAGTATCTCTCCAATCTCGCTTGATTTTGCGGCATTGTCTCGGCCGTTTGATTTGAGCCAGGCCGAGCATTCGGACGATCGGACAGTCGGCCCATTCTGACTCTATTCCATCGTCGCTACATGATTCCTTGCATTGCTTTTGCCTTCTTGCTGTAGGGTTGAGTCGTTGACAATGGAGGGGCATCTTTCGTGTGAATATCCTTTTTGCGTCAAGGGGCATGCTCGGACATCTTTTCTCGTATGTCCAAGGGGACATTTACAAGGAACCCTATATACACTCACCAACAGCAATGTGGACATATATAAACCCTACCGCCTCAAATGTTTGGATTTTGCTACCTCAGTGGCAGCTTATGAGCAGCAACAACAGCACCCGTGCAGCAGACGATTACGTTCAGGAGTGGAAAGAGAAGTACACCATCGAGTGCGACAGAAGACGCAAGTCACGGACTCAGCCTCCACAGAGCACCGTGAAGGTCTGAGCTATCTGAGCTTTCCTGGGTTGGACATCCAGCTGACATCCAGCTGACATCCTGGACAGGAGCAAGGGCTGGAAAGCACTGAGGAATGCTTTCAGGAGGGAATGTTAAGAGCGAGCACTCTGAGGTTGCACAATCTGGTGCAAGAACTGAAAGGCCAGGGGCACCACCGGCACACACAAAGCTTATATTCGGGTCATTGATGAGCCGTAGCTCCGCCTTGCAGTTCAGGCAACATCCGTGTGTACTGCCGGGTTCGACCCATGACGAAGGCGGAGTTGAGCCCTCAGCTCGAAGATGTACTGTCAGGTACTGCCCTTGTGAATGGCACTTGCTGGCACTGCTGCATTGGTTTAAGTATGTTTAAGTTACGGAAGTGCTTGGAGAATCCGAGCCGAGGGAAGAACATGGTTGCTGCATCAGCTTTCCGGGTCCTGACGAGGCTGGCTCAGGTCTTAAAGGCACAGCGCTGGAACCCCCTCCACTGTTGAAATTCTGACAGATCCAAATCAGCAATGCAGACATGGGAACCAAGAAGCCTCAGCCCCAGATTCTTGCTGGGCTCTTGAGTGGAAGTTGCAGCTGCGAAAGCTCCGTCGTGTAGCTGAGCCAAGTGTCAAGCTCCTGACAGGACCTTCCAGTTCAATGAGATCTATCGACAAGCTGCAAGTCAGGCGGCTTCGAGTTCCACTACAATTCGCTACACTTCGCTACACATGCTCATGCTCCGGGAACTCGTCGTGACTGCCAGGAAGATCTCTTCACTGGAATTCGAGATTTGGTCGTCTCAATGCTAGATGGCTGTCTCCCAAGAATGCTGTGCGTGTTAGCAGGTGTTAGCAGATGAGATCGTACGTCTCAGTATGTCTCTGTCGCTTGAGGCTACAATGTCTGCATGTTCGCCTACGGTCAGACGGGCTCGGGCAAGACACATTCCATGCAGGGAACAAAGACTGCTCCTTAGAATTGAGAACGTCGCCTCAATGCTTTGCAATTGGGCGAGACTGTTTAAGTCCCTTTGAAGGGACAATCCCGGCGTCTACACTCGAACCTTCAATGAACTCTTCAAGGCTCTAGCCTTCCGTTCACTGTGGTTACTTGCTCCATCGCTTCCTAACTCAAGCTTTCGCCAAATGCGTGGTGGCCGTGCCGACAGGTGGCCAAAGAAAGGGCTGGCTGGAAGATTGAGCTGAAAGGCGTGCAGCGCCCAGCCGCAGCAGAGCCTAGCGCAGCCTAGCCCGTTTCACGAATGACTGCATTGCTAAGCATTGCTCCACAAGGCTTGTGTGGAGATCTACAATGAGGCCTGGACATGCAGAGAAGATCGGGTTCCGTCAGGTACACGGGATACACGGGGCACATTACACGATGTTTTGCAGGAAATTCGGGATCTTCTGCTTGGGCCCGGCGACAAGAAGCAGAAACTACAGGTTTTGGCCTTGCCACCTGCCACCCCTCGGACTCTGCACGCGCAATATCCGGATTTGCGCTGCTATTGCAGGTCCGACAGGGCAAAGACGGCAACTATGTTCCTGGATTGACGTTGCAGACTCTTGAACGGAACGGTTCGGAACGGTGGACCTGAGTGGTAAGCAGGAGGCAGTCACGTAGCCATTGGTTCATGTTGCGCATCCGTGAGATGAACACAAGATGGCAGCCAAGGCCGGTAAACAATCCAGAGGAAGTTGAGATGTTGCTTAGCACTGCTCAGACGTCCTGGGCTCAAGTGGTGCCCTTTTCTTTTAAAGTTCACCTGCCACGGCTGCTGTTGTCTACCAAGTTTCATGGGATGCATAGCACATGCGAAAGTTTCCGCACAAGTACTAGCCCTTGTTGCCAAGGAATCGAACAGTTGCTGCCACGGACATGAACCTGCATTCTTCGCGTTCGCACCTTGCTGTGTGGGTCTTGGCATGTAAATGTAATGTGGGCCGGGCCGGGAAAAGGAAGGCAGAATTTGTGCTGCCTGCTTTCTGCAGGTCCAGATCTTGGGGACAATGACCAATCCTGATGGCAAACAATTCTCCTCGGCCATTACCCTGGTACGCCCACAGTGTGAAGCTGCGGAGAGAGAACGAAAGAGGGCCAGATTTGGGGCCAAATCGCCTCGTCGTCACCATAGTCTGTGCATGTGGAGGTGGATCTGGCGGGCTCTGAGCGTCTGGCCAAGTCCGGCGTCGCTGGGGATCGTGCCAAGGAGGTCCAGAAGCCAGAAGCGATAAGAATCGACCAGCTGAAGTGCCAAGCACAGCCTTGCCACTCTGCCTTTGAGAGGCCATTGCCATCAACAAGTCCCTCAGCGCGCTGGGAGACGTCATTGCAGCACGGGCCACTCACAATTGCACTAGTTGAAGCTCGATAGCCCTCAGCTGCCCAAGCTGTGTTCATGTCTCAGAGGAAAGGGAAAGGGAAAGGGAAAGGGAGAGGGAAAGGGAAAGGGAAAGGGAAAGAACACAGAGAGGCGCGCCCAGAGCGCAGGGGGCGGTCACGCCCTTCATGCCCCGTAGAAGAAGAAGAGAACACAGCCAGCGACTAAACAGGGACCCTTGCTTGGCCGTCGAGGCGAGGCTCCCCCGGCAGGGCGGGCCTCAAAGTGCGCAGCAGAAGAAGAAGAACAAGAAGAAGAAGAAGAAGAAGAAGAAGAAGGAGAAGGAGAAGGAGAAGAAGAAGAAGAAGAAGAAGAAGAAGAAGAAGAAGAAGAAGAAGAAGAAGAAGAAGAAGAAGAATAAACAGAAGAATAAGAAGAAGACGAAGAAGAAGAATAAGAAGAAGAATAAGAAGAAGAAGAACAAGAAGAATAGAGACCTTGTGAAACTTCCTCAAGTCAAACGTATCGTCGCTTTGCTAGGCTCAAAAGCAGGGCCATACGCCTTATCGAAACTCGATGCTCACGCACTTCCTTCAGGACACCTCCGCCGGGTGCATCTCCAATTGTTCTTCCATGGTTCTGACTGATTCTGGCTGTCCATGACTGCCAGGACTCTTTGGGCGGGGACTCCAAAACATTGATGCTGCTTCAGCTGAATCCTTGTGGCAGCCATGTTGAGGACGCTGGCACCCAAAGCACAACAGTATCACTAAGCACTCCGTGGTATCCTGGCACACCCATCGCTCAAGGAGTCCATGTGCTCACTGAATTTCGGAGCGCGCGTCAATGCGGTCGAGATGAAGAAGTCCTGAGTCGCATTGTGAGGCGCGTTGCCCCCTGCATCTTTGCCCGCAAATTTGCCGTTCGAGAGCTGCTGCGGTGCAAAAAGGGCGCCTGGCACGCAGAAAAAGCACAATATGTGTATATGTATGTATGTATGTATGTATGTATGTATGTATATATATATATATATATATATATATATATCATGTATATGCATGTATAGTATATTTGCTGCATCGTATGGCGCCCACCCTTGCAACCTTGAGTGCCATAATGCCATGAGTACAAGTACTCCATTGCCTGGTGAGGACGGCTCGAGTCTGCTCGCATGGATTCTATAACTGTTAGGTTTCAACCGTTCACGTCTGCAGCGCCTGCAGCCCTTAGGACTTAGGATTTGCATCCTGCTTGATTCACTTGTGGAAGAACGTTGGACAGGAGATCAACAACCCAAAGCTCACGTGCTAGCACACTCGTGTTCCGACACGCACAATTGCGCTTGGTGCCCCCTTGGAGCTTGTGGAAAGCTGTCAGGCCTTTCATTCTTCTGAAGGTCAGTGATACTGGCACCTGTAACGTCAGAGGTCTGTAGATGGGATTGAACACCAGCACTAGATGAGCTTCCGAGTTTACATAGGCTGTGCTTGAAGACTGCCTGAGTGCTTTGAGTGCTTTGAGTGCTTTGAGTGCTTTGAGTGCTTTGAGTACTTGAGTGCTGGGCATCAGGCCATGATGCCTTCAGACATTCCCGACAATGCTCCTCCAGTCCTTTCAGAGAAGGAGGCAGCAGAGGCTGCGCTTGGCTGTGTTCCAGAACCTTTGTAAGCCTTATGTGATAACGCGAGCTTTTGAGTTCAGAGGCTCTCAAAAAGTTTGTGAGAAAGAACCGGTGGGTCACTGAGTGCAGTGAGCAGATTTAGTCCGGCTGAGATCAGAGGCAATGCAAAGCTCTCGTTGCTTTCGACACGGCCTTCCTCCTATGTGGACTTGCGGTAGAGCAGCCAGCCAAGCTGAGGACGTCGAAAGATCGTGCAAAGTTCATGAGCACCCCGACCCCGATGCTGATTCCAGTTGCTGGCCCCAGCAAAGAGCAGCTCTCTTCAGTTCTCTTCCTCTCAATTTTTCCTTGTGCTCTGCTCGGACGCTCTGTTTCGCTCTCTTGTACGCTGAGGCAGGCGCAGGGCCGGACGCAGGGCCGGACGCAGAGCCGGACGCAGGGCCGGACTTAGGGGCAGAGCGGTCCGGGCGCGAACCGGCCGTAACCCTCCCGGGGACGATGCCAGGCGCTTCGCATTGCTGACGTTTCTCGCGCCATTTCTCCCAATTCTCGGTCTTTCTCGTGGGAGGCCTCTCCTTGCTCTCCGATGTCGATGCCGGGATCCCAGTTGGCACATGTTGGCACATGTTGGCACATGTTGGCACATGTTGGCACATGTTGGCACTGTGAGAGGCACGTGGTCTGTAGCACTGTAGCGTGTCACCTCTGGAAACTTCTGCATTTCAAGGCCTCCATGAAGAAGCTTGTCGAGGAGAAACTTGTGAAGTTTGACATTTTCGACTCCATAGACGAGGCGGCAAGTTTCACAACTTCACGGGTCACTGGTCTTATCATAGGTTCACTGGTGACTGATCTTGTATACTTTCGTGTTACATGTATAGTATACGACGAAGCACGAGTTTCAAAGCTCAGGGTGGGAATCGTCCAAAACGTGCGAGAGGGTCGTTTCGACGGACCCCTTGCCGTTGCCTACGCCACGCAGATCCCCAGCACAGAGCCCCCTAATGTTAGCACAGATTGTTGTGGAATGCGCGAACAGCAGCTTGCACCACCCGTGGCGCATTCAACACATTCCCATCAATACCTGACACTGCTTGCATGTCAAAGCTTTGTGGACCGCTGTTTCTGTTGTAACAGCATTCACCCAACAACTCCGAGAACAAGACCTTACTTCGCAGTCTGACGGCAACATGAGGACCTCAGCTCTCTCAGCTTTGCCACATCGCTTGTCTGTTTCTTCCCACCTTGCCTGAGTGAAAGCTTGGAGCCCTTGATGGGTTAGGCAGTGCTCCAAGAGAAAGCGCTTTTGGAACAAGCAGAAGAGCACAGAAGATCGCAGAAGCATTCTCCATATTCTCCATGAGCCACGATGGCATACAATGGCATACAACAAGCCAGGAGCGGATCAAGGACTTCGAGTCAGCGGCGGAGCGGAGTGACTTTGCTTAAGCTGAAAAGCTCAACACCCATCAAACTCAGGGACTCAGTAGCTGGGCTTTGCATTGTGTTATTGCAACTTTCAAGGCAAAGCACAGTCGAACTACAAGGAGTACAAGGCCAAGAGCAAGAAGGCTGTGGGGGCATGATATGCAGCACTTTCGCTTGCTTTGCCGTGAGCGGCCGCTGGCACCTGCGTTCTGACCCCTGAGATCGACCCGAACAAGTTCTCGTCCGTGTCTGTGGTTCAACGCAGAGAGGATGGACACAGCGTCCGCCGGCACCGTGATTTGTTCAGCTTGTGAGAAATATTATTGTAAGGGAAGAGAAGCGAAAAGTCCGTTCAGAGTTCGTAAGCCAGAGATCTTTGGAGCACTTGCGCAGGGACAGCCTTCAAACGTTTGAAAAGAGCTTTTTTGGGGACTCTTGGGATCTTCGAATTCTTCGATAGGAGCCATGTGGGAGCCATTGCGGGAAAGCATGGGAAAGCCCAGCGCTGGACGAGTTTGAGAGTTGTTCTTTTGTTGGAGAGGTTGGGCGCGTACACTTGCTGTAGTTGACAGGAGTCAGAAGACAAGCGCGACGTTACGCAACCGGGCGGTGCTAGTAGGGAGCAGATGCGGATGCGAAAAAGACTTAGAGACTATTAGACTTACTGAGAGCTCAGAAAGGTAGAAATCAGTGCTGCTGGACGTGCAAACAGACTGGAGCCGATGCCAGGTGATGACCTGAGCAGGTTGGCCGAACGACGTTTTAAGCCTTTTAGTAGCACATGTCGTGATCTCGCGGGCATGGCGGTGGACATAGTAGAAATAGGCTAGGCCTGTCCAAAAGCATGTGTTGCTGGGGTGTTCCAGCAAAGCTCAGAAGGCACGGTTGCCCTCAAAGCGTATGGTTGCAGAATGATGCAAGAGGCTAGCCAGGAGAGAAACTAGTGAAGTGCCGCTTACATATTCTACGCCTGGATGCTTGCGATTCGCAAGGATTCCACAAGCCTGCGAGTAGCTATGGCGGCGTGCGAGTGCCAGGAACATGAGCTGAGCGCTGCGCTAAGCCATGGGATTCAGAAGAATGCGTACATCTACCGGCGCCAACCCTGTCACTTCCGACCTTTGTCACCTGCGCAAAGCGCTGGATGCAAAAACCTGTGCGCCATAGGCCAATCTTGGCCTCTACAGTCACACGCCAGTCCCTGATCATGCACCACTGGCCATCACGTTGCTGTCGTGAGGTACCTTATCATCTTATCTTTTATCAGACTCCTCCTGACTGAGACTCTCTGAAGTCCGCATGAATAGCCGAGTTGCCCCGTTAAAGCGAGAAAGCGAGCACCTATTCGAAGAATCAACGTCCTTGGCCCTTGAGCACTGCGGACAAGGAGTTGGTCGGGAATGTGGCAACATGCAAGAACGCACCATGTAGCACCTCACCCAACTATTTTTTGTTGTACGGGTTAATGCTTTATACCACAGACATACTATTAGGAAAGTACGTGATCGTGCCTCTGAAGGGGTGCGAGCCCTCAAAAACCTTCTTTCTAGGCGAGAGCCACATGGGCCATGATTGTCGGAAGGGACTCTTTTGGGCGTGCAGCGTTGAGATTAGGTTCACGCGGTGGGCAATAGATGATTCCTGTACGCAGGAAGGCATCTAGCCTGCTACTGAACGGGGCGGAGCTGCAGCGAGCCTTCTGTGTTCACGTCGGTTGCAGCACATCAGGCCCAGCGCCGTCATAGCTCGGGCTGCAGAGCTCGCGCTGCAGTTAGCCTCGCATTCGCGATTAGCCGTTGCTCCCCAGCGGCCGCTGCCGACAAAGGCAGAGTTCCAACTTCTTGGGCTTGGTTGAACGGTTGAACACAGGTGGAACACCGCATGTCTCGAGGAACATCCTGAGACACTAGGGTATACACTAGGCACACGGAAGGATACATTGATTACTGTCTTGACGTGGCTTGCATATAAGGCAGCCTAGCCTCTTGTTGGGATTTGGAAAAATGCATCACAAGGAAACCAGCTTGAAGCGGCCCAAGCATGACAGTGCCACGCAATTGCCTTGTCTTTCAGGGGGCAGCAATGCATAGCAGTGCACAGCAATGCTCAGCAATGATATTGAGATGACGGCTCTGCCAGTGCTGCCGTGATCGTTGTGTTACTACAAGAGTTGTGCACATGGCTTATGCCGCACTGCTGCAAGTCTGCAAGCCTCCCCCCCAAGAAAGCCTGGCAATATTGCTGGCTTCAGCACTTTGTTTTGCGACATTGCAAAGCAGGAGGTCAAGATGCTTCAATACAGAGTCAAACCCCACTATTGAATGCGACATACTGCCTCAAACGAGTTATGTTTGGCCACGGCTGCTGAAGTTCAGAGACTAGAGCTCTGCATCACGCGACGCGAAGGGTGCCCTGCTAAGCAGAAACACACGGCCTTGTGGGCCGCTAGGGTTGATGTCATGTGCCAGAATGCAACAAGCACATCCTCAAGCATCAGGGCCACAACTTCGCCACAGCTGCTTCGGCGCTTCCTCGGCTCAAGGCGGATGGCGCGGAGCGCGCAACGCGCGCCTCAAAGAAATATCCATCAGGTTGGCTTCCAACGCTTGGTTGTCGCCCTTGCTGACCGATGTTGACGGTTTCCGGTTGCAAGGTGAGCACGCTTCTTCCATGGGCGCCTGAAATCTCACAGGAGAGGCTTATGCAAAGTCATGCAGAGTCAAGCATTGCACCCTAAGTGAGTCCAGGACCTATGCTTCTTACGCATGTCCGCGTCAGAGTCATCTTCCTGGCGCTGCGCCAATCTCAGAGGGGATTCTTTCGAATGACGAAGCGTGGAGAATGCATTGAAATTGAGTCCCTTCTCCAGGGTTTCGCAAAGCTTCCTTTCGCTCGGCCCTGGCCTCATCGACGGTTCACAAAGCACAAGGACAACACAAGCATCAAAGACATCAGCATGAGCAAAGTTAGGCCTGTTTTCGGCTTGGTTATTTTGGTGAGTTGACAGAGAACTCAGAGAATTTGAGGCGAGCGCCAGGGCGAAGGAAGGGACTTGGAGGCGCCTGTCTGCCATGCGCCTCTCTGCCATGCGCTCTCCTGCGCCATTCGGCCACTCTTCACTCCGATTCCCACAAGCGAGGCCCTCCTTAATGGAGATGCCGACCGAGCTGAGCTACTGAAGAAGGATCCAGGTTTCGAAGGCTTTGGCGCGAAGATGCTCACATTTAGTCTGAACAAAATCTCCACGTGTCAGCTCAGTCAGCTCCAGCCCTTAACTGGTTCTTGAGTCGCCTGGCAGGCGACGAACCTCTGTTTCTGCTAGCGACCTTCATGCTCTTAAGAGCTGCCAGGGACTGAGGTTTGCGCAGGAACTGTCATTATTCTCCCCATTTCTCTGATCATGTCACTAAGGCCTCGGCATGTCTTCTCTCAGTTGTAGAGTGTGGGAAGGCTCCGCAGACCCTTTGATCCCATCTCTTGCCTGATGATCAGTGTGCTGACTCTAGCCCAAGTCCAGCCCCCTTAGCTCGGCAAAGTAGGACCGTTTAAGGCTGTGGCACTGCGCAGCCTCCAAGAGGATTCGCAAGTATTGATGTGGTACGCGGCTGAGAAGAGAGAACCTCGCTTGAATTTTGGCCTCCTACTTGGTGTACATATTTACAGTTTCTGGCAGGCAGGGCATTGCATTTGCCTGCTTCACCCGCTGCATTGCGGGCAGGGGGCTTCCTGCCCATCACCTAGTGAGTCCTCGCCGCTTCAGCTGTCTGAGTATCCAAGTTGTCGTACAATCATGCAAACACAGTATACACCATTCCACTGCAGGGCGCTGACGCTGCGGCTGTCTTCCTCACAGGAATCTTACCTGACATCTGGACAGTTGCCCCGAAGAGCTGGGGGACGCTTCGGGAACGCCAGTGCCAGGCCTCCGCGAGTTTCTTCACGTCTACGGCCTCAGGACAGCCCTGAGGCCGGTGTCCGTTGTTGCAATAGGCTAATAGCAACGTGTTTCAATGTCTTCTTGTTGCATGTGGCATGACCCTGTTTTCTGTGAGGTTGCAGTTGTCCGACTAGCGACTTAATGATCTAGCACTGACACTGGCAAGTATTTCCGAGAACTTCCGAGAACAGACTGTAAAGAGTTGAGCAGGCAGCTGTCGCCGACTTGCTCATGAACGGCTGATGAGGCGGAGAGAGGCTGCAGATCATGATTTAGACAGTGAGCTCAGCAGGCAAGTGTCAAAAGGAAACTTGCCGTTTTGCTGTGCAAGGCTGCTCTGTCTTACCATGAGAAGAGAACATATCTGAACGTACTGACACACTGTGAACACAACGTTAATCCCAATGCCGCTGTGAGCATGCATACCTCACGGAAATGTGAGTTGTTTCAGCGACTGGAGGGGTGCAGCAGGAAAGAGCGTGCACATGCCGAAAAACATGAAGTTGCAGCTCTGGCATGCTGCTCACCCTGGTTTTTCGTTTATACCTTCTCCGGGGCGCACACAAGCCATCCACCATGCTGACTGTTCATTTGTCACATCTCAAGCTGGCGGCAAGGGTTCAGGGCTGTCCACTTCAACCTGCTTAAGGCGCCTAGCTTGGCGAGAACCCGTCTGGACCTTGGAACGACGTGCAAGAAAGCTGCCCACCCATTGACCCCCACCCGCAAACCCTCGCCAAAGCGCCGCCACAGTGTGATCAAACGCGGCCATGGCTACCCTTGTACAGAGCTATGGTCCTGACCTTAAGTCCTCGAACCCTCAGGGTGTTCCCCTCTCTCTCTCTTCTCTCCTTTCTCTCGTTTCTCTTTCTGGTTTTTCACTCTCTTTCAAGTGCAACCACAAGCACGTACTATGTGCACAACCTGCACAAGATTCTCCACAAGACATGCGCTGCTTGCTGCTGCCAGGCTTGCAGCTAGTGGACCGCAGCGGAAAAGACTTCGATGCGCAGCAGTCCAAGCAGCACGCGGCCACGTCAATGTCAGTCTGAAGACCTCCGAAGTTTAAGTGAAGTTTTGAAGTTTAGGAAGTCTTGCTGCGAAGTCAGATAAAACGAGCCTGCATGAGATGATCCATTGCAACTGGGTGTGGTAAGGCAGAAGCTGACCGCATCAGACGTTGTTGTCTTCTATTTCAGCGCTCACTGGTGCCCACCTTGCAGGCCGCGGAGTTAATACGTGCACGTGATAGCGTAGTCTTGGAACGGCAGAGATTGTTCAGAACTTCTCGCGCAGGGGCTTTACCCCGATGTTGAAGAAGTTTTACGTGACTGGGATGCAAGGCGGTCTTCGGTTCCTAGGGGGGTTTGCATGGGAGCCCAGTCGTGAAAGGGTGTATAGCATGCTTGCATGATGTGCTTCGGAGAGAGGAGATAGAGAGCGCTGCGCAACTGACCCAAGAGATGTGCACCCTCGTATAAGCTCACAATCACAATCGCGTACAGCAAGACACAGGCAAGACAGGTCATCCAACTCTTCTTGATCATGCCTGTCGTCACAGCGAAAAGAAGTGCAATGTGTTTAGAATGCTTCGATGAAGGAGCCGCGTGACTCAGTTCAGTCGTGTAATGCAGCAGGTGCAGGCCAGTGCCCTGTAAGGACCTGCGCAACCTGAGCTGTTCGGGGTTTCTAGATTGTTGCTTGTAGCTTGCAATCATCAGTGTTGCATGCGAGCGAGGGGTGTCGTGAATGATTCTCATCTACGCTTTGTAGTGCGCTGTAGTATCTCGCTGGCAGTATCTCGCATCTGCCTCGACCAGTGGCTTTCGTCAATGATGCCTGTACTACGAGACGCTACGAGCTCAGGAAACCCTCCAGTCACTGGGTGCGCCGCCCAGGCTTAGCATCGTCTCGTGTGACTGAGCCATGGTTTTTTTGCTTATTTCTTCTGTTGACATGTGCTGGGCTCAAGGCGAGCAGTCATTGAAAATCATCTTCGTCTCAAGCGTGTTGTCCTCGGAGCGGGAGCTATTAATGATAGAAGCAGGTCCAAGAAGCCGTTTACAAGATTGACCAAGGATCATTCCGAAAAGGACATGTGGCAGTACATGTACTTCAGCTGCATATTATTAGCTCACTGACTTCAGGGCGAAGTTGGACTTTTCTAAGGTAGCATTCGATTCTCACAAGTCAAAACTCACAGCTCAGGTACGAATCGCATGGCGTTCTGCTTAGCAAGAAAGACGTTTGGAACGTCTGTGCACATCTTTCAAGTATGTGGCTGTCTCCTGTGACACAAGGCACATGGCCATGTGCAGGTGACTGGCTTGCCCTAAAGTACGACTGCAAGGAGATAAAGGACCGCTTGTCTCGACAGTTCCAGGCACCCGGCTCGGTCAAAAAAACTCTGCGGGGTATGAGCAACCTGAAGCGCTATGCCCCTGTCCTTGAGGTGTCCGGCATTCCCGCGCTTGTAGTTCTGGACAGCGTGGGCCGCCAGGTGCAGCGATCGACACATTCGAAACGCCCCCAAAGTGACATTGACCTGTCAAGGCTGTGAAAGATGCACGGGCAGAAGTCATGGCCGCTGCCAATGCGTCTTCCACGCAGGCGATGCGCATTAGCTTGCTGGGAACAGCTACAAACACTCCAGAATGATTCTGTATAGGGATGCCTGATCATCCAGTTACATACCCAGGCATCCTGCAATGTGAGGTCTTGACAACCTTTTCTGGATGGAAGACAGCTGCAGGTGCCGCTGCCCAGGCCAGAATGCGTGCCAATTAACAAGATGCCTTGGTCGTATTCGATGATATACGTCCGTCCGCTGAGCCCCTTGAGGTGGACACGTCTTCGCAGATGTCGCCTGCAGCCTGGTAACTACTAAGTAACTACTACCCACATCAACGTGCCTTACAGGGCTAAGGGTATCACATGCCATGCCCCCTGAATGATTGTGCTTGGGAAGTGTGAGCTGGAACAACTATGAGCAAATCCTGCGCTGGGCACAGCGGGCTTCGTGACACTCGGGAGAAGGAAGTCTGGGTTGGGGTTCCCCTCAGGCCTGGCGTGCGTGTGCGTGTGCGCGGCCTGCAGGGTGCGCCGCGCCCTCAGGCCTTAAGAGCCTCCTCTGCTCTTGTTGCGCAGCAGGGCGTTTGAATGAGCCGGCACGATGTGCCAATACACTCTCTTTGTGACTTCGTGTTTCGGGTTTGTAAAGCCTTGGTTGAGGCAAGAGAACAATGGCTTGGAAGGTGTGGTGGAAAGGCAAACTTGCCATGTGTGCGTGTTTCCGGCCGAAAGTGCTTTGGTGCACAGCTCTCCAGTCGCTGCTAGGTTGAGTTCAGGTTAAAGTGAGCAGGAGAGTTGCTGGATTCAGTTCAGACGTTGGCAGCAGTCTTATGATTCGTGCACAGACTCGTGCCAGATTCGACATCTCGAAGCGGAGATATGTGGTTCAGATTGGAGAGAGGCTGACAATGGCCGACGCAGAAAGATGCGCAAGTGTTCGACTTCTGCCCTAAATCAAGTAGAGAGACCCCTCAAGTAGCAATACCCTTACAGGCAGCTGTCGCTGAAAGCTGCGAACCTGTCTTGCTCTTACATGTGCCCAGAGGAATCCCAGAAACCTCAGACTCCCCAGATGTGCCACCCATCCAAAGCGCTTGCCTCAGGCTCCAGCTTCTCAGTCTGCAGGTGAGTGGTATGACGGGGCAATGTTTTGCGTGTACAGTGCGTGTACATGTCGCCCCTTTTGACTGGCGACATGCAGGTCTGTGACAAGGGCAAGGAGGAGCCGCGAGCCACTCATCAGGGCGCTTTTTGAGAACACAGCTTCGATCTTCGTTCTCTTTGTGTAGAGCTGCAGGTGGGTTGAGGCACAAGTCGTAGATTTCGATGATGCAATCGGCTTAGTTTGCCGTGGTGTCAGTTTTCTGCGGTTGTAGCCACGTACATACACTGCGACTTTGCTGAGGTGACTGGGGAATGTCTTTGTCTGCGAGAGGCCAGCTTTGAACGTCGTAGAAGCCCCGACAGCCCCCTGAGCTGTTCCCTCGACGAAGACCTTAGAGTTCCGTAGTTTCCGTAGCAGTGTTGCAAGACCTGAACAGGGTCCGACAAAGCGCCTCTAAGACTCTACGGCCTGTCCTCTAAGGCATTCTGCATTCAAGCAGTTGAAGCCAGGAATCCGAGAACCTTCTCAACTCCCACAGAAACTTCAAAACTGGTTGCAAATTGCGCAGTGAGAGCTGGGAAACAACAAAGCGAATCATGTTTCTGGGGGCAGTGTCCTGCAGAGGTAGTCCATGAGGTTGCCAAAAACCATCAATGACCCCACTGCATGCCCACGTAAGGCAATCCATACACACACACACAAGACCTCCCCCGCGTTGAAGCTTTTGTCTTTTCAGAGGCAGAGGAGGAGGCGCGCAGATCCGAGGGGAGTGCGGAGTATGCTTCGCGGCATCACAATATTTCGCTATACTCATATATATATATATATATATATTTTAGTTATTTATTGATATATATATATATATATATATATATGTAAAGCTTGCTGCATGAAAGAAGGCTGCAGTCGGGCGAGTCGGGCCGCAGTGACGGAGAATGCCGTTGAAGACAACTCTGAGAAAATCTGAGACAATCTTGACAACCACCGCGCCCCACCCCGAGCCTCACCCCAAGCCTCGCAGAGGCCCAGCGCTGGGACCTCCGCCAGCCTTCCCAAGCGCGGCTCACTGTCGGCACCATCGTGGCGGTGCCGTGGTGTTCATACGTGTGGCAATAGTTGGTGCACAGCAGGGCATCTGTAGGGCATCTGGGCAGATGAGGGTGGATAGCACATCTCTTACCGGTAGGCGCTGATTTGGTCAATGTGGCTCAAGAGGTGCAGGGCCTACAAGCCGAAGAGTGGAACGAGAAAAACGGCAAGGCGGGCTACAAGATGAATTACAATCTGTGCGAGGTATGATCTTAGTTTTCGCACGAACATGTTATAATCCCTGTTTTCCGACTTTTAGGTCACGGAGTTTGATGAGGAGAAGCAGAGGTCCAGTCGTATCAGATGTCGGACGATTCGTCACGCTCTGTGAAAGAGAAGAGGTACCAAGTGCAGGTGGCTCCTGGCAAGGCTCTGAAGTCCCTTGGATGCGGTGGAGTCTGAGAAAGCTTTACGTTTGCATTGCTGAAGTTGCCTGCCCAGGATCAAGCCCGAGAACGTGCGCTTGTTTCCCTTGGCATGAGCTCATGCCGCGGCGTCGCTCATGAGGCTCCCACTGGCTTTCAACTTGTCGTTTTGCTCGTGAGTTTTGGGCTCGCGGGGCAGCCTCGAGTGACTTAGTGGAACCGGGGAGGAAGCCGCTCGGCGAATTTGGCAGGACCCGTCCAGGACCTGTCCACTTTCCGCTGTGCGGCAGATCTGCGGCCGGAGCCCCTCAGTGTGCCTGGCAATGCAGGTGCGCTGCTTTGCTGTTGTTCGCGTCGGCACGGTCTTGTCAGGCATTTGGCTTGTCGCGACTTGATCCCATTTGAAGCCCTATCTTGTCCAGCAGATCCATTGCAGGTAGAGATCTGCAAGATCTGCTGACTAAGCAACGCAGCGTCGATCATCGAATGTGCTGTGTCTGCACCACAGACCGCAGCACCATAAACCGCGTGTTCGCATCGTAAAGAGGCAGCATGCGGCAGCCAGTCACCTGGGCCTTTTGAGTGTGCTGTGCACGTGGTCGAGGATCTCGTATTTCTGTTGAAGTTGGCTCTGGCCCAGAAGCATAGGAAGGACCACAAAGACAGGCAGAGCAAGGGGCCAAGAGAGTGCAGGGTAGGAATTCATAGGCCTTCAAGATCGCGTGCGGAAGACACATTGTCTGGCTGTCGAGCCGAACCGTAGCTGCAGCGACGGAGCACTGTGGGACTTGAAGCGCGGAACTGGAAACCGCGCCTTGGCATCTCAGGGCCTTGTACAGACACTGCAGTCACTGCAGACCCAGTTGAAGTGAATTCACTCGGAATTCTCAGGCGACCATGGGCACCGTGATGGAGGAACGTGTGAAGGCCATGCTGGGTCCATCACTGAAGCCCAGCCCCAAGGCTGTCAGCACTATTCACTATGCTAAGATGACCGCTAGTTAGCTAGTTGAGTCTGCGCATGCTTGCGAGATCTTGCAAGCAAGCTCCAAGTGATGAGCTCCTCAGGCCAGAAATGAAAACAATGATGCAAGAGCTTGGCGAGAACTTCAAATTCCCGGAGTGGAAGCAGGGATCCAGGGCATTCGCCCTTTTCTGGCTGAAAGTTGCAAGCAACAGCATCTGCCAAGGTACCGGATGAACAAGCTGGATTCTTGCAGCAGCGAGGCAATGACAATGGATATAACATGGACTGTTGTCTAAGATTATCTAAGCAAGGATAACTTTGCAGGAGGCTTCGATGTTTGGTGGCGGCGGCGGCGCAGCCTTCGCGCGAGCCTGGCGTGTGTTGGGCGGGGAATGCTGCGGAACGCGGCTCCAGATGGACAAATGGATGCAACATCCTGCCAGGCCTGGCCAGGGTCAAGCGAAGGCGCGCAATGGACGATACTTCTAAGGTCTGCTCCTCTAGTTAGCCATGGATGCCATATATATGCCTTGAAGCCCTTCCCTGAGCTGAGTTTGGAAGTCCCTTGCCCAGTGCGGGACCACTGCGATTACAGATGTTGATGTGAAATCTGCCAATGCTTGTGGCAGGCATCTTTGGCAGGAACGATCCCGAAACAGTCGCTCCTTCACGAATTGGTGCGCCTGGGGTCACAACTTGTCTCCGACTCTATATATATAGATACATATAATAGACACATCCCCCCCCCCATGACCTACCGCATGCTTGGACCTGACGACCCCAATGCCAGCAACACCACGAAACCAAAACACCCATTTTTTCAGAGCAATGCGCAGGACCCGAACATTCCCGTTGTTTTGGTTTTCCCAGTACATAGATTTATCTGGACTGCGCAAACCACATTTTGGCTAGATAAAAAGTTAGCAACCAACGTTTTCTGGGGAAGCAGAGCAATGAGGAGAATCCACAAAATGTCACTCTTTGGTTTCCCCTAGTAAACAGATTGTTTTTTCACCCGACCTATCTTTTTCCCCTAGGCAAGATGGTTTTCTGACCAACACCAACTTGTTTCTAGCGATTCTGTCACACAGGCCAACTTTTTGTTGGAGAACAGCCGGTTTTTCACACAAAGCAACTTGTTACCAGGAGGATAAAGTTGCTGTTTCCACAAAACCAGCTTTACTAGGAAAAAAATATGTTTTTCACCAACGCCATTTTTTGCTAGGGGAAGTTGTCTCTTTCCAGGAACCAACCTTTTTCTTGGGAAATTGGTAACTCACCAAAGCCATGTTCTTGCTGTGGAAAAAGCAACTTTTCTGGACCCTCCCCATTGCTCTGGGAAGCCCAAAGTCTTGTTTTTCATAAAGGAAAAGTCTCCAGAAACGACGTCTTTAAAGGCTTGGTGCAGAACACATTGTATCAGGCCTCAGCACCGTCACTTTGAAGAACTTGTAGTCGCATTATCGCTTCCAATGCTTTCCTAGGTTATGTGATGCAAATTGTGCTTTTTCATTTTTTAGCGCAAAGTCTATTGATGGTAGTTGACTAAGATGTCTTCTGACTACGTTGGTATTCTTCCTAGTGTGTGAATGAACATTTTTGCGCATGTACTAATTGTATTCAAGGGTGTTCTCATGTAGCATTGAACTAGTACTGAACGATTTAAGTAGTGTTCTACTATTTAAATGCGTATGTAATGCGTATTCATTTGTATGCAATGAAGCTTTCATGAATAGTCATGAATACGTAAGAACTGTATACTTGGCACATCATTCGTTTGTACAGCTCGTATAACTAGCATTTTAGCGATATTGTGCCCGGTGAAATCAGTACTTAAAACTATTTCTGGATGTGTTTTTGAAACATGTGTATTCGTTCGGCATACATCGTCTCTCCCGGTAGGTCATGGGGGAGGGAGTCAGCACATACATTTATGCTTATATTTATGCGCAAGTGCTCTGAATATTGGCAGAAAATTCAGTTCCGCCGGTGGCCTCTGCCTGCGCAAGGGGGGGGGGGGCTCAGATGCGTGTACTACTATGTGCTACTATGTCAGTTGCATATGCTGGTTCCAGGTGGGTATCGACAGACTGGAGAAGGTGGCCAAACAGTTGGACAAAGGCTGGGACACATCTGAGCACCCCCATCTGGGCACCCCACAGCACCCCGCACGGGGCGTTGCTAGCGGTGCTTTTGCGTTCACTTTCCCTAAACTTGAGAAATACTTGGAATTCGAACAAATCAAGAATACTTTGAGCCTGAATTTCTTTCCAGTGTGTTTCCATATGCCAGCATCTCTATAGCTGCTAAGAAAGGTTCGTGCACACACAAAGAGAGAGGGTCGAGAGCACAAAAAGAGAAAGACTCTGGCTGTCAGCTCATGCAAAGATGGCGTCTGTGTGTTTGCGCATGCTACGCCAGGAACAGATGTGAACGTGCTTGACTGCATGGGTACTTCACTGAGTGGTTGAGCAAATTTCAAGACGGGGGTTGCCCGAATCAGTGCTCTTGACATCCGCGCTCACCCTGATTGAAGGTGAGACACCGCTGTTCTGGGCTGTCTCTGCGGAGGCTGCAAGATTCCGGCGAGTTCCGGCACGACAAGTTGATTTTGATTCGAGCGCCTCACTGTGCCTCGCTGACCCTCGCTGTGCTTCGTCCTCTGCAAACATATGCAGGCAGTGGAGTATCTGGTCAGAGAGGGGGCAGACATTGAGCACCGGAATTCGCCCCTCAGCTCTGTTGTGGACCTAGGTGTGACAGTAGTCAAACCCTGGTCCAGAGCCTCCGCGATTGGTAAAGAGCAGCTCTCAACCTCCTTGTGTGCTTGATCAATTCCGAAACTGCGGTTCACAAGCTCCACCTTAGTTTGCCTTGTGGTCGTTTTATTATGCGGTCTTGCGCGTCTTTTGTGTACATGCGGTCAATTCCGGCAAACGGTTAACCTTTCTCAGAAGATATTTCCATGGTCGGCTCTTTTTAAGCAAATCTACTCTGTATAGGGCGCCGATCCGATGCTCCAGCAGACTTCTCCTCCACATCCCCCAAATCTCCCACTACGGCGGACAAGTCAGGTACCCTTGGATCTGTCCGTACCTCCCTCCACAAACATCCGAAAACTTGAAAGGCGAGTGGGCGGGGTGGGAGGTCAAGCGAGTTTGCTTGCGACTGCACAGTTGTTGAGTTGTGCGTTTAGATTACTTTTTTTTGTGGTTCTTGACGGTACAAATGTTTGGCCGCTCCCGAAAATTCATTGTGCAATTGATCAAATAGCATCCTGCTGGTATGGCCGTTCTTGCACAGGCAGGTCCAGGCAGGTGAGTCTTCCTTCGATTGGGATGCCGGGGAAGAGGGGAATGGTTGCTGACCACTGCAGTAGCCGAGGCTTTGCCAGTGCTCGGCCTTCTATAAATTCGCGTGTCAGGCCATCTGCTTCTCGAACCACTCTGCAGTGTTCAGGTGTCCTTGTGCCTCTGGCAGGGACAGCACAAGCCGCTCAAGGCTTTAGCGCTGCATCTGCGGAAGGCACCCGACCTGCAACATGTCCATGCGTCAAGCAGAGTCAAGCACCCGTTGGCATTGGAGCAGCCGCCATGCATAAGGCGTTCATCGCCCCTACTTGCTGCATGCTGCCAACATGTGGAACTATCGTTTGTTCTGTGGAAAAGCCAAAAAATGCAGAACTGGTTTCCTTGTGCACGCAACCTTATTCCAACTTCAGCCCAGCCGAACCCGACTAGTCGCTGCGATTCAAGTCAGCAATAGTTAGCACAAGTGCTTGCGCAATACACCCACACCCCCCTCGATGCCTGTACTCACTGTACTTGCAGGCTGGTTCTTTGGAGAAGTACTTGGATGTGGGGTCCTCACGAAGTGATGTAGTGGCATGACCGTGGCAGCTGACCCCACTGCTTTTCGAGCAGTTTCTAGAGCTGGAGGAGCCGGCTTCCATCACGAAGAGAACTCCGCTGCACGCTGCGGCTCACAATGGCTTCCTGCAGACGGTGCAGAGATGTGTAGAGATGTGCAATTATTCTGAGCAGATGCACGACATGACTATGCATGTTACAACAAGTTGTGAGTCATGTTTTGCGAGAGAACGTCCACAGTTGCTGAGCAGGTCAAGGAGCTCCTGTCCATGGGGGCGGACCGAGATGCCCAGGATGCGGTCGCACCCCTCTTTCATTGCTTCTCCCACCTTGTGCCCACCTTGTGCCAATCGTGTGCCAACCTTGTGCCAACTTTGTGCAAACTTTGTGCCAACGTCGTGCCGACGCAGAGCGGCAACTTCAGGACTACTTGGGAAAGACGGCATTGGATTTGGCACGGGATCGCGGTTTCAGCGAGGCTTCCTCCATCACACGTAAATGGCTGGGTCTGGTTTGTTAGAGTTGATGTTGCTTGACAGGGCTTGACTTTCCAGTCGGCTTATTGCAGGTGGTGACCTTGCTTGAGTGGTGAGCACCCGATCAGCATGCATCTCTTCGGACCCAGGTGCAGCCAAGAAGCAAAATTCATTGGCGGGGCGTATTCGTCGTTGTTTATGAAAGCGCTTTAGATTTGTTGCGATTTTGGCAAAACTCCTAACTACTTTGCAAGCCAGCATACCAGCAGCTCGCTTGTGCTCATGGTGCGATACCGGTCGAGATGCAGAAGTAGTTGAAGTCAAGAGATGACTCTGCCTGCTTGTGGGCAATTGCTTTTAGATAGAGAATCGACTCATGTCGGTTGTGCTGTTGATCCTTGAGCAGGATGGGTCACGGCTCACAGAACATGTGAAGCAATTACCGCAGTAGCTGACACGACCTGCCGCGGACACTTTAGACCTCTCTTGATGCCGGGCACCCCTAGACAGAGTTAAGAAACATGGCTCTCCGTGCGCTTCATGCGCTTCGCGTGGTTCCCTTTGGTCAGGCCGGTCCTTGTGCGGTCTCCTTCCACCCGAAGCTCTAGCAGCCAGTAGCCATGCAACAACTTAAGTCCCCGAAAGTCTGAAAGGCCGCTTCTCATTTACAGTTCGTGCAAGAGAGAAGCAAAAACCGGCCCTAGCTTTAAGGGGACCACTTCAGCCGCCTGTGTTGCTTCTGTCTGCTCATTCTGCCAGTTTTGGCAATTTGACCCCTGACCATCGTGGTTGGCACCACACTCCAGGCATGGAACATGGCTGCGCAAGGCTGCCGTAGCTTCAGGAGTGGCATGCTCAGACGCTCACGCGTTGTCATTGCGCCCGTTGCACTACTGCATTTGCCAGACGACGCTGGAGTCCTCGTTGCGTGATGGCCGCTACATTGCTGGCTTAAGGAGTCTGAATTCACTAGGAGCTCGGGTTGCATCTTCAATGAACCATTCCAAACTATACCTTGTGGACGATTCTCCGGTTTGCTGCTTTCATTCATGAAGCACTTCATCCCCATCTGAACCCGTGAGAACCCACAAGAAGCAAGACGCCTCACTATAGCAGTCATACGAGTGATCTGCAAGTTCCTGACATTTCTGTACTTGTCGCCTGGCCCGACCATGCAGCCTTGGCTTTTTCCAGGTGTCTGGAACATCTGCGCATGGCAAAATTGTGTACTCAAACTGACACAAACTTGGGGCTTTTTTCCAATTGATTTTCTGTCTGACCGCTTGTCAGGCCTCAGCTTTTGCACGTGCCTGCTGCATGCCGGCTTGCCTGCAATGTGAGACTCAGTGTGCTAGTCTGCCAGGCAGCAGCCCGTGTACTGTGTCTTTCAGTGTACTTCCTGTGGCACTTTCATCCTGAGGTTCTGGGTGAGACGCCCCGAAAGTATGTCGACGATAGCTGGAGCAGCAGCTTCTACCAGCCGCATGACGTGCAGGTGCAGAGCATCAGTTAGAAATTTGGACACACTACGCATGCTTGTTCTCTGTCTTGGTACAATCGCCATGTCAGTGTGGGTGTGGAGGGAGAGCCATCCTTCCTGCTTGCCAGCTGTCGATGGTTCGAGTTGCACCTTTCCTCCTCTGAGCAGGTCAATCATATAGGCATGGTCAATGCAGTCGCCTCAGCATCCTTTGTCCTGGACGCATGTCATGATGCTGTGATATGTTCTGGAACACAGGTAACTTACATTGCAATATCTTGCACACCGAGGCACAAGCAGTGTACTTCGCGACAAAGTCAGGCGTGTCTATGCTGCACGAGGGGCTCCTCACACCTGCCGTGGAGAGGCACGACTCTGCTACTTGGGGAGTTTGAGCTCGTTGTTTTTCTGTTTTGTCTACCATGTCGCTTTGGTTTTGTGCAACTCTGCGGCTTTTTCACAGTCAGCTCAGGAACTGGTGGCTTTCCACATGTGCCATCACCGCAGCAGCCTTTTCTACGAAGTCCTGTCCAAGGATGGTGGGGTACTCACCATCTACGAGTATAGTTTGCTGGCCAAGGAGTCTGTCAAGGCCTGAGCAGCTGTCTCATGTTTGGCTCTATTGTCCCGGGGGACGCGGACGAAGAATGCCGCGTGGCGGGACGTAGGGGATGAAGGATGTGGAAGACGCGAGGCGGGAAGCGAGGGATTCAGGGGACGCGAAGGACGCGGAGGATGCGCAGGGCACGCACTGGAGGATCATATATAGGCCATGGATGCAGTCGCAACACGGATGGACTGGTAGCACGCACGGCAGTATGCTGAGCACTGTCCGGGCAGCGGATGACCTCTGACTGCCCTGGTAGCGCAAGCTATCCTGCACCATGAATGCAGTCGCAACATGCATGCGCTGGTAATGCGGACGAGTTTTGTCCTTCACATTCCTTGGCCATGGATGCAGTCGCAACATGGGCGCACTGGTAACCCGAACATCCGAGGCCACGGATGCATACCCAAAATGCATGCACTTGTAACACGAACGCATGTAGTTGTCCTGGCCATGCATGAATGCCCTGATGATACCGTATCAAAGCGGGTGCCGTGCCGACACGGATTATCCTGAACCATTGCGAGTGGCACGGGGGTGTAGAGAAGAGGCACGACGCGGGGTGGGATGCAAGGGACTCGAGGGGCGCCGAGGTCGTCACGAGGACCAATCTGCGTAGCCGCAAGCTGCAAGCTGAACCCAGCTGAGCCCATCAGGTGGCGATCTTCCAAGAGACGGTGCCTGCAAAGTCGCTGTGCTGCGTGGACAACTTGTTGTTTCGCGCCTCGCGCGCCAGCCCGCCGCCAAGATCAACTCGCCAGCTGAGCCAAGCACTCCGCAGCGTTGAGACACTCGGGCTAAGGCCTCCTGGCCGTGAGTCTCTCATCCTCCGGCGCACTCGGCGCACTTGGGATCAAGAGCATGCCCAGTATATGCAGTAGTTTTTTTTTGGGCTGCCCTGTCCTCGGTACTGTGGCACAGGAATCCCGAAAAGCTGAACAGGCCATCTCGATAGCGGCAGAAACGCTGATGCTCGCCTCAAGGGCAGACTCTGCAGACTGTTAGCAGCAGCAGCAGCAGCAGCAGCAGCAGCAGCAGCAGCAGCAGCAGCAGCAGCAGCAGCAGCAGCAGCAGCAGCAGCAGCAGCAGCAGCAGCACAATTTTCAAGCCATCGGAGGAAGCTACAGGTACTCGGTGGCTGGAGAGAGGACCAGCCAGGATTCAGGATACCTCAGGATGCATTTGATGCCGTCGCCCAAACACTTTTCCCATCGGTTGAAATTTTATGCCTGATAGATAGAGCCTTGATCAATCCTTGCATGAGAGGGCGATCACGTATTGCACTTCTGGCAAATGGCAAAGAAGGCTGCAGATGGCAATTTTGATTGATGACTCTCTGCCACCCAGGCACCCAGCATACTGCGCAAGTTCAAGGACCTGCAGAATGAAAGTCATGGTCAAGTCGGCCCAAGGCGTGACAGTGATCGCAGGACGAGCACGATGTCTTGGGCTCTTTGGCCGCGGCTTTTGCTGCAGACATCGTCCAGCACGCGCAGGTCTATGCAGTTGCGCCGAGGTGCCCTCTGGTGTGTCAAGATGTGTCAAAAACTTTCTGTGCGTGTACACGCTCTGCCAAGCTCTTCATATGCTCTCAGGAATCGGAGCGTGGTGAAGCTCCATCTTCAAGAAGATACGCATGGTCTCTTGCATCTGACCGCCGTTGATGAGCTCCTGATGCCAGGTGCAACAAGGGAAGGGAGGAGCGTCATAAGAACTTGTCGGACTTATCGCTTATGAATTCCCGCTTACGTAGGCGAGGGAGCAGATGGCCCATCAGAGACAGCTTCGGTGGTTCAGCCCTCCCACGTTCAGAGCTCAGCTTCACGTTGGAAGACTTTAGTGTTGTAGTTGCAGAGTTTCGTTGTTTCCGCCAAGTAGCAACACGTGTGAAAGGCATGATCACTGAAAAGGAGCAAGCTCATGTGCCTTCTCTGGAGAACTGCTGCAGTAGCAGGAGATTCTCGTATTAGTCTACGGGTTCCGGGGGTTGGTCGGGGTTGGTGGCTTTGCCATGGGATCATAAATTTGAAGCTCTCAGGGGAAGCTACAGTCTCGACAGTGGCAGGAAGAAGAAGAAGAAGAAGAAGAAGAAGAAGAAGAAGAAGAAGAAGAAGAAGAAGAAGAAGAAAAATAACAACAAGAAGAATGAATTAAATCGGAGAAAGGACACAGGAAGGAAGCTTGTATCGCAGGAAGCAGAGAACGATGTGGGCCTTCTTGAGTGGAGTTTCTAAGATGAACTGGCAGTGAGGGAAAAAGCTGACAGGGAAATTTGGGGACCCTGTGGTGGGAGGACGCCTGGTGGAATGGCAATGCGTGGTAGCGCATATCAATTTTCTCGCAATGCAAAAGAACGCCACTGAACGAGCTAGCACAAGCTTGGACTCGGGCTTGTGCGTGGTAGCTCGGGTTCACAGGGCGGATGGAGTAATATAGCTGAACTGAATCTTGGGTAACCTTTCGCAGACATGTGCAGGTCGGCTTTCTGACAAGTGCACACGTTAGTTCTTGATCCTTCCATGCCTAATTCCTGAATGCTCGCAGGTTGCGTGGGGGCATGGCAAGCTCCTTGTAGTGGATGGCTGCTCCCTACGCCAGGCTCGAAAACGTTGCAGCAGCGCCGCAGCGCAGGTCTGCTCAGGTGTTTATCGCCCTGCCAGGTTGAAGATGGGCATGTGACCACTTTGCTCGGATCACCTACTGAATGTGCTGAGCCAGCAAATGCATCCTGACTCACAATGCTCACATCAGCGCAAATCAGACTGTTAAAATTCAAAGTTCTCTGATGGTCTGGGCCAAGGAGACGCTGTCGCCAGCCAGTTGGGTGTCGAGGATTGCTGAGCCAGTGGGCATTGGCCTCAGTTTGGCTTGCAAGTGCACAAACATTGCGTTTTCCAAGTCCTTGGTAGAGCTGCAGCGTGCAGTCTACAGATACATCAACTTTGCGAAAGATGTCCAACAGATACTTTCATGTCTGAACTGGCAAGTTTCCAACGGAAAAGAAATCACCGAATACAATAGTATTCATGAACCTGGAGGCCGTTTGGGTCCCATTTCGGTGAGGCACAAGAGCTGAAGTCGTGCATCTTCACATACACGATGGCCCATGGCGTTGTCCATAGTGCTCCTCATGATCCTGGGTATCGTGAACATCAGGGCTAAGGGTTTCGGATTCGGGGTTCCAGATCGGGTTCACAAGTTAGGGGCGTCGTCCTCAACGTTTCATTCGTCTTGGATGCTCTCAGAGATCCCTCTCCCACACGTTCTCGCTGGGCTCTCTGGTCTTCACCGCAACGACCGCCTCTGAGCAAATTTTTCTATGTCGTGGCACAGACAGCTTCCTGAAAGAAGTCGGGTCCTCAAGGACAAGTCCCAAAAACCACGCGTATCAACGAGCCCATGGCCTAAGTAACGTCAAGTCCAAAGCCACGAAGGCGGCATGGGAACCCGGTGTTCTCGCGAAAGAGATGTGTCGGGTAAGCCGGTGGTGAAACGGAGGCGACTGCAGCGGACGTCGCAGGGAAGCAGAGGAGCAAACCGTTGTTTTTTCCCAAAGCTTGGTCGCTGAGTCTGCCCGCTTCAAGCAGAATTTGTCATTTCATTTTTCTCGCGTTTTTTCTTTTCGCTGTTTCGCCGGTCATACCATGGAAGCCCCGACGGCGTTTCAGTGCATTTGTAAAGATCGAAGGTGTAGGAAGCGATGCTGAAAAGAAACGTTGTCGCATTGCAGAGTGCCAAGCCGAAGGCCCATGGTTGAACCACTTGAGGTCTAGCGGTGGAGGCGGAGGCCACCACTGGACATACTGTCCTCGTGCTAACGCGTGGACAGGTCATACAGGCCGCTTGGTGCTTGTTAATGCGCATTCATGCATGACTGGTTCGATGTGTGGCCAGCCCTGGGATTACTAACAGCCTCACTGCCCAAGGTGACCCAAGAGGACGACCACTCCTGCACGGAGTCATCTCATGTCACCTGTGTCAAGGCCGAGCCGTAGCTGCCACGTCTTTCGAGCTTCTCGTCATATGCCCTTGGAAGTCATGGGAACTACCGCGCGGCTTCGGATGCGGAGAAAGCCAGCAGCATAAACTCCAACATAAACATGTAGGGCCCACAGCCGACAACGCCCAAAGCAGACGAGGACTTAGGTACGGAAGAAGGGTGGGGATAGGGTGCAGGGCGGGGGCTCGTGTTTTTATTATTATTGGGAAGGCGCGGTTGCTGTAGAAAAAGGTTGGGCCTGGATCCGGAGGTCAACAACAAGGTTCAACAAAGACAAGACAACAATCAGAACAACAACAAGACGAGCAACAATAACAGCAGCAGCAGCACCACCACCACCATCAACAACAACAGCAACAGCAACAACAGCAACACTACTAGCAACACTACTAGCAACACGACTAGTGTTGACTAGCAAAACTACTAGCAACACGACTACCAACACTACTAGCAACGCGACTAGCAACACTACTAGCAACACGGCTAGCAACACTGCTAGCAACACGGCTAGCAACACTACAAGCAACACTAGAAACAGCAACAGCTACAGATGTAAATGCAAACGCAAATTCGAACGCAAATGCAGATGCAAATTCAAGTGCAAATGCAGATGAAAAGGGAACATGCAAATGCAAATGCAAATGCAAGTACGACACACACACAATACACAAAACACACAACGGTAGCATTTAACATCAACACTGCATCATTACGTTGTTTTGTGTGCATTTGCTGCATATTTTTTGGTACATGTGCAAGTGAAACACAAAGAATACTGAAAGATTAACGAGAGAAGGCTAAAAAAGACAGCAGCCACAAACACAAGCATAACACAGTTAGGGTCCCTTGCGTGCCCGTGCCCGCTCCCCTTTGCGGACCTGGTCTTGATCTTGTTTACAAGCCGCCAGACCCGGTGGTCCGCGCACAGGGAACGTTCTTGGGAGACACAGGGAACGCTGCAAAAAGGAAAACTCCTAGTTCCAAACCAGGAGTTCTTTTTCCGCGACAGAGACAAGTGTGGGCCGAACGCTGAAGATACTAGCTCATCAGAATGTATAGACGAATAGAGGCAGTATTCTTTTGAAACAACTGTGTGTTTGTACGCATTCTGGCGCCCTTGGTCATACGACGGCGGCTGACGAACCTAGATTGACGTATAGGTATTAACTGGGGATATGTCGAATGAAAGTGCGTGGCTTAGAGCAGGTGCAAGACTGCAAGTGAAGCCAGGAAGCAACCCAGAGAGTAAACTGCGGTTTGATCTCAGCACAGGAGGAATGTGGTTGGGTCGAAGATGATCGCCACAATCGTTGCCTCAGCTGTACTGCACTGCAAGCCTGGGCCGACACTAACAGGTGCGGAGAAGACAAACTCCATGTTGTAGCATTCTGCAGCTAAAGTGCTGAGTACTGTAAGAGCAAGGGCCTTCAAAGGTTCTGGAGTTAAGGGTCTTGGAAGCTTTGATCCTAAGTCTCTGGAGGCGCTCCTTTCCCCTGCATTCGAGGCATTTCGTCCGTTTGTTCATCCTTGCACCTTTTTGAACCTTCTGTATGAGGTTGTACAGGGAGAGAGGGTACCGGCGCTACCCTAGAAAAGCCCTGAGTGGTTCTAAGACGGCAGTGTTGAGTTCAAAGCTCTTGAGGGAAGTTTCGGAGGCATAGCCCCCTCGGCTCAGCAAGGGTAGCATGCAGCGCTAAAGCAGCGCGAAGGGCGAAGGGGGGGGGGCCAGAGCGAGCAATCCTTCAACCCTGCCTTTAAGGCGGACTACAAGATGCGAAGTCGTTGGATCTTAGAAAACTGAGAGTGAAGATGTGTATTCCGTGTACTCTTACCTAAACTGGACCTAAACGGTGAAGCGCATGATCCTTAACGGGGCTGCTCCCAGTGATTACTATCATCCTCCGTGCGTCGATGAGCAGAGTCGCTATTGGAAGGCCCCCGCTGGACCCGTGCCAGCTACAGGGCAATGCCTTCAGCGCGGGCAGCACGAGCGGCGTGCGCTACGACCTTGGCGCCTGCGGCTGTGTGGTGCCGACGACAACGCTGGCACCCGAAGAGGATGCACCGGACAATATGCTGTCATGTTGTTTGGACTGATTCGATGCTTGGCCCGATGCTCTTCAGCCAAGACAGTATGAGGAACATACACACACACACACACACAATACACACACGGCACAGCCCAAGGACTAGATAACTTTGGTTAGCTGCTTTCGAAACTAATTACGAACAAGGCTGAATGCTGCAAAGAAACCATCTGACATCAACAGTCCAATGAGACTTTATTTCGTCAGTTTGTGACTTCAGTCTTAACATGCCGAACAGAGCATGAGGTTGGAAGGGCTAGAGGTATGGTGGTCTGGCGAGGCGATTGTCAGGCGTGTGTCAAGATGAGGGGGATTTGCCGAACGCTCTTGGCAGCATGTGGTTGAGGTTCGTCGCCAGTGATCAATGTGCCCCAGGCATTATGCGCGGCGAAGCTTCTCAAAATAAGTAAATAAAACAGATTAAAAAATATATGTATATATAGAAATATATGCAGCTACGCCGGCAACATAAGTTGATGGGGCGGAAGCCTTGACCATCAATGTCCCTCGAAATGTACCCCAGTGGGGCAGGTAGGTAATCAACACATGTGTTGGCCGCAACTCATGAGGAGGCTGCCATCGGTCCCGTTAGGTACACAAGCCAAGCGTGCGCGACATGCAATCATGCCTAATCTTTACATTTAAGCTGCTTTGTTGCATCCATCGCATTTGCAGGAAGTTGGCGTCGCCGGCTTCTTTCGGGTGCTGCTTGTCCTTGGCATTGCTGCTGGAGCCAACTGGCTGCAGTCTTCGCGCAGCATATCAACGGGCATACCGCAATATGCCACAGTTCATCCCAACAGTCCCAACATTACATTTACGGCATGCCTCATCTCTCGCTAAGCCGGGCTTCCAGCTGAGGCAAGGCGTTCTTCGTTGAAACCAAAATCGATGTAATCTCCATCCGCCAAAGCTCTGAGGTGCTGTTTTACTGCTGGCGAGAGCGACAGCGACGTCGATTTCAGCAGGACATGTATGGTTTGACCTTTGACACCGTTCAGTTTCACACTTTCAATGATCATGAGCAAGATGTCTACGTGCGCTACGACAGCTGCGACACCTTTTCATAGCAGACATCTGCCAATTGGCCGACGCTCACTGACCATCGGCTTCTGTACAAATCGCACTCAGCCGAGCTGATTTGAGTTATTGCGAAGTTTCAGCTTTTGGCCACTCTACTGCCGCCCTCCTACCATTGGCTTGCTGGACTAGCAGTTGAACATTGCTGTTCTGTGACAGGTGATTTAATTCCCTTCCCGGCTAGGAGGTGGACAGGGGAACCGGGACCAAAAACAGGTGTTCTGAGCGTTCCCGGCTGAAGGGTCAGCAGCTTCGCATTCCTTTGCCAGCGATATTGCATTGCTACCAGGGGAAACTGCATGCGTCATGGGAGTGTCATTCGATGTCATTGTTCTCCAGAACGGATGTTGTGCAAGCATTCAGCTCGGCTTTGCTCTCTCAGTGTGCTTGGGGCAGTCGTGGTGCTCCCTGCAGTGCAGGAAGCGCAGGAAGCGTAGGGGTAGTGGTAAAAGCAGCGTGCCCGCACGTGACATTCATGACCCGTTGGTGGGGCTGGGGCCTGGAAACTTCCTTGTGAGCTGCAGGCTTGTCGAAAGTGTTGAATGTGCAGCCACAGTTGGCACAGGTGCCAGTCAAACCCTGGAATATCCGGTGAAGGCTGAGCGCCTGAGTAGACACTCATTGCATCGAGCACCTCCTCAGTTCCGGGTATTCAGCACTGAGGATTGGGCTCGGGTTTCATTCATGCTGGACAAGGAGGCACGTGACCGGATCTTGCTGCAATCGCATGGAAACCCTTCTGCTGCAGCTGCTAGCAGCTGCCCCAGCACCAGGTGACAGGCTCTAATTTGGCCCGACTTTTCCCTGAGCCTGAGAGCCCAAAGCTCAGAAGTACATTTGGTGTCTTTTAGATGATTGTTATCGTTCTTCAAGTGCTTATTAAGGTTGGAAGTTGCCGACTGGCCAACCTTGCCTCTCAGAAGAGAGGCCGCTTGGGTTCGAGCCTCTGAGAAGCTTTCGACGGTGAGCACTACCTAGAGACTGACTTGCTGTGATCAAGCTTGTGAGCTTATGCGAAGGCCGAAAGCACCCGAGCTCTGGGCCATGAACAAGACAAACCGTGATGCAAGCGAGAATTCTTGAAGCGCCTCCCGTAGACTGCACGCTGTATTTGAGTTTTGGAACTGCATGTCAGGTCTGGCACGCAAAAAGAAGCGGAAGAGGCTCGTTGTTTCTTTCTTTCTCCAGAATCCGGGGCTGAATTTCGGTTATGCTGCGGTTGGGCCTCGCAGCAAGCGTTTCAGCTTACAAGGCTGGGTGGGCATATGGGCGTCACCACGTAGACACTCAAGATGCCCAAGCGCAACCCATGGGGCAGCATGTACCGAGCCCTTATCTTGCTAGTCGCAGTGCTAGCCCGTTACCAGTTAGACCCTCTCCCGGCTGCGGTGGAGGTGGGGGACAGGTTCTCTTGAACTCGTCGGGCACTGGTTGCTGTGCACGGCTGCCTGGTGTGGATCGGCTTGACCCCATCTCCGTAAAAGTCGCAGCCCGCAATAAGTTGAGAGCAAGGCAGTTTTCGAAGCAGTATGCTCTCTCTCAGAAATGGACTCTGCCAATCAGAAATCTGCCGCAAGGGCTTTGGCAAACAAGATGTGTTAGACCAAACCCCAGGCCTGAACAAAGTTGGCAGCTCATGCCGTTCAGCCTTTAACGAAATGTCAAGGGATTAACATCGAATTTGCAGGCGCTCATTGAAGATTGCCCTCAACTTGAGCACTGCAGCCAAAAGACGAGCAATGCCCTACACCCCATCACACCGCCACGGATGGTGACAACGTCGGAAAGAACAAGCCAATGGCAGCCATCATTGCCAGGCTTCTTTGGGCCAAAAGCTCTTGTGCCTGCCTTGCGATGTTGGACATGCCAGCCGAATCAGCAGGCGAGTGATCCCATGAAGCCTCGCAGGGTGCATGGGTGCAAGGATTTGTGCCTTGCCTCCTCAGCCGCTGGGCCCATCCAACGGCAAACTGGCGGATGCCGAGACATTGCTCGGACACTTGCCCACGATTTCCACCAGCATTGAAAGTGAAACTGTATCATGTGGAGCTCCGGCTGCTGGCAGCGAATGTCTCCACCATGCCATCGGGGAAGCCTGCCGGATCCCACAGGACACGTTCGCCAGGCTCGTACTCAAAAACATGAAAGGGGGGGTGGGGGTGCGGTTGGCCCAAGAACCCCACATGTAGCTGCGCCAGGCATTGCAAGCTCCAAACCCTCCGGCCTGAATCATCTTGCCACGTTTTTGCGGGGCCAAGCCCAGCTCATGTATTTCAAGCCGAGAAACAGCCTGTAATGCTGTAAGAAGCTCACGCCCCTCTGCTTCGATTAGAAAAATATTAGAAACACCCTTTGCTTTGGGGTTCATGAAGCCCCGAAAACCTGCCGAGCCTAAGTCCCCAAAGCGTTCTTGACTTTGCTTTGCAGTGTTATCAGTGTTGCTTGAAGAAGTTTTTTTGCTTGGTGCCCGCAGGATGGGCGAGCGCATCAGTCTGAGGATGCGCTGACATCGCGTGCTTGGGAAAAAAGAGAGTGACAACAAAAGGAAAAAAGCGAGAGTTGCGTAAAGAGAGGAGCATCTCTCGAAAAAGGCTTCGAAATGCCAGTATTTAAGAGCTTCGTCTGAGAGGATTTCTTTCTTCACACAGCGTCATGGAACAGTCTCGGACTTTAATCGCATGTAGACGAGCGGTCAATCCAAATTGTCATTGTCGTACTTAGTGGTTCGAGTGCTGGCCTCTCCAGACCAGAGATCCCAAAGAGTTGTGGAAATCTGTCTTATAAACCGACAACCTGCGTGTGATTGATTGCGGATGCATTGCTTCAAGACGCAGGTCAGGATTTAGGATTGTGATTTGTCCCTGCCTTGTTTTCGCGATGCCAAGCATGCGCAGAGGCAAGGCTCGCAAAGCAGTGCAGTCCAATGCGTGGCACCAACACTGACACCTAGGCCGTTCCCGCAGCCTGACGGTGCCCGCTGCCTTCATGGCAGCTGTGCACGGACGCCTAGAGGGCCTAGAGGGCCAAGAGACCCAGTGCATGGACAACAATGCAAGGATCATTTCCTGGTTGAGTGCTAGCGACGTGCACCCCCAAATGCGTAGCAAGCGTCCTAAAGAGTCATACCTGAGAAGTTCCAGTTTTCGTACGCGAATCGCATCTCTGATCTTCTCCAGCTTACATCCTACTCAGTCCTACTCCTGATGCAGCCCCAAACCGTCTAAGTAACAGCGCCATCTGCGCCATCTGCAACACCGACGCCAACTTCTCGAGATGTCGGAAGTCATCCCGCAGTCTTTTCCCAGTCTTTTCCCAGTCTTCCACAACGTGACCACTTTGCAGCAGCTCACTTGCAGCAGTCTTACCCAAGTTTTGGGGAGTGCGCTGTGGGAATGAAGTCTCTGATTGTGTTCGACTCGACGAAACACATGTGCCTAGCGATCGAGGGTTCAACGGAAATGGCCCCCTTCTGGCATTCTCAGATTCCAAGCAGTAGAAACACAGTATTCGATCAGTATTCTAGTAGAAACACAGTATTCGACTGGTAACTGTTCTCACAGTATTCCAATAGGTGCATGCAGATCGGACTGACCTTTGTTGGCCCGCTCGGGCCTCAGAGTGCTACATCCGTGTCCTGCGCTGGGATTCTGAAGCGGCGCACGTTGCAAGCGGCTACTTCGTCAGGCGCTTGCCGTCCAGGGCAATTTCCACCCCTCCTACAGTGTCTCGGCTCAGACTGTGCAGCCCGTGCAGCCCGTGCAGCCTGTGCGGCTCTTCAGAGTCGGTTCAGACATGTTCAGACCCCCTCACTTGGCAAAAGTGCTGAGGTTCGCCTTGCTGGCGATAACCTTTTCGAGCGGTTTGCACGAGTTGCGAAGGCCAACGTGAACAAGGCACCCTTTCAGATCTCGTGTGACATCGCTTGCGTCATTGGATGTCATAGGTTCGTGGTTGCCCTCGTGGTTGCCCGCCAGCAACCTGAAATCAAACTTTTAGCTGCTAAAGCTGCGCTCAATCCCGTTGTCTCGCCATGGCCTTGGTCGATCTCTTGGGCCACTCCTTGTTGGCGAAAGACTCTGAGAAGTCCACGTCAGAGGCACCTGGCACACGTGTGCGATGAACCATATCTCCATGAATGTTCTATTCAAAGACTAATGATTGAGTGGGATGAAGGCCTTGAAGGACGCCAAGGCTATCGCACTGCACTTCAGCTAAAAAGTCCCTCAGTCTGACCCATTTTGGTGCCCTTGCCAGTGCTTGGCAAGAGTTCAGGTACTTTAGCGCGCACTGGTGCCCGCCATGCCGTGGCTTCACCCCCCAGCTGGTCCAGTGGTACAAGAAGGACGGAGAGTATGGAGAGTGCAACCGGCTGCTCTCTCTTTTGCTTTTTCTGCCTCAAATCGCTCCGAGGATCTGCAGGCCAAAGGCTTGGAGGTTGTCTTCGTGTCCGGCGATCACTCCGAGGAAGAATTCAAGGAGTACTTCGCGGAAATGCCTTGGCTCGCCGTGGACTTCGCCCAGAAGGCCGAAAACAAGTCACAAGAGTGCTGGGGCTTCCCAGTCCCCTTAGTTCTCCCAGTGCCCTTAAACACATGCACCGCTGTAGCGCTGTGGCTAGCCGTTGTCTCAAACTTTTTTCCGTTATCAGGAGGTCAGCACGAAGCTCAACAAGAAGTTCAAGGTATACTTCCATCTTTCGTTGCACCTTCGCATCTGCAGTGTCTTTGGCTTTGAGCCGTGCAGGTCCGTGGTATTCCATCGCTCGTGATTTTGGAGCCAAGTGGAGAAGTCATCGCCACAGTGAATGAAATGGATTGGCCTGCTGTGGATGTACTTGCCAGTCGATCTGTTGTTTGCGCTCTATTCAGCTTTTCGGCTACTCACAGGCCCCCCTTTTCTGGCACTAGGCATCCTGTAAACATTACGCACTTCCCCAAGGTCATCACCACAGATGGCCGTCAAGCAGTCGCTGAAGATCCCGAGGGCAAGAAGTTTCCGTGGAAGCTTTGTCCACGATGGTCCACGCACTTTCGCAATTTCTGATTGAGTTGAGTGATTCTGACAATCTTGTCATTACTCCTGCTCCAACCTTTCTGGACGAGGAGGCAGATCTGATTCACGTGTAGCCTGGGTGGGTTCTGTACAAAGTGAGCTGTAGATACCAACAATGCGATTCTTAGCAGATCAGGGTGCCTGCAACTGCCATACGCTTATCCCCTTGGTCGTGGACAAGATAGTCTCGCTGAGAACTCTCCGTTAACGTAAACCCAGATCGGAACCAGCAGTTAGCTGTATGTCTGCGAGCTCTCTGGCCGGCAGAGATTTTGAATATTCGTTGCCTCCCCACATGCGTTGCATACTCATCGAGGATTCCGCCGAAGACGAGCGATCTCCTCCATCAGATGAAGCTGACAAACACTGCGGGCAGTGCGGCAGAGATGTCGCTCACTCAGGCCAGAAGCTTGAAAGTTTGCGATAGGATTTTGATGCAACGTGTGAGAAGCAAAGACGTTGCGGCCTGGGAGGCAATGGCAGGGAAGAAAGCACTAGCATTGCACCTCAGCGTAGGATCAGCATTTGCCAGCTGTCGGTAACCTTTCAAAACCCCGCTTTGTCGGCGGCTGCTGGCCCCTGCTTGTTCTGTTCTTTTGGTCGCATGTGCCTCAAGTTGCAACAAGAAGTTGCAACAAGAACACGAAGTTGCAGAGAAGGTATTTCAGCGCGCACTGGTGTCCCCCGTGTCGGGGCTTCACCCCGAAGCTGGCTGAGTGGTACAAGAAGGAGAGCAAGTTACAAAATTGTCAGTGCGAAAAATAAAGAGAAGAAATGAGAGAATAATGAGAGAAGAGTGTGCAAGAGTGCCAATTACGTGCAAAAATTGAATGCAGAGAGGACCTCAGTGCGAAAGGCCTGGAGGTGGTCTTCGTGTCTTCGGATAAAGACGAGGGCCAATTCGAGGGGTACTTCAAGGAGATGCCGTGGTTGGCACTGGACTACAAAGACAGGGAGCTCAAGGAGAGCGCGAGTTTGCATAAGAGGCCATTCAAAAACAAAGACACGTGTGTTCTCATCCCTATGCTCTCCTCCTGCTGCTCAAAGCAGGAGCAGCTTTCAAAGCAGTTCAAGGTAGGTGGCATCCCTTCCCTTGCTCCTGAGCTGCAGTGTGCTGCACGCATGGCACACGCATGGCACATCATGCACATCCGGTGTGCGGAATCCCATGTTCATAATGCAGTGTGTCGCTGAAGTTCACCTGCAGCAGGTGGTTCTGGATTCGAACTTGGAAGTCGTCACGCTCAAAGGACGAGAAGCTGTCTCTGGAGATCCTGAGGGGCAAAGTCTGCCCTGGTACCCCAAGCCAGCCCTTGGGACTGAACCATCAGACTCAGCATCCACATGGATCGCATCGTCTCAGTACGCAGGTGCACAACCTGGCCGGAGGTCCTGGCGACATTGAGGAAGTGCCCACGGTGCTCGTTTTTCTGGAGGAATCAGCTCCGTTTTGCCTTACTCTGTCAGTGTGTTCTCCTGTTCACAGAAAAGGCATGTAAAGCCTGGCAAACAAGTGTCGCGGCCAACCTGCTGCCAAAAGTCAAGTGTCAAGTGCGCCATGCTTCATTAGGCGCGAAGGAGTTCTGGTTGCTGACAGCGTTTGCTTTGACGTCGCCCAAATATCAGGTTTTCTGCGAGATGAGCAGCGCGTCCGAGAAGCAGGCGGTCGAGGAAGCTTTAACTGCGGTCGCGTCGAAATATGTTGAACAGCAGAAGGCCCGCGGGCCCTGTTGTTGTAGTGGAGATTGCTTAAGGCTTAGGTAAAGCAGCAGACTTGCTGCATTGCTGAGCCATACACGCCGACAGCTTTCGCCCTTGGCCCTAGGCAGCAAAGGCAGATGCGCCTGAAGTGGCCTTCAGCATCGCAACGAGGAGCGACCCCCTGGCTGGGCAGATTCGCAGAATGATCGGCTGCATGGCAAGATGTAGAACTCTGAAGAGGCAGTTCACCACGCAGCCAAAAACACCGCTAAGGCTTGCAGTCGCTACCTCCATCTCCACATGAGCATCCCCTTGAGAAGAAGGAGGCTTCTTAAAGCCTGATGCAGCTCGCTTGCTGTCGATTCCTATGAGTCTTTTGACGGGCGGCGATATGCTCGAGCTTGGAAGGAATCGAGCAGCTGGGGATGCGATGGCTGCGGCTGACCCCCTACCGACCTACTGCATCGCTCCGGTTTTTGTTCAGTGGAATCCACATCGTCCTAGGTCAGGCTGGTGCTGGCAAGGAGAGGTACCGGTGCACCGCAGGCCCCACCTTTCGTGTGGTGACAAATTGCTGTTGGTTGCTTTTTCGTTTGTTCAGCGCCCTCAGCCTCTGCATTGGCCATGCTGTGTTCGTGTGATTCAGATTTGTTGAAGTGTTCCTTTTGATTTTCTTCGGAGAAGGCTGCGATTTCGACTTCTGCGGAGACTGCCACGCGCTGGTGTCCTCAGGCTGGAGCAGCTGTTTTTGTGTAAGCATATATATATATATATATATACATATGTATGTGTATACTATACAGGACGATAGAATCTAGGCATAGAAATCATGTATGCTGAGCTACCAAAAGTGACACTGTGGCCCGTCTTTGTGGCTCCGGCCCCTCAGCAGGCAAAGCGCTCGAGAAGCTGCCGGTCAGCATGGCGCTCATGGATATTCCAAGTGACGGTCCGTCTCCGTCCAAAATTTAGGTGTGAACTTTGGGTGAATAGCTGGAAATGTGAGAAGTATAGCTCCAACAGCCGAGCAGCTTCCTTCAGAACCAGCCTGTCAGATTGGAGGAGCATACTTCGTCGCCGAAGCCGGACCAATCACCGCGGAATCTATCCAAGCTTTCGTGGACGCATGGAAGTCAGGCCTCTCGGTGACACCAGGGATATCGTTCCGAGCAAGTGTTTAAGCAGTCAACGAGAGCTAGAAAACTGCCAGAAACAAGCCAGAGTTCCCGTGAATTCATTGAATGGTATTTCGGCAGGCCGGATTGAGAGGAAGCAGCTTGGATGAGATGTGCAGCACAGGAAGGTCGTGAATATGGGTTGCAGAATGCATGCCGATGTCCTCTGACTGCACCATGCAGAGTGCCTGAGATGTCGCATGCGCTTTAACTCCTTGAAATCGGTATGTGACAAGTTGTGCGCGGGCTGGGCAAGCAAGTAGAACGAATCGAAGAGACAAGCAGCACTGTTTCGTGCTGTCTCCGGAATTACCTTAGGATGTTCCTGTTAAATATGTACCTGCCTTAGACAACACTGCCCGGCCAGCGCACCGATCCAAGACCTTGCGGTTGCACACGTTGCAACATCTGCAACGATGTACAGGGCATGCGCAGGTCGGCAGCTCTCGGAGGGCCGTGTGCCGAATTCGGTTAGCGCGAGAGGCGCACGGCTCTTGAGCTGCATTGGACCATCAGGCTTTGAGCACCAGAAAACCAGAAAAGCCAAGTCCGTCCCAGGGTGTGGCACAACGATGTGGCAAGTTTTGCAATGGCAACTGCCAAACTGAACCTGGAGCTGGACACGACATGACGACATGACACGATGCTCGTAGCGTTGAGGTCCCGGTCCCCAGTTTTTAAAAGGCTGCCGCGTTTGGCGGGTGTGTGTTGCTGTTATCAGGTTCTACAGGGCTTGGAAGATCCCGAGAAGGTCCTTGATCAGGCCAGGGCCCCACGACTCTTTGACGCTTTGTGACCCGAGAGCAAGAAAGGAGCTAAGCTCCAAGCGCGATGTGGCTTCTACCTCCAATAGTTGAAAGAAGCGCGGTCAGAAAGCCGATATCTTCTTGACTAAGTGATGAATCAGGCCTTGGATGAGATGCAGGCTGGTGTGGGGATTCTGCTTCTGCCACGACCTGCCGAGAGACACTGTTTTGAATGTACTCATGAAGTTTAATCGTTTTACCGTCAATGCTGTGATTTTGTCAGGGCGACCTCATTAAAGTGAGGCAGTCCTACGCCGAGGCCATGCGCGCAGAGTAGTCGCTGAGGACGGTTCATTCGCTCATCTGGCATGTCAGGTGCTCGCAACGCAGAGAAGGCTACAAACCCAAAAGGACGTACATAGCTTTTGGTTGACTTCTCATGAATCGCTGTGAAGTTGTGATAACCAGAGGAGCAAGCTGACAAGATGGCTGAAGATTGGTACAAGCGAGCTGAGATGGCTGTCACTTGGGCTGACCTTCATATGCATCACCATGAGATGCATCAATACGCATCTTGACGCATCCTGTAACAACAGCATATTTGGGCAACTTGTCTCCATCAATCCAGCATGGGGGGTTGGGGTGGTCCAGGAGGCAGCTGAACCCTCCTTGCTTGTGAAAACTCTTTAATGGGGTTCAGGTTCTTGAAGCCTCGAAGACTCAAAGCCTCGAGGCCTTGGATCTCAACTTCTGGTCGAAACTTTTCCACAGGGCCTCAGATGGCAAAAGGCTAAAGCGGCCAAAGGCCTGCCAGGGAGCCTTGGAGTTCAAAGGCCTGGCCCCCATCGCTTACGGGGCTGCCCACGATCTCGTTCAAAGAGAGCCCAACATGACTGGGCATGTGTGTGTGTGTCTCTTTCTACATATACAGATGTGTATATAGAATTTGTATGCTTGTATATCCACTCCGGTCTATCTGTACATGCATACTATATATGCGCTAACACAAACGCCGGGGGCCCTGACTTGACTTTCGCACGATTTCGGTCGCCAACGGACGTCCCTCCCCTCCTCCCTTTCCCTCCTTGCAGGCGCTCGGATCGAGAACGACATTGCTTCCTGGGTCTTCGGGTCTTCGGTTTATGCGCAATAAGTAGGTTCCCTCGCCAGCTTAATGAAGTATACTATGCATAGGCATAAGGAGCCCAAATCGTCGTTGACACAAAGTGGGAGTTACGAATTTATCGCCAGGGGCGGGCGAGGCATCAACGGCTGGGAAACATGGGAAATCGCGCAGGTAGGACAGCGGAAAAACCTGGCGATGCCACAAGTTGTGTTGGGCATGTGGGGCAGGAAAGGACCCGCAGGATCCCCCCCCCCCCCCCCTCAGCAACAAAGAGGACGGCAAGGGGCAAGGATGCCGCGAAAAGGGCGCAAGGTGCCAAGCCGCGTGTGTGTTTTAAACTTGAGAATGTGGATTTCAAGGCTCGTTTCAGCAACCGTTCTCGAGCCGATAGAACCTTCCTCACTCAGTCTTAGATCGCCCGGATCACGTTGTCATCGCGACTTGTCGCGACGTTCTATCCCAGGCCTCGTCCCTGTGCCATGGCGACACCAAATTCGAAAGCCACGAGCTTGGCGTCTTGGCACCCCTAAGCCGCATGGCCCATCCACCCGTGTTGCCTCTTGGGCAGCGTCCTGGCAGTGGCCTCCTCCTTGCATGAGTCCGAAACCTAAGCCAATCAAGGCTGATGTGCCTTGCAGCGGCTGTGAACGCCACTTCTGTTCGGACCCCTGAAAGTGCTTCACGGTCTCCGGCTTCTCTGTCAGCTGCTTGGATAAGGTGCTGAGAGAAGACAAATACTGTAGCGATGTACTCATTCCTGAAAAACTGCGTTCCCGCCTAATGCACTTTGCCCAACTCCAACTGTGCCGTGGTTATGCGACCAACTCGTGCATCGCCGTGGCGTTGTGCTTGTATGCTGCAGCTGAGCGCTGGCCTGAATGAGCTGACTTGACAAGATTTGGTGGCTCCTTTTGTCTTGCAGCGACCATCTCCATCCATTTCATGAATTTGTGGCCCCCTCGTCCGCGGTGGGTGGTGACCGGAGCTTTGGTCTTCACCCCTCTACTCCGAGCCTGCCATTCCCCTTTTCACAGGAAACGGTGGTGAATGAGTGAGTCCCCGGAGCGCATGGGTCGCGTGGTGCACGTAGTATCCGTAGAGGGATCTGTGGAGAAGTGTGCCGGCTGCTTTAGCACGCGGCTGCGAATTGCCCAACGCAGAGGCGATGTTGTCTGCCTGGCTTAGTACCTTGAAGAGGGATCTTCGGGGGAAGCGCTCTTTTTTCAGCGAGGATGGCACGCTGTCTTGCCTTTATGCCGGTTTTCCGGTGGCGGGCCTGCCTAGTTGTGGTTCTGTGCAAAATGGTGGACTAACCCTCTTGCTTAACCGGGCTTGCCGACCTCAGAGCGTTGTCTTGGGGTTGGGGCGCGTGCCGGACGTGAACTCCAAGTGGAGGGGGCAATGATGGTTGCGGAGCTCCCGAGGAAGCCGGGAGGGAATAGCGCCAAAGGCACGGCTGCTGCACGTGCCACCTCGTGCAGTGAGGCAGCACTCACTCACTCACTCACTTCATGAATTTGTGGTCTTGTCGCCCGATGTCAAGTCGGGATGTTTTGTTTCTTCGCCACGGCGCCACGGTCGTTTCTTATTCGGCCTTGAGCACATCTCCGCGGTGACGTCTCGTCGCCTGGAAGAGTCTCCTCTCCACTTAAGGTTCCGTGGCGCGATCGGAAGCTGTCGCCGTGTAGGTTTGCAAGTCTGAAGCTGATCACGTGCAGCCCGGAACTGATTAGCATGCCGTGCCAACGCTGGCCTCCGAAAATGCTCTCATATACTCCACGAGTTTCACCGCCTAAGCCCCGAAACGCGTACCGCTTGATCCGAAGCTGTCGAAACTGGCTGAACCCTGGCCAAACCTACGGCAACCTTGAACCGCACTCGTAGAGATGGGCAGCTCACAACATGTGTTCTGTAGGAAGTCCCGCTGCGGTTGCAGTACATCAGCAGCAAAAAAAAGTTTTGTCGCACCGGACCATGTATGGACAGGAAATGGAGGAACGGGGAGATATGACACAATGAACTTATGGTTGATTTCTGCCAACGTTGTTACAACGCATGCACTCACAGCTTTGCGTCACGTCGCATCGTGGTGTTGAACTGCTTGAAACAAAGGTTGAGAAGGGTGATGACGAGCTCGCCAAGGAAGCCTTGACCCGAAGGCAGACCTCCGTGACCAAGGCGTGTGGGGCAAGTTGCGACCTTCAGCAATGGCTGTAGTGGGGTAGAGATTAGATCATCTGCTATCTGTGCGTTGAACAGAAGAGGCCACAGAGTTGCAGTCGCAGATCGAAGCGATGGCAGGGACAGGGCTGCGAGCATGCAACTGTCCTCAACGGCGTGGCAAGAGGGTCCATGATAGTTCAGGTTGGTTCAGAAACGGTGGTTAACACAAAATACTGCGCAAAGATCCATGATGCTCCAGGAATGTGGATAAGCTCTTCGAGTCTGTCAAGGCCCTTGAGGCCGGACCTAAGAGACCTGAGCTGAGATTTGCGGTAGCATAGCAGATGGTAATAGTAACAGTGTCTCGGAAAATTGGCAGCCTTGGTGCAGGCGAAAATCACGCAGGCAAAGGAGGCCGGGGTTGTCTGCAAGGAAGGGTCGAGCAAGAATTTCGCGTGCGCTTGCAGCCTCCAGGAGAAAGAGCAGCTGATTGCACGGGCTCGTACGGCCAAAACAACTGCTCAGGCGTGGTGTCTGCTGCATCAAGACCCAAAGCTGCCACCGTAACAACAAGTTGTCAGCCTCGTCTGACTTGGATTCTTTCTGGTAGTGACGCCAAACAACGCCAATCGTTAGTGTGGTATCCTGAAAAACCGGCTTTGCCAGCTTTAGGCGATGTCGCCTATACATAGGGCACCAAGCCATAGCACCTGCAGAACGGACAGCCGAGACCTCTTTGACCCCCCCATTCTCGCGTTTCGTTCAAGTTGAACATGAACGCAAGTCTGACAGGTCAATGAGATGCTCTCTGATGTGTCCAGTGTGGGTTCTACTGGGGCTTTCGACCGCATGAAGGAGAAGGCAACGCATCCCGACGGATCAGTTCGAGCATCTCGAGAGCGCAAAGCCCCGGACAGGTCGAGATGTTGGAAACTCGTGCAGAGGTGCCGCTGTACGAATCATTGTGCCTCATTGTGCCTCGCTGTGCGGCCAGCGCTTACATACTCAGCGCCATAGAACTCAAGGCATTCAATGGCATTCACATGCTCAGACCAAACCCTCCAAATCTCTCCTTAAGCCCCACAACACGAATCAACACAGCGTCAACTCACGTCCAAGGCACTTCAGCGCATCGGTCCTTTTTTGTTTTTCCAGTTTTGCCTCTGAAGCTTCGGGTCAGCTCGATTGGCCTGTGTTGTCGAAAGTCAGCCCAGGACAGGCATGCCTGTGCAGAGTCCCGGTCAAACAAGAGCTGTGAAGGACTCTGTCTTTGTATGTTGTTGCTGGTGGATCAAGAGTCTGTCTGCAGAACACTGAGTATAACCACCACGGAAACTCGTCCTCCGTCATGTCTATTTCGGGCCCCCTGTATGAGAAAGCTTGGAGAGCTGTGTAGCATGCCCCTCGTCTACCCCATTGTCATGAGGGCTTGTGTGCCGGCAAGCGGCCCGTAGTCAACATCATGGAGCGTCGGTGCATCGCTTGTGCATTCGACTCGTGCTCCTTGGGGAGGTCTCACAGGGTCTGCTTCCAGAGGCGCAAGCGACGGGCAGCCTCGAGGAACCCAGTGAGATGTACTGAGTAGACCTCTCTTGCATCGTTTTGCTTTGACATGTTTGTCCACATTCACACTACTACCGTATTACCCTGTGCTGTCAGAGGACCGCTTCAAGCAGTGCCTCGGCCTGCACTTGGCACAAAGCCGTTTTGCGCACCGCCGTCATCTGACCACAGCTTTGGGGCTAGGAGGGGCTTTTTGTGACCAGCGTCATAAGGCTGGAAGCGGGAAGCGCAGTGGATGACGAGCTAGCCAGGATGAAGGGCAAGAAGGATGCCTGCTTGCACGTGCCGTGTTGCTCTGCGTTGCTGTGCGTGGCTGCGGCCTGTTGCTGGGATGACATATCAGTGCTGATCAAGACTTGACCAAATAGGGTCTGGTCGGCTTCAGGTCTTGACTGAAAAGAGCGCGATTGATGATGAGCTGGCAGCCATGCGACAGAAGCTGCAGGTTCACGGTCCACAGTTTTGCTCTTGGCATATGAACGCTTCTGACTCTGACTTGTGACGGAGGAAGCTCTTAACAGACGTATTGAACCCCAACTCTGCAATTCTGCCGTGCTGCCATTGTGCCAGTGCTGCGCAACATCGCTGCCAGGAAAAATAGATCCTGAGCAGCGTCGTGAATTATGAGTATTGCATGAGTACGTGGTTGGTCTGGCTCCCTTGACTTGTTTAATGGCCTCGCATGTTTGTTTATCACAGCTCAAGGACTCATCATGACTCGGGAGCCAGCATCAGATACAGTTAGGAAGCAGCAAGCGTGCTGATTGCAGCTCTTGCCAGTTAGTTTCACATGGTAATGATTCCAAAGTGTGCTACCGGACAGCAAGGCCCAAAGCCACTTCAATTTTCCATGCTTTGTTGGTACCAGCTGTTTAGCTGCTGGAGCCATGCGGCTTTGACTGTACAGTTTCCATGCGGCACACCTCTGACAACATACTCATGGCAAGGGACAGCCGGATTTTAACGGTTGGTCGGATGGAATCTCGTACATCTTCTTCAAGAAGTCCAAGAAAAGAACGTAGAGCCAAGATTAGAAGAAGATGCAAGAAAAACCGCGGATCTGGCTGGAGCGGGCTGCCTTATCACACCTTCAGATCCTTCACTCACTTTCGATCACAACGCGTCCGTGCATTTTGCTGCACACGAATCTCTCCGTCGCCTTGGCTTGGGTTTTGTCCTTTCTGTCTCGGTAGCGCGGCGGGCAACGGCACCCCGCCTTTTCCGCACCTCCGACAAGGAAGTCGCATGGCTGCACTAACCAGGGGGGGGGGAGAAAGGGGGAGATTTATGGTGGCAAAAGCTTTTACGATTCTACGAGCTTCACGTCATGATTTGAGCATGGTGGGCGGCATTTGAAGTCAGGCTTTTGCTGTGCAGGTCATGCCCGGATGCCTTGGATGCCGATGACATGCAGAAGCCATTGGGTTCATTCAAGTCGGCAGTCGCCACAGTCATGGCCAACTCACATCTGTTGAAATCTACTGAAGCCTCATCATGCGTTCTTTCATGTTAGTCTTGCCGTAAGTTTTTCCGATACTTGATATTTTGCCTTGATCTTTGAACAGGACACTGGGCACAGCTTCTGGGGATGACGGTCCTGCACGGTTCCGCGGCGCTGGGGTGGCGATCAACCGGGCTTTCGAAAGCCGCATGAAGCAGCTGCTTGGAGCAAACGGCTTAAGCTGCTTCCGCTCCCTAGTTGCAGCACCTACTACGACCTTTGAGCGCAAGAGGTCTGCTTGTGACCCTTGTGTGGCCCTGTAAGCCTTTCAGGCTGCAGATTACCGGACAGCGCGTTGCACAGGCCGGGCCGTGAGAGGACTACAAGCCAGCACAATCCAGCACAGTTACGCTAACGCTCGCACGCCTCGCCTCGGCTCCACTAAAGGGCTCAAACTCGGGTCCATCAGGCCGGCCGAATCCCCAAGAGCCCGAATGGGCGTGGCTTGAGGATGTTGGGGCATTGGGAAGGGAGATTTGCCAAAATGGACCGTAGAGTGTAAGCCATTTCGGGTGCTGGGTTCGGAGGCTCCTCTGCGCCCTCTCACCCAACATCCATATCCTAAACCCACCCCTGAACCCCACATCCCGAAACCCTCTGAAACCACACCCGGATCCAAAAAAAGAGACTCAGAGAGAGAGTTCTCAGGTGGGTTGCCCTGACTTCCCCAGGTTCCCCAGATTCCCCGCAAGGAAAGTGCACCGATCGAGCAGATGTAGAGAGGGGAGCCTTTTCTACGAGGGGCGGCCTTGGGCCTCGGATTCACCTCTGCCTTGGGCCTCGGATTACGGCTTTTCCGGTGGCTCTCTTCCGTGCGTGACACGACAGGTGAAGCCGCCAAATCCGAACGCCCTGAAGAATCGGCCATCGCTGTTGCTGGACGAGCCTGGCCACGAAACCAGAGAAACGCGTGGCTTCAAAGCACGATTGCATTCCATAAAGGCTTGGGACAGCTATCCTACCCAGCTGGCTCAGGAAGCGGAGATTCCACACCCAACCGACTCTTGGAACGCATCTTCTTTCCTTCACCAAGACTTCAACCCGTCAAAGTTCGCTTCCAATCCCGATTTTGCCCCCCTTTGTGCTGTCAGGTCTGAGGGTGTTTACGGCTTACTCTCGTGGGTTTGGTGTTCATGCATGGGCTTTCAGGGTTTGCAGCTTGACTCCGGGCCAGAGCACGAGCAAGCTCGTTATCGGCCAGAGCACGAACCCGCCGTGCATCAATGTTGATCTACTTATTTTCCGCGTGCGCGAATCCGGCCCGTCCAGTGCACGAATCGGTCCATCAGCGCGCATCGGTTCCCTACCGACTTCAATGAGTCTGAAGTAACTTCGCATGCTTCGAATAGCCTTCCGGTACATGGGCACCCGCATTGCAGACGGTGGACCTATCCCGAAGGGCTGTCGCAGTGCTGCTCATGTAATGCCTTTCTGCTGTATACAAGTAAATAAAATACAAATAGTATTTCTCGATATCCGTCGAGGGCATGCCGAGCTTTAGGGGGAGGCTTTGTCGATCAGGGTGTTGTCAAGGTAAAATCGTTCGCACCTGCGCGCTTGGAGCTTAGAATGGTTGGACCATGCTGAAATCGTTGGCTGAAACATGAACATACCAAAGCAGCTGAGAGTTGATGAGAGAAGTCCACGAGAGAGGTGAAACAGGCCATGGCGGCCGGGTACAAAGGGGATGGAGGCCACAAATGATAAGAGATACCAGATTCTCAACACTGGGCCAGCACACCTTCAAAAGGAATCTTCGCAAGCTTTAGCATTCAACACTCTGGCTGGGTCAGCAGACTTGTATAGTCGTGGTGGGGAAAAGCATTGTGCTGAGGCGGATCAGGTAGTGGTCATACAGCCATGGTTCAATCTGCTGGCAGCCGCGGTTTGGCGAGATGACCGGGATGTCTCCATGCAAGACTCCATAGACGAGGCCCGCCCAATACCCGACAAATGTGTGTCGCAACACGTCACGACGCGCTCTTGACGTTGGTAACGTTTGTGAATACGCCAAGTGTGCTTGCGCAATTTACATGTCCATGTTCGTGTGTGCGTTGTCGTTTCAAGTTTGAGCACAGCCAGACTTTTGGGGAAGTCCTTTGCTTAAGACTGCCAACGATATAAAGCAGTCTTGAAATCTTCGTTGTACACAGCAAACACCACGAACGGAAGATTTTGCCAGGATCCCAGTAGCCAAATCTGCGTCAGCCGGCCGCAGGTTAACTGGAGCCACTCGCGCATAAGCCACGAGCTCTCAGCTGTACGTACACCCAGGAGCATGTGGCGGGTTTGGCACTTGAACTCTTGAGAATCCTGTTGAGAGCTCTTGCATTCTGGTGTAATGTCGTGAAGCGTGAAGGACCATAAGCCGCTGTCTGCCGCGGTCTCCTTGCGACAGTCGTTTGGACAGCGCCAGCACAGACACACGGCCTCCGAGTTCCCAGGCCAGTCCAAGCCCCCTGCAAGTGCTCTACAATGCTCTATATTTTAAGCTGAGACAAGAAAGGTGCCACTGCTGCCCCGGCCAAGACGGCCGGAAAGCGTGGAAGGCGGGGCAACTGAGTTCCGCCCAGAGTGAAGGCCTCTCATCCTGCCGTGTGCAGCCATTGTGTGTGTGTGTGTTGTGTGGGCAGGAACAGACGCGGCTGTGCCTGCTGCCTCCGTCGCCTCGGTGTGGCCCGCTGGGTCGGCTCGCTGGCGCCGCCTGGAGCTCCTCAAACCTCAGACGAGCCCCGGCCGAGCCCGATCGAGCGCAGAACAACCGCGAGAGCCACGGCAAGAAAAGCCACGGGGCAGCGACGCCTTCCTCGGGCCCCTCGATTTCGAGGCTCTGAAAGAAATGCATTCAACAAATTGAAAAAACACTGCAATCAGCAGATGTCACTAGCTGCTTTATCCCAGTCCGACGGCGAGTACGAGCTATACGAGCCTCCCAGATCTCAGCCGCGGTCTCCGGCAGCGAGGGGAGCGAGGCGCTGCTGGTGGCAGCTGTGACTGTCGGCAGCTGTGATGAAATTAGTTAAGAGGGCCGAGGATGTGAGGACCTCAGGAAGTGGACGAATGCGCAACTAAAGCAGCTAAATGTTGCTAACAGGCTAAACAGATTTACACGTCTAATCTGGACTGCGGAAGGCGTTGAAGACACGGCAAGGACTTCCTTGGTTGACAAGTTCTTATTGTGAACATTTCCGTATGTCCACCTCGGCATGCCGTTCCCAAGGTCGCCATCTGGAGGAACACTGAGGTACTCCCTGCTGTGGCAATCGCGATAAAGCATGCGAAAGTGTATGCGACAAGACGTAACGAGTTGGCCTTGCTGCCAGCACTTGGGCAGACGAATAGCAACCCAGAACGAGCTCATGCACTTCTGCGACCGACACAGTAGGAGGGTCAACCAGTGGTTTCTCCTTGGCCGTGCACTCACAAGCGGACACACTTTGACAGTGCGATAGCATACTCCGCCCCATCTAGCGACGCGTGCGCCAACTCCGCGACAACATCCCAAACTTCCGCCCGGCGTTGTGTTCCTGCATATTTGAGATTCAACCAAAGTGTACTGGCCTCGACTAGGGTTTGACGATTGAAAGTGAACTGCAGAGCGTGAGATGAAGACGTCCTGGCCTGTCAAATGCAACGAAATCTGCAAAAGATGAACGAACATTCAGCATGATTCTGAACTTGTGCGGGTTGCAGGAGGGCAGATGGGAGCAGCATACATGTATAGACACACACACACACATACACTCACATCCTTCAATCCGTTGCCCATTGAAGATGCCAGGGTCGCGGTCGGAAAGGGGGTGTGCAGCGTGCTTTTGGAAGCCAGGCGACACAGTGGATAGGATGGCCCCTATGGTGCGGAGACGACAATGAAGGGAGCAACACTTGTTTTTGAAGTGAGTTGCATGTGCTGTCCTTCTCGACATCAGCATCAACAGTGAACGCTGGATGTCCCTTTGGCCCCAGCTGCAAGCATGATGACAGATGGTGACAAGCACCTCCCACTGTCCCCTCATCAAGTTTCAAGAGCTGCCAGCCAGGGTGATGACATGATGCGTGTCTTATAAATCGCAGAATGTAGATGAGCCGCAGCAGCACTATGCACTATGCACCAACATGCACCACCAGCACTGCCGTTCCAAGCGCACTGACTCGAGACGTCAATGCCGAAGTTCGGTGTCTGCGACATGGGATGGCTGTCGAGCCGCACAATGCGCTTGGAGGGTCAGAACCCTCGAGTGTGCATCAATGGCAGACGAGGCCCATTTGCGAAAGGGCCGTAACCAGTCAGTCTTTGCAGCGTTCGACACACGTCATGCTGAGGTGGGCCGACGAGCTGGTGCGCCAGGAGATCTGGCAAAACTTGGCTCCAAGTGCGTCAAAGAGTTGCGTAAGAGTTGCGTAAGAGTGTGAGGAGCGCTGCGCCGCGGCCTTCGCCCGGCGCCGGGCGGAGGCGGAGGCGCTGCTGCGCCGGCGAGAGGCCGCCTTCGTGCGCTGCGAGGGCCGGCGGGGCCCCCTGCAGCGCGCGCAGGCGTGCGGGCTTAGCTTTTTGTTCGCGACAGAAGCCAAGCTCAGTGTGAGCACAACATTTTCTCTTACCAAAGCGTCTTTCTTCCCAACTTGTTGTAAGTTAAGATTGTTTCAAGTAAGGGGCATGATGCAGTGCGAGGTCACCTGGCTCACAAATCGAACACTAGCTGCCTGGCGGTCGTGGCTGGCAGCCGAAAAGGTGTCGGCGTGTGTGGATACGAATTGGGGTCATGTATACAACATCCCACTGATGCCTGCTGTCTCGTGTTCGCTCTGCCTGCAAAGTGTGCAGGCTGAGCGCCACTTCACCCAACTGATGGAGGAGTTGCGACGCGAGGAGGACTCACGGCTTTTGCTCCGATAGCTCTTGTGCAGGGAGCCGATATGTGTAGCTGCGTTGAGTCAGGAGAGCTTTCAGAAGGATCAGAAAGCCTTGGCCGCTGACAAGGACAGCATGAAACGGAAGGGGCTTGGGAGGGAGGAGGAGCGAGAGCGAGAGAGTGTGAGAGAGAGGGAGGGCGCCCCTCAAGTCCCGCAGCAGAAGACGAAGAAGAAGAAGAAGAAGAATACGATGAAGCTGAAGATGAAGAGGAAGAGGAAGGGGAAGAGGACGAGGAAGAGGAAGAGGAAGAGGAAGAGGCAGAGGAAGAGAGATAGGGGATTGAAGGGATGAGGTCGAGGGAACTAGCACAACAAAAGCACGAAAGGCGGAAGGGACAAGCTGATGAACGTGATCGAGACTTCCTGTTCAGGGTAGTTCGTACTAGGAGAGTACAAGGTTCATCAGCCTCTATCCCCACGAACCTGATCGTCGCCAGCTGGTTGGTGTGGAACGAAGTCCTTTACCTGCGGGTTGTGGTAGGGGAAGAGAAGAACCGTAAACACCAGCCGTCTCATGCCCGGGATACGCAGGTGGGGGAAGGTACCCCAGCGCAGCAGGTGCAAGTCGGGAAGCTAGAGGCTGTTGTGATGAGGAGACGTAACCAACTGGGAGTTTGGGAGTTTCACATACAGGACAGTCACAGGGCGCGCCTTGTGCACGAGAGGTTTCTTTTCGGGGAGCCCCTCATGCCCAGCGCAAGCGGAAGAAGAAGAGGGCGGTTGCCATTCTGGGTCAAGTCCAGGGAAGGAACCCCAAACCTGGGCTTGAGTCCCGTCACTCCTGCTCCGCCCTGTCTCCATAAACGAAGGGGGGAGGGGAGGCTTGTGCATATTTCTGAGCAGAAGCATCAGGGCGACAAGGGAGAGCTCGTAGAGAACAAACCAGCAAGCAGGTTCATGAATCTTGCAGCTCAGTCGTTCCCAGGACCTTCACTTGCCACGCTTGCATACTTTCGCTTGTAGGTGACACTTAACCAAAACCACCAGGGAGCACTGCCATGAAGCGTGCCAGAGATGCAACAGGAAGAGCACATTTCTGACACTGCAATCATGCCGAAGGTCGCAAATAAGGGCGGCCGAGACATCGGTCCAACCAAGCAGGGTTGCAGGCTTTTGCCTCCGGCACCTTCTGCTTGAAGACTTTCTCGCCTTCAGACCTGGTAACGCACGTAGGGGTCAAGTGCGCAGAAAGAAAGAAAGGGAGGCTCACTAGCCGTCAAAAACTTGTTTCTCCACGAGTTCGCACCATGCGCTCCGAAACTTGAACGGTTTTTCCATGTAAGCGAGCTGGTGTGCGCATGACCCCAAAGTTCTGACAGAAATCTCCGCTTGTCAGGAGAGCATCGCTGCTGATATCCGCAGGTCGCAGCAGTTGTACGCGGCACGGCGCGGGCGGCAACGACTTGCTACACAGCGGAGTCTTTGGTGTCTTGAGCAAAGCTACACGTGGCGACAAGCCCAAGTTGCCCTGCGAGCTTGGCACCTGGACGCACGGGTAGCCTTTCTTTTGGCGTTTGGTCAACACTCTCTCACGGGAATGCAGTATATTCACGCAAGCATTTTAGCTTCACGTTCACTTCTGCTCTTGAGGCGCAGATCCGTTTCCCATTCTGCTGCGAGGGTGCAGTTGACCTGGCACCTTGCCGCCCAGCGAGATGTCTTAGTGGCGCTTTGGGCCTGGCATTCCTCGGCAGTGCAGTGCCGCAGAGAGCGGCAGAGGCGCACACTATGCGGCCGCTAATGGTGATTTTCAATCTGAACCTGTGTTGTCTCTATCTCGCTCTGTCTTTTCGCTCTCTCTCTCTCTGTCTCTCTCGCTCTTTCTCTCTCCCTCTTGCTCTGTCTCTCTCTCTCTATCTTTCTCCCTCTCTGGTTTAAACTTCTTTTTTGCAGGTCCGAGCTGGAAGCCAAAGAGAGCCAACTGTCTCAGTACCAAGCGACTGCAAGAAGGACCAAGTTGCTAAGTTATGGGAATTGGCTCGCCGCCTCACAGCGCTTGCAAGAACACAGGCTGGGCCCTTGATAGAAGTCTGACTCTGAGAAATGCCATGAGTCATTGCCCCTACAAGATGAACTGGTGGAATTGTGGAATGTGGAAGGTCTTCGCTTTGGAGCGCGCTTCGGCTGTGGCAGCAGGGGGTGCTGGCAGCAAGGCGCGGCCGCGCGGCGCTGCGCCGCCTCGGATCCAACGAGGAGTTTGCGCTCCGGGCATGGTCCGCCTGGCGAGCAGCCCGAGCGGCTCAGAGCAGCAAAAAAGAGACCCCAGAAACTCAGAAGCCCATCCCTTTGAAACACTGAAACACTCTCGCTCTCTGCTTCAGTCCATTCAACCCTCTCTGTCTCTCTTGTGCTCTTGAGAAGATTCTTTCTTCCCCGGAAGGTGCAGGCGCAGGTGGCGGGCATGTGTGGCTCTGAGCGCTCGGGCGCTTTGGAGTTGGCTGCGGCGCACCGGCACCACGCCGCTGCCGTGATAGGCACGAGGAAAGTTCGAAACAAGATTCAAAAAACCCATCAAAGTGGGAGATCGCAGAGCGGTAGTCTTGTAGAAGGTTAGCCTCTTTTGGAGCTCGGATGAGCATGCCTCTCCTTTGACTCACTAAGGCAGTTGCTGGCAGTCCTACCAGACCTGGTGGATGCTGCAAGTGGTGGTGAGCTGGCACCATATTGCTCAGAACCGTGGACATCACTGCGCCAGCGAGCAGCTGGAGCCAGTGACGAAAGAATGGCTTGGAATGTGCTAGACATTGCTAGACCGTCGTTTACGACTCACAGAAACCATGGCTGTGAGGAGCAAGAGATGCAGTCGTCCTTGGCAGACGCTGCAAAGGCACGGGGGCAGGTAGAACGTCTCCGAGAAGTGTGGGAAGCCCAGGACTTGGGGAAATCAAGATTGCTCTCAAGCTTGCTGGCATTCTCCCTCCCAAATCATTCGAAGCTCTCCGCTCTGAGAAGGTCTAGCTGCAACTTGGAACTCGCCGTGTCCGTCGATTTAATCCGAATCTCGGTGAAGTCTCTCAAGCTTCTAGCCTCCCCTTTCAAAGGTCTGACACCAAGAGCTTCCTTCGTGCTTCGGAGCGCTCACAGCTGGAAGCAGAGCTCGCAGACACCCAGCAGGCCATGGCCTACAGAGCAGTGCCCCTTCTGTGCCGCAGTTTGACACAGCAGGGCGTATCATAGCACAGGACCGTTTTTCAGCCGTAGGGCCAACATGAGCCATTGCTGAGCCATTGCTTTAAGCTTGCCCCAAACATCGCACTGGATTCCCAATCGGTTCTGCAGATGATATTTGCATGGCAAAGCTTGCCAACGAACAGCATCTCAATGAATCTTACGAATGAGTCACCAACTGGCGGAGCAGGCAGTACCATGAAGCACCTCTCAGGCCGCAGTCCACCGGGTTCAAAGTGGCTGTGAGGTCTCAGGCTACTGTAAGGGGAACGAGCAGATAAGAGCAGACTTTTTGCAAGACTCCAGTGAAATGGACGAAACGTAGGTTTTGGTCGCCCTATGAAACAGATGGTAGCCTGAACGCGCGCCGGACTTTCCAAAGGCGGGTCAAAACCCGTCGTTTAAAGCGCACTGGTAGTGCAGGGTTCAAGGGTTTTCGTGAACGGCAATTCGGCTTCCTTTCGTCTTTTGCTTGTCACGGCTAGGAGAAAACAAAAACACCCCCGTCACCAAGGCACTGAGTGTCCGTCCGACGTTACCTGATAGCTGGGTCCGTCTGAAAAGCTGATGGAATCCTTCGTCTGGAAGGAACCCCCGCTCTCGAAACCCAAAGCTCGAAAACTGACACGAGAACATCTGGGAGCATCCCGCAGTGGGTCATGGGGTCTTGCTGATGGAATCTAGACCTCAGAGACTTTTTCAATTGCCTCCTATCGTACGCGGTGGGCCCCCAGGCTTTTGCGCAGCTGCAAAGAGACCTTGCAGCAGAAGCATCTAGCCGCGGACTCAGCATAGGCTGAGCAGAGACACGGGGGCACAAAGCTCGCAAAGCAAAGCGACGGCTCTCTTTGTGTTTTCAAGCAGGCTTGGCCGCGCTGGAGCTGGAGCTGCGCCAACTGGAAGCCGGCGAAACCGGCGAAGCCGGAGACAGGAGGGAAGGAACAGAAGGAACAGAAGGAACGGAAGGTACCGAAGGATCCCGGGGATCCCTTCCGGCGAGGCGCCCGAAGCCGCCCATAACTAACTTTTCGGCCTTTCGGTACTGCTGGACTCTTTTCTGTATTCTGAGAAAGGTTCTGAGCACTACTCGTATAACAAGAATTGTCCTGTCAGGGTGGAGCGACGGGACTTGGAGCGGGAGCTTTTCGAGATCCAGCAGCAGCTCCTCGGGGTCAAGAGACGTAAAGATGCATGCAAAGAGACATCCGGCTTGGAACATCAGAATGTAATGGTATAAATTTGAGTATTCATAGTATGACTGTGGTAGTACTAGTCAATATCAGAGTATGTATTCTGATATAGTACCCAGTTGAATCTGCATTCCTAATGACAGAAACTTTAATTTAATGGCCCCCTCCAACTTCCCGGTTGGTGTTTGCAAATGGGAAGCTGCGCCAGCCCCAACCCCCCAGCTTGTTTTAGGACCTAGTTCTAAACCGTGCAATGTTTGCTACAAAATCATATGAGCCCTTTCCAAACCACATCATGCGAGCATTGTGTTTGCAAATGCGGGAGGGGGTCGTTTTAAGACCCAGTTCTCAGCCGTGAGTTCTTTCCGAACCCCATCTTGCGAGCATCGAATTGGCAAACGGGGGGCTTCCTTACTGCTTGAAGCGCGTAGCATCTAGATAGAGATCCTGGAACCTACAGCATGTGGAGCCGCGGAACATCTAGAAGCGCTGCAATTCAGAGCGAGATCTCCAACACAGCGTCACAAGTCGAAGGCTGACAGGCAAGGGGATAGGGGGGATGTTGCATAGGGAATATGTTAAATGAGTGTTGGGGGATGAGGCGAACCAGAGTCCGCGGAAATTGATTGGGTACAGGAGGTGAGGGAGGGAGACAATCACAACCTTTCACAAAGGCTTTTTGGCTAGCGGGAGGAGACGGACGGGATGGTGCGGGCAGGGCCGATGGGTTGCAAGGGTGCAAAACGCGGCGCAGGTCAACGCGCGGTTGCCTGGCTGTCATGCCATGCGTTTATGACATAGAGGATGTTGCAATATGCATGTGTGTCTGTGTGTGTGTGTGTGTGTGTGTGTGTGTGTTTGTGAGTGTGTGCTGCTTCAACAATGCTCCCGTCGGTCATCGCAGTCCTTGTGGTCGCCGCAAGGCTCCGGCGGCCGTCAACGACACCGGGGCTCTCGGGGCCCACTGCGTAGAGTGCGTCTATCGCTGGGTTCGAAAAGGGTGTGACACGGTGTGACAGGCTACTGCAAGAAGCATCTGTGAGTCGTTGTTATTCGTCGTCGTTGACTATCAAGTTGTCAGCAGCTTCGCTTTGGCAGTTCCAAGATTCGATGGCATGCGCGTCTGGTGGGCCGTCGCAGCATTTTGCTCATTTGCCCGGAGCCGTCAAAGAGGTTCCCCAGCGCTTTGGCTGCACTTAGCATAGCTTGATGCCTTTTGTCGTCAGAAATAGCTCCTTCTGAGTTCGCAAACTGGTTGTGATCGTATGATGGTTGCAAGCGTTCAATTCCAGGCACGCGGCCAACGATCCGCAACACGACATGTTGTCAAAACTCTCCGTTGCTCGGAGAGTGGCGGCTAAGCGCGTCACGCAACGCGCTCTGATCACTGGCTCCTCCTCTTTGCGAGTGCGCTGCGAGCTCAGAGTTTGGGTGACTATACTAAGACCATGCATTTAGAAACCCCGGCATCTGCAAGTTCAAGGACAATCTGTCACACCGGACTAGCGAGGAGCAGAGTGGCAGCATCGGGTATTTGGGGAAGCGGCGGCTTGCAGGCGCAGCTCCGGGCCTGAAGCCGCAAGCTTTCCAGGCGCCTTCCTTGCAAAGCACTTGTCGGCCCTGCAACCACACTCACGTGATTCCTATATGAGTACAGTACATATGCGTACTGTGTGTATATAAATAGTCAGTGTACGTGTTCTAACTCCTCCCCCGATATGTTCTGAGTTTGGTCTCAGTTTTCTATTTCATCTACGTTTACTACTCTGTTTGCTGCATTTGTGCTTTCATGAAAATCACACCGGCTACGAGTGTTTATGTCGCGAGGGTTCTAGTCTGGAGTGGGCTTGAAGTCCATAAATCTTGCGTGACTCGCATACAAACGAATAGCACTAGAGATTGGGGCTTTGGGGGGGAGGGGGTGGTTTGTGTTCATGTACACTTGTGTCTGTACTGAATTAGGACGACAATCGGCACGGGCTGCCTCCCCCTAGAAAGTTTCTAGAAAGAGGTCATCAAGTGAGGGCGGGGGAGTTCTGTATTATAATAATTCGTATATGTGATGATGTTAGTTGAATATATATATATATATAGCAGCAATGCATATGCCTCCTGTAGCACTCGCATGCCGAAGCTTGCACGAGGCGCGGCAAAGCCAACAACGTTCGAAAGGCGACATCTCCGCACCACTTGCGCCAGAGCCGCCCTTTCCGACGGTGCCCCTCCACTCACCCTGCTCTGCCAAGCTGCCTCATCATGCCCTCAAAAAATGTCTCGCTGCCGCCCCTGGTCCGATTGCCATGCTGTACGGTATCATACCAGTAATTACAGACTTGCCATTGGATAAGGCCCTGCACGACAAATTTGATTGTAAAATATTAAGAAGAGTACATGCCAGCACAGCCACGCTATCTGGTGCTTCTGTGCGCTTGGTCATGTTGCATGGATTGCATGGCCAGTCTCTTGGTCGAACAGCTTGGAGCGAGTATAGCGAAAACACACCGGAATCCATCCTTGCGTATCGCAAGCATTGGGAAGAGCGGCTTCAACCATGGGCAAGCAGCCTTTCCACAAAGCGCGAGCTTGAAGAAGTTGGGTTTGCAATCCTGCAGGGAGCTGTCTCCCCGCAAGACACAGACGTCCTGCTCAAGGAGCTGCCCTGGCTTTTGGAAGGAGGGGCTGTGAAGATGGAGCAGCAGAACAAGGGCAAGGGTGGCCATGACCTCAGTCTTAGCTGTACAAACTTTTGACGCCGGGATTGTTCTACCAATGACAAGCTACCGCATAAATACCATTGGATCTTGTCTCAGTCGCCCGGCCTTTCTTGTCTTCGACAGAGTAGTGGTCAGACGAAAGCTGTCAGGGAGGCAGATCGAAATCAATCGACCTTGACTCTTGACGCGGTTCCTCTCGACTGAATCCTCAACTGCGCAACAATGGGAGGTCTGCGTGTGTGTGCGCGTGTGTCCAGCTCGGCGTGAGAACACGTTTGTCCAACAACCGACCGTCTCCAGTTAGTCAGTTTAGTCTATGTGCAGTACTACTGACATCAAGGACAACAACTTGATGTGGGCAACTGCCGAGCGAATGTGTGCGGTGCAGAAGAGTAGGATGAGCAGGAAGTCCATTGCGTGCGGCTTGGAATCGACTTAGGTTATGCCTATTTGAAGCAGCTGCCGGTGATTTTTGCCACTTTACGTGAAGTCGCATATGAAGCTTTGCTTCCCATAGCAAGAGCATTCCTGGACTCTCACAAGCTCGAAGTGCAGGCTTCCAGGCGGACTTTCTCGCTACGCTCTCTTCCAGGAACATTATCGGAGTTCGAAGATCTATGTATCAAGGAAGGTCAGACTAGGCCGAGCAACTTGTTCCTGTGGTATGAGGAAGGCGGAGAAAACCGACCCCATCGAGATGTCTATGGTGAGGTGTCTTTTCCATTGCAGATGGTACTCATGCTGCACCAACAAGGCGAAGACTTTTCCGGCGGAAATTTTTTTACCATAGTCAATGACCGTAAATGTGAGGCAGCCATGAATCGTGGTGACCTTCTCATTTTCCGTACTGCCTGTTTGCATGGCTGCACTCCTGTCCTTTGCGGCAAGCGAGCCACAGCACAGCGATCCGTCCTCGGACTCCAGTTCGCGTTGCGCCAGTTGCTGAGAGACCGCCGCGCCAAAGGCTACAGGTAAAGTGAGCAAAAGATGACCTGAAAGACTGCTGTGCTCCAATGATGCAATGTGCTGTTTCCGGTCTCGTTGTTGCAGAAATGTGCTGGATCTGGATTCTCGCTCGCAGGTGATTGTGTACAATCAGTCCAAGCATGCGACGAACTCCGTCTTGGCCGACATCCGTGCTGTTTGGGGTAGCTCCGTTCGGGTGATCCAGACTCTGGAGGATTCACGTTTCAACAGAGTACTGGCAGCCACTAACGTTTCGGATTGTGCCCAAGTGACATGCGCGCTGACCAGGAGGGCAGGCAAAGGCTGCCCGGCATGGACGCTGCTTTGTACGTCCAGCCCAAGACCTGGGGTGACCTGAAGCATTTCCGGGAGCGCCTTGACTTCCTTTGCACTCAGGACCTTGCCAGTCCTTGACCGATTATTAAACATATCCTCGTGTTGACTTGCTGTAGCGAGCAAGATTCCCAAAACAACTTTAAGACAGTAAAGGATCCACATGTTGAGCTGCGCAGGACCATGAACTCAGTCGCCATCGAGCTGCAGGGCAGGCTGATTCGCCTGAAACGTGTGCATTGCGTGGATTGCCTTCACTCCCCCGGTGGACATGTCAGGTGGTGTTCATGCCGGGTTGGTCCGCATTTGCGGAATCGGCAGAAGCAGCCGTGGGCGTTCAAGCGCTCGGTCTCGTTTGGCCTGGCACAGAGCCCAAGGCGTCGCAGGGTTTGGAGAAGATCGGCTTCAAGCGTATATGCCTCTCGGCGCTGTGTACTGAATCCAGGCGTTGCCGCATCAACACTCTTAGACCCAGACGCCCCCAGACCTTTGCAAGTTAAGGCGAGGCAGTGGGCGCGCCGACGCCACCCTTCACAGTGCTGTCTGAGGAAGATGCGCCATTGGTGGACCTCACCAACCCCGAGGCGAAGGAGGCAACAGATAGAGGGAGCAAACGGGAGCATAGAGGAATAGAGAGAGAGAATCGCCGGGCCTTTTCAGAGTGGGGCCCAGCCTAAGAAAACCCACGTCCTCTGAGGCTTGCGTGAAGGAGTTTATTGACAAGGTGCTGGCCATGAACTTCTCGGAAAAAGGTCCAATGTCTACATCCGCGCCTTTCTCCACATGAAAACTCAGATCTCAGATGATCTAAGGTTTGATCAAGAGTATTCACGGCGGCGGTGGCAAAGGCACTGCCCACCTACATCATCCCGACCAGCCAGATGAGGTGCGAAAGCTGTACAAAAGGGTATCGAGGTGCCCGGCAGATTTCGGACTGCACCTGACTACCACAGGTTCGCAGGTCCGTGGAGAAGGTGATCACGGAAATGAACCGAACTGATGGCATCTACTTTGAGCAAAGGGCTCCTCGGCAACTTTGATCGTCAAGCCATGAGAGGTTGGCAATTGGCAATTGGCACATCCAGAGAAAGATTGCGGAGCATATTCAGCATAATTATATGTCACGGTGCAGGCATTCCCACTTATGGTGCCTGCAAGGATGAATGCTGTATGGTTGATAGTCAGGTTTAGAGTTGATCTTGCCTTCTGCCTTGCCTAGAGCAGCACTGTGCGACACCAACCCGTGTTCTCATAGCCAGAAGCCGAGTGCATCTTCGTCGAAGCTGAGGTCAACACGAAAGGTGATGGGCGTTTCTTCCAGATTGAGCTGGAGGCGTGAGCTAGCGGTATAGTATTCGTGAATGATCTGGACGTCAGTGGCCTGATTCTGGTGTCGCTGAGGTGGATGGAGGCACTGTGGCAGATGGTGGTCGCTTCGTATGGTTCAACTCAGGCTTGCAGAAGGCCAGCGGCGCATGTAAGGATTCTGTCACAGCTTGTCGCAGGTTTTGTTGCGATTGTTTGCTCGTTTGCACCTTTTTGCAACGAGTCGATGAGGTTGTGGAGATTGGTCTCAGCGATGACAAGATTGACCTCTTCATGTGCCTTGCAGAGACTGAGTTGCTCTGAAGAGGTCGATAAGAATAGCGAGGAGTTGATGTCTCCGAAGCCGCCATCACATGCGCTTCTTGTGCCACTGAACTTAAGGACCTTAGGACAAATTCCAGTTTACCTGGCAGCTTAATGGCTTAATGCCAGCTCATAACCGAGCAATCGAAAGCTGGGTTGCCGCGTTGCTTCATGTTGTCGCTGTTGTTGGTTTCCTCTCCTTATGTTGCTTTGATCTCTTGCATCTTCTGTGCCTCCGGCTTTCTTCCATTCTACTGGTGCTGATGGGACAAGCTCAGCCCATGCACATTGCCATCCTCCAAGACGAGTAGCAAACCGAGTGCAAACACAGACACAGGCCTTGGAACAATGTGTAGGCAGTGTAGGCTCGATGGCGCCCTTTGTGCCGACATTGGCATTCCGGCCACAGGGTGTCAAGTACTGTACTGCCTTGGCTTTGCGGGCTCAAGTCGCCCTGGCAAGAGCCCCTATACTTACTAGTTGCTGGTGTTTCATGTTCCTCCCATGTGCTGATGGGCACCCAAGGCCGCAGGATCTCTATCAGAAGTCGCGGAAGTGGGCTGGAGATATTGCAAAAATGGGCAACAACAACACCAGGCGGGGGCAAAGGTTCGACTGAAACCTGCTTTCTCTTGGAATGCATCTTGTCCAACAGGGCTACGATGGAAGCCCTGGTCTTCAAGAACGAGAAGGGTTGCCTGGTCAGCATCGGCATGTGATGATGCGGGCGAATGTTGATTTGCTTAGTTCATGCCCGCTCGGGTTGCCGGTGCCAGCTACTTTGCTCTTAAGACTTAGGTGTGTACGAGTGCACCTTCATTGAGTGCAACCGACGTCCGCAAGTCGAGAATGTGCCCTGTCCAAGAAACGTGGAAATCCTCGCATGGGCCAAGCCCTGGACCTTGCAACAGCTACACTTAGTTGTGGAACTCCGTATACTGTGCGGGACAGTAATTGCAGTTCTTATACATGACTAGGCGACCAGGCCACCAGGGCACTTGCAGACAAGCGTCAACAAACGGCACATAGCGGCACCAGCAAAGCCCTAGTCTCAGACAAGCTTCCAGGCCTTCAGGCTTTCAGAGAGCAGAAGCATCTCTGATGAAAAATTGGTAATTAGGTATCGAGTCAGCACTGGAGGCCACAGCGTGCACTTGTCGAGTCGGCACTAGTCACTAGTCGTGGTAGACAGGCTCCCGGGAGTGGGACGACAAAATTGGGCAAGAAAGTGCTAGACTCCTAGACGAGTCGAAGATCTGAGGAAGCGCTGGCACTGCTGCAGACTGACAGCAAGGGTCATCGCCGTTACACATTTGCGGAGCTCATGATGCGCACCTCGGCTTCACAAGCGCCAGAACCATATGCGTTTTTTTTGAGGGATCGGGCTTGAAAGCTCTGGTATGGGGCTGCCCATCTTCAGGCGCGAAAGGATACCCAGCCCCGAAGTTTGAGCCGGCCAAAGACTGTGGCGTCGTCTTGCACGCTCGGTGGCTGCATGGCAATCCTGACAGCCATGGCAAGATTACCTACCAGGCGGGATGCCATGTGAACATATGTGAACCGAAATTGCGGTGCTTAAGACAAACCGTCAAAGTACACTGAACTGTGTGTGATGTTGAACTTTTGAATCGACGTATTTAGTATGACATGTTTCGCTGTAACGTACCTCCAAGTACACCGCAGGCCGGCAACATCCTCGGGATGACTGGGCCTCGGAACCGGCCTCGGTGTTTGTCTTCTCTAAGCATCTGGCTTATAAGAAGAGAGCTGCTCTGCAGTGTTAATTGGCGAGGCTGGACTACATCAAGGCAGAGCTGCTGGCTCCAGGTGAAATCTCTTTCACCGCAGATCCGCAGCTGGGCAAGGCGGGACAAGCCATATTTTCTCCGGGTGTCTCAAGAGCATTCCCTTCTCCAACATCAGGCAGTGATCACGGCAGACACTTGGGACGAGATGTGCGACAATGCGGCTGAATATTTCAGGCAGGGAGCAAAGTAAAGGATGACAGAAGATGCCAAAAGTATTTGCGATCTACAGAGCGCATTTCTGCACCACAGGCTTCGCAAACCAGCGGTCATGGGAGCTTCCTGGTTAGAATTATGAAACAGTGGGCAGCATGCAGCAACTCCTTGTCAACGCAAGCTTTTGTCGTCCCCAAGGCGGCATCTACATACGCGCAAACCTTGTACAACCTCTTCACCAGTCCTAAGCATCTGTGTTGCAGACAGTGCACTGCGCTCTGAGCAGAGCGTCTGAGCAGAGCGTCTTCTATGTTTTGCCAAGTCATCTCAGAAGTGCGATTTGCGGTGGACGAGGGATTTGGGTTGAGGGTATGGGGTAAATCCACGTACTCGCCTCCGGGTCGGCAGACTTGGCGACGTAGTCTAAAGCCTAGACTCTAGACCCTTTTGTACTGCTTGTGTACTGAATTGAGCCACAATGGACAGTGCAAGCCATGCTCCTAATACAGCAGCCCCACACACTTGCAAGCCGTTGCATGCAAGCTCCTTCATGATTGGTGTACTACGCAGTGCGCCAGACCATGTGCCACACTGTGCTACAATACCTGCCTCGCTCTATTTGGCTTGTGCTTCATGGCTCTTTCAAGTGACTAATTTGCATTTGCAGAGGGTTCAAAGGGGCTTTCTTGCTCTTCCTGGATGTGCTCACCGCAAAACCCGGCAAAGGTTTCGAGCTGGCGAGACAGCGTCGAACGAGACCTTTGCACACATCGAGATCCCAGATCACCCAGAACGAAGCGTCAGCCACTAAAAATCCCAGGGGGGTTGTATAGGCGTCTTGCATCATCTTGCGTCATCTTGCGTCATCTTGCGTCTGTGTCCATGCCGGGCGGAGGTGCTGACAGTGCTGAAGGAGCAGGTTGCACCAGCCATCGTGAACGGCTATCGAAAGGGGGAGGGTGTCGACCCTGAGCGCTATCCAACGCAAGGCGCGGACCTCAAAGCACGTGAATCGCTTGAAGAACACGTTTTTCTCGACATGGTTCATCTGAAGCACAATGTAGCCCACATGTCCGGCATCCAGAAGCCTTCTGAACAGGCGTCACATCTGCTGTTGAGGAGCTGAGCCACGAACTGACCAAGCTGCTGGGCATTCCACCTCTAGTTTAACATAGTTTACAGTTTGCAGCTTTCACCCGTTCGTCGCTGTTGGATCACAATTTGTGTGGTGACGCAGTTCACTTCGTGTTGTACTTAGGTGTGCGCCGGAGGCCACCAAGTTCACCGCCTTCGCCCGGGGAGAGGCCCCGCAACTTTCATGGGTGTATATGTATACCGAATCTACCGTCTTCACGTGTCTTTACATGTCCTGATCCCATGCCTCTGCATCAGCGAAATGGGGCTGCAAAGCAGGCATCCTACGAGGACTACATCGCGGAGCTGCGAGCCACACTTGATAAGCAGGCAGCATATCCCTTCCCTGAAATTCCTTGAGATGCCGTGTGACGTGCGTTTTCAATCCAGGGCGGTGGCTGGGTCACTGTGGCGCCACGCGATACAGCACAGCAAGGTAACGACTCCGAAAGTGCATCCGCCCGGGGCCCAATAACAAGTTAAGTATTCGGTTCTGCATTCTGACGTGGACAAAGATTGACTGATGAAATACTGACATGGATGACCTTTTTAGTTCTGAGGTCAGCAACATCTCTCGAGTCAATGCGGAAGTGTGGGCACAGAAAGCCGGTTGCGCCAGAAGCTTAAATTCTCCAGCAGCAAAGTGTTCGTGGCGTCAGTTGAGCTCACTGGTCACATTCCCTAAATTTGTCTGCTGCCAATGTGTTCCGTTTATGTTGTTTTTGTCGCACACTTTTCTGGCAGCTGATCCTTGCAGGTTGGCTACGAGACGGGCGGTGCACAGTACCAAGCAGGATTGGCGATCCAAGAAGCGTAGCGAAGTGCAGAGACATCTTGTGCCCTGGGGCGCAGGCTTGATTCGCGGCTTTGATCCTGCCACGATTCTCCGCCTGGGCCCGCCTCTCATGCATCACTGCATACTAAGTCAAAACTTCAAATTATCAGGTCATAATATATATGTGTGTAAGAGAAGCCTGTATGTATTATGTGAGCCGCATTTTCTAAATTTCTAAATTCCGAATATTCGTCGTTCAAGAATTCGGCCTTTCTGCTAAAATTCCTACAGGTTCACATCTCGTGAAATCCTAAATTCCTCTGGTCAAAAATTGCTGTTGTCCCTCGCCTTCTTTAGATCTAAGGCGAGGCCGATAGCAGCACATGTTTCCCAGAAGCCTGTCAAAAAATGCTGCTACCGGCCCTCGCCTTCTTTTGATCAGGAATTTTCAGGAATTTAGGAATTTAGGAATTTCGCGGCTGCAGGCCAAATACCTTAGTTCCTACACTCTTGAATGCCGCAATCAGAACTCCGAATATCTGAGAATTTCTGAAATAAGGAATTTCCAAATTTCGGCTAGAGGCCTAAAGTCCTAATTTTATTGTTAGGAATTTGCGACTTTCACCTAAAGGCCTAAATTCCTAATTTCTTAATATCTATATTCGGATTTTCAGAATCTAGAAATTTCGGCCAGAGGCCTGAATTCCCAAATCATTAAATGCCGGATATTTTCAATTTAGGAGTTTGAAGCTCGCCAGCAAAGAATATGAGGATTTTAGGAATTCTCGAAAGGCCGAAAATCTAGATTCCTCATATGTGGAGTTTTGAATTTGGGCTAAAGGCCTAAACTTCTAAACTCCTAAATTGCTACTATTGGGATTTATAGGGTGATTTCGCCTTCTAAGATAGCTACTGAGTGATTTGAAGTTTCGCTTTCTGCAATGAAGGACAGGTACTGCTATCTATCGACCTATCTATCTATCTGGGTCAGATGATACATAAAGGTTCCAACCTCATATGTGTACATATATATATATGTATCTGTATGTCAATTTGTTTCTTTGCCCCGTCTTCTGAGAGACCTCGACGATAAAGTGCCTTTTCCTTGAGAAGCCGAGGCCTGCCCTACAACATGCCGGCGCACTCCCTGCAGCGATCGCAGTACGTGAACGGACTGGCGGAGCTGACTCCCGAGATCCGCGCCTCGGAATGCGGACGCCTTCCCTAGATTCTCCACATCCTCACGTCTGCCCTGTTGGGGCTTTTGAGGGCCTTCGAAAGTTTGAAGGAACGCCGTAGATCCAACGAGCGACCGGCAGGGCAAAGTGACAGCTCAGGCCTTCCTCTCTTTCAATCGACCGCCGAGATTGTGTCGCAGCACTACCGGGGTAGCGGCAGCGTTGACAGTCTTGTCCCCGAGCTTGGGTTCACCTCGGGGCCGTGTCGAATTCTGCGTAACGAGCCTTGACATAACGACCGAGGCTGGGTCCCCTGGATGCCCTACAACTTCCATGCCGGCAACTTCTGCAACGAGCAAACAGGTTACAGCCCACAGGACCTGAAGCATCCTGAAACAAAGCATTGACTTGAACTGAGAGCATGTATATCAAGATGATGGCCTGTCACGTCACATTCAGACCTTATGCCAATGATGCCCGCATTGTGCTGCTGGTAACTTAAGTCTAGCAAGAGACTGCCGGTGCAAGGACGACACTACACTCGAGCTTCTTGAGGCCAAATGTCTGTGTGGAGCTCAGAGTAGTCCAGCGTATCTCAGGCCACAATCGGTCCAAGTGCACGGGTGCAGCTCAGGCCGATGCCAAATTGGGTGTTCTCGCCCAAGTTTCCACTGGAGGCCTCAAAAAGGCTGAGCCAAAGATGTTCAATGAGTATTGCCGGAAATTGCAGAGGCACTGAAGAAATGGACCGAGCGCCAGATTGACTTATTCGCGAAGAAGGGCCTTCAGCTCCACCAGATCCGTATCAAGAATCCCGGCCAGGCCGGGCAGCAAAATAGAGCACAGCAAGATCAGCTGCAAAGGAGAAAGCCATCGTGTCTGGGCTTGTGATATTATGTTCTGGGTTGCATGACCTCTCAGGTTCTCGGAGTTATCGCGCCGCGGGGCATTTTGTGATGTTGAACCTTTTCATGGCTGCAGAGCACATGCACAGCATGCTCTGCACGCAGGGCAAAGACTGGACGGCGGACGCTGTCTGGGCTCACATCGAGATCATGATTGCTACCTTCAAAGCGAAGGGCCTTCCTCCGCCCATCGTCAACATCCACAATCATGACGTTTTTCAGCACTCGTGTGCGTACAGAATCTTACAGATGAGAGCAGTCTTTGACCAGAATTCGGTCTGACGGTGCTGTGCAGGACTTCAATGGAACCGCTGCGCATGTTGGAGCGGAGCTGTTTCGAAAGGCTCACAAGGTGCGATGGACAGTGATGCTGCGGGGTGCTTAAGATTGCATGCATGTTGCATATTACAGCACCACAAGCGATAGCATCTGCCAGCCCTTTTGGACATTCACCAACCTTAAAACCACAAGATGCCAAAGTAACTTCAACCCCTGACCATCTAGAAAGCCTACATATCTGAATTCCGCCGCCATTCGTTTCTTTTCACAGGGCTGCCTGTCTGGGTCGTATAGGGCCATCCTCGGGTTAAGGGCTTTAGGTGCCTCGGGGTGCGTCACTCTACACGTCGCGCCAAAGTGAAGGCCAGTTTCAGGACGACGTCTTACCCGGGCCCTTCCCATAGCTTCCCTCATGGTCCAATGGTTGTTTCTGGGTTGCTTGCCAGAAGCTTCTCCGAAAGCCACATCCACATCCATTGATGTGTCCAATGAACCTTGCTCTCACACGCGTTCGAGCACTATACTCGTAGCATGAGCTGCTCAGAGCTGCTCGGACGCAGGCGAACTTCAGCACACTGGTGATTGATGCCGCCCCACGCAAGAACGGCACGCACAATGACAACACAGCGCCGCACTCATGTGATTCGTCTTTAGATTCGCCGCTCTCTCTTAGAAGCTGTCGGCTTGGTTTCTTCAAGAACGTGAGCGTCGGGGTGACCTCATGTGGCCTGAGGTGCTGCTTGATGCCCTCAATCTGAGTGGAGAGCAGCACGCGGCTCTGGCAGAGTACAACCACAATCAGCAAGTGATTGAGAGCCTTGGCTCTGACTTTGTTCCGCTCTACTGCATGGCCGCTATTTTTATCAGGTTCTTAAGCAAGCGCCATTTGGTATGGACGGGTTTTCAAAGAGTGACGAAGGAAAACCGGATGCAGATGGGAATCCCCACAACGGGAGTTATTCGAGGGAAACGGGACAGACATTGGTTCTCAAAGGCCATTAAACAATCTTAACAGTCTTGACACCTGATCTCAGGCATTTGGTCTGCCATTCTCAATTACTGCATTCAGTCAGCACGGGGAAGTTTGCTAGTCCAGTTCAGTGTATGAAGATCTTTTTGGAGCGGCAGCGGCAGATAGGTCTGGCCCTGCACATCAAGATGCGCAGTTGAGACACAATATTCCGACCGGCAACCCTGAAACACAGGCCGGAGCGATCACTAGATTAACTGAGTCATTAGAGCCTAACAGCAGTGTATGATGCGTGACGGTGGGCGCAGAAGTACGAGCTGCTGATGTCCGAAACGACATTTCGAGGCACAAATCAAATCGACATTTTCAGTCGCAGCCGGCGCGCGAAAGGAAAGGCAAGTAGAGGTGTGGTTTATGTGTTTTTAGTGTTTATGAGCCGCTGCTGGACAAGATCCGTGAAAGAGCTCTTCGCACAAATACGAAGCTACATTACACAACGGCTCCGGTTTGGCGAACTCAGCTCAGGAACATCCTGTGCAGATTTGACAGCCGCATCTTGTCTGGAATGTGCAGGGAGGTGCTTCAAAAAAGTCGCCCACATCCTTCTGCCGAGGTACATCGCAAATGACGCCTTGGGACTCCGACTGGGCTGGTGGTACGGAAGGTCGTGGGCCTCTAAACCATCACCTGATAGCCTTCGCAACATTCTGCTTGAGGCTCGGATATCCGGATTGCAAAGGAGTACTCCCTGGATGTGCGAAAGATCAACCACGCGAAGGCTGGGGCAGGGTCGAGTGGCCCTTGCAATGCAAAATTGTTGTGTAAAAACATGTAAGATGTCAAGCCGCCTCGGCTTCCTTGCCGAAGAAAGCTTCTTCGGCCTTTCTTTCTCGTCTCGCCTCACCTCACTGCACCTAGTCAAGCATGCACTGCCACACTCATGTCTGCACGAGCACTCTCTTGCTCTCACTTTTGCTCCCTCGTCGAATCATGTTGAGAAACTATTTCTGTTGAGATTCCTTCAGAGAATTCTCTTCCGAGACCCAGGAGGTGGCCAGCGAGGTCTTCCCCCTCGAGCGAGCAGTTACACCTTTCTCCGAATACAAGTTGCGGCTGGGCATCGCCTCCTGGATGAACGCAGCGTCACTTGCAGCTTGCTTAAGGTGTGAATCGTCCATGCATCAATGTAATCAAAGGCCATCATGATTGAGCCTGGCATCGAACCAAAGACAGCAGATGCCGCACCCTGGCCCAGAATGGCAACGCTGTGCACATTGCATCGCCTCCAGATTCAGCTCCGTCTCACACGTGTGAAGCTTTGCGAGAATGATCTGTTCTCGAGCTGCTGGAAGATTGCGCAATGCTTTGCTCAGGTACGTCAATGGGTCAACAAGGGCGGCAAGCTGAAAGTTGGCGGTGACGTGCTGGTGGGCCTGAAGCGCTGGGAGACTTTGGTGCCCAAGACCCCAGAGGTGGATAAGCTCCTTGCCAACATGCCTGAGGCCAGTTCTTCAAGATAAGGGTTCAAGTTAGCGGAGGCATTGGATGAAAACGACGCATGAACATATTCAGCCCCCAAAATGAATATAGACCTATGAGCACGCTCAAGATCGAATAGTTTAAGCTCCTAGCAATAGACCAGAATGAATAAATTACTGCGCAAGATGAGGGGTCCCATCCCTAGTTTCAATTTTAGATAGTCGCTGGATCAACATGAAGCCTTGAGCATCTTTTTAAACGAAGATGGAGATGTTCAAGCTTGTATACGCTTTGGAAAAGACCCCAAGTTCTTCCGGCCTCTGGGGGTCATTCCAGCTTAGTTAGGTCCGTGAGCTTCTAAACTTTCGGAATCAACCCTGCATTGTTGTAGGTGATTAAGGGTTTTGCATTTGAATGCGCAAGTACAAAATGATGTTTTTAGCTTGGACCGTTTGAAATATAGCCTTTATGTGGTCCGCATATCAAAAAGACGTGTGGTGCTCATTCAACCAATAAGGCTCCAAGTGGCTGTGTATGTAGTTTTTTCGCGTGGAGCCGATGAGTCCCAGCGTCTGTCCCAGTAGCTGTCCTTCGTCATTTTCGCCTGTAAGCCATGCAGCATTGGTGGTGTTGGTTTTGAAGAAATCCTGTCTACATACTTTTGGTTTTTGATTGTGGGAATTCGGTCTGCAAGTTAGTTGTGTGTTTTTGGGTTATGGTTTTGAAAGAGCACTGTCTGCGTTATTCTATGTGATTAATTTTGTTTTGTGTTTTGTGTGTGGTTTTGTTTTGGTCTATTCGTTCAAGTGTCACTTACAAACTACACGCCTTGCTAACCAGATTGCAGTATGTATGTATGAAAAACATGTGTGTTTGGGTACATACACATCTATATGAATTGTGCAGCTATTGCTGCTATCATTGTTGTCATGCTCCCACCAGAGAGAGTATTGCAGGAGCTCGAGGCCGCCTTGGCCCAGAAGTCGAAGCTCATTGGCCCTGGCGACCTCCCCGCACACCTTACATCAGCTCAGCGTCACACAGCCTTGGGATATCAGGGCAAAGGACTCGAGTTTGTCAAGTCGCAGGCTGGCGCAGTCGAGCTTCATTTTTCGCAGTCTCAGTTTGCTTTATGTTCCGTCTCGTGCGAGGCGAAGGGCACAGACCTGACGCCGCTGTTGATCGCACCAACAGTGCTGCACAGCGCGCCAAAGACCCTGAAACCGGGCTCCACTTTCCAGATCCTGATGGACAAACTCGAGGGCGATTTGCCGAAGAAGGTGCTCAGCCGCATTGCATTTGTTGTGCTGGAGATGGCGTGCCGCGGTGTGCCCGGCAGGAGGAGATAGAGTTTGTGGGCTTCGGCCTGGCTCCAGGCGTCGCCATGGGGCCTGGCAGCCTTGCCAGGGAGCTGGTGCTTAGCCCCTCGGCTGAATCATTAATTATGTCATAACAGTACATATAAATACCTGATGTACTGTCCTGACCTATTCCGCTAACTTTGGCTCGACTGATGAGCAGGACTGATGATAGGACGCGACTTCCGCAAACCACCTACAGTATCAGCTCGATAGTACTGTCCCACTTGAAGTGATTGGCGCTTGACAGTCTCGTCTGTGATGTTTTGAAGCTTCGTAAGTACAGGAGACTCTGCAGGCTTTCGGAGAATTTGTTTTCATAGACACATGTGCGTGCTTGGATGGATGACACGCCACAGCAGACGTGAATCATCAGACTGATGATTGACGCTTCACGCCTTCGCACAGTAAGCCTCCAGCAAAGCGCCCATATGTTGCATATGTGTATGTAGACATTATATATGTACGCATGTATGTATGTATGTATGTGTATGTATGTGTATGATATGTATATGTCTATGACTATGTATATGTATAGGTATATGTATATGTATATGTATATGTATATGTATATGTATGGGCGTACATGTGTGTTTATGTACGACGCCTGGCCTGTAGGCAGGCAGGGATAGATGACTGAGCTACACACACGCACACTGAATCCTTGCTTGTTGTGTTTCCATCGAGTGCTGAAGTAACTCTACTCTTGGCAAACTGTGCTCGCGGGTGAACGTGCTGAAAAGCCTGCTGTGCTTGCTTGCCATGCACCGTGATGGGAATGGCAATGCCACCTTTTTTCCTTCTTCAGTCTCTATAACCCTTTGACTTGATTTCAACCCAGTATGCTGAGAATGCGATGTTTCAATCACTGAAGTACAGATACTTGAATAAAGAAGCCAATATTGGCGGCCTTCGTATGAGCGTTGCTGAGAGGCTTCTTGCATGAAGGACAGACGGTTCAGGCCGGGCAGCGAGCACTCGGCAGTTTGCAGCAAACCGTTGTTTTTGGATTTATAGCTGATTCTTGCACTACATCGCTTCACTTGCAGAGGTGCAGCTGCCAGATCCGGATGCCGCGGCAAGCGTGGCAGTTGCCGGCAGTGGACCACGCAAAGCAACTCCTGGAAATAAATTTGAGGCCAGGCCAAGATCTTTCAAATTGTGGTAACTTGTACTGTGAAAGCCTTGTAATCTCGTAGTGCTGGCAGGTGCCAACGGTAGTGCCAGGAGAGGTGCTGTCCTATGCCGTCAAGGTTCGTGATATCATGTTTGGATGCCAATTGATCTCAGTCCTCATTTAGCCAGAGCATATTGATGTCCATGACTGTTGCTGCTGAAGTTGTTTGCTTCGTGCGACCGCGTCTGCTGCGAGCATGTCTTGAAGCTTCTGAAGGTTGGCGACACGCTGGAGAAGGGACAGATCTTGTGCGTCTTGGAGTCGATGAAAATGGTGCAGACCTCAGTACCTTGCGCCGTTGCAAATATTATCAAAGAATTAAGAAGCTGCAGCGGGCAAAGGCTTGCAGCACAAGTTTCAGCATGTCAGGTATTCAGAGCGACAGTCACGACAGTCAGCTTGCGCTCAGGAGATGAAGATCCCGGTGCCTGATGAATTGGTCGGGCTCAAGGTCAAGGACGAGAATCCGAACTAAACAGGTCTAGAGTCTAGATCTCCTAGACCACGTAGACCACACTTAGACCACTTACACCGCTTTCTGCCGCTGCACCCTTGCTCTCCAGTACATTGCACCAGTCTTCTTTGGCAGGACTTGCCATGCAAGGGCCGAACCAAAGAAAAGCAGGGGGATATCCTGGCTCCAGGTGACCTCATGATTGAGCTGCAGGAGTCGGGCCAGTACTTGAAGCAAAATACGTGAAAGCCAAGGGGACTGAATGCTTGTCTGGGCGGCCACTGCACATGTCTGGCACGTTGTGGTACTGTATCACTACTGTATCCTTTGGCCCTTTGGCATGCAGCAAGCCTGCTCTGCTCACCGTGCCAGCAACACCGCATTCCTTTTCCAAAGACCATAGAAGTTGGGAGAGACTGCATCTGTTCTGTATTGTTCTGTTGCTCCATTATGGAACGACGTGCAACATCCTTCAGACCCAGCAAAAAAAGAGCTATGCTGCAGTATCCCTCACATGGACACCTCGGATGTCGAGTGCTGTCTGCGGTTGCCATACTTCGCATTGTTGAGTCAGTACTGAGTCCTGAATGGGCCGCCGGGGTTCTCCATAAATGTGTTCTCTCGGTCAAGAGCGAACAGTCATGGTGCGCGATATTGGAGGCAGGAGAGAGGCCTCCCACGTTCCGAGTGCCCGTTCTGTGCCCAGCCCAGCTACCTCAATGAGTGCCCATTCTGAGTGCCCAGCTACAACAGAAGAAGACGCAAGACATGTCATGAACATGAACAGCTTCATGTTTGCGCCTGCTTGCATGACTTGCCACATCCCACCATATGCTGTCTGCTACCAGGAGTGAGCGCCGCGGCTTGAAAGTGGAGAAGAGCCGATTGGCAGAATGTCCGGGTATCTACGGTGGTGGAGCCTCCGTACTGGCAGTCACTGGTACCTCTACCAGCTGGCTTTCCAACGATTGCAGAAAGGGAAACGATAAGTGAGCTATCGACATGAGGCTTCAGTAGCGACATGTAGCATGTAGGTGACTCAGTGGTGCATCAGAATAAAAAATGATAATAGTTTAATCCAAGCGCAGCTCAGAAAAGAAGCGATCAGTGGCGCCGATTGCAAGGTATGGTTGTTTCTATCGAGGTCTTGGGGCGCTTGTGGTAGCAGCTGTACGGTCACCGTATATGCTGCCCATTTTGCGCTTAGTTTCAAGAATTTGAAGCCACGTTGCCAGAAGATTGCCAGACCACGCGCATTTTCGGGCTTGGCTTCATATACCAGGATGTTTTACAAGCCAGCCCGGGGCAGCTGACTTTGAGCCAGATGCCCCTGGGCTGGGCGAGCTCGATTGCCGATTTTAAGAAGGGGGCACCCCAATAGTTGCAAAAAGTTCTGCGTGGCAGGAAAGTGTGCATGGCCACAAGACACGACTCACGGACGCGGTAAGAAGTGCTTGCAGAGGCGAGTAGTTCTTGCTTTGGCACTACATGGTGTGTAACATTGTGTGTGGCGCGCTGTTTAGGCTCAGGCTGGGGTGCCACTTGTTTACATGGTGTCGTCGCCCCTTGGCTTGGTTGCGAATCACAATGCTTGTAGGTGTTTGTAGCCTCGATCTGTTGAAAATGAATGCCCGGGGTAGCGGCACATGTCAGCAGCATTTTCATGCCTCTAAACTCTAGACACCTTTGGTTGAAGCAGCGAAGTGCAGCGACTTGCCTGTGCCAAGAGCTCCTCTAGTCTAGACCCAATCGCATTCTGCTCGAGGCTCCTTGGCCAAATGGAGATAGCTGGCCGAAGGCACAAACAGGGATGATGCTTCCAGCATGGCAAGTATGGGAAGGACGCAACAAGCACATGTTCTCACGAGTCTTACGATCATCTGAGGAGGTCAGAAATGCGCAGATCAAGGCAGGATGCAGGAACAACCCACTCCATCCTTCGATGCGCGGCCAAACCTTTTGCAAGGTTCGGCACCTCCGCGGCAGCATCTGTGGCCTTGGCGGCCTTGGCGGCCTTGGTGTCTCTCAGGTCCTTGGCATTTCTGGACATCCTGGCTCGTTTGGTCGCGTGGTATGCTGGCTTCAATTTCATATGCCGGCTGGTGGGGGGGAGCAGCAGGGGCTGCAACCATCAGCAGTTGGACAAAGCCGCCCGTGGCTCAAGCAAAGTTGCATGCTCCTTCGTGCACAATGTGCACAAGGTACTGTGCAGTCGTATAATGATGACGTGAACACACGCCCAACTTCTGCCGAGGCCGTCACATAGTGGCCTCGGGTGGCCTCCTTGGAGCCTTGGCCGTGGAGGCGCTTTGATTCCGAAGGAGCTGGGATTCACAGCAGCTCGACACTGCTGCAGCAAGTGTTGCAGCAAATGTTGCCGCGGCATGGGTGATGTGAACATGTGTGACACGTGTGTGACACGTGTGTGACATGTGTGTGACATGTTCAGGCCTGGATGCCCAGCGCGGCTGAAGCCTTGGGCTCTCGAGACCGTCGTGTCGCGTGAGCCCCTGAATGTATAAGAGACGAAGTGCTCAACTCACAAATTGCGGTCCGACAAAGCACAGTGCGGGCAGTCTTGAGTTTGAGCAGGTATCCACCGATCAACAAGAACGACCCGAATCGGTGTGAGTGGAGGAATTCACAGATTGCCCAGGCAAGGATTGTCAGGAGACGCAGCAAAGCTCAAGCAGCAGAAAGCTACTGATACCAAAAGTTGACAGGCAAGTGCACAGCGCGACAAGCTCTACGACCTCCGAGAGTGCAATCTCTCAGGCCGGAGCCGAGAAGGAGCAGTGGAGAGGCATAGAGAGGCAGAGTCATCCCACGACTATACCCTGTAGGACTGTAGGATGAAAAATGATGTGTACAAGTGTTTCAGGGTTGCAGGTTGGGGTGAGCTGAAAAGGATGTGGGGACTTGCACAAAAGGTCGAAAAAAGCAAAACGCCCAAAAAGTTCCCAAAAGACGCCCCCCCCCCTCCCCCGGGCACATCTGGGGTTGAAGGCCTTTTTTGGAGCCTTCGGAGCCTTCTCAAACGAAAGAGCAAACACTCCATGTACTGCATGTATGTACTGAATGTGCCAGTGTGCCCATCTATATGCACTAAGAGCGCTATCATAGAAAGTCAGATGTTCCTAGATGTTCCTATATTGATCTTAAGCTTCCAGCGAAAAATCTTCTTGGAATGAAGATTCGACACAAGCGTGTATGACCAGGACTGTGACACACCGGCAGCTGCGCAAGTCATGTTGGTACCAATTCGAAGTCAAAGTGTTTCGTACGGGTCTCGTGTTCAAATTTGCAATCGTGTAAACTTCTGACGGAAGAAAAAGGAAACAAGGGCAATCTGCGTGTCTCTGCGATTGCCCAGGCTCCAATGCAGCTGACAAGGATGTAGCAGGCTCCACCTGTACTGTATCTCTGTTTCGGCACTTCTGCGCGGACTGCTGACTTGGCTGCAGGAGCTCTCATGAACAAGGGGGACTTCTCCAACGTGAATTTTGAGAATGCAGTGTTGACCAAGGCGCCTCAATCGTTTTAAGTGTGGAAGCTGGAGAGTGAACGAGGTGGGCGAACAGCGCGCTTGTCAGGTTTTAGCAACAGAAGGCTGCTTCGAAGGGGCCAATTTCAAGAACGCGGTCGCGGACGGCATCTCTACAATCCCTGTTCGACCCTACTAACTCGAACTGCGGACTTATTTCTGTGTTAGATGGCCCGAGTTCACGTGCTCACCGTCATCTAGTGTATAGTTTCTCCTGTTCGTATTGGACAACTGCCCCAATGTAAAGGCAAGAATGTTGCAATCAGCGTTCAGACCTCAACAGCAGGACCGCATGGACCTCACAAAAGCCAACTTGAAGAATGCAGCTCGACTGTGGAGCGTGCAGCAGCTGTTGATGTGTATGTTGGACATGTTATGAAATGTTGGTTGATGTTGGAGCTTTGAATGTTAGCAAGGCAATTTTCAAGAATGCTTTGCTGACAACGCCACGCACTGAGTCACTAAGCCCGGGGGGCAAATGAAAGCAGCGGCGAGTGCACTCTTGCGGACAGATGCGGACAGGTCCAGCTTTGAGGAGGCAAACCTGGAAGGTGCTGATTTCACCGATGCGAGCCTGACATGTCTGACATGTATCCAGGCAAAGGCTTTGTGACAGTGATGTGAGAAGCTTACTTTTGCCAGGCCTTCTTGGACAGTCAGAGCGTCAGGGTCATTTGCAACAACCCGACAATGAAAGGCAGGGCGGCAACTGTGTGATGACGCGCGTCTGTTTGCTTGCTTATGCTGCATTGACAACGGCCGGCCCTTTCGGCAGCTCGACGCTGCACCTGAGGAACCAACCCAGTGACGGGTGCTGATACTTATCTGAGTGCAGGTCAGCAGCTCAGAAGTGGAAAGCGGATCTCTGAGGAATCTCTGAGTGCACCGCGTTCGAGAGACTGAAGAGGCTGCGACATCCAGGATGCGGGAGGAATCCCGCTTCGCTGAGCACCGCTGTTTCACCTGCCTCTCAAACCTCTCGGCCGACATGGCCCCCGAAGTAGCATGATGACAAGCATCAAGACGTGAAGAAAAACGCCGACGGTAACAAGCATAACTAGAGTGCGACACAGAAGCCATGGTTAATGTCAACGTCGCATTAATCAACCTCCCCCCCACCCCAGATTTTGTTTTGGTTTCGGGGTTTTGAGGGTGGAACAAAAAGAGGGGGTGAAAATGAAGCGTTCCTGGGGGTTTGGGGTCTGGGGTCAGCTGTGAAGACGGGTCTGCTTTGGCTTGTTTTCAAGCCGAAGGCTAAAGTCTTAAGCTTAAGGGATTCTTATCTTAAGCCTTTGGGGCAGCCGTTTAAACTTGAGGCTTCCTTGGTTTCCCTTCTCTGAAATTGTTATTGCCACCCCTTTATGATTGTCATTTTGGAGGCCGCAAGGGGTACCCTTTCAGGATTTGTTTTTGAGCCCCGGCGGATAAGGATTTAAGCAAGGAAACCTGCTTTGAGACGTCTGGCGGTTTCCAGAATTCCAGGAGTCGAAGGCTGAAGTTTTAAGCTTAAAGGATTCTTGTTCAGTCTGAACCCTTAATTAGACCAGGACCCGAAGGCTGAAGTCTTAAGCTTTAATTAGGGGATTCTTATCTTAAGCCTTAGACCAGGACCCGAAGGCTGACTTAAGGGATTCTTCTCGTAAGCTTCAGACCAGGACCTGAAGGCTGAAGTCTCAAACTTAAGGGATTCTTATCTTGAGCCTTAGTAAGTGATGTCTGGCCAGCTTCATTTCATAAATGTCACCCCGTTATAATTTCATCGGACCCCCCTATATGGGTTTTGTTTACACACATCACCCCGATTCCTCCCACAATGGAAAGTAGTCTTGGGCCGGGGCCCTGTGTCCCGCCGAATATTACAATTACCACCCCATTTAAAGTGTGAGGTTTACTTTAGTGGCATTGCTGCACTTTTCCGCGATCGCCTTCACTGCTGGCCACAGGTCTTCTGCTGGCAGCAACGTGGCTAAAAGACGGTTTCAGCTTCCTCAACTTGCAGTGCACCGTAGAGTACAATTTGCTGCACCATGCGAAGTTATGTCAGTCGAATTGTCATTGTTTCGCCACTGGCAAGTGGACAACAGCCATGTCGTATGGCAACTACAAGTACGATGGATTCGGCGGAGGCCTGCAAGTGTTGAGTCGCACCTTTGTGTCCCGGCGATGACTCGAACTGTTGCGTTCCAGGATATGGCAGTTACATGGGAGGCGGGCGCGGGGGAACTTGCAGCGGCAATCAAAGTGATTTGAACCAAGAGGCTTGATCCCTTCTTCCGAATCATAAGGGGATACTGGATTGATTGATTTTGGAGTCTCGAGTGCTTGTGTTTCGGAATCCTTGGAGAGTGAAAGAGTATTTCACAGGCACACTGCAGGTAGGCGGTTGGCACACAAAGCCTTCTACAGGGGTTTGCACTCTTACGCTTTCAACCTTCAAATTCCGCTTCCCCATCTTAGTGATGATTGCTCGGCGCGCGTCGTGCGTGTTTGATTCTGGGGGGGACTACGAATCTCGGATTAAATTCTGCCCTGTTGTCATGTGCTGCATGATCCTTGTACATGTCCAAGTTAGCGCATACCGATCACGGGGCATTTGGCACTTCCAGCGTGAAACACAATTTTGTGCTGCAAGGGGGCGTAGGCACCATGCAGACGGCCTCCCTTCCAACGCAGGCTGATTCCGGAGTGCGGTTCGAAGCGAGAGTATTGGAGGGGTTGTGCCTTGCAGTGTTTTCGTTATGTTTGGCAGCCGCGCAACAGGCTGTTGGCACGAGCAACGGTGCCTTCCCTCGACAGCAGGCCCTCCTTGCACACGTTCGTCGTGTTCAGCCTCTTGCCTCCATGTTGTTGTCTTGCTTCATCAGAGCCATGGCAGCATGAAACACCCTCTGGGACAGACCTGTCACTGGAAATCTACCCATGTCAGACTTCGGCTATGGCCACGCAGAATGTGGCCGACATGGGACAGCTCGAGCCCCAGATCAGACGCTTGGTAGTGCGCAACATACTGCCCGAGCGACTAGCTCAAGTCTGAGCTCAAAAGCACTGGCAACTGCGAGTCGCTAGCCGCTGACCGGCTCATGACTCATGATCTTGGGAAGAATACTTAACTGTTGCCAGCTTCGGCGTGAGTCTGATAAAGATCTGCATGCCTCAAGGTTCAAGACCATGACTCCAGATGCATTTGCCTCAGAGCCTCGCACAGCCAAGATGCTGTGGCACCGTGTTGAATCGAACCTACCATGGTCCGCGTTCTTTTTGTGCATTGCTTTTGGCCTCTTTTAGTGTGGGAAACACGACCGCCAGAACCTTCGCCGCACTGTGGTAGCGGAAGCATGCCGAAGCCTTCACCGAAGCTCATTCCTAGCGGAAGCATGCTGCCTAAGCAATTTTTTCCTCCCTCGCCGGAGTACCCGACAAGTCTTGCGGAAGATTGGAACCGGCTTGCTTTAAGCCCACAAACCCTGGAAATCAGCACGTGCTTCCTCAGTCAAACATATGCACATGCGATGCCATTCTAAAGGGCCGCAGCCTCTCGTGAAAGGGCTGCGGAAGCTCGTGCGCGGAAGCATTGCTATATGTCTCCGTCGAATACAAAACAGGAATGTAGAACACCGGGCTTACGTCTCCACTGCTGCAGTTTCTACAATGCAGTGTTACTGTCACTGTTGGCGTTTGGCGATTTCATGTCTCGCTGCAGACAGGCTCTGAAGACACAGCCAGCCGGTGCCTTTGGCAATTATGTCCAGAGCTGAGATCAACTTCCGACGGCCGAATCCAATCTGCACGACCGGCGCCGAGTCTTGAGGATGCCATGGCTACCCGTCCTCCACAAACACGCCTCGACAATAGCCGCTTGGAGAATTTCTGAGGACATACTTAGATTTGGCAGCGACAGAGACATCGAGAAGACTGGGCTCAGCTGAAGGCTGAGCAGCTTGCAACCGAGGCTATGGAGGTGGCTGCGGCACACAAAACTTTTCTGGATATGGCCAGGGCTATGGCCAAGGCTATGGCCAGGACTACGGCCAAGGATACCAAGGATATGGGCAAGGGCAAGGACAAGGCTATGGCCCAGGCAGGCTGCGTGCTCGTCCCAAAGTGTTTGTTCTCGAAAATGCGAGATTCATGAGATGTGGCGTGAGGTGCAGGGCCGGCCGGGTTTCGCACTCAGAGCAAGACACCCCGCAGAAACAATCAGATGCATGCTTCCCGACGCATCTCGATGTGTCTCGCGACTGTGCATGCTCGTCACACGCTTGCGTCAGGTCATACGGCCAAGGCTATGGTCAGGGCTACCAAGGTGGTTATGGTGGAGCATACGCGGGAGGTGGATATGGTGGCGATCAGAACTATGCCAATGCTCGTGCTGGAGCCGGATATGGTGGTGCTGGGTACGGTGGACCAGGCAGTCAAGGAGGCTATGGCTACGGACAAGGCGGTCAAGGCACATCTGCAAAAAAGCAAGCCGCAGCACACCGTTCTCAGGTCTCGTTAACATTCATGAACCTGGTGCTGTTTGGCAGGCTATGGCTACGAAGGACGAGGCTACACCGGAGGCTCGTCCATGGTCAAGTGAACGTCATCTCTATACTCGGCGACGCAACGGCAGAGTTCCTTAACTGCCTTAACTAGAGGCATGCACGATATGGCGGCGGCCACGCAGCAGCTCTCGGCGCAACAGGTGTACAACAAGGATGTTCAGCTCTCAGTCGGGACAAGCCAAGCGAACACCAACACCACGAACATGCCATGTGAAGTACAGCAGCCGATTTTTTCGCGCTCGAGATATCGAGTCCGAGAGAAAATGGATGTAGCGAAGTCTAGAATATTGAGGCTTTCTTGAGGTTGCTCTCTCAGAGGCTGAGAGGCATGCATCTGCATTGACAAGTCATGCGGTTGGCATATGACATGCCTTCGAAACAGGTCATCCATGGGCCAATGGAGACTAACGGTGACTAACACATTGTGTGATTGAGATGTGATGATGATGTTGGGCAGTCGTGGACGGCCTCCGATTCCAAGTGCCGGTTGGGTTGTAAGTGCATATCCCTGCTACTCCCACATCGTCTTCGCATCCTTTTCAGCCCTGTTCGCCGTCTGCCTTGGTGCCCTTGCACACTGTCCTTGGGTTAGGCGGACCCGAAAGCATTTGCAGTTTGCTTATGGTGAGGGACAACAAGCTAGGAAGATGTTCAACACTTAGAGACAATGTTTCACGAGAAGCATCATGGGGCAAGGAAGCTACGAGGACCAGGCCACGCCAACATCCGCGCGTTGCGGTGCAGCGCAGCAGAAGCAAGAAGCAACAAGACCGAGCGTTAAGAAGTAGTCTTGTCTTCCTGTGGAGTTCCTCTTGTGTTGTGTGGCACGAGTTCCCTTGCCAGATTGACACGCAAGCTGCATGTTGTTCCAAGTTTGCATGTTTTTGTTGACGGGTCAAGTATCGTCGTGCGTTTTGCACAGTTTTGACTGCGGTTGGTTGCGGATCCAGGTGGGGCGGGATGGTTGGGGGGGGGGGGGGTGTTGTTGTTTCTGAGTGTGGTGTTGCGCCGGTGTGCAGGGCTCCACGTGTAACTTTGACGCATGCATGCACAACAGTTGTCAAGTCTCATTTAAACCTTCTTCGCTTAAACCACAAACCCTCAACCCTAAACCCCTGCTCGCAGGCTGGCTAAAACACCGGGCATTCTCTGAAGACAATGCAATCACTCGAAGGGCATTTTCCTTCTCTTGAGCTGAGAGTGGGCCGGCGACAGCTGGTACATGTGCATACAGGGGGGGTTGATTCCTTCTGGAGTATCTTGAAGAAAAGTATCCCAAACACCTTGCGCAGGTGCCGAATCCCGATACCCCCAGCACGAATCCCTTACCTCCTCACCAAAGTCCCTGGAGCCCGCTGCCCCCTTTCCCTGGCGCTTTGCATATGGCCAGGAAGCACCGTGGAC